ACCGTCTACCATTATCTTTATTCCCCAAACCATTAGGGAAAAAATACTGTTTCCGCAGGATGTTTCCAGATTTTGGTATGCTGGAATTAGTCAAGACATATATAAATAAATTTTCTGCAAAAACAGAAATTTGTCACCACCTGGAACAATTTCTGTCAGTCTTTTCACGTTGTGTTCTTTTTGGTTCACTGTGTGCTCTGCTTTTGTTTCTGGAGTCTACGAAATGTACACACACGGAATGTTGACAGTCCTTCCTAAGGCAACAAGAGTCCATAACTTGTTTGGGGTTAGATCTTTAAGTACCAACTCTCAAGGGTGAATACTGGCTACATAACAGAAACTGCCTGGTCGACAAGACCCTGGAGAGGGACTGTTTGTTTTTAAAAACATGCCATGGACAACAGCCCTCAGCCAGTGTTGGCCTATAACTAGTCCCAATGGAATCAGGTAGCAGGAGATCCTACTGAGAGCTCACCATCCCTTCAAAAAAAAGCAACATTGTGTAGAATAGCTCCTTGCGGAGGATAAATGTTCACAAAAAATATTGGTTAGTTGTGGTCGGTTGGATGCTTCTTCAAAATACTTCTCTGTTTCTTTTTCCGTTCTCCATTCCAAAGCCAAAAATGCTTGCAATCATTCCTCCTTCCAAACTGGATCCCCACCCCCTGTCCAATCTTCCACCATTTACATCCCCATTGCCCCTTAATTCACCTTCCTTTCCATCTTCACTCTTTGGAACATCTTGTTACTGACTTCCGTGCTTCTTTATAACATAAAGCAGAACACTTCTGGAACACCTATTTATCTTCGAAGGATAAACAGTTTATTTCATATCCCTTTTAAAGAGATTTGGAAACGCATCCGTATCTCTAAGAATAGAGATAACAGGGGAGTAAATGCAGGCATGTTCAACGTGAAGCTGGAAAGGATCTGAATGTCATCACGTTCAGCCTCTGAACACCAGTGGAGAATCGATCACCATCATTTCTTAAAGTTTCTTATAGAAACCAGGCAAACAGTTTGGCTCCAGGGATCTGGGACAGCTAACAGCCTCTGTGTTCTAAAGTCAGCTTTTACTCAGACTGCACAGCTAAGGAAGGGAGCGAAATTCAATTCAGTTTGCATTCAAAAGTGAACCTACCTAATTCACATTTCTAAAACAACATATGGGCCAGAACTCAGCCATCCTTTGAAATCCACACTTCTCTGTGATGCGGTTCTTCAGTCAAGTAAATGCTTATACTAGGGTAAAGGGTGCTTATAAATATATATGTTAGCAAAAATAATATATGAAAATGCATTATATCAGGGGGAAATGCTTTACAAAAATGTGTCCTGTATATTAGGCAAAATGGCATACAAAATGTATATATTTGGAGAAATTTGCACTAAAATACTGATGAAGACATGCTTTTAAAAAGAGACAAAGTGCAGACTGATGTGGAGAAGTAAATGTAAGATTGGGGAAATTAGAAAAAGAGAGCTTCGTGGCCCTAGTGCAGCACTCTTAACCACTATGCCACATGTGCTAATTGAATCCCACCTGAAAAGAGTGTCAACCTGGAAGTGATCTCAGTTTAAGGCAGTTACCTATGTTCCTGAGATATATATTTTTCAAAGTGCAAATTACTATTTTATTATGTACTGAGTTGAAGTATACCTTTATGCAGTATGTTCGAAGGTTGCTGACTTTACTGATTAGATTTTAATCAAATATCTCTCTGAAATTAGATTGCAATCCTTCACTGTGCTGCAGAAAAGTATGTTAATAGGGAGCTTTTGTTCTCCAGAAAATTATAATGTGGACTCATACTTCAAAATGCTAGGGCAGAGCAAAGGGGGGGAAATGAAAGCTGCCAGTAATTTTTAAGAAGGGAGGGCAAAGGGGTATCAAAGAAGCTAGTAAAAAGCTAAAGAACAAAGAAAGCTTTGAATCTGAAGACCAAATGTTTTCTTTTTCTGGCAGAATTGCTAGAATGCAGGTGCCCAAACATTTGCCCTCTATTCCTCTTTCTGCCTCAACTTGCTGTTAATATAAAGAGAGCTCACCTGATGATTGCCGTTTAAACATCCTCACTCTGTGAACTGTTTTCTCTTGATAATACTTTGTGCAATTGCACATTGTTTCCTCTAATAAGCATATAGTAGTTCTGTTTGTTCTCTGTTGTAATCTTTTTTGTTTTAGATTACTATATAGCATCTTAATGTTAATTTTCTGAGCAAGCCCTCCTTCTATTTCCTTTGCAATACCCGTCATTGCAATTATTATCTTTTTGTAAGATTTTTTATAGCTCAGGTGGTGTGAACTATTTATATATCTTTTCTCTTCACAACGGCCCTACATAGTTTTCTTTTTCAGAGTCATCAGGTGAGGGTGTGCGTGTGCAGAGCTATTTGATATGCCCAGTGTGTAAAATACAGAGTTCTCTTTTCTGTGCTTGCATCTGCTGGATCACACCCTGAAAAGACTTCAGATGGGTTCTTTGAAATATATTTGGGAAGCCAATTTTCAATTGCTCGCTTTTAGCAGTGGTACGGGAAACAAGAAATAGAAGTCCTGCCACAAGGCAACCTTATGAATCTGTTCTTCAAGAGTATTAAACAACCCTTGTTAAAATTAGAACGTTGCTTAAATATTTGCCCAGCCCACAAAGGACAGAGACTGAGGTCTTCTTTCAGTAGCCAGGTCTAGCTGAATAGGAATATAGGAAGATGCCTTATAAAAGGTCAGCCGATGAGCTGGATCATGCAACACGTGCAGACTCTTCCCCGTGTCCTTCCTGCTGCTGTGCTAAACTAAACTAAACTAAACTAAACCAAGGTTTGGCTTAGCATGTTGTCCAGCTGGAACTCTCGTGGTCAAGGCCCCTCCTCACTAAATGCAAACTGTAGCCAAGAACAAACCCTGCCCTGCAAAATTCAGAGAAGTGCAAATGTTGGAGGATGGATGTGTTTTAGTTCTCGTGCTGTTTCAAATGGCGCCAATCTGGTTGGTTCACATTTAAATGCCAACTGAATTGATTTTCTCCTCCCTACCAATAGTGTTAGGGACACGGGTGGCACTGTGGGTTAAACCACAGAGCCTAGGACTTGCCGATCAGAAGGTCGGCGGTTCGAATCCCCACGACGGGATGAGCTCCTGTTGCTCGGTCCCAGCGCCTGCCAACCTAGCAGTTCGAAAGCACGTCAAAGTGCAAGTAGATAAATAGGTACCACTCTGGCAGGAAGGTAAACGACGTTTCCGTGCGCTGCTCTGGTTCACCAGAAATGGCTTAGTCCTGCTGGCCACATGACCCGGAAGCTGTACGCCGGCTCCCTCGGCCAGTAAAGCGAGATGAGCGCCGCAACCCCAGAGTTGGTCACGACTGGACCTAATGGTCAGGGGTCCCTTTACCTTTACCTTTACCAACAGTGTTACTTTCCCCCTCCCTCAAGTTTATGCTCCTTCTATAATGTTTTCTCTGAAGTAAGTACCATTCACCAAAGGTACCTTACAATGTTAATTAGAAGCTTATTCCTTGAAAGTACTGCCCTCTATCTTGCTTCCTTCCCAGGGAGGCTAGGAGATTAGCAATATTCTAGGGAAAGGGGCTTAATTGCTCCCTTAATTATTCAGTTTCTGTTCTGCACTAGGATGGAAGAAGCTTTAATTACTGGGGGTTTTATTGGTTTTCTTGTACAGCCCTCACTCAAGGCAGCTCAGACAGTAGACACAACCCTGCATAGGGTCACCAGATGAAGAAACCAGCAGTTGTGTTTACACATTGAGAAAGAATGCTCTCAACCGTTACCTTTATTCATTCCTGCCAGACAAACAGTAACCACATCTTGAAGATCCCTTTCATTACTACTGTGCCTATTACATAACATTTGCCTGCTTCTTTCCACTTATAACCAAGGAAAACAGACCTTTTAAACATGGCAACAAATCCCTTCAGTTCGAGAATTTGTTTTACCCACATACAAGGAAGCCTTGGGAAAAGTTGCACCATTCATTGGGGTGGGGATTCAAGTGAAGTTGTCCAGATTTCAACCCTATGATCTTTTCCTTAAATGGAAAATCTTGTATTTCAAAGAAAACCAAAACTTGTGTCTTTAATTTTGGTACAGTCTTCAAAGGTCTGTTTTTACCCCCTAAGAAATTACTAGCACATGACAACAAATATAATTATCCATTTTGCCATAAATGAGATTTAAAGCTAACGACTGAGCCTCTTGGGCTTGCCGATCAAAAGGTTGGCAGTTTGAATCCCCGCGATGGAGTGAGCTCCCATTGCTCTGTCGCAGCTCCTGCCAACCTAGCAGTTCGAAAGCACGCCAGTGCAAGTAGATAAATAGGTACCACTGTGGCAGGAAGGCAAATGGCATTTCCATGTGCTCTGGCACTTTTCACGGTGTCCCGTTGCACCAGAAGTGGTTTAGTCATGCGGGCCACATGACCCAGAAAGCTGTCTGTGGAAAAACGCCGGCTCCCTCGGCCTGCAAGCGAGATGAGCGCCACAACCCCATAGTCGCCTTGACTGGACTTAACCATCCAGGGGTCCTTTACCTTTACCTTACCACATGAGATTTACAGCATCCAGTTTAACTTTGGGCATCTCCAGACATCCTTTTTATTGTGCTCATGTTGGTATTAGGGGAGTCATACGTGCTTCCCCTCTCAATACTTTCTGCACCTACAAAGGCTTTAGGGTGGTCATATGGCTTCATTTCCAATCAGCGGGTATCCTTTTATTTCCTGCTGAAATCCAATAACTTTTCATACTGTAAATCTTCTGGGGGAGGGGGTTTGTCCCACTTTTGCTGCAGCCTTCCAGACAGCAGTGATATGGTAGCATTTGGGAAGCATCACAGAACAATTAAGCAGAATAAATACACCAGTAATGTCCTATTATTGCATTAAGAGAATCTGTGGCAAAATACACCCGCAATTATCTCCAGTATGCTCCTCAATCCTGAGTCTACTCTTTGCTTTTCTCTCTGCTTGAGCATATTATTATTATGTTTAAGAGCCATGAAAGCAAAGGGTCAATATTTGATAATATTTCTTTGATAATATTAACCCTTTGCTTTCATGGCTCTTAAACATGAGCAGTCTTTGGTCCTTCTCCTTGGAGTTAGACATGTTGGTTGCTAGACACGCAAATAGGTGAGAAATGAGGGAATCGGTGTTTATGCCAGAATTTTTCTGATGCTTTGAAAGCAGAGCAGACCTCCATGCAGGTCTGCGGGAAACAACATTCGGTGGGGCTCTCCCAGCACAAAGTCTAAAGGGACACACACATAGTCTCTTATTTACTTCTCCTGCTCAGCTTCCTGGTGGCACCTCTCCTACTCATACTGGGAAGTGGTTCAGAAGTGGAAGGTAAACAAACAAACCATCGGAGCTGGTGTCATATGAGACATTATTATATAAGATACTTCTTATGAAAAGATTACATCTTCAGCAGTATTGTTCTCCTTACCACCACACTCAAATCTGTAGGTTACCACAATACAGTAGGTGACTCACTATTGCCACTCCCTGTGGTAGAAACCAACAAGGGCAATGCTGTTGAAGCAAAGCATTTAGGATTTAGGATGCAACAATGTATGAACAAGTTTAAAGCACTTACGTTGTTTGGAGGTTTAATTTTTCTTGTTTCTTTTTCAGTCAAACCATACATTTAAGGCGTACTTTTACCACTTGGATAGCCTTTCATAGAATTATAGAGTTGACTCCAAGCGTTATCTCGTCCAACCACCTGAAATGCAGGAATCTCAGCTCAGATTGCCATCCCACCTCTGTTTAAAAACCTCCAAAGTAGGAGACTCCACCACCTTCTGAGGGAGTCCATTACACTGTTGAACAGCTCTGATTGTCAGAAAGTTCTTCTTGGTGTTTAGTTGTATACCTGGAGGAGCATCTCCACCCCCATCATTCAGCCCAGACACTGAGGTCCAGCTCCAAGGGCCTTCTGGCAGTTCTCACTGTGAGAAGGAAAGTTACAGGGAACCAAGCAGAAGGCCTTCTCGGTAGTCATGCCCGCCCTGTGAAACACGCTCCCATCAGATGTCAAGGAAATAAACAACGGTCTGACTTTCAGTAGGCATCTGAAGACAGTCTTGTATAGGGAAGTTTTTAGTGTTTGATGTTATGCTGTGTTTGGTGTTTTAATTTGTTGGAAGCTGCCCAGAGTGGCAGAGTCAGATGAGCAACATATAAATGATAAATTGTTGTCGTTGGAATCGTCTTTCTTGTAACTTAAAGCCATTGGTTCGGGTCCTAGCCTAGCCTCCTGAGCAGGAGAAAATAAGCTCGCTCCATCTTCCATGTGCTCAGCAACTCACAGGAACTCAGTTCCGGCACCTCTAAGAGAATGAGGGGTGGGTTCATGGTGAGCTCTGGCACCTCTTTTTCTAGAAAAACAGCACTGCAATGAATAGCCTTTTAAATATTTGAAGATTGCTATCATACCTCCTCAGTCTCCTCCAGGCTCAACATATCCAACTCCCCCAACCATTAAAAAGAGGGCTTGGTTTCCAGATCCTGTATCATCTTTGATTCTCCCAAAGAATCCTGAGAACTGTCGTTTAAGTGTGCTGGGAACTGCAGCTCTGTGACAAACTACCCGTGATCCTTTTGGAGAAGCCAACACTTTAAATGTATGGTGTAAGGTGACCTTCTTTCTACTGTGTCTGTTTCCTTTCCTCTGATGGGCACTTTGGGTAGTTTCTCAAATCCCTGAGATTTGGTCAGCCTTTACCAGGAACCAAGCCTAAAGTGTGGCAGGTCCTGCGCTGTGGAACTCCTTGCCAACAGAAATTCACCAATCAGTTTTTGATAGATGTTGTTGATGTTTTTACTGTTACTATAGGATTGTGTTTTTAGGTGTACCATATACCACCTTGCTATAATTTCTATGGATGTGCAGTTTGTAAATATTTAAATAAAAATAAATATTATTCATTGCCTTTGTTTGTTGCTTTGTACAAAAAAGAAAAGCATCACAGCAACTTAAAAACAAGTTAAAATACAAAGAGGTAAAATAAATTAAAAACCAATAATAATAATATCTTAAAATTCCTTTCTCTTTGTGTACTTTTGAGGGTCGAAATGTATAAAGATAATGCTTTTGGTTACAATGCACAAAACTGCATTGATTGCTTTGATTTGTATCCTGCTTCTTTGCTGGAATCTCTAAGCAGCAAGCAACATTCAGAAAATAATACAGATACAGTACAGGTACTTCACAATCCCTTTCCTGACTCCTCCCCTCTGCTGCTTCACCTTTTCAGGGCAACTGCCCTGTCATCGCCATATGATAGGGAAGTGACAAAGGGCACAGTGCATCTGATGCAGAAGCAGGCAATATCTTGTCAGGGACTGGCAGGGCTCTGAAGAGTGTGTTGCAAAGGCTGGGGGATGCTGACCCAGGAGAGGAGGCCAGCAATTTATGGGGTTTTGTGCCACCCATGAGGCATCTGTGAGGGCTGGAGGAAGGCGAATTTATTATATCCCTTCAGTGTGAGGATTTCAGCCTGTGCAAGAAGACTGTCCCGGTTCTCTTTCCCCTGTGTGTTCCCTACCCCTTCCCCAAAAGTGATCTAGGAGCTTCCCCAACCCCCTGGAACAGACTTAGAAGGTGCACAAGAACAGACGAAGAGGGAGGGAATATTCCATTACACAAGGAGAAATAATTCTTCTGATGGAACAAGAGATTTACATAGCATTCCACCTTGTTTACTTTTTCTTCCTTTCTCCATCTTTGATTTCTGCAGCGTCCCTATAAGATTTAGATGTGAAATGCCAGAGTTGGCATTTCACATCTAAATATTATAGACCCTTTCATTTTTCCAAGTCCTATTTAAGTGATTTGTATGTACAACAGTTCCACAAACTACTGATCCGTTATCAGGCACAATCTAAAGCACTGGTTATTTTCTATAAAGCCCTACACAGCTTGCATCCAAGCTATCTTAAGTACAGTGGTACCTCAGGTTACAGACGCTTCAAGTTACAGACTCCGCTAACCCAGAAATAGTACCTTGGGTTAAGAACTTTGCTTCAGGATGAGAACAGAAATCTTGCGGCAGCAGTGGGAGGCCCCATTAACTAAAGTGGTGCCTCAGGTTAAGAACAGTTTCAGGTTAAGAATGGACCTCCAGAACAAATTAAGTTCTTAACCCGAGGTACCACTGTACTATATAATCCTTCAAATGAACTTGCTCAGGGTTTGAGATCTTTGGGAGAGGCCCTTCTCTCAGTCCCGCCACCCTGACAGGCATGTTTGGTGTGGATGAAGGCAGAGCCTTCTTGGTGGCTGCTCCTAGACTTTTGAACTCCATCTCTAGAGAAGCTAGACTGGCTCCCTCCTTGTTGTGCTTCTGCCAGTAGTTGAAGACTTTCTTCTTCCAACAGGCTTTTGGGAACTGACTGTTTTTAATGAAAGGGCTAGTGCCGTGCTGTTTTAATTGCAATTATTGGAATGGTTTTAATAGACTTTATATTTGTATACAGTTGTAATTCTATCAATGTTTAATTGTGTGGGTTTTTTTACTTTTTCTGTTTGAGTGATTCTTGTTTTTATCTGTAAGCTGCCTTGAGTCCCATCAGGGAAAAAGGAGGGAGAATGAGAATAATAATAATAATAATAATAAATTATACACACACTCACCACCAACCTACATCCTTTGCTGAGAGAAATGACAATCCTAGAAGGGTCAGAAGAGTTAGCCAGCCAAAATTTACAACAGAATAATACTTAGCAATAACTGTATATCTGAACAGACATACTATATACTGGAAAGAAGAATCTCATTAAAAGAGATGGATAGTTAAGTGATTATTTCTGAGACTGAAACACATTAAATTATTTTAAAAGATTGGTGGTGGTGGGGGGAATATGAACAAAGTTTATTGGTCTTTTTCTTGCCAACAGCTTTGATATGTGAGTAAGCAGATAAATATTTGGATTTTGTTGCAGATGGCTACATTTCAAGCAGAATGAGTCTCGCAGGAAGGAGCTGTGCATCACACCAACAGTAATCATCATGGTGATTTTAATTTATATATGGAATACCACCAATATAAAAATTCAGGGCTGTGCTCAGAGCTATCTCAGATTTGAGGGAGTCCTCGGGTTAACCCCCTCCCACACTGGGAGATCCTGAGACAAGGGTGTGGGACCTCAGACCCAGGAGACAAATGTGGCCCCCAACTCCTCTCTGTCTGGCCCTTAGAATCCTCTCCAGGCCACACCTCCTCTCCCCACACTCTGTAAGAACTAGCCTACCGTAGAAGGAGTACATTTGTAGGTCTACCCACTTTTGAATCTGGCTCCACTCACCACTGGCATGGAGCTCTCAGAAAGGTTGCAGCCCAGAGAAGAATGGGGCTGTCAGGCTGAGAAAGGTTCCCCACTCCTCACCTGAGGGAACAGCAACAGTGCTGGGATCAGCACCAGAAAGCTGCGCCTGATTGGCAGGAGCGAGCCAGCAGTAAATCACATCGAGCAAGTCAGAGTTAACTAAGGTTACCAGACGTCCCTGTTTCCCGGGGACAGTCCCCGGATTTACAAACCAGTCCCCATTCAAAATCCATTGAAGTTGAAAAGTGTCCCCGGATTCATTGAAAAAAATCTGGTAACCTTAGAGTTAACTCTTTATTAGCAAAAGCAGGATCTGTGCAGGAGTGTCAGGCCTAATGAGTACAGCTGCTAATCTCCAGCAAGTCTTGCTCTCATGAAGCAGTTGCTGAGACTGAAGGTCCCCGCTTCCCCACAGCTGCCTAAGTCCCCTCCTCTCCAGGGTTTTCCCCAAGCAATCTGAGACTGCACCTGTGTGAAGCTAACTTCTCCTCCTCCCTCTTCATGCCTCTCTTGGTTCAAAACAGACAACTGCCCTCTGTAAAGTAGGACACAGGGCCACCATAACCCAGCCAGCACCCCATCTTCTGACCACATCTCTCTGCCTTTGGCCCTTATTTATTTAACCTACAGCAATCAGTGCAATCTAGGAAGGATTCAGCACAGCAGCAGGTTTTTCTGGGGTGCCAGGACCCCCAAAGTTGTCATGGGTGCCACATACTGCTGCTAAGCTTGTTGTTTAAGGTGCAAATAAATTGCCCATGTTGGCACTATGAATGATCTGTGGCCTAGAAAGCTCTCTTCAGATTGCTACCTGATTATAAATAAATGAATTAATTGAAATTTACTCAGGAGGAACAGGAATTTCAAATAAGTACCATATGAAAATGGGAGCATGTCCATGTGAGCATAATCAGACTGTGACGGCCCATTAAGGGCTTGTCCTTATATTTACTGAAATGAGAGAAGCAGTTGTACTTGAAGGTAACTAAAATAAACTTTTGGCTCATAGCTATAGGACACTGGGTATACCACAGGTGTTATTAACTCCTGTCAAGAGTGTTTCCATGGCAAAGTACAACAGCAGTTGCTTGCAATGCTAAGAAATGGCTGTGGCTCATAGGAGGAGAGTTCCATGACCAAGAATGCACAAACACCACAGGAGGTATTAAAAAAGAAACAGTAACTGTTTACAACTGATTAGTTACTTGAAAACTACCCCTTATTTATGGCAAGTTGGGTGTGTAGTGTTGGGTATATTGCAAAGACGCTCACTAGGGGAAGGGAGATGAAACTGTTATAGCTTTGGGGTGGAGCACAATAACTCACAGAGTGTCTTTTAACCCAGTAACTCTGTAAAAGATCCAGGATTAGAAATACTGTATTATGGGAAATGATTTGGTAAGATCTTGCACGGGCTTGTCCTATGTTAGCTTTCTTGCCTTTGTGAATGGGCAAGAAAGATGGGAGAATGGCTTGTCCGTTCATCCTCTGTGTGACCAAGGGGGAGAAGGGAAGTTAAGCCTGCAGTTTTGGACAGAAATCACTTCCAGGTGACCTGTTTAATGAGAACTAGCAGTCTTATGTCTGGCGTTGCTTGGGAATTCTAAGAATAAATAAATAAAAATACCCTGCTCCATGACCTCAGAAACTATCCTGCCAAATTTGGTTAAACTCAGTGCAGCTTTGAAATGTCAGTCTGCCATCTTGATTCAAAATGGCATCCAGCTATATCCAAGCAGAGATAAAAACTTGTTGTGATTTCAGGAACCACCTTGCAAAATGTTGTTAGATATCTTAAGAGGTGTCCAAATGCACAGAAGAATAGACAGACAAAGAAAAAAACCTGACCAAAATATATAGTAGCTCCACTTCCTTCATTTTGATTTGTTTGTGGGAAGGTTAGACAAGGTCACATCAAATATCCAGTGCATTTTCCTGCACTTTCCTTACTTTAAAACATCCATACAAATTCATGAGGAGGAGCCGGAATCCAGCTTTCAGAAAATCTATGGCCGTTTTCATCACCAAAGAGGAATCTAAATTTGCCATATAAATAGCAGACTGTGGAGTACCAATCTGTAAGGAAAGATTCAAACTGAATATGCTAATTAAACGGTACATAATTATTTAACACCAATATATAGCAGTAATTACAGAGCATACGCCACTCTCCATAAATATTATAAAAATGTCACACACCCTCCAGGAGATACAGTTTGATCAGAGACTTTCTATGTTAACCTTGGCTGGCATTATGTATATGCCACCCACAAGTTTGCTGCCCAGAAACTGCTCTGTAATTTTGTATCCAAGATTTGCTAGGTGGAAAAAAGAAAATAGAAAGATGAATTCTCAAAATCCTTTTAATTACGAACAGGGTAAATGTTTGATCTTACCACCTTCATGCTTGCAACAAACCCAGCAAACCACCAGGCACATCTGATTTTTGTAAAAACATGCAACAGTTTTCTGTTTTAGGACAGAACCACACTCTTCTCCTTACACACTCCTAATTTATTCCTTAAATCACATAGATTACACTGCACCAAAAGACTTTTTTCTTTTCTTTTGAAGGATTGCAGTCTCTTGGGGCAATCTCTCATGGCGGACATGGCAACAGTCCTCCAAGCATATATTTTTAATTGTGCATTCATTCTGATTCGTGCTCAGGATGATATCAGGGCAGTTATATACTGTAGAATCCTGCATTGAATACTTGACATACTGCTTTGTTTCCAATCAATGTACATCCCGATACTTCCTGCATAAATCCTGTAACTTTTTATACCACAATTGTGCTAAGGTTTTGTCCCGCTTTTGGTTCTGTATAGTGGAACAGCATCCCTGCAGAGAGCAAAAATGTAATAACACTGGGGTAGCATTGCAGAAGTGAAATGGTGTGTTGGTGGTCCTGTATAAATCCATCACTAATGCGCTGATATTGCATCAATGAAATGTTGCAGAATACACCTGGGAGTGAGAAACTAGTCTATAAGGGCTCTCTACCATGCTTCTACCATCTCCTTTGATTTTGGCATGGGCAAATATTACATTTTGTGGTGTTGTGCTGGCATAGCTATTGGCACAGCTCAATCTTAAGTGTTTGCATACTAAAATCTGATTTGCAGCAGCAAATCTTGATGAGCATGCTGCTAGATAGGTTGGTAAATGAAACAGGAAATAAGGCTTAATAAATTGAATCATTTCCACCCACCCTACAGCCTCCTTATTTCTTCTCAAAGAAAATCTTCAGAGTCCTTTTTATATCTTAGATTATTTCTTGATGATACTGAAACTCTTAAGGCTATGCCAGCATGAATAATCAAAAATAAGGCACTGTTATAGATCACTGTGGGATGACTCAGCAGCAGTCCTATATTGCAAGGGCAGTTACTTGGAATTTGTCCCAGTTATAGATGCTAAAGCATTTCTATGTAATATCTAATTCCTATAATTTGTAATTTCCTTCCGAAGTCCTTTCAGGCACTACCTTGAATCAAATTAATATTCAGAACACAGACTGCAATTCAGCGGCACGCAGATTGCATGTTTCCAGAGAACCTCTGCATCATGCATTTGGTACTCTAAGCACAGTGATGTGAAGAAAATGTTTTACTGGAATTTCTTGTTCCTCTGCACCTGCTGATTTCATCCCATTTTCACCACCACTGTTATTTACTTCCCCTAGTGTAAATCTGTCCACAATTTCCACCTTTCTTTTCAGCGCAATTCAAATTAATAGCCAAAGTGGTACTGCCAAGAGTATGAACAGCTGTAGATGAGAGAGTTGGTAAGCATTTTATTTTTCTGACCGAATCTGCTCTGCTCTTCAAAATATTACATTGAAATACTGTAAATAACTTTTTAAAAACCCACAGGTAAAAGGTATATGTCTTGATTATTCCCCCTTCCCTCAAATTTCTCAAAATTCTTTCTGCCTATTATGTCTGTATCATCAGTCATCATAAGGCCTGACAGAGGCATGGGGAATCCCAGACTAGGGACCTGAATGCAGCCCCCACCCCATCCTTTATTTCTGGTCCTTTAATCTCTCTCCAGGCCATACATGCACCACTTTGGTCCACACTTTTCTCAGGTGCTTTTGCCTGGCCGGAATGTGTCTTTGAACTATACTAAGGCCTCTTTACTTGATGTCATGTGCTGGCTGGACGCAGAGGAGTAGTGGGAAGCACTACCTGGGGAAACCCCAAGTAAAGAAGGCTCAGAGCGAGCGAAGAAAGTGGAGAGACAATGATGCATGGTCAGAGGGAGAAGAGAGAGCAGACTGGGGGGAGGAGGTGTTAGAAGCTAACGAGGTAACAGGGTTTAGTGAGATGGAAGAATCTGTGGTAGATAGCAGTCCAGAACTGGAGGCAGAAGGGGAGGCTAGAGAGGAAGGGGACTAAGAGACAGCAATGAGTCCGGCTGGTGAGGAAGCCAGGCTGACTCCCCTCCTGCAGTGACCAGCTCCCTTCCCTGAATGTATATGTTGTGGTGGGAGGGGGAGAGGATGTTGAAAAGTTCTGGGTGGGCGTTGGTTTCAACATTCAGTGAGGTTGTGACAGGATAAACAGAGACTTGTACATTCATTTCAAAATGGGATCTGGTATTACTTGAGTTAGTACAGGTTTGTTATAGCTGAGCCATTTCTTTGTTAGGGAGATTAGTTGATATTTTTCCAATGGGACATAATGGTTGGGAAATATTCTGAAGATCAAGAATTAGCTAGCACAACTTTGAAAAAGTGATGCCTACCCGCTGCCAGGGGAGCAGCTGACGTAAGGGTGGGTGGATGCAGTTAGGAAACAAACCAGCTTGGAACAGAGACAAGGAAAGACAGAAGCAAAGAGAGACATCAACTGAAGACTAAGCACATCTTGGGAGTCATCTCTTGCTGAAGAGCTGGTGTAGGATAGCAGGTCTGCTGCTTACTGGGCTTGCTTCCACTTATGATTGTATATTCACAACTAAATATACTAATACAGTGGTACCTCGGGTTAAGTACTTAATTTGTTCCGGAGGTCTGTACTTAACCTGAAACTGTTCTTAACCTGAAGACCACTTTAGCTAATGGGGCCTCCTGCTGCTGCCGCGCTGCTGGAGCACGATTTCTGTTCTCATCCTGAGGCAAAGTTCTTAACCTGAAGCACTATTTCTGGGTTAGCGGAGTCTGTAACCTGAAGCGTATGTAACCCGAGGTACCACTGTATGAAATATTGTACAGATTCAGGCCGCAGCCTTTTTTATCAGGCTTTTAAAAGTTGTAACACTGGCTTCGAAAACTGACACCTTATTAATGTTATTTTGCATTTGAAGGGTTATAACTTAGTGGTAGAGCATATGTTTTGCATGCAAAAGGTTTCGGGTTCAATTCCCAGCTAGAACTGGGAGAGAACCCTGTCTGAAATCCTGGAGAGTTGCTGCCAGTCAGTGTAGATGGTACTGAGCTAGATGGGCCAATGGTCTGACTCAGTATAAGGCAGCATCCTATGCTCCTCGTAATTTGCTTTTAGGTGTGTATGTTTTGTTTTTTGTATGCTGTAACCTTGTTACAAAGGGCAAGATACAGTGTTACCTCAGGTTTAAGTACTTAATTCATTCCGGAGGTCCGTTCTTAACCTGAAACTGTTCTTAACCTGAAGCACCACTTTAGCTAATGGGGCCTCCCAAATAAAACAAATATAGTGCTGCACATTGAAATTAAGAACTCCTGCTAGCTGTGCATGAATGCTGCAATCCACCTGTCTCCTATCACACCGCTGCTCCTAACACACAATATAGACTATTATCATTTCTGTTATTAAATTTGTATACCGCCCTGTATCTGTACAGTGGTACCTCGGGTTAAGTACTTAATTCGTTCCGGAGGTCCGTACTTAACCTGAAACTGTTCTTAACCTGAAGCACCACTTTAGCTAATGGGGCCTCCTGCTGCTGCCGCGCCGCTGGAGCACAATTTCTGTTCGCATCCTGAAGCAAAGTTCTTAACCTGAAGCACTATTTCTGGGTTAGTACTATAACCTGAAGCATATGTAACCTGAAGCATATGTAACCCGAGGTACCACTGTATAAAAATGTAAAAATTATAAGTCCCCTGTGCTCTTTTCCAATGAAAGCTAACCTAGGCAATAGAAAGCTAACCTAGGTAGTATTGCCCTAGGAATTTCTTGCCACTGGTGAAGTGTGCAGGAAGTGTGCATCTATACATTCAGATCTGCGCATTGCTTATGTGTGCATAATTATTTCATTTTAAAGTAAATTCTGGAATTCTTTTAGAAATGTTAAGCAGAACACAAGCAAACAACTATCACTTGGAAAACATCAGGAAACCAAGGCTTACAAATGTTGGATTATGTGTGGAAAGAAAAGTGAACACTTTTAGCTGATGCTCACAAAGCAGGCCCACTGGTAATTCTGGGAACAAAACATAGTGTCTGGACAAACACTGCCATAAAAAGTACTAATGGATTGGAAAGCACAGGGATTTCATTTTGGCAGGCTTTCAAGGTTTAGCTCAGCATCCCAGGCTTATGTGGAACTACCGGTTTCTTTTTGTAGCTGCTTTGACATGTGGTTACATTAAATAGACTCTGTAGCACTTTCCGTCCTTGGAATAGGTTCCAATTGAAGTACATTCTACATTGCTTTTAGTAAACCAAGACCAGTATTGATGTCTTCTGCTGCCATTGTTGTCATGCAAAATAAATATGGAAGAAGGATGATGAGATGCATCCATCCTATCTAATTAGAATAGGAGGCAAAGGCACAGACACCATTCTTAAAGACACTCTGACACCCAAAACTGATAGCACCAGCAATGGTACTGGCCTGCTACTTTGATCCAGCAGAGTTGCTGTCTGTCAAGAGACTGCCAATGTGCAGTCAGGGCATGATCATTACAGTGCAGGTCACATGAGTCACTTGAATGTCATCACCAAATCACAATTCGCCAGCTCATTCTTTTGCATTGGCTCAGCTAACAAATCTAAAGTACACAAGATTCTTGCAGCACTGTGTTTCCTGTAGAATGTAGACTCATGCCATTTTTAGGTGTACAGCTAATGGCTTTTCAAATATTGTTTCAAGGCACAAAGTACGGATGTGACGAAAATCTGTTTGCAAACATATGTATCATAAAGACACACTAACTGGAAAGCTGTAGTTGGTTGCAGCCCTCTCTTGGCTATACATGCAGCAGCAAATATGTCTGGCAACATGAGAAATGGACTTCAGTTTCAATATTAATAATCCCAGTGAAAATTCTACCACACCTAGTTTTATGTGTTCCTGACTGATTTTCATCTGAGTCAAGCCCACACTTTTCCTGGACTGTTCCAAAACTCTTGCAACTATCCTGAGAGTTTCTCCTTAAAGTTCCAGAGATATCAGAACAACATTGCTGTCAAGATACAATAGGCACCCACTATCTGCACTTTTCAGAAACAATGGAAGACACTGTTGTTCTGATAAGCCTTCCTAGCTGGCTGAATACGTCTCTACCATAGGTGTCCATTTTGGATTGATTTTTAACTCCTCTCATTGTTTTTGTACTGTTTTGTAACTGGCTTTTAAATTGTTTTTATTATATGTTATAAATCAACTTGGAACATATGTGGAAGGTAAGATATTTCCATTTATTCAGGCTTTTGGCAGTTAAATTACAATCTGCTGTGGTGTTCATAATAATGTTTCAGGGTACGTTCCTCTTAAGGAAAGAATAAAGGCTTAAGAATTCTGGTTATTTATATTTATTTATTAACTACTTAGATTGCCAACCTAGTTTGGGTATTGCATTAGAGTTACTGGTTCCTGCCCCTCCTGCCCAAATTTATTATATAATGCAGGAAAATTGTGTGACTTGAAAGAAGATTTGGTTTCTGTGCTCAACCTGCTTACAATTTAAAATAGCAGCTTTGGCTTCTTGAATATATTTGTTTAGAAAACATTTGCACTCAAAATCTTCTGGGGATTATCTGCCCTGCAATGCAATGCAGGTGGGCCAGCTGCAGAGCATTAAAAAGCGGAGCACAGATGGGAGGTCTGGCCTCAAAAGGAAGTGGGGAGGGGAGGTAATACCATTTGGGTGGGGATAATCCTGGGTTTAGAAGGTGAGACAGGGTAGGGTTGGTTGGGCAACACAGTGGAAGGTTAGCTAATTACTCAAGCTTTTGGCTGAATTCCTCGAAAATAGCTTACAGTCTTTTGCGTGTTAAGTGTAGTTTCAAAAGTGTGGCGTTGAAATTACTGTCATTTTCTAACTTTAGATACTGGGTGTCCAAAAACAGTAAACAAAGTGTATTTTCACCACCACAACAGCATATCATAGGCGTATTTATTCCTAACCTCCCCTTTTTTATATTTCTTCTGGATGGAAAAGCAACACCGAATTATTACTTTCCCTGCAAGGGAAGCTTTGCAGCTAACCACTCCCATAAGTAGTCAAAAGTTTCAAAAGAAGAGCATTTGTGTGTGAAAAGAATACAGTACTGGATACCTTTAGTGTCTGCAGTAGTATTTGTTTAATTCATAAACATGGTGCTACTTTGCAAAGAAGTCCTCCCCTTCTACGCTATACAGACCTGCCCTTGAAACATACTTTGGGACCGGGTCAAATACATGTTGGCAATGTAAAGAAAAAGAAGGGACTTTTTATCATATGTGGTGGGAATGTAGAGAAGTTAAAAAGGGGGGGGGAATGATATATAATGAATTGAAGAAAATGTTTAAAATGACATTTGTAAAAAAAACCAGAAGCATTTTTGTTAGAGATTGTAGGACGAGACCTGCCAAGGAAAACAAAGAATTTATTTATGTATGCAACAACAGCGGCAAGAGTCTTGATAGCACAAGGATGGAAGAATGAGGAAACCCTGACAAAAGAACAGTGGCAAGAGAAATTGATGAACTATACAGAACTGGCTAAACTGACATACAAACTACGAGATAAGGACAACTGTGACTTTAAAGAAGAATGGGAAATTTTCACAAAGTACTTAAAAAGACAACAAAATGAATTGGACTCCTTGGCAGGTTTTGAATAAACATACACAAATTTATCGATTGATAACATGGTAGACAGATAATGTGAGGATTTGTATAATTTTATAACATGCAGAGAATAATATGGGCTGAGAAATCAGAGAGAGGAGCTAAGGGAAGTCTCGGGGGGGAGGGAGGGTTTGAGGGGGGCTGAAATAATCAATATGATATGTTTTGATATGTTGTTATGTTGAAATTGCTAATAAAAACATTGGGGGGGGGGGGAGAAACATACTTTGGGAAACTGTAGATATAACTGTATAGAAAATTGCCTTAGACTAAGTTGTACGCTGACTGGCATTGGATCTTCAGGTTTTCAGATGGGAATCTTTCTGAGCCCCAGTTGGAAAGGTCAGAGGCTGAACTTTGGACCTTTTGCACACAAAGTATGCACTCTACCCCTGAGCTGCAGACCTTCCAAAGTATACACTGAACATGCATACAAACTGTATGCACACTTTTTCATAAGTTGTGCATGAGGGTCCAGTGCAATCTCCTACACATGCTCAGTATCTCTTCCCAGTGGGATCATAGAAACTGCTTTATTCTGAGTAAGACATTCTGTTCATCTAGTTCAATATTGTCTACACTGACTGGCAGTGATTCTCTAGGATTTCAAACAGGGGTCTCTTCCCAGCCATACCTGAAGAAGTTGAGGAGTTATGCTGGGACCTTTTGCATGCAAAGCACTGAGTCACAGTCCTTCTTTTGGATGTGTGGCTGATGTCACAGTCCTAACATAGTTCCAACGATTAGTTAATCCATGCAAGTAAAGAGGTATAAAGGGGCTGAATCAGGATTATGAAGCTGTATTGACATTACCTGTGTTCGTGTAATGGAGTCTTTAGTGGTTTCACTAAAAGATATGTTTCATTCTGTTCATTTGTTTACGTATTCTGTGAAGGCATTCAGCAAACAATATAAGCTTTAAAACACCTACAGTTCCTCTTTACTTCAATTTTGAACACTGTGAATGTCCAGCACTCATAAAAAACCTATTCTAATAGGATTTGGTTTAAAACCAACATACCTCCCATTCAAAATAAAGAGCACATATAATCCTTTGCATTGTTATGCTTCTCTCTCTAACATGCAAAATACAATATAAATCATGGTTTTGCATGAACAAATATATGCATGGCTTTATGGAATGAATATTATGGTCTCATTGCTTTGCTGCTGGTTGTTCTGCTGCTGCTGCTGCTGCACTACCCATGACTAAACCTTGGTTTGGCTTAGTGTTACATCCAAACATGTGGTTGTGGTTTGTCTCCACCAGACAAAATGCAAGAGGTAAGCAAAGAACAAGCTTTGGTTATGGCTCATGGTTTGTCTGGAACAAGACAAACCACAAACCTGGGTTCAGACATAACACTAAGCCAAACCGTGGTTTAGTCACAGATAGTGCAGCAGCACCAAGGGAGGAGTGCTACATACACAGTCTTCAGTCTGAAAACCCACACATAGTTTGGCTTAACGTGATGAGGAAACCAGATCAATGTATGACATCAGCAAAACAGTTTAAACAAAGAGACCTGAATTAGTTTACTATAGTAGATAAAATAGTCTAGATAAAGTAGCCATACTTGTTCTGATCAATGTATGCCGTAATGTTTGTAGAGCTGTGAATAGTATTCAATTAGTAGGAATGAGATTGGGCAACAAACATCTAGCCAAGCAAGAATAGTGTTCATTCCAAAAACCTTTCTTCAATAGTGAACTCAACTTTTCCCATTCAGGAATTGCAGTTATGTAAACAGCTGCAGCACTGAATTTCCTGTCATGTTTCTCTTGCTGGCACAGGAGCCACATTAGCTAGGGAGTTGGCAACTATAGGTAATATGCATCTAGCCACTTTCTCCATCTTATACCTTCATATGTATGCCTGTATCCATGATTATAGACACCCAGCATTCTGAAATAAAAACTTTTTAAAATATTTGTTATCATTTTCAAATAATAAACATACAACGCAACCTAGAGAAGAAATCACACTTTCACAATCATTATGCGTATCCATATTTTCTAAATAAGAAGTTGCAATTCTCAAAGTGGTTTAACAATCAGTCCCTCTTCCTAGGGAACTCTAGGAATTGCAGGTGTGTGAGGGGAATAGGGATGCCTTCAAAATTCTCAGCACCCTTACCAACTGTAGTTCCCAGGATTCTTTGGGGGAAGCCATGACTGCTGAATTGGCATAATGGTGCTTTAAATGCCTGGTGCAAATGTAGCTTCAGTATTTCGATGGAGACAGTTGCAGCAGAAACTGTGCAGGAGTCTGGGTAATCTCAGGCAAAATTTATTGAACTGAGTTCTCTAATGTGCATATTTTGTTGTGTTTCCCCTGGTGACAGCCACAAATTTAGCATATATGTAGCATTTATTATTATGGAAGTGGAGATCTGTTAACTATCTGTATGACATGCAGGTAATTATTAAAGGGAACCCAAAAATGTGGAAATTCTGCTGATGCTGATCTCATGATTCTGCATTTCAAGCCACCAGATAATAGCAGAGGTGGAGGGAGCAAAATGGGTGTTCTGTGTGGTTTGTGGAGATTGTATTATTAGAATGCTGGGGTGAGGATTAGTTTCACATACTGAATTGCGCAGTTCCTGTATGGTCTTTGCTCTCTGACTCATTACCTTCCTTCAAAGTCGAGGGGTAATATCTCCTTACTTGACAAGCCTGTTATAAAGACAAAAGTCCATTAATGACGGAGGTGCTCAGGTGAGAGTTTGCTTTAAAATTTAACTATTTGGTGGGAAAAGTTGACGTAAAGCAGAGGTGGAACACAGAAGTCACATTCTACTGGTTAATAGACAAAGAAAAACTACTCAAATAAGTATACAGCAAGAGTGTAAAAATGGTCTAAACAAAGACTCCTGACCACAGTGCAGCCAGTCTAAGGGACACAATTTTTCATCTCTTTCCTTCGGAACTTTGGTGCGTCTCCTGCATTCTAGCCACAATGCTTACTTAAAGAACTGCCTGGCATCTTTCTGGAAATCATCACAACTTTAATGCACAAGCTAGGCTGTGTCCATTTATAGTAATACCATCTTCAATAATACCACTGCTGATCTCATGAAAGAAATGCCGCAATGAAAAAGAAAATTGAGTTTGCTTCAGCTCAGATGAACAGAAAAGTTTGCCCTGGGAAGGATTTTTTTAAGAAAAGAAAAAGCAAATAGAAAAGAGGAGATTGGGATCAAATTTCCCCATCGAAAGCAAATGCACTACTGATAGGCTTTTGTTGAGAATAGATTTTTTCTTACATATTTATAAATAAAAGCTCTTAATGTGTAGGGTTTTTTTTCTTCTTCTACAGAATTTGTTTTATTTATTTAGTAAATTATGTACACTTCATCTGAGGATCACAGGGCGGTTTACAATATAAAAACACAAATGTACATAATATAGTAACAAACAAAAAGAGTAATACAACCCTTCCCAGCCATTGTACAGCATATCGCACTGAAATAATATGAAAAGGGTTGCATCTAATATTATAGTCATGCTCTGTTTGGCCTGAAAATCCTGAAATCACAAAACAAGCGTTGTTTCTGGGCTAACTGATCTGTTGTCAACTGTTGTTTGAAATATATAGTGGAATTTGCTGATTAGCTGTATGTGATCATTTAGTGAAATAATCTGAGTTTGGGAGGGAGAAATTAAAATTCTCATACTATAAAGTTATACCTTTCAATGCCTTATAAACCATTAAATGACAAAACAGGTTATATTATAAGCAAGTTTTGTCATGTGACCGTAAAAAGTTATATTTATAACTATAAAAAATAATTCAAGGACCGCTGACTTACAGAAACATCCCCATGCCTTTTGATGTATGTGGAATATTGACTACATAATTTTGGCTCCACATAGGTGTTGGTAACTTTATAAATTTATTAGCAGGGCTTTTAGCACAGGCCTGCTCTTGAGCTTTTCCTGAGGGGGAAGGTGAATTGTGCTTAAAAAGGCAATGTAGCATTAATTCACTGTGACCAAAGGCAGCCCAAGAACTGTTTATCTCACACTGGCTCATATGAAGTAATTTGAATTTAAAGCTAAATATTGCTGTTGCTTAATATTGAGCTTTATGCAGGGCATAAAATGGCCAGAAGTGGCAAGCAACAATTTCATTAACATTGTGTGCGAAGAACATAATAGCTTGGCTGTTTTGATCAACAGGAACCTGTTGTCCAAAAAACCCCCAAACAAACAGGGTGACTTATGGTATTTATTTTGTTCTTATTTCCTACTCCGTCCCAGATTCTCAGGATGGCACCCTGATGATCTCATGTACCAGCCAAACAACTTTGTTGAGGCAAAGATTGCAGGTGACCATTCACTGAGTGACTGGAATTTGGGTATCCATACTGTACACTCCTATCCACTACATCTGGATAATGTACTCCAGATAAATGGGGCACACTTAATTCAAGCCTCTCCTCACTCTCCTCACAGCCCTTTCCCTTTAATGCTGCTGTAGCCAGCATTGCTCATCTGCCACACAGGCAAAATGGCTGGCCTGGGAGAAGGGGCTGAGGTGAATCTGTCACTGTTGCTAAGCGACCGCAAGGCACACTTCCTAGGCACTGCCAAGCTGGCTGTTCAATGCTAGGCCTACCAAGCCACGCGGAAAATGGGGCAGCCATTCTTGTCTCAAGGACTAGCACCACTTGTAGGAGTTTTCTGAGGTAAAATTTCCCCTTGACCACAGGTATTTATATAATATCCTGACCTCAAAGCTTTCAATGCTAAGCATGACGTCCTTATTTCCTTCCAGGTTTAGGCCCTTGGTACAGAAGACATACTTCTGGTGGGACCACCGGTTGTTAGTAAACATCAGCCGTGCAGAATTGAAATTCCGTGCGCAGCTTCCTCGAGGTGAACATTTTTACCTGTGAAATATTGTCAAATGTATTTCCATTCACAGATAATACAGATGGTCCTCGTTACGCTTCTCACTTCTGCTGCCCAGTCACATTTGTACAGTTGCAATCACATCCCCCCTTTCTGTGTAAAGTCGCCACCGTTTTCTCACTAGCCTTGCTCCTCTGGCTTTAATAACATTTGGCAAAGATACTTAGCATGGTGCGGAGACAAAAATGGTGGAAATAGCTTTATGAATTGCTACTGGTCTGCATATCGGGCTACTCTCAAGGCCCAGGACTAGTTCTGATTCATTTCATTTGTTTTTATTTTTCAAAATGACATTCTTATGTATCTTTTCTCCTGCTCTATAATCGTGTTGAAAATGTCTTACTAGGACTCTTAATACATGTGCAGACCGATATTAGGCCTGCTTACTTGGAATTAAGCTCCATTGCTCAATGGGGCTTACTCCCAGGTAACAACACAGTCCTATCTATGCCTACTCTGAAGGAAGTCTTAGGCCTCATCTGCATTATACACTGAAAGCAGTTTCATGCTGCTTTCAGTCACAGCTTCTCTTCCCTCCAAAGTATCCTGGGAACTGTAGTTTGGTAAAGGTGCTGAAAGTTGTTAGGAGGTGCCTATTCCCCTCTCAGAACTACAACTCTTAAGAGTGGTTGTCAACTTTTCCCTTTTCTTGCGAGGAATCCTATTCGGAATAAGGGAATTTCCCTTTAAAAAAGGGAAACGTTGACAGCTTGTCAGCTCCTCTTCCTAAGGAACTCTGGGAATTGTAGTTTTGCGAGGGGAATGTGTGTTTCCTAACAACTCTTGCCACTGTTAACCAACTACAGCTCCCAGGATTGGGGATGGAAAGGAAGCCATGGCTGCTCTAAATGCGTAGTGTGGATGGCGCCCTATTGAAGTCAGTGGGATTTACTCCCAGGCAAGTCGAATTAGAATGGCAACCTGAGCATGCCTAGGGATTCTAGCCTTGGTTTATTTCCAATTAAGTAACTTCAAGCATCACTGCTATAACTTGTACTTTGCTCTCTGGATACATGATGGTCTGGGAAACCTGAACTAATTTAGTGCAGGTTGGTCACTGCTCTCTTACTTGAAGGCTAGGTGGCCTTTTTAAGTCACTGTCTTTAACCCTTCAGCTAAATTGCTGGCAGTCACCCAAGTACATTTCTGGGCAGGGCTGCCAACTTGAATAAAATATTGGAGGGGCAGATAAGCCCCACCCTGCATAATTGTTCACATGACGCTACGTGCACATACTATTTGAATGCCAATGCCCATCAACTGGGGGGGGGGCAAATATTTTATTGGGGGCAGCGAAGGAACCTCGGTCCCTAGGAGTTGGCTCTTATGTTTGCGGTGGGTGGGGAAAGTTTGAAGGACGACAGCTGATATGAAAAGTGCACCACGGAGGCATAAGAAACCATGAAAGAGGATCCTTGAAACGCTGAAAAGAGCAGGAGCAGTTAGAACGATCGGATTCTGCCCCTGTTTGATTCTAAAGGCAGTTCCTTCTTTTGAAGAACGGTTTAAGGTAGCCTGAAGATCAGGAGCAGGATTATCCAGACAGGAGCTGGCTCGTTTCCTTGCAGAATCCGCTCCCCAACTCTCTCCACTCTCTTAATTGCAACGCGAGTTCAGTGCATGCACCAACCCGTGCCTTGATCCCTGTAGCAGATCCCTCCTATCCCCACCTTTAGTGACAGACTGTGGAGCAGGGCTTCCCACCCCGCTCGATTAATTTTTTTCCCTCCCCTCATTTTATTTTTATTTCCCTTCCTCGGTCTCAACCGGTTTTTCTAGCCCAGCCTTCTTCGCATAGGAGCAGGGCTAGGCTGACTCACTGTTTGGAAATGGAGTGGGCGTGTGTGTGAATGTAAGAGAATGAATGATGTCAGGCGAGGCTGTGGCAGGGAGGCAGGGAGAGGGAGGGGACGAGCGGAGAGCATGAAACTGGCTGTAAACACAGCGGCGCCTCCAGAAGCAGCCACGGCCCCGCCAGTCCAGCCTGCCTCGAGGCTCCGTCTCCCAGGAGCCGCCCTCGCGCAGAGGAAACCTCTCCAGCTGTTGCACTGCCGAGGTAACGGTGCGTATGGCATTCGCGTAAAGAGGCTGGGATTAAATAAAGAAGAAGGGGGGGGGGGAGAGAGAGCTGCCTGCAAGGGAAAAGGAAACTTTCTTCTAGCTGTTTCTTCTTGCGGCTCCTAGCCCAGTGGTGGGAGTGCCTGCCTCTAGTTCTGGCCAGAAGGAACTGCAAATGCCAAGGAGCTTGATTGGAGGCTATGCAGGAGACTTTCCTGCTGAGTGCTGGAACGCAGAACTAGTTTGGAGGCTGTTCCCCTCTCCAAATTAAGTAGGTAAGTTCAAGAGCTGGTGCGTCAGCCAAGGGGTTACTTGTGTATATTGGAAGGAACGAAAACTCCATGGCGCCCCCCCCACCTAGAAAAATCTAATGGGGGGATGGGGGAGGTTTGTGGTGCCAAATGTGTGAATGAATCTAACCCAATACTGCTTTTTCTTAAAATGCTTTATATTGCTTCCGAAACTTCTTTATCTCCACCAAAACCTTTTTTATTTTTCTATCTGCTTGACTCCAGTTTTTAATAGGGCAGTCCTTTGCATGTCTGTTCACCAGTAAATCCCACTGAGTTCAATTGGACTTACTCCCAGGGTAGTGCAGGTTGCATCCAAAGCAGAAGGATGTTTCTGGGGACTTAAATAAAAGTTGACTGTATAAGATGGTTTGTTGTAAATATGAAACAAACTGACAAAACATTTCTGGCTCAATTTCATTGCCGTAAAATACATGTATTGTGAAAACTTCAAATGTAGGTAAACTTTTCTTTAGTGAGTCACAATTGCATAGAAGTAGTTTTGAACTTAGTGATGCCCCACTGGTTTTGACTGAGTTTTATTAGAAATGTGTAGAAATGTTCTGTAATTCAGTTTATCTTGAATAGATTTTTAGAGACTTTGGAATAATGTGGTTTTTTAAATGGTAAGGTTGCTTGTACACATCGCATTGTTATACTACATGGTTTATTATCTAAAAGCAGAGGTTAGACCACTGCTGTATGAAATGCAGTTTGGGATGGATTCAGACTCAATCTTGCATAGAATAGAGGCAGAACAATTTGAATCCTCTTTATGTAAGGCTGGGGGTGTTTAATTGGGTGGAGGTGTACCTCTCCCAGCCGCTGTTAGCCAGTTACCTGTGCATCACTCTGCTGGAGTGGAGCTTCCCCACTTCTGTCTGCTGAATGTGATATTTCAGGGGCAGGGCTGAGCCAGCCTTGGATCTGTTGGATCCAGAGCCGGCCCTGCATCTGTGTGACAGCGTTGCGTGCAATTTGGATCTGATTGCTGTACCAGGTCCAGGCCAGTGTTGTGGTCCATCTTCCACCTCAACTACCATGCATAGCAGGGCTGCAATGTAGTTGAGCCCACTGCTCTGTAAAATCCAACCAGGGGTGGAAGGAGTTTACCTTGCACCATAAGGTTGTTGTGTCCAAATGAAGTTTCATTGAATTTAATGGGTTTATGCTAAGCATGATTGAGCCTGGCTCCCATTATTGTTTTAAAACAATTTTTTTTCGGCTTGCAAACAAAACAATGTGTTTTCCATATTCCCATTGTTTTGCTTAGTAAGATTACGTTTGGTAAGTCTGTTTCATGGATGTAGAAAGTCTTGTTAATAAAAGATAAATGTCTCCCCCCCCCACCACAAAAAAGTGGCCTCATAGTCTTTCTGTCAGCTGTGTAGTGGGTACTATAAGCACAAATGTTTGCAAATAACTGCTTAAAGTTACAGTACTTGTATTCTTGAGTATTTCGCTTGAGGGATATGGTATAGAGATAGCAGCAGGTTTTTAGATATAGGTTTTAAATCTAAAACTTATTTGGAAGTGAAGGGTATTGACAACAGGCCTGTCTCTCAGCCCCACTCACCTCACAGAGTGTTTGTTGTGGGGGAGGAAGGGAAAGGAGATTGTGAGCCGCTTTGAGACTCCTTAAAGGGAGTGAAAGGCGGGATATCAAATCCAAACTCTTCTTCTTTAAAGTAAACAAATTTAGTATTCAGATGTATTACTTTTTAAGGTAGCTTCCATCTGGTTGCAACCCAAAGCCATTCAATCCTGAGTAATCTTATAGATTACTCTGTAATGTTTGGAGGATTACACATAGATACTGAATGAGGAAGACTAGGCAGGAAAAGAAGACAATCTATAACTAGCAAATATGTGACCTGTTACTTTGATGAGTTTACAGTTGTCAGTCTGTTCCCAGAAGACATCTATCTTTCTTTCTTTCTTTCAATCAGTCATTGAAAGTACACTCCTGCCTGCCACATTCTTGAATCAGGCTGAGAAATCAGTCTCTCTCTGACCGTAAAAGTCTTTATGATCAGTTCACAAACTTCATTTAAATAAATTAAAATATCATAAGAATCCTAATTATACTTTGATTGCTTTGTTTTGTATTCCAGCCTATAATCCCTTGAGCACTTGATACTGAAAGATTTTTGCAACTCTTCAACATACGTATTCTTAATCAACATTTCTCATCATTATACATCATTTGGGGTTTAAACTTTTAATGGCCACATATTGAAATCTCTCATTTCCTTCAGATTATATGTATATCATGTGAAACTGTTGCATGTAGTAATTTGCATCCAAAGAACCATGAGCAAAAGTCAATTAGCTACTAGCAGTTCTCCACGAATGCTTGTCCAAGCATTCATTTAGTGCTACAGTAGGTAGATTCCTCTCAAGCTTCAGCAAGTAACAGAACATCTTTGAGTTTATAATAATGTGAGCAGAAGAAACTTTCTGCATCCAACTCAATGCTTTCTGGATTCTTAACTATAGTAGAAAATTGTTTGTTGTCCATTCACATAATTAATTATATTGATATTTGAACAAAATTAAGAAAGCAGATATCTAACAAGCATTTCTTTTCAACGTATTTAATCCTATTAAAACACAAGTATGTCTATAGTTAAATCTTGAAAGAGGAAAGCATGATAGTTTGCATACTTCATTATAAAAGGTAAAGGGTAAAGGGACCCCTGACCATTAGGTCCAGTTGTGGCCGACTCTGGGGTTGTGGCGCTCATCTCGCTTTATTGGCCGAGGGAGCCAGCGTACAGCTTCCGGGTCATGTGGCCAGCATGACTAAGCCGCTTCTGGCGAACCAGAGCAGCGCACGGAAATGCCATTTACCTTCCCGCCGGAGCGGTACCTATTTATCCACAAGCACTTTGACGTGCTTTCGAACAGCTAGGTTGGCAGGAGCAAGGACTGAGCAACGGGAGCTCACCCCGTCGCAGGGATTTGAACTGTTGACCTTCTGATCGGCAAGCCCTAGGCTCTGTGGTTTAACCTACAGCACCACCCGCGTCCCATACTTCATTATAGATGGGATATAATTTGCACTCTAAGCCATTTTTTAACTGCAGTTATTTCCTTAGGGAGGTATCTTGAAGCATAAAACAGTTGAGAATTTTGGTTTACATTTTTAGTAACTGTTACGTTTATATTAAAGTTTGTGACTGCAATGGTTGCTAGCTTTAAGGTCTCTTTTTCTGTAAATAAATCTTAAGACCCCAGTTCCATCTACAGTCAAGGTTGTTTTATGGAACAGCATGCATCTTCTAGTTTAAGAATTGCCATGTAGGTGTTTGCCTCTCATTTCCTTCTCCTTACAATACTCTCCTTGATTTTGATTCAGTTTCTGTATTGGGCAAAAAAAGAGCACAGCTACATCCATTTTCACATTGCAAAACAAGGATAAGTTTGTGTATATGAAATTGTAACATGAGAAGCAGCCCTTAATGGCTGTAACCACTGAGAATAATCATATTTACAAAAATGGGAGTACTCTGGAGTAAGTGGTTTGAAGACTGCAGCCAAGTAGACACTTTAATGTTCTAGGGCTGCCATCACCAACTGCTCAAAAAGAATGTGAGCAGAAAACCACCTTTGCCAACTTCTGCATTCCTCTATTGGTGTCCTCTGCATGTTTGCAATCTATGTTACAAACGGATGTATATTAATGGACTTTGCTTGTCTACAGGATTGAATGTGGACTTTCCCTTTTCTATGATTTACTCTAGCTTATGAATTATATTTTTATAGGCTATTATTTTTATTTAATTTGTTTTATTTGCAAAATATTTATGGTAAGTATTAGCTTGTCTAATTTGCATTTAGGTAAGATAGTCTTTACACAATATTTTTAGCACTATATAAATGTGGGTACCATAACACTTCATTTTAATATGGATACAGAACAGCTATATGCCAAGCAGATGCTGGAAGAATGGCTCTTAACAGAGACATTGCTGTCTTTGCAGATCTCAGCCTGTTAGGAGGCTTATTGTACCATGGACACTACTGTCCCAGATTATTCCAAAGGGCATTAAGAATCACAGACAGTACTGTCCCAGCAGATGCTGTGAGATTTATTTAGGAACTAAAACAGGCATTGATGGGAAAGTTTCTGCAAGACAGATGAACTACTGTTTCCTCAGATGTGCATCTGCTCAGAGAACTGTTTAACTATACTGGCCATGAGCTGAAACTTGGGCAAAGTCATGCCATTGACCTTGGTGGGATCTGCTTTTGAGTAAATATGCATAGGATTGGGCTGGTAATAATAAAATAATAACAATTTATTATTATTATTATTATTATTATTATTATTATTCCACCCATCTGACTGGGTTGCCTTAACTACTCTGGGCGGCTTCCAACAACTTAAAACACAGTAAGACATCAAACATTAAAAACTTCCCTATACAGTGGTACCTCTGATTATGAACTTAATTCGTTCCGAAGGTCCGTTCTTAACCTGAAACCGTTCTTAACTTCAGGTACCACTTTAGCTAATGGGGCCTCCCGCTGCCGCTGCACTGCCAGCACACGATTTCTGTTCTCATCCTGAGGTAACGTTCTTAACCCAAGATACTACTTCCGGGTTAGTGGAGTCTGTAACCCGAAGTGTTTGTAACCCAAGATACCACTGTAAAGGGCTGCCTTCAGATTTCTTCTAAAAGTCAGATAGTTGTTTATTTCCTTGATGTCTGATGGGACGGCATTCCACGGGGAGAGTGTGACTACCGAGAAGGCAGCAGTCCTATACAGTGGTACCTTGGTTTAAGAACAGCTTAGTTTATGAAAAACTTGGATTAAGAACACTGCAAACCCAGAAGTAGGTGTTTCGGTTTGTGAACTTTGCCTTGGAAGCAGAACATGTTCCGCTTCCTGTTGAGTGTAAATTGAGTCCCCCACAGCTATGGGAAAGCATGCCTTGGTTTAAGAACGCTTTGGTTTAATAATGGACTTCCGGAATGGAGTAAGTTCGTAAACCAAGGTACCACATTTGGGAGTAAGGCCCATTCAACTTTATGGGACTTATTCCCATATACAGGATTGAGCTACACTGCAGTTCAACTTATTTGAAAGTACATTCCAATTGAAATCAGTTGGATTTACCGGTTCATCTGACCTATGTAAAATATTTGGCTTTTGAAAATGTAATTGTACCGTCTTGCTATTTTTTGCACATTTCCCAGTTAAGTAGAGAAAAATAAAATAAAACATGGATTGTAAGATAGTAAAAATACATGTTTCTTGGTTAATGTGTATACTATGGTTATCCTGTTCAGAAAAACTGGGAGAGAAAAACCGAACAGATAATTGGCTGAACATGTGCCAACACTCTGGTTTTGTTTCTTCCTGTCACAGCACAAAGGGTGGGAACAGTTGAATAGCTGCTCATTCATGGTAAATTGTGGTTAATAGCTTATCTTTGCATGCAAGAGTGGTTAATGACTGCATAGATATGTGGCATCATACTGCATAACCGATGCTGCCTGAATGAAGGCAATAACATGTTGGAGAGAAGTGCATGGTAGCAGTTATTGCTATAGAATTTTTGTTTTCAAGTTTAGTTGTTCTGTATATAGTCATTTTTTTAATTAAAAAAACTTAATTTAGGTGAACCACCCATACTTTATTAGTTGTCCAAGATTACAAGGCCTATTATAGCACACTTCTGGGCTTTTTATTTCAAGTTTTTAATGGTAGGTAACTTTTTGGAATGCACATTGCTGTGGCTAGTATATATTATATGTCAGTAGGTACTAGACAGAAGATAAAAGTGATTTGGTGCCAGTGCAAAGGACTCTGTCTTTCTCTTTAAACAAAACCAGGGGAATGCCAGTTTTTCTGAGTCACTGAAATCGTAGTAAAATTATATGGAAATACTGTATGTTAGACACATACAGAACAGAGGTGAAGGGACTGTAACAGAAGACTAGTAAGAAAGGTCACGGTGTGGGTTAGCTAATAAACTTTAGTTCAGATAAAGTATATAGTATAGATCAGGGTCAGCAATGTTTTCTGAGGCCAGTCCGGTCCACTCCCTGGCAGACCTCTTGGTGGGCCAGAGCGTGCGCGCCCACTTGTGCTCTCAGGCTATTTCTGTTACTCTTCTGGGTTGGAAGAGCGCCAGAAATAGCGTGTGCGCAGCTGAGTGGGAGGAGGCAGGCAGAACCCTCAGAGGCCCCAAGGAGCATCCTGCCCTGGCTGGCCCCGCCCATATGGACAGCTGGCCCCGCCCCTGGGTGCAGGGCATGCGTGTTGCCCCAGGTGCCTGATCAGCTTGCTCTGCCACTGTCTCACACAGGTACAATCCTATGCTCACATAGATTTGTACAGTACACTAAATCTGCTGCTGTTTAGGCCCGGTTCCACTTCATGGCTGCTTTGAAAATAGGAATTGTAAAAGGAAATGCTACCTGCATATGTTGTGAACCACCCTGTGATCTTCAGATGAAGGGAGGTATACAAATTTAATAAATCATAATAAAGTAATAATTATACTGTCCATGGCTGTGCATCCAAGCATGGAGATCCATACACTTTACAATATCTTTGAGCAAATTGTGGATGAATGTGGATGACACATCTGCTGAGGACTTGCATACATGTTAAACAGTTATTGTGTCCTAATCTTAAATATAATAGACAGAAAAGCGTTCACCGGTGTTATAAGTTTGTGGCTAGGCAATACTATCCTAAAATATCTGGATACAGTAAAGGGTTAGAATTTAAGCCACCCCTATATTCCAAGGTCTAGTGGGGGCTGGAGTTTAAACCAGTTTTTCTGTGTCCAGGAAACAGCCTGGCAAGAGAACCATCAAGAAATAATAACTGGAATGGTTGGGCCTTTTAGGAAGACCATTAACAGAGACTCTCTGGGTCAGAGAGAAACTGGGAAAGCTTCTCCATGAGATGAGAAAGTTAACAAAAAAAAAGGCCAGAGTTTTAGGAGGGAAGGGCAAAATTGCAGTGGGAGATGAGGTAATCGAATTGGAAAAAGTCCCTTTTGCAAGCTGGAGGGGGGGTGGTGCAGAGCATGATGTGGGCAGTCTGTTTTATGCTGCAGAGAAGATCAGACATGATGTTTGGGGTCTCTTGGAATCCAATGCTGCAGCAATAGGAGGAACAAGACCCTCTTGGGGTGTGAATTCTCTGCCCTCTCTCCATCTAGGTCCAGGTTGTATACATGTGTAAATAAATCATATCATAAAGACATCACAGTCTCCACTGTGTCTCTTTGTTCCAAAAGGAAACACAGAGCCTGGTAAGCGTGCTGGTACTTCTAGAATCTCGCACTGCTCAGAGATTGGGTTGCCTTGTAACAATATGAAGTGGGGGGGGGATATGGAAGAAATCACAGGGGGAAAATGGGTATCATTGAATTATTATCCAAAAATAAAAATTAAAAATTGGCAAAATGTTGTTGGACAGACAAAACATTTCCCCCCAAGGAACAATAATCTGGATTAGTGAAATCCATTTTTTCAAGATAGCTATATTTTCCGATCAGTATTCTTAACTTGTAGTCCTGTAGATTACCCCTATTTGTTTTGTTGTAGTGCAGCCTGAGGTTGTTTCATGAGGCCAACAGTCTTATTCTTAGATGCTCTTTATTATGTCAGCTGTGGATCATAACAAATAGGCTTAATCAGTATTGGACTGTTGTTTGTTATGTGAGCGCCCCTAGATTTAGAAGTAAGTCTTATTGACCGAGGAAATAATGTTTCTATTTCTTGTCATTAAATCTAAGTTTGCTTAGTCTCTATGGATGTTGTCAGTAATTGTGGTTCATCCTCCTTTAGCCTGCGGGATCAGGCCAAATGCCCGTCTCATTCAGCAGTCTTCTCTCACATTGGCCAAACAGATGCCCTTGGGTAGATGCCCAGAAGCAGAACCAGAGCTCAACAGCACTCTCCTCACCTGCAACTCCCAACAACAGCCACACAGAGGTATAGTGCCTCAAATAGTGAAGGTAGAACCTCAAACATTAATATGCTGTGCTACGAGTATCACTGTGGTGTAGTGTTGGACTAGGACTGGAGAGATCAGGTGACCTAGGGGAAAATGTATCTCAGCCTACCATTACAGGATTGTTGTGAGGATAAATTGAAGATACGGAGAACCATGTATGCCCTTTTGTGCGCTTTTTAGAGGAAAGCTGGGATACAAATATAAATAAACAAACTATTATTTGTTGTGAATGAGCTTCATACCCCACCCCTTTTTGTGTGGCATTGGAGATGAGTTTCGAAACTTCTGCTTCTGTTTTTCTTTAAATATAGCTTGTTGTGTCATCTGGTTAATATTAACTTCTTTCAGAGAAATGACAGTTAACATTAACCACAGTTAGCCAGTTGACAAGAAGCTGGGTAAGCAGAAACCTCCAAACTCCTCACAACTGCACTAGAGCAAAGAGGGTAAGTAGATTGTGAGCCTGAGGTTCACCTGGGCTTATTTGTGTCAAACTAAAAATATAGTTTAGTGTGATGCTTGAACACAGCCAATAAAATAAAATGTTTTGAGCATTTTTAGTAAAGTGAGAATTGAGTGGTGGAGCAATGTTGTGGTGTAAGGAGAGTCTGATTGTTGAGTGACTGTGTATGTGGAGGTTGTGTATTTAGATTTGGGTAGTGTGAATCTGTATGTAAGTGATTTTGTTGACCGTATTATTATTTTTAAAGTTCATGAGATTGTTTAGATGCTATATACTTGTGCAGCATTTTTATGTATGTTCTGTCATCAGAGCCAGCCCACCCATGAGGCAGGGTGGTCTCAGGTGGCAGAAAGCATAAGTGGCAACATCACCACTGGAATGTGCCTCTTGGTGAGAGGAATGCTTTCTGGCGTGCAGCATTCTTATCTTCCCCAGCCCTGGGGCAGAGCAGACAAGCAGCAAGACCTTGACCTTGCAGAACACCCTCCACAGTTCTGTTTTGTTGCGGACGGAGGGTGTTCTAACAGTGGGGCAAACAGGCTTACACATGACAGTTAATTACACATGCTCATCTAGCTAGGGATGTAGATGGCATCCTGCTTCCATATGCATAGTGCCTTTAATTAAGCTGGGGAAACTACATTGTTTCTGTATTATGGTGGTAATACCATATTATAAATGTTATAGTGGGTCAAAGTTCTTCATCCACAGTTCCTTTTCGCCTTTATCTTTATTTAAACACCAGTCCACAATTACACAGCATTATTTGAGATTGTTTTCTGCTTTAGTACTCTGATTGTATGCATGCCTGTATGAAAGCCAGGCATGGCATCTAGAATCACTTGGACATGTGCGAATCCACAATTTTAGCCTGTGCTTTGTTTTTGAAAGACTGATTTTTTTAAATAAAAAACCCCTGCTATCTTAGATATAGCTGTCAAGGAGCAATAGGGCTGAAATGGTCATTTAAAAATCCAGCAAAACTGACAAGAGTTGTGGCCCAGGACATACCTCTTCCTCATCATGAAATGCTTTTCTAATATACTGACTGGGCTTTTGATGTTCCTTTCTATGATAATGAGGTAATTAGAATTTTACTTTTTTTAAAAAAAAATGTAGTTGCTAATAATTCCAGAAAGCAGCTAGATCACAGTTGTCTATTTTTCTGTCAGGCAAGTGATAGTGATTCTCGATTATAGAGATAAATGGGTTAGGATTGTCTAATGTTGCTTCTGAATAACCGGGACCTCACTGATGTATGTTGCAATCATTTTACTGGTGAATAATAGTGTTAATGTGCCAGTTACTATGGTAAAAGGTAAAGGACCCCTGGATGGTTTAGTCCAGTCAAAGGCAACTATGACACATAATATAACATATTTCAGTGTGAGTTTTTAACTGTGTTAATAGAAACCTCTTTAACTTAGACTTTTTTGGGTAAAGCCAGACTGTCAAATGAGTATCATGCACACCTTTATTTGTGCTCGTATTTACATTGGTCTAGCTATGGCGATTGGGACCATTTTGGTGTTATACAAAGGTTAAAAAGCCACCCATCCCAACTTCAGTGGGCCAACAGCAGAAAATAAGAGGCTGGCTATAATAAATGATATATGAAGTCCTGATACCATACTGTTTGCTGTGCACCAATTGCTGAAACCTTTGATCACTAGTGTTGTATGGCTGATGCTTCAAGGAAGTGTTTTTGTTAACATTATTCACATAAATGGGAAATAGTAGGTGAAGTGCCATAGCTCTGTGATAGAGCACATACTTGGAAGGCATAAAATCTTCATTCAATCCCTGGTACTTCCAGTTAGAATGATCATGGGTAGCAGGAGATGGGCACTGCTGTCTGAGACCATAGAGAGCTGGTGTCAGTCAAAGTTGACACTGGTTGTATTTAGGTATCATGCTGAACCATAGTTTATCTTGATGAGAATGACCCTAGATGATCCTTAAATTCCAGGGCTTTCTAACTCCCTCTCCTCTTCCAGTGTGACTACAATGAAGTGATTGGAAGCTTTCATTTATCAGTTTAGCATTACATCTGACTCCTAAATTGTGGTTAATTTTGACTGTGGTTTGTTTGAAACAAGGCAACTTCATAAACCACAGTTTGAAGTTAGCTTAATTTAAACAAACCATAGTTTAGATTTTAACCACAGCATTTCAAACAGCATTCTTTCCCAGCCCTGCATAGAGATGCTAGAAATTGAACCTTGAATCTTCTATATGCAAAGCATGTGGTAATTTTCTATTTCATACATTGGATCTTATCCTTCCTACAAGAAACTTAGGGGAATTCTAGTGTCCTAGCAACTTTATGAAATGGGTTTGGCTGAGAAAAAGTAACTTGATCTAGGAGCACTTACCCCTGGGTTTTTTAGAGGCTGACAGCAAGAAAATACTGCTTTGAAGTGTTCAAGGAAAAAGCTAAGGGGATCAATGAGAAGCAAAGTATTTATTTCACATAGTTGATACTACAGTTGAAAACATATTGATGGAAAACATCATTACTAACAGACCATTAAAATGAAACATTGACTAACGTAAGAAAGAATCTGAAATGTAAGGCTTCTGATGAAAATTACCACCTACCAAATCTCTGCTCAGCAAAAGTTCTGAATAGGAATTTTTACACATCTGAATTACGATTACATCATAAACAGTTCCAACTTTGCTCTGAGTTGCCTCAGAATCTTTCTGAGTACTTGTACAGCTCAGCCACTATGTAAAACTGTTGAGCATGAACTGGTTATGATGGCATTTCAAAGTGTCACTTGGGACATTGTATTGTACCTAGGATTTGGATCAAAGAACATCTTAAATAGTCAGGTCAGAAGGAAAAGTAGGATGTTTTTCCCTTTTAAGCTTTTTGGACTTTCTTTAAACTTGTATGTATGTTTACTGATTCCCAACCTAATGCATAGCCTACAGTGATTGGGCCACATAGATCTGCTGAAATTCTGCTGTGCAGCCTGCTGAATCCTCTTTTAATAAGTATACTTAGTTTCTTTTCTTCTTTCTCCTCACCCCAAAGGAATTACATTCCTCTTTGATTATATGATGGCAGAAATATTTGGTATGATGTCAGTGGCAAAGAACATCACCTTCTGTTGACTGCTCACCTTTTTGTTGTTGTTGGCATCTGTCTGTCTCAAGAGACTATGGAAGAGTGTCTCATCAGGGGTAAAGGCAAACCATTGGAGAGTTACATCGTCTGCTGTGGGTGTAGAGACCAATACACAAGAGACATGTTTTATTGCAGCTGGGGCAGATGAAGGCTTCTGGTTTTGCTAATGCAGATGCACCGTGGCATTTCTTCTCTCTGCACTCCTCCTAGCTTCTGTGGTCATTGCTGTGGCTACATATCTTGACTGTTGCAAAGTACCAGTATTTGACTGTAGGTACTGGCCTGCTAGAGGTGTTAAGAAGTATGTGCTATGCATTATCAAATTGTGATTTTTTTGCTCCCCCCTTTCTACTTTAAAAAGATAAAAGCAATACATTTTTTGGGTATAAGGCAAGTGCACACAGGAACAAGTGTCACCAATGTTACACTAGCAAACTCACAACCTGAAACTCATCAGAGGTCTAAACTTTCCTGGCCTTTAGTGACATCTTTGCCATGGAGATCATATTGTGTAGAAAGATGAGGGGGAAATACTTGATAGAAATGTGGGAAATGTCTGTGCTGGCAATTTTTGCAGTGCTAATACTAGTTTCTCTTTAGTTGTTGTTGCTTTTTAAAGTTGATGAATATTTCATGCCTCAACTGGTTTGTTTATTTATTGCATTTATATATTACTTATCTGCCAGTGCACTGAAGGCAGCTTCAGTACAGCTATACAGCCTAACAGACGCAGTGCAAAAAGAAATGGGTGGGGATGGAAAGGGGGAAATAGAATTGATACCTAAATTTGGTTATGTAATGTTGCATAGTTGCTGTTATGAATCATGACCAAGTGGAATGACCCATGAGACATTTGTGGGAAAGGAGGAGCCAGATAGCAACCAGTCTTAACTGAGTTATGTTTCACATTTGCCTCTTATACTGTACTTCCAGTAGTATCAACAGTGACCTCTTAATGCAGAAGAGAGTTATGTTTTCTATGCCTGTGCCTTACTTTACACTTCATTTGTTCTTCTAGCGCCAGGCATGCATGAATACAGAAAGTGTAGCAGCTTTGAATATAGACATAATATTGCAACAAACAAGTTAAGAAAAAAGGTCCAGTGTGTAGATAAAGGGCATACCTGCAGGGTGACCAGTTATGTATCAGCAAAAAGGATAGACACAACCAAGCTGAGGACATAGAGTTGCATATGCTCATTTGTGAGCAAATGTTAGAGATAATTACTAACATTTAAATTTTACCTAAGAAACCCAATTATTTTCCCATCCAAATCATCCCCAGCATATTATTCAATTTATATGCTCCCCAGATCGCCAGCATTGGTTCATCCTTAATTTACCACCCAGATGATCCAGGTTCTGCTCCAAAATAAAATTTCCTTTAATTACTGCCTATTAATCAATCGTTTTATCACTACCCCCTCCCCAAATTTAATCAAACAAAATAAATAGGGTGTACTGGCAGTAGAGCATGATTCCCTTTACTCGGTGGCAGATTCTTACTATGGATAAGGTGTCTGGCAGTGTTTTTTCTTTCTTTTAACTTAAACCAAAAACAAGCTGCATGTGTGAACTCAAACTCCAAATGTGGAGGGAGGTAACCAAAGTCATTTCCTCTTCCTTGTAGAGATACTATATGAGAGGAAATGTATATTCCTTTTTCCATAGTGTTCATAAGAACAACATTGCTTTGCCTTTCACAGGGGCATTAGTTTCTGTTGTAGCTCAAGAGCCAGCCAGCCAACAATTGTAGCTGTTGTGTTTGACTTTAATAGTAGAAGGAAAGATGGACCACTTCATATCTCATCCTGTATGTCTGGTACCAAATGGACAAAGGCCATCTTAAATCGAATTTTGTCCTCCATAAGTGTTTTTTTCAGAGGAAGATAAGGGATTTAGATTTTTGCAGGAAATAACTCGTTTCTTGAATAAAGAGTGCTAAATTACAAGCAAGTTTTGTTTAAATTTTAGGAAATTTTAGGAAATGATTAAATAAAAATACAGCCGTACCTTGGTTCTCGAACAGAATCCATTCCAGAAGTCTGTTTGACGTTCAAAAACCAAGGCACGACTTTCGATTGGCTTCAGAAGCTTCCTGCACTCAGTCGGAAGCTGCGGAAGCCGTGTCAGACATTCGGCTTCCAAAAAAGGTTCGCAAACCGGAACACTTCTGGGTTTGTGGTGTTCGGGAGCCAAAACGTTTGAGTCACACATCAGCATAGTTTGTGTAGCTACTTCCTGTCACACAAAATAATAAATCGTGTCGGGAATGGCAAGAGTAATCTAGGTATCTTTGGATTTAATTTTTAACTACTATAGTTGTTCTTGCCATCCCTTTATATTTATGTACCAATGCTAAAACTTTTCACTATGGACAAGGAGTCTATATTTTCAAGAAATGGAAAGAGAGACTACAGTAAAACTATAGTAAAGCTTCTTAACTTAAAATGTAACTGTATTTCTTTATCTCCATGTTTTAGTCGCTATGTATTCTGTGGTAACATCTTGCCTCATTTAGGAACAAATTACAGTTAGGTATCAACTCTTATATAATTAATACACAAATATTCCAGATTCCTATGTCACTTGACAACCTCTCATGGTGATAATAAATATAAATGACACATCCTAAATATAGCTGAGCCACTTCTTCTTGGTGGGGCATGTGACTAATTACACTTTTCCTTTTGCTGACTGTTGACTCACACTTTTTAGCTGGGTAAAGGAAAGTACATATTACTCACTCTCTCTCTTTTAATGCCTGTGACTAAACTTTGGGCTTGTCCACATCAAACTTTACTGTGTGTTTGCAGCTGTTTGCATTCCCATTTAATTTGCATAGTCCACATCACATTACCCTCAAACACCAGTCTCTGTAAATTCAGGTTTACCTGATATGAGGATAATCCAATAATTCCAATCCACTTGGGGCCCCAAATGGTTGTGGAGAATACTTTATCATAGAATCACAGAATTCCATAATTTGGAAGGTACCACAAGGGTCTAGTCCCGTGGTTCCCAACATGGGGCACATGCCCCACAGGAGGGCAATTAGAGCTTGTTTAGACCAAGTTAATGGCCTTTTAGGCTTCCTCCACGTGAATAGGAGTTCACTTTTGATTAATAAGAATTATATATCATTGGGCGGGGGGCATCAGGATTTTACAGATGCTTAGGTGGGGCATGACCAAAAGAAGGTTGGGAACCACTGATCTAGTCCAACCCAGATGGACAGTTATTTTTACTAAGTATGATAATTATGGAGTTCATCCCCACCCTGAACTGACTTCTTCTCTATTCCAGTGCACAAGCTAAGAGTTGACTCTACATCCCAACTTGCTTCATCCTTCATCCTCAACATGCTTTGCTTATAATGTATTGTGTTTATAATGCAGTGCTTGAAACTATGGTGATAATGGGTCACTGTGTTTTGCTCTTGCTCATAAAAGAAGCAATCATTTGTCTAATAAGCTTTATGCCTAATGTTTATAAATGATATTGCAAAGTAAAGTGCTTGATTTGAGAAAAGCTTGCTGTCTGCCTTGATTTGATGGTTCTCTCCTGTGTCTTGAAAGCTATACTTGGAGATCAGCCTTTTGGCCTGAAATAGCCTATGGCCAAAGCAAAAGCATAATACAATTGTATTCTGGTTCTTTATGACTGAGTATCTTAAAAGACATTGCCAGTTTTGTACACTAGCCAGTGGATATAAAAAACCTGGTAAAATCATTTTGTACAGTACAACACAAGGATGTAACAAATCCAATTAAGGATGACTTTAAGCTATGCTATTGGGGAAACCGCAGGTTGTGCTGCAGAGTTATGAAGGATGTAGAATGCATTATTAAATATCACAATAGGGATAAGATATCCAAAGAGAAGCACTACTGGACATTAAACTATCTCCTTTCAGTATATGTTCATTTACTGAAGCAGTGAAGTTTATCTTCTCATTTTGAAAACAGCTTAAACTGAACTGCATTTGAGTTTTAATAGTAGGCATTCCTTACTTTGATATTCTGGTTTGTATGGAGCCCTGACATCAGTTTCCTCATTCCAATGTCATGGGAAATTCTGTTGTGTTTGATTTTGATTTTTGATTTTGTTTTGTTTCGTTTGCTGTCGGAGGAAGAAGAAAAAGGTGAGGCAAGAAAGGAGTGCAGAGACACACTAGTTCCTACTGTTTTAGGGACTTAGCTGCACATTTGTGTAGGGTTCTTAGTTTTTTCCCCTCCCAAAGATATCTCATAAGGCAGCGGAGTTTGCTGAAGGGGCAACAGGGTTTAGTGAGCAGGGAGAGCCAGTGACAAGGAGCAGTTCTAATAAACTTGAATTCTGGAAGGAGAAGCAGGAGCCAGTTTTCTTTAAATAAATAATCATGCACAATCAATATAGTAGACTTTCTCCCAATTCACATCTTTTATGTGGGCACTGTATCCTGGATCACTCTTTCTCAAACTTACAGGTTATATACATGAACATACTTGTTTCTTTCTATACATACAGATGAGATGCCGGGGGGGGGAGGTGATTAAGCTGCTACTTGGAAGGCAAACATATTTCACACAAATTATTGTAATCTAAAGCAGTATTTCTCAAACACCTAATAATTAGTTTATCGTTCTCTCTTTTTTCTGGGTTAAAATTGAAGGCACGCTTAATTCTTGCATTCAAAGACATATGTATGTATTTTCTAAACCCATTTCCTAAAACAATGTGTAGGCATCCTCCTTTCTAGTTCAGGGTAGTCTGTAATACTTGATCCTGTTGCAGAACAAGGCATCAGATTTCCTATACCCCAACCCATATAAATAAGAGACCAATAAGACTGGATTTTGGATAAAAACAGGCCACAACTTTATTGAATACAGATGAAAGAGGTTTGACTTGGGCATGGGGCAATCTAAACACTTCTGGCCCGCCTGCTGGAAGCGACGTGTGGACAATCCAGGTGGGGGTTCCTAAGACTTACATCAAATAAGGTGTTCCCATCAAATAGGGTGGACATGGCCACTCCCCCCGATCCCTTTAACAGGATACCCCAGCGTTTGGAGGGGCAGGCGGGGACTACAACCTCCCCTCCATCCAAAACAAGGGATTGCCCCAATGTTCAACTATTACTCAGTTTGAACCTAGGTATCAGCTGATATTTCTAGGACCCTCCCATGTCTGTTAGCTATAGTGTGACCTGCCTCAACAAATTCTTGCATTCCCCTCCTTTACATGATATTCCTTTGTTGCCTTTAATACTGACAATAGGAAAATGTTCCACAATACCTTTTGGTTCCGAAGGGCATAGAATTATATCTAATATATTGGCTTAACTTTCAAAGCACACTTCAGCCTTTCTTGTGGCAATGACTTGACCAACCAATGCTAGTCTAACCATAGTTTACAGCACCACGTAAATAGAAAACTTAGATTTTGCTTACTGTCCATAAAAATATAGTCATCATACGTTAAGGTTTTAGAACATTAGAAGCCAATATCTGCCTGTTTGTTCATTCAAACTTGCACTTTGTGTTTTGAATGATCTTCATTTTCATTTTATTTTTAACTTCATTTGGATTTACAGTTACTGTACTGACTGCATTATTTCTAAAGGAGTGATATTGTATTGACAGATTCTTTTGTTTACACTGTTGTGAAAACAAAGGTGAGCCAGAACAAATAAACTTCAGTGACTAGAATGTTCAGGACTCATTCCTTTGACTGCTTACTTGGTTGTGTATTGTTCCTGGTGATCTTGACCCAACTGCTTTCAGTGTTTGGAGCATACAAATTACTTGGTTTCTAATGGCTACAGATTATTTGGTGCTGCTTCTAGAGATCAAAAGGATAGTGTCAGGCTTGGCTTGTATAATGGATAGGGGAGAGAGAAAGCAAAGATCAAAAAGAACTTTGCAGCTGTATCTAAGGGCAAGCATGTTAAAAGGGAAATAGTTGGACATTAAGAGCAGGAATAAGACATAGGGACAGAAATGTATTTTCCTCATTCTTAAGGACATTCTGTTCTCCTTTGTAAATGGCATACTTTAAAAGCTGAAGTCTTATCTGTCCCATCAAACTTATCTGCCCTATCTGTATCTGATATTACTCATGAATTAAGTGACTTGCAGCACATGGAGATGCCTTGAACCAGTGAATTGGACTTTCACGTACCAAAAGGCATCTTCTCCTCCCTGCCCTGGGGCAGGGCTCAGACTGGAAAATTGAAATAGTAAAGAGAATCAAAAGGAGTGTACACAGTGTAACTATCTGGCATTGCTGAATAGCCTCAACTTATTCCCATATTTATGAAATTATAGTAGTTTGGCACAACTATGAAGTCAAATGCAGCCTACCAACTATCTAACTGCCCCCTAGTGCTCAAATGGGTCTATGTTTTAGATATGTGTTTACCTGTGATTGGATAATAAATTTTGTGTGTGGTTGTTGTAAGGTGGGCTGCATTATACATAATAAATCACAAGCTTGTAGAACTCTGATAAAAAGGAAGGACCTTATCGTATTGAAGTTGTGACTTCTGGACAAGCTTGATGCCCAGCAACTTGCATTTTAGAATTGCTAGGTACTAAAAGCAACTATTAAGAGCTCAAATCTAATGTCCAGCCATCTCCCAGGAAAGCTGGACATTAGAAATGGTCGCCACCTGTGCTGTCCAACATACATGCAGAGGTAACTGTGACAATTTTTGCAAATTTTACATCTTTGTCAACTTTAATTGCAGAGAATGTATTGATGGTCCCTGGAGGAAAAGCTTGTGAGACTCTTTCCGGAAAACTGAAGCCTTAATTGAAAGTTAAATTGGAATCTCCAGTTTCTACATGCTTAGTTAAAGGACCAAGATTGGCTGGAATTACGGGAGGCAGACTTTAAAAGAAGCAGGAGATAATATTAGAAATCAGACAAGAATTTGTTAATTTTGCTGCACGTGTTAGGCCTGATGGATACCATAGAGACAGCAAAGCTTGAAGAGCACATGGAAGTCCAGAACAATGAAACTGCAAATGGTTATGCTCGACCCACACTCACTGTCAGTGAGGAGAACAAGAACAGCAGCAGCAAACCAAAGGGTTTATCCAATGGCTTGCGGAAAGGCACTAAGAAGTATCCAGACTATATACAGATTTCTATGCCCGCTGAATCTAGAAACAAACTTCCTTTAGAATGGTGGAAAACAGGCATTGCCTTTGTGTATGCTGTCTTCAACTTAATTCTAACGACTGTCATTATCACAGCGGTACATGAGAGGGTGCCTCCCAAGGAGCTCAGTCCTCCATTGCCAGATAAGTTTTTTGATTATATTGATCGTGTAGAATGGGCTTTTTCTGTATCAGAAATAAATGGAATTATACTGTTTGGAATATGGACAATCCAGTGGCTGTTTCTCAGATACAAGTAAGTCGCACAGCTTCTTTTCTTCTTATTATTAAAGACCAAACTAGATGTCAATTAAATACATAGGCAGTTATGTAACTTGTCTGTCTTTAACTAATTAATCACTTCCCTACAGGGCTCAGAATAGAAATCTGTTTTACGGCATGGCTAGGGATTTTAGAAAAAAAACTGTATGAGGGGACTTCCATTCCAATCTCAATGGGGGAGTGATTCCTTTACAGTGAGAATTGAGCTTCCTCAACCGTACAGTTAGCTTAGGAAAAACTGATACATAGTGAACATTACACATAGTAAGGACACATCTAGTTTGGCCATCCCTGAGAGAATTCAGAGTTTTACCTATTAATCATAATTTACTTATTAATCATGTGGACTTGCAAAAGAAAGGACTGAGATACCAGAAAAAAGATACATTCAAGTCTACAATAATGCTTGCTAACATTTTGGATTATCAGTTTTTCCTTCTTTATATAATTATGTTTAAAACAAATGGATTTGTAACAAAGATGCAACATATTTATATTTAATCTGAATGTGATTTAAGATGCAGTCCTATAGCAATTTATCTGGGATTAATTCCTGTTCAACTCAATGGGACATACTTCTGATTGTTCAATTCACCTAAAAGAAAATTGCACAACAAATATTTAATATGTGCTACTATCTGTATTCCAGTTCATCAGTGCCAAACCCTTCATGCAGAGAGGAGTTCTATGGTCACAGCCGCATACAGGAAGCAGCTAGTAACATGATGAATTATGCAGCTTCCCAGAGTTGGTTGTATGGGAAATAAGCAATCAAGTCTTGCAGGAATTGTCACTGCTCTACATCAGCTGTTTTACTCAAAAATATGTATATGCCACCTTCCTAGAATCTAACCTTAAAAGTGATATACGACTATGATAACAGATCCCATAAGATACACTTGGGTGGTCAAATAATAGAGAAGTGCATGTCTTAGTAGTTCCACAAGTATGAATTGCTCTTTTTGGAGCATATTGGTCCGTAAGATAGACATATTACACTCAAATGTTGCAAATCTTGAAAAATCCAAAACTTTACCATAAAATTTATGGTGTCATTGGCTCAGTCCTGTGGAACATTCTTCCAATAGAGATTCAGCAGGAAATTTCCATTTTAACCTTTAAACATCTGCTGAAAACTTTTCTATGATGGTAGGTTTATGTGGACAATTAAGAAAACATATTCTGCAATAGTTAGCTTGTTTGTGATTTTAAATTTTTGCTTGGTTTTTATTGTGTATGTATATATAATTGTTGCAAACCACTTTGATATTTTTTGGCATTGCAGTAGAAAAGTATTTTTTATAAATGAATAAATAAGAACGTGGCTGTAACAGTTTTCCTGTTGTACTCATTATCCTATGCTATGGAGTACAGATTAAGAGTGGGAAAGATATCATGTTGAATTTTGCAGGCATAGTCTTTTTATGGAGTTGTACTTATAGCATAATTACATGAACAATCTCTCTTTAATATTATTTTTCAGATCAATAGTGGGACGAAGGTTCTTCTTTATAATAGGAACTTTATACCTTTACCGCTGCATTACCATGTATGTCACCACTCTCCCTGTGCCTGGAATGCATTTTCAGTGTGCTCCAAAGGTAAACCTAGTAAATGCAAATTATATTTATTTTACAAATCAGTTGGCTTGGAGTTCTTTATCCAACCAAACACTTCCAGTCTCCTTCAGCTTGTGTTTCTTCTTATTTTGTTCTCCCTATGACAAACTAGCTAAATGGAAATTCTCAAGCCAAGGTTCAGCGGATCCTGCAACTAATTTCCGGCGGTGGACTGTCTATAACAGGCTCACACATCTTATGCGGAGATTTCCTGTTCAGTGGTCACACTGTAGTGCTAACACTCACTTACCTATTTATCAAGGAATGTAAGTTTCAATTTTTCAATTTTTTTTTCTTTTCATAAATGCTTAGCAACACTACTCCACTGATTTTTATACTAGTTTCAGTATTCTGTATGTGCACCAATCTAACCAAATGCTTCTGATTTTGGATTGAAAATAGCAGAAAGTCTGGGCCAGTTCTGACGTTTTGGCCAGTGCATGAAATACTTTTAAAATTGCTCCATTTGGTGACTCTTACATGGTAGATCAGTCATGTGAAGCAGCTTACCAGGTTTTTCTGTGGGAATGTAATTATCCCAAGGAAAAGTTTGTACTTAAGTGGAAAATATGGGCAGGACTGAATTAATGAGTGCCACCAGGAAACCACAGGAAAGGACTTCCACTGGCACAACTGGGGTTTCCCCTCTTCTTCCCCCAGGTGTCCCCTGAAGTTGACTTGGGTAAGGGAAGAGAACTCCTAGAACAGAATGTGGGTGGAGGAAAGAGCAAATTGATAAACCATGCAAGCAGCAATGCTTGCGCTAAGAGCAATCTGCTTTGCACTACATTGAATTCCTGTCTGTTACTCAGTTCACTTGATGAACTGCTCCACACCTAAAGCCTTTCTTATTTTCCTAAATGTTTTGTATGGTTTTAGGTGGTCTTAGTGTGGCAATCCTAATGTGCAAACTAGGCCTCATGGTCTTAGTTTTTGGTTGTTTTTTAAACACAGCTATCTAATTTGGATGGCTTGTTGCAAACTGTTCCTTCAGTTAGAAAAAAGAAAAGATGTTTGTGTTCCCAAGCCTAATTCAATTACTATAAATTGGTGTAGGACAGAAATAATTGCTTATCTTTCTCTTTGGCATTGTCTTCCTTGTTGTTTCTTTTTGCCATGAGGTCTCATAAAATAAATATTCCCTTATTTATTTACATGTTTATGCCACGCTTCCTTCAGAGAACTTGGGGTTGCAGAGGAGGTCCCTTGCACACTTTATCCTCATAACAACCTTATGGGGTCAAGTAGGCTGATAGAGAGTTCCTGGTCCAATGTCAACCAATGATGGGTCTTCCAAGTCATCTTCCAAAACTCTACCCACTTCACTACACCAGTTTGAAGTTCTAGAAGACTTACTCATGAGTACTGTATTTTGGTTGTTAGAAGGCTGGTGCTACAAAGAACAAGCATGTCAAAAACTGGGTTACATATAAACTGGAAAACATGCCTTTCATTGGCATATGCATGTTCCCATTAACATGAATATACCTATGTAGGTTCTGTGAAGCCTGAATATGTGACAGTTTCTGGTAATGTAATATACATATTACATTTTAATACATTAGTGGAGGTGGGAGAACATTATGTGGACATAATGTTCCATGAGTTGTTGGTAAATAGCCGTTTCATGCACTATTTTATGTGAGGATGTTGTCACAGATGTACTGTGGTCATGTTTAATAATCCCATTTAATGTTGTTGTTTAGTTTACCTATCTAGCATTTAGCATATGCCCTTTGCAGAAAAAGAAAAAAGGAAGGAAGGAAGGAAGGAAGGAAATTATTACTGACATGGGGCTGTTACAGCCATTCTTCTTCACTAGATTGTCCTGTAAACCCTGGAATACTGCTGGCAGGGTTTTATAAATAAGTGGTGTGGACTGTACATCAGGATATTATCTACTAATTTCTTGTTCCTGTATGATTATGGGGGTGGGGAGATGCTGTTTGAAGCAAGAGCAAATACTGCTCCATTATTCTGAAGCTGAGTGCAATATGCTCCACTGATCTTTCTGAACAGGCATTTTGCCAATCTGAAAGATGCTTCCTGTGTTCTCATCCCTGTTTATCAATATATTTAACTCCCTGGCCAGAGATGGCTGTACAAGCTTCCTTCCCTCCATTTTGACATTTATTTTTGGAATGAGCAATAAAATGCAGTAGTGTACTGGTTTGTTTGTATTTTTAGTTAATTACATAAATTGGATTAAATTTATTTGAAATAGGTGCTGTTATTCTTCAAAAAATGCAAAGGAAATGAATGATTCTCTGATCTAATTTTGCTATCTTCTTTCCTTCCTGAAATATAATTATGATTAGTGTGTTACCATATAAAAAGTGGCCATGGATTGAAAAAGAAAGATAGTAATATGGTGGTGGGAACCATTTACCCCTTTGAATGAAGGGATTAATTTTCTTTTTTACTTGTATGCTTTTATGGATGTCAGATTGTTGCAGCACAATTTTAAGAGATCTTAAAATGTAAGTTTTATATGAAGGGTTATGGTAGTGATGGTTCTGTAACACTCCTTCCATTACCTGCCAGTATGTCCCTTCCTCATAGTGTCAGATAGCAAAGACGAGTGACAAGAGGCTTGCAGCAAGTTGGAAGAATATGGGGAATATGGGGAACAGGTAGTAAATCTGATCATTCTTGAGCTAGGTGGTACTCTTTGGGTGCCAGATTGGAGCCCATATTGCTAACCCATCTTTATAAAGCAATGTTGGTGGTGCAGATTATGCAATTGGCCTTGAACATAGGAGACTGCCATTGGTCCATCTAGTCCAGTCCTATTTACACCAAGGGCAGTAGCTCTCCAAAGTCTCAGGCAGAGGTTTTTTCCTTGATGGAAAATTACTTAAATTGAATAATCCAAGGATTAAGCCAGATACCTTCTGCATGGCAGTTGTGTATTCTGCCATATCCCCTAGGAGCATTAGTCAGATGTGTATTGTATGCAAACCCAGCCAGCAGCATAGTGCAAATTGAGCAAATCAGCTGATTAGCCAGCATTCATATATTTATCTCCTGTTAAATTTACTCTATGGGATCAAATTATATGGCAACATGTTCCTGTGAACTAAATATAATATTTTAGTTTATGTCTGTGTGTGTGCATGTGTATATCCATGCATTTGCATTCACAAATTAGTTCATATTCATCTGTTTTGCTGCTCTAGATACAGTTCCCATATTAAACCTCTTTAACATGCTTTCCTTCTTGGGCAGATTCACCTCGTCACTTTTGGTGGTATCACTTGATCTGCTGGTGTATGAGTGTTGCTGGAATAATCTGCATCCTAGTAGGACATGAACATTATACTATAGATGTTGTCATTGCGTATTATATCACCACAAGGCTCTTCTGGTGGTATCACTCAATGGCTAATGAAAAGGTGAGTAACGGGAATACCAGCTTCTAAATTAATGTTAGGTACTTGAGATATATAGTACTGCTTTACAAAATGTTAAAATGAGATTGCTGAATTATGCTGGACTTTTTAAAGGCATTTTTACTTTCCCCCTGGAAATCTCATGGGTCAACATCTAAGAAAATATTGGTATAATCCAGAAAAAAGTTAGTCATGGTGAAGTTTATTTGAATTTAAGGCACTAACATCCCAGTCCTACATTGAGGAGTAAGACCTGCCTTTTCAATCAGCTGTACTTTCAATTAAATGTGCACAGGAATCCCAACATAAACATCTAACTGCGTACATTTGTTGCAACTGTGTTTTGGTAAATCATATCCAGTACCTTAATTACACTATACACGTGAAGCTTTAAAAAAAAAGTCTATCACAAATCTGGTTCAGTTTAAATGAATACCTTTCTAAATTACTGGAACTTCCTTTACTTAATTGTGAACCAGTTAACGGTAAGTGGAGAGGCATTTTCACTACGTGAAAGGAATGCTGGTCAAAAATATTGTAGTTAGTCTGGAAAACAAATAAAGCCATTTGCTGTAAGTAGCACAAAAAATGACCAAAAGAAAATTTCTATATGAGGTTAAGCAGGTTTGAGCTGCCTTATTACCTTCATGGGAGTCTAGGAATCCCACGTGTATGTCTCTGAGCTCCTTGGAGTAATACGAGGAGTTAATAAATAATATTACTTTGCCTGGTTTTACTTTACTGCCCTCTGTTTCAAATGGCGTCAGTTATTACAAAATTCCAGCACGAAAACCAATATGGAGTTGAAGGACAGGGAGAAACCGATTGTCCTATCTGAATTATACCTATGTTTTATATGCTTTTTACTCCATGGAAGTGCTTTCTTTCTAAGGAAGAAATAAGAATTATTCTAGTGGTTTAAATATGTCTCTTTTAAAGCAGTCTCAGCAGGATCTTAATATATTTTCTCCCCCCTCTTAATGCAGAACTTGAAAATCTCGTCACAGACAAACTTTCTCTCTCGAGCATGGTGGTTTCCAATATTCAATTTCTTTGAAAAGAATATACAGGGCTCCGTGCCTTGCTGTTTCTCATGGCCAATATCTTGGCCCCCTAGCTGTTTCAAGTCTTCATGCAAAAAATATTCCCGAGTTCAGAAAACGGGAGAGGACAATGAAAAATCCACCTGAAGAAAACGAAGACAAGAGAATGTATTGTTCTTTACTTCTACCAAAACATTTGTGCTATAACCAAAGCTCTTAAGATGACTAGATTGTTAACTGCAGAAGTGGACCAAACTTTGTGCGACTGATCTGAGAAAAGACAATTGTAGACACAAACAAAATAATTATTGCCCCTTGGTATATTTTTCTTGTCATATTGTACAGTTTCATCCCACTCTTCAGTGCTAGTAGACACTGGCACTCAGTGGCACTCTGGTGCCAACAGAACACTTCCTGAGGAGGAGGAGAGCTAGGACACTGGTTTCTTAATGAGATTCAGAGGTGCCAAAGAACACATCACACCATCTGTTGTTAAATATCACTCATCCCACAGAAGCACTGAAACAAAATATCTGCTTTAGACTCGTGGAGTTTGAAGAGCAAAACCATAGTAAATGATAAAAGGCACAATACTGGTCTTTCTAGCTATATGCAGAGAGTAACAGAAGTTGGCAAGCAGTGGTCTTACTATTCTCACTAGTGAAGGCAAGACTTGTTATACATAACTGGTGAAACCAGAAGTGAACCTTGATCTTTTTATACTCTCTTATGGGAATGAATATATTATAACCCTGTAATGCCACCACTGTTTCCATATACTCTAGCTACCCTCTATTGTTTTTTACATTTTTAAAAAAAAATAAGTGACAATTTTATATATATATCCATATATGACCATAAAACCTATTTTACCTGATGATACTGTAAGTTAGAAATAATGTCTACTAACATCGTCAGCATTCAACAACAGGAAAAAATAATTTATTGTTAAAATGCATATATGTAAGGCAAGGGAATTATTTAAAATTCTGCTGGTCAGCTTGCATGAATGTGTGGTGCATGTGCATAACACATTTTGAGTATATGCACTTTGCAGCGAATGCTCAAAAAATGGAGGATCTGTAATTGAAAGAGAATGTTGATACTCCTTCAGGCAATGACTGAAAATACCACTGAGTGTGGACAACCCCATTGTTGGCACTCAGAGGTATAAATTTGTAATTTTAAATAGTCATAAGATTCCTGCAGGATTGTTAACATTGTTTTTGTGATTGTATGTGGCTGTGCATCTACACATGTATAGCAAATAATACATAAACTTGAGTGAACCATTTAAATGCTGTGGGAGACAATTTTCCACTGATCCTCCAGTCACTCATTGGCTTTGATCTTCTGTAAGGAGGCTCCAAAAGGATTTTTTGAAGGCTTAAAAAGAAATGGTGCGATTTTTGCAAAAACTATGGAACAGTGGGCCTGAGAGCTGGATGTGATACATCTACAGATGAACATCACATTGTTTTTTCCTTGGTGTGAATTTGAGTTGTTGTGCCAAGGGTATTCACTGCAATAGGTGTGTTTGTTTCACTATTACCTAACACTATATTTATTTATTAAATGGTCATGTGGCCAGTCTGCTACTTTATTGTTTACAAATTTTTTTTTGGTTGAACAAAGTGTTTCTGTGTAATATAAAACTGTATATGTGAAAACACCCAAACATTTATTAAGTTGATGTTTAAGAAAGCTAACATGGCCCACTTTTTTTGTTCTGTTTTGTACAGGAATCAAACAGTGTCATTACCATTATAATATCTAGTAGTTAATGTATTTTTCATTGTTGCCAATTGCTTTTCTATTTAAAAAAATCAGTAAAAGGAGCAGCTAGAGAAATAACTATTGAATTTGCTTAAGTCTAATCAGTTACTATAACTTTTTTAAAAAATAATGCTTTAAAGAGTGACATTAAAAAAAGTAATGAGAGAATTTGACTGGAAATTTTATTCTAATTTAAAATTCAGTGTGTAGGTCTGGGTGTTTCTTCCATTCACAGGCCAGGCTGTTAAGCTAATTCTGGTTTTCAGACTATCACTTCGGCAACAACAAATCTTAGTACAACAAATAATGCAACATGGGAACAGAAGATAGTGAAGTATGATAATTCAGCCAGAAACCTTACTTTTATGGATAATTTTTTCCTTCCTAGAAATATTTACTTACTTGCTCTCAGGCCAGTTACAGGTACATACATAACTTTTTTGTGTTAATAACTAACAAGGTTAATAACTAACCAGTAAACGATTAGATGCAGTGCCTAATAAAATGACAAAATCAGATTTAAAACTTAAGGCTAAAACAAACTTAACTTATTTTGATTTGCATTGGAGACGGTGGTCACGGACCTGATAAATACAAAGGAAAGTATGTAGAGGGACTCCTGATACATCAGTCACCCCAAGTCCTATTTCAGGGCAGCTTCAAACATGGCAAAATGTATAGAGCATTTCTGTATGAATATAGCATTCAAGCTGTGTAGAGCAACAAAATGTGTGCATATGTTTGCACATTAACAATCTACACCTATCCTGCATGCAACTTTGCTACAACAAAGTGGTTCTCACGATGCATTTTATCACATTTGAAGCAACCCTCAAGCTGGACTGAAACTTAGATGTTTCAAAAGCAAGTGGCAAAGTTGGTGGTAAACCTCTGTGTGGATAAAAGTCCTCATGTCTTTTCAATATGTTGCATGTGTATTAGGGGTTCAGCCAGAAATTGAAAGCTACACTTGCAAAAATAGTCTCTTCCTTCAAGTCCTCAACCTGGTTTCTGTACTTTAACATCAAATTACTAACCTTTCAAATTTCTAAGGTAGACCACCTATGTTTGAGGGCACCATCTGTGACTGAAACATTTACATTTTATTTTGCTGGTTCCTAGACGACAAGTGTAGATCAGAGAAAGTTGGACTGTTTATCTCCCATTCAAAATTGGTGAAACGAGCTGCAATTTTGTGTTTTTAAAAAAATTATTATTCAAAGGGACTTTGGCATGCTTCTCTAAATTGCTTTCAACACTAAAGCACAAGGATCTGGTATTCAAATAGTATATAAATGCACTGGCCAGTTAATTAAATTAAAGAGATAGAATTGAACTTAATCAGCTATACAGCTATTTCCATAATTCACAGTGAAATTTGAGCTTCTTGGTTTCTGATTATTCTTGTTTTGGATGAGAAATACTAAAGTGGAGAATAAATGAATCCATCTCCCTAGATGGCAAGTGTAATTTGATAAGCTTGTAGATAACTGTTAGCAAAGGAATGCCTAGTAAACTACAGTAGTACACTACTTGAAAACAGCTTCAGGATTAATCTCCTGACAAATAGGGGGAAACAGGGAGAATATTAAAAATGATGCAGTTTTTGTTTATCGTGTTTATTCTGGTTCTTAGTGAGCTTTTATGCTCTTGTTCATTTCAGTATATTGTTTAAAAGGCCTGCACAACTTATGACAGACATGTCTGCTGGATACCTAAGGGCTTAAATAATCCTCTTGGTTTTGCTGTCTACAAAACCAAACCAGGGGAGCTGTTGAGTACCTGACTGACCATCATATTTGGCTGGGAGGCTGCATTTGGCAAGATGGTCACAGGCTATGAAGGCCTGGCCTCTGGTATTAACTTTCTTGCCAAATATTTCCAATAACTTTATTGCTTGACAAATCGACTGAAAACAATCGTAAGAAAAGAAAGTATACAGGATAGGAAGGAGCTTAAATATAAGTTTCATTATCTCTTTAAAACTATAAAAAATACCAGTCTGTACTCTGAAGTCTCCTTCAGCTGTCAAAGCAAAGGCATCCCAAAAGCATAGCTCAAAAGCTTGAAATATGATATACATAAAGTCAAATTTGTAACTGGCACAGCGAAGTAGATAACGTCCATCCCGAAGTAAAAACGAACCAACAAATGAGAAACAAGCAAAAATCTTAGAATACATTCAAAATCATTATTGTGGTCACAGCCCATCCTCCTTTTGTTTCCTTCCAGTTTTATGGATTTTTATTGAATTAAATATTCTTTATACAAGCCACAGCAGTAAAGTTGAAATTTCTTGGGCATGTTTCCACCCCCCTGGGGTGGGATGTGCATTTCTCTTGTGATGTCAGTGAAGTGCCTCTGATAACATTTCTAAAATAGCAAGTTCTGTTTTAGGTGCTTATTTAAAGATTTTGGCCATAGTTGTATCTTGTAAAGAAAAGGGGGGCAGGGAGAGTGCTTTAGTATGATGACTGGCAACAGAAGTCTTGGATATGTTACTAAACCTAGATATATAATCCAGTGTACGTAGCCTCTGTGTGTAGTGCCTGTTAGCCCCCTAATGGACACACATAGTGTTGCATTTCTGTTCAATGTCAATCAGTTTCAATGAGCATATTCTTGTGGCTGAATCTTTAAAGGTTTATTAATTCAAGTAAAAAAGGCACTGTATGCCCACATGTTTTGCATTAAATATAATTTCAATTTACTTTTTGTCTACAACACTGTTGTAGTGTATGCTTCTTAGGTCTTTCTAGTTTGGCCCAAGAGACAGAAGTGAATATATTATGAATGTAGATACGCAGTATTTTGTGGGTTTAAACCCAGCAGTTGTAAGTATAAGATAGTGGCATCTGGATGAGATTTTCAAACCCTTTACCTATGATCTGTCAAAGCAGATCCTATGGGTTGGATCTAGTTGCACTGAAGTCAGTTGGACTCTAATCATCATGACTATCAGCACAAACTTAGCCATGTCTACTCAGAGGTAAATTCTATTGAGTTCAGTAGGGCTTACTTCCAGGTAAGTGAGATTAGGACTGTAGCCATACTCAAGTTGTTTATTTCAATGGCACCCGAGTTCAGTTAACTTGGGCTACAATCTGATATTCATACTTTCCTGAGAGTAATGCCCACTGAACTCAATGGGACTTACTTCTGAGTGGACATGTATAGAATTACACTGTTAGTCTGGATCCAGCTCATTGTATTTAATAAAAAAGAATCCTCTAAACTTTTTGAGTGCTGATATAAACACTCTGAGCAGAATAAATATTTCAAAGCTTGGATTTTCATCATACTACAGAAGCAGATGTTGAACTCCCTGCAAAATCAGGATAGTGAGAGTTGCACTTGTAATCTAGCAGCAACTGGAGGTCACAATGTTGGTTATCCCTGCTCTAACATATCCTGCTTTTCCCCAGATAAAAGTTGACTGGGATTCACTTTCTTTATGCTAAAGTAAGCAAAAAGAGCAGCTAAAATTTACTCTGGTAAATGTTGCTTGAGAAAAGTTAGGATACCTTTCCAAGTATTATTCTAAAAAAAAAAAAAAGTTGCACTACACTATTTGTATAGTACCGCATAGAGGCGTACCTAGGGGTTGGCAAATTTGGCCCCCACCAAGGGCACAGGCCCACCCCCCCTTCTGCAAAAATCACCCCATATGTTGCACCCGTTGCTCCCCACTTCCTTGCTCATCAGGCACTTCTCCTTTTGCTCAGGACAGAGAGACGGCTGATGGAAAGGGTGCTCAAACCCTTCAGCCTCTTCCTCTTCCTCTCCATCTGTTGTTCCTGCTGATGCCTTCCCTTCCCTTTTATTACAGCAGCCCAGCAATCAGCAAAGGAGCTACAGCAACTTGTTTACATTGGATACACACACCGTTTACTGGTATTGCGAATGCACAAGACCCCTCCCATGCGTTGGGGTGGGTGGGTGGGTGCATGAGTGTTGGTTGGGAAAGGCTTGGGAATATCCTTTATCCTATTTACTTTTCTCCTTTTCCTCCACACTTTAATGTGGACATTAAAGTGATGGAGAGATCAGACCTCCCCCTGCTGTCCTTTTTGGAAACAGCCTTTGCCATGAATGAACATAAGAGCAAATTTGCAAGATAAGCACTAGGGCAAGGTTTCCCAAACTTAGGCTTCCAGCTGTTTTTTGGACTACAATTCCCATCATTCCTGACCACTGGGTCCCCTCTAGCTAGGGATTATGGTCCAAAAACAGCTGGACACCCAAGTTTGGGAAACTGCTCTAGGGTATTGCTTGCTTATAATATTTGTGTGTGTGCATTTGGATCTAGAAGACAACATATATGTTTACACCAATGTGAATACATAAAAAGGGCATTGCTGCATACAATCAGCTACAAAAACAGAGTCCTGTTTATACTGAAAATAAAATACCTGAACTGAAGGAAGGAAGGAATGGTGAAGGTGACATACATTTTTAAGCAAAATGTAACCAATCCACTTTAAACACTTTAATTACAATAGTTTCTCAGCCAGCGTTTTTTAAAAAGAAAACTCATGGAGTGTTTTATTCCTTTGTTGTAAATAGAGCCTCACACTGCAAAACTTTACATGTCTACTCAAAAGTAAGCTCCACTGAATTCAATAGAGCTTACTCCCAGGAACTGGATAATTACTTTGCAGTCTTACACTGTGCCTGAGCATTCTCAGAGTTTCATTTCATTCATTCATTCATTCATTCATTTATAGCCCACCGTTTTCTCTAACAGGGACTGGAGGCTGCTTAATCCATCTAGTCTAGCATCCTGTTCTAACATCCTCTTGGCATTAAATCCACATCACGCACCTGATATACTTTATTACTTTCTGCAGGTACTTTATTACTTCCTCCAGTGCTTTTTTTCTGGGGGGACACAGGGGTACACATACCCCTAAACATTTTGTGAATCTAAGTTTGGCCTCATTGAGGGGTCAGTATTTCAATATGAGTAGGAAAATGAGAGTACCCCTAAATATTTTTTTAGAAAAAAAGCACTGCATGCAAGTATCACCGGAATAGCTTGGGAAGCTTGAGTTTAAAAAAAAAAAAAAGGCAGCCCAAAATACCAGGGTTGGTTACTGCTGTATTTAGGATTGCTATTTTCTGGTAGTTATGGATTTTCCCCTTCTGATTCCTTGCTACAACTGTAATACATGAAGTGTGGGGATGAGGACATTTTAGTTTTTCTTTTAGAATATGGAGCTCCAGTGATAGTGCAGTGCACATTTACTTGTGTGTGCATGATAGTCCTGTGCAAACTAATTTACACAAATGTATGTATAAGCCCTGTTAAACACAGACTTACTTCTGAGCAAACATGGATAGGATTGGAGTGCCTGCATTTCTTCAGTCCCGTACTCAATAGAGGTAAATCTGCAATCCATGCACATTTACTTTGGGGTAAACCAATTTTTTTCCTTATTCCACCTTTAACAGGTTAATAGTGATGGTTGTGTTTCTACTTACACATAAATAAATGAAAAGACTAGTTCCTTAGGTTGTGATCCTAATCACACAAGCAAGTAAGCCATGTTGAACTCAATGGAACTTACTTAAACACTCACAGAATTGTAAATGTAGTTCCCCACCCCAGGCCACTGGGGGCTTTTTTTGGAAAAAGTTACTACCGTATTTCCTAACTTGAGACAACTCAGTCCAGATAAGTGTGTTTGTTTAGCTGATTCCATTTGTTTGCAAACAACACTCAAAATATCTGTGTGTTTTTTTAATCACTCAAATTGTGGCATTGTTTTCCTCCAGCAGTCATGAAGCTAAAGGAGCTCTATCTCACCCACCCCATAGCCTAAAAGCAAACCTGTTTCCATTTTAAAAAGTATCCTGCTATGAAAAACACTTAGGTATGCTCATTCTGCTTATGGGCAAATTACATTTAGAAAAGATGCACCAGCAAAATACTAGTTGTGCAGGGAAAGGTTGTAAGCAGAGATATATCTGTGTGTTTGGAACTGCAAACTTGTAATAACAGTTCGATACGATCATAAACAGCTCAGTAATGTTTGATTCACTAATGTTGAACCTTTACAAGTGCAAACATCCACTGTGAAAATCAATGGATGTGTTGCCCTTCTTAAAAGAGGAACATTGTCAGCAAATCATTAGAAAATATTAGGCACCATTACACTGAAGGTTAAAGACCTTCTCCTGCTGCAGTGAAACAATAGCACAAGGGTAGTTAATGTGGTGCCCTCCAGATGCTCCTCACAACCCCAGCCCACATGGCAGATTATCATGGTGTTGTAGTCCACAACATCTGTAGATGGGGCAGCCCAACTTTTCATACCAAGTGGGCTGCAAGAGTACTTTGACGTGAAACATGCAGGCCACACACTACCTTGCCACACTGAGGCCAAAATCTGATGCCCCCTCCAGCCCTCACACTGCTTTCCTAAAGCTGGCTAAGCTAGGTGCTGAGCTTTTGGAAGGAGGCATGAGGCTCTGGCAGGGTCCCAAAGTCTAGCACCGCAACCAGCTTTGGAAAGGCAGCTCAAGGGCTGGGAAGTACATCAAATGTTGCAGAGGACCGCAAAAAAAAAAGGAATCCAGGGCTGCATGCCTGATCTGTTGGCTATCTCTGCAATAACCCTAGACACCTCCCTGAGCATAGTCTGTTTCTACATTATACATATGTTTTAAACATTTTTGAGTATTTCCACTCAGTAAATCCTGTCCACTGTAGACCTATTACGAAGCTATCACTGCTAAGACACAGTTATCAGCATTTGCACAAAATCACAAATTCATGATCCTTTGGGGGGGGGGGGAAGCAGTACAATTTTAGCTAATTTAAATATGTGTGGTAGATGTGCCTTTTTGGTCTTGGTCCTATCCGGACAGTAGCTTTGTGATGTTCTACTTGTAATATACAAAATGGATGTAGAGGATATATCTTAGAAAAAAAGAGAGATATCTCTTTCAACCAAGTCCTTCATTCACAATAGTTAGCAGCAGCAACTGATCAACATCTACGGATCAGTTCTTGGTAGTCCTGCAGTCTAAAAGAGCTTAGTACAGGCTGGCCTGACCCACCTGTGCAGTGTTAAATGCAGTCAAACTGCACAATCTCTTAATAAACTATGTGAGTGTGTGCAGATCTCAGAAGCAGCACAGTATAAACACTTCTGTGTGGTAGAGAAGGAGAGAGCTGCCAAGAGCTGGCAGGTGCTGGAACAAACCTGTAATACTACTTAAAGGCAGGGCTTTTTTCAGCCAGAACTAACCAAAACTCAGTTCCAGCACCTCTCAGGTGGGCACCACTGCCATGATAAGAGAACAATGATGATTTCAGGCACCTCTTTTTCTAAAAAAATAACACTACTTAAAGGCATATATTAGTGCTTTGCTACTACATTAAGAAATGGTGCCTTTTAAAATCTCATTCTAATAGCATTGTATGCCTGTGCTGTGATTGATAAGTGATACAATGAGAGATAAACATTATGGCAGGATTCTGATTTAGGTGACTGGCCTTATGCAAACATTTTTCTTTCATTCATGAATCTGTTTTCCATAGATTTTCACAGCCTTTGAAGTTATTTGTTCTGTAAATTGCAGACTTTATGTACACTTACCAGTATTAGCGGTGTGGTATGTTTTGTAATATTCTGAAAAACTTCACTGCAAAACAATGCTATAAGAATAAAGTGCCTATTGAAAAAATGGTTGAGAACTGCATTTTGAAATGTATTTATTTAAAAAGTATAGTCTTCCTTGATCACCTATTATTCTCTGGTTCCTACTGTAGTGTGCTTTTTTATTATTAAAGTTAATTCTGCACAAGAATCCTTGCTTTCTGTAACCTGCTACATAACGCAATACTTTATTTTGCATAATATGACCAGTGGCACATGGAAAGATGAAGGCAAGTACTTGCCTGAAGTCCTGGGTACTGAAAACACCACAATCTCCCCGCTATGTTCAGAGGAACACAAACCCTGGTTAAGTGCCAAGATCCCTGAAATTTCTTGCTACGTCTCAGCAGGGATTGGAGTGGCCCTGTTAACAGTAGAAATGGGATGGATAGATTAGGCACAACAAGACAGACTAAGGACCTGGTCAAGTTCACTGTGCATCTCAAAATTGTATCACTGTCTGACGAAGGGGCGCAAAATGGTTAATTCTATCCTGGTTGCCTCCTTAGTTTCTAAGGCTGATGTTGTCAACAGTTTTGGTGACTTGTATTGTTTATTGTCAAGGGCCTTTACAGTTCACATCACATAGTATAAACTATCACAAAATTAAGTGTAGAGCATCCTTATTATCAACCATGTGTTATTGTACATTATGGAGGGTGTGCTGGTTTGTATATGTTACGGTAAATGACAAGAGGAGGGAGCGGCCATGAGGTGGAGTTAAATTCAGAAGCAGGGCAGCTGCAGGGCGTGGAAAGTTGTTGAAAGGGCGTTTGATAAACTTCAGTTCACTTGCTTTGGGTTTGAAACAGCTGATTTCAGGTAACCCCTGGCAGAAATGGCTTGGTTTCTTTTGAGTAACAATAATAGTTCTGTAACACACAGAGTGGCCCTCTATGCATTGGCTGCAAAAAATATCAGGATAACGCATTTAGATAAAATCCCTGTAAATTGTTGTGGTGACTGGGAGCTTTAATCTGAAATCAAGCTAGATTTAAGCTTGTTGATGTCTTTGGCACCTTCTCTCTCTTACATCATGGATGTCGCCTTATATTATGAATGCATGTTCTGTATTAGTTCATTAGCCCTATCGCCACAAGTTTAGTCAGCTGAACAATAAACTTATGAACTAGAAACTACTGCAGATGGGTGCAATATGGCAGCATCAAGGGACGCGTCCTGAATCAACTAATAAAACTCCAATCCCACCCTGAGGGATATAAATACATAAAATAACAAGAACAAAACAATGCTTGCAGAATGCACCTGTCCTGCAATAAACATGGGTCTGGGAGCTATCTCCCTCCTTTTCCGCTTTTCTCTTCGCCTTTGACCCCTTCGCTTTCTCCTCCCTTCCCTCCCTCCCTCCCTGAACTCTGCAGCAGGCCGCTGCAAGTCGCCATCGTCACTCAGCTTTTTGCGGCAATCTTTGCGCTGGGGTCTTGGGCAGAGAGAGAGAGATATAGATGAGTTGGGGTGGAGCGCAGCGGAGAGATAAGGCTGGACGGTCAAAGCCAGGGAAGCCCTTTCCCCGGTGACGCAGCGCCTCGGGGGAGTTCTGTCCGGAGCTGGGCGTGCTGATTGCGCCTCCTCTGCCCCGCGGGCGGCCAACCAGAGGCGGAGGAGGAGGCGGCGCCGCGAGGAGGATGTAGCGGGATCCGCGGAGGGAGACTCGAGGGGGCCGCAGAGCGCGCGCAAGGGAGGTTCCGCGTTGCGCACGGCTTCTGTCCGGCGAGCCCGCCCTGATGGAGGATCCCGTTAGCTCGGCGCTGCTGGCGGCCGCCGGGCTGCTGCTGGCGCTGTGGTGGCTGCTGGGCCGCCGCCGCCGGCCGCTGCAGGGGCTCCCGCCGGGTCCCAAGCCGTGGCCTTTGGTGGGCAACTTCGCCTTCGCCTTGCTGCCCAACCCGCTGGTGCGCAAGCGGCTTCTGAACATGGACCGGCAGAAGCAGCTCCCCAAAGGCGAAGGCGGCGCCGGGAGGGAGCAGCAACCGCTGCAGCAGAACCCCCCGCACCTGCTACTCACCGCCCTGGCCAAGATCTACGGCAGCATCTTCAGCCTCTTCGTGGGCAGCCGGCCGCTCATCATGCTCAGCGACTTCGAGGCCGTGCGGGACGCCCTGGTCAACCAGGCCGAGGTCTTCAGCGACCGGCCCAGCATACCCATAGTGGCCCTCCTCTCCAAGAGGAAAGGTAAGGCAAAAAGGGGGCGGCGTGGGGAAGGGCTCAGATCCGCAAAGGGGCAGTTCGGCCGCCCTTCCCCAGGGTCGTGGGTTTGGGGCCCACGTCAGGCAAAAGAGGCCTGCATTGCAGGGGGTGGGGACCCTTGCAGTCCCTTCTAACTCCCCATTTCTCTGATTCTGTGACTCCTGGCAGCTGCATGCATTGGCCTGTGAAGCAGGATGCCAGCGGCCGGGTGAGTGTGGCACCTGTGGCTGGGGTATATAACTTGAATAATAATAAGCCCCCAAGAAGGAAGTCCTATTAGGATTATTGAGTGGCAGGTCCAGCTGCAGGCCTCCCTTGGAGTGCCAGGAGGGAGTGAAATACGACTTTGATTGCGGGGCTTGATGAGACTATTTCTTAGGATTAACAGAGTGCTTTGCATATATTGCCATAAGCCAGATGTTCTTGGGCTTCAACTCCCATCACTCACTGCTGGGAGCTGTGTTCTATAACATCTGGAGGGCACCAGGTTGGCAAAGGCTACTTGAAGCTGTGCATCTAAGCTCCTTGAACATGGTGGGACATATTTCCTAATATTTCCACTGTCCTGCATGTAATCCTTCCAACAGCTCTGTAAGGTAGGCTAACATTATTGTTGGAGTGTGTTAATGTGGTTTGCCTAAGACTGTGTTGCGAGGAAAACCAGCAGACTTTCAAGACTTGATTACCACAATGTGCTCTACGCTGGGCTTCTGTCACACTTGATCCAGAAGCTGCAGTTAGTGCAGGATGCGGCAGCCCGATTGCTGACAGGAGTGAGACCTTGTGAGCACATAGCACCTGCACTCAGAGATCTGCACTAGTTGCCGGTATATAAGAATGTTGGAATTGTGTTAATTACTTTGCAGTTATTCAGGGGGCTGTAGAGTTCTAAAGTGGAAGAGACCGAGGAAGCGTCTGTGGATGTACAGAAAATGTTCAGCAAAATACAGAACCCTATAGATCTGGTTTTACTCTGGCCATCTGTTGGCGATGCTCATATAAGTGGGAATTGCTGGCATCAATCCCTGTAGCACTGGGGTTGCAAACCTTTCTTGGGCCCGTGAGCCCATTTGCAAACTGTCACGGGCATCCCACACAAAAAACACACAACCAAGCACGCACTGTACCCTATTCTGTTGGTAGTGAATGCAAGAATTGTAGAGTTAGAAAGAGTCCAACCCCTTGCAATACAGGAATCTCAGCATGCAGTTCCTCATCCAGTTTGAAACCTTACCGGATCCTGCTTAGCTTTGCAAATGTGCTAGCGGTTTTAGTGCTGCAGCAATAAAGTTTAACAGGAGATAGCTGAGTACTTAACTTCTCAGATAGTTGGCAGTCCTTTAGTAAGAGTAAGATAAGTTACTTCATAGAGGCCTCTGGTGATGCTGCAGGCTGCATCTTTTCTGCATTAACACATGTAGCTGTTTCCAGCATTTCTTTGCCAGTGACACCTGTGTGTTGAAAGCTGCAGACTGTTGTAGCTGACTGCATATGCAGATTTTCTATTGCCTTTCAGGTTTCCCATATAACCTACTGCAAAGGGAAACCACAGGCACCTGTTGTTGAATACTGCGGTATAATATGACAGTGGTGAGAGAGATATGTTTGTGAGTTCTATCCCTATTCAGGATTCTTCTTTCTAACAAAGAAACTTTGCTATCTGATGCTGTGTTTGTTTTTGCAGCTTCCCTGTCAGTCTAAAATAGTTGGAGAGGAGCACCAGATAACTACGCAATCTCCCAGTTCTGACCAAACAATTCACTTGGACTTGTAAGAAGCGCTGCGGATAAATGTAGTTTCCAAATACACTAACAGGGATTATTGTACAGTCAGCAAACACACACATACACCCCCGCTGTGTAGTCAGGAGTTGCAATTTCGACAGTCTTTGGAAGTTCCCCTCCAAAGTTTCTAGCAGGATGAAAGTAGAGTTTGAAAATATTGAGGCAGTTCTTCAAACGGCTCAGATAAAGAGACAGCTTGCTCCTTGTCTGCATTCTGTTCCTTTATCCCTTGCTTGCCTTCTGCTGCCCATTTTCATAGTTTCTCTGCTAATTTTGCAAAACAATAAACAAACATAAACTCCCCCTAAAGTTCCAGATTAATATTGTGCAACTCTTTTGTATAATCGTACATGTCCAAATTTGGTTCTCCTGGGCAAAGAATAACTGTCTTCTGAAACGTAGTCAATTCTTGGTTGTGCAGGTCCAAAAAGCAGCAGCTCTGCCTTCTCAAGTAGCCCAACATCTAGCCTGTTAAGCACCATAGCAGCTTTCAGAGATTTGTACAAGGAACAAAGTAATTTAGAGTAGCTCTCAGTAGCTACTTCAAAAAACGATGCTGCAAAGCTAACATGACTAGAAGCGTTTGCCTTTTAACATGGGACCCATTCCTCTTGTCACCGAGACATTTATACTAAGGAAGTTTTACACTTAGAGGTTTTTGAGCAGAGGTTGGATCATGGATGCTTTTTAGCTGAGATTCCTAAATTGTAGGGGGTTGGACTAGATGACCTTGGGAGCCCCCATTCCGACTCTATGATTCTATAAAATTGAATAAAAACTGCGGGAGGCAGTGAAAGACAGGAGTGCCTGGCGTGCTCTGGTCCATGGGGTCACGAAGAGTCGGACACAACTAAACGGCTAAACAACAACAACGTTGCTTTGAAGTAAGCAGAATGTGATTCCAGCATGTGTCTTAAATTAAGGGCCTTATCTAATTAAAAGGCCCCCTTCTCCCATTGCCACCCTGCTCCCTACTGATTGGAGGGATGGTATCGGTAAGGGCTCTGAGGAAGGCAGGTTGATGTGGCAGATGGTATTCCTTCAAAAGTCCAGGTCTCAAGCTGTATACAGCTTTGTACTAGGGTTTGTTAAAATGCATATATTAGTGAAGATAACATACAGAAGTGAATTATATTTTGTGTATATTAAGCAAAGTTGCATATAAACATAGGTATAATAGGAGAAATTTGTGCTAAAAAGCTCGTGTATTTTCATGGGGGCTTTTTAAAAATAAAAAATTGCAAACTGATGTGGAAATGTGGAGAACTGAATTGAACACTGGAAAAACGTGAAACTGGGAGAAGCTGAAATTGGCAGATTCACCCATACCTAATCATAAGTGATACCTCTTCAGCAGCTTACTGATAAAAGGGTTGGTGTGGTGTAATGGGATCCCTTGTGGCATTTTCAGCTGGAGCAACCAAATTCATACCCTTGCTTGGTCTCAAAGCCAATTGAGCAAGTTGATATCTTGGCAACAGTGCAACTACAGTTTCATCACAAGTATAAATGTCCTTGGGTATACAATAGATGTGAAGATATGGTACCCTGATAACTTGTTATCAAGACTGTGTGTAAATAATACTATTATGCAAGTTTGGACTTGAACATTGGAGCCAGAGTGTCCAACGTTCATGTGTATTCATGCATGCACTACCAAGAGCTTTAGGGTCTTTTGCTAGAGTTAAGGTGTGTGTTTGTCATGAATATCTGTTTACCCTTCACTTTATGCCCACAAGAAGTTCTTGCATAAAATAAATAAAGATTTATTTTATGGTTTATTACATGAAATGAAAGGGACGGAATATATACCGTATTTTTCGCCCTATAGGATGCACCGTCCCATAAGGCGCACCTAGTTTTTTGGGGGAGAAATAAAGGGGAAAAAATGATTTCCCCCCCAGGTGCGGGGCTGGGGCGGGGGAAGCCCGAGCTTCCCCCGACATCAGCCCCCAAACAGACAGCTCTCTTCAAGCCGTGGGAGCCCAGCGCTGGCTCCCGCTGCTTCCTGAGAGGTCCGCAAAGCCTGGACGCGCTGAGCTCAGCGCGGGCAGGCTTCAGCGTGCAGGCAACTCTCCGCAAGCAGTGGGAGCGCTCCCGCTGCTTGCGGAGAGGTCCACGAAGGCTGGACGCTCTGAGCTCAGTGCGCGCAGGCTTCAGCGTGCTGGCAACTTGCGGAGAGGTCCGCGAAGCCTTGACAAGCTGAGCTCAGCGCGCGCAGGCTTCAGCGTGCTGGCAACTTGCAGAGAGGTCCGCGAAGCCTGGACAAGCTGAGCTCAGCGCGCGCAGGCTTCAGCATGCAGGCAACTCTCCACAAGCACAAGCTTGCGGAGAGGTGCGCGAAGCCTGGAGAGCGAGAAGGGTTGGTGCGCACCGACCCCTCTCGCTCTCCAGGCTTCAGCGAAAGCCTGCATTCACCCCATAGGACGCACACACATTTCTTGTCTTACTGTTATCTTGTTATTGCCTAGGTGGGAACCCTTCTTTAATTGGAATTGTTAAAATTTTGCTGGTAACTAGATGCAATTATCATCATCAACATGTGGGTATCTTTACACAAAGTATTAGAATCACATAATCATCGAGTTGGAAGGTACCCAGATCATCATCTTGTCCATCCTTCTGCTGCACATTGGGGAAAAGATTCCTGCATTGCAGAGAGTTGGACTAGATGACACTCGTGGTTTCATCCAACTCTGCAATTCCGCGATGCTATGATTCAATGAACTTTTTCATAAACCATTCTGAGGTTTTGGGTTGTTGTTGTTGTTTAAAATCAAGCAGTGTGTAAATATTATGAAATAGGTAAAGATAAAGGACCCCTGGATAGTTAAATCCAGTCAAAAGTGACTTTGGACTTGCGGTGCTCATCTCGCTTTCAGGCTGAGGGAGCCAGTGTTTGTCCACAGACAGCTTTCCGAGTCATGTGGCCAGCATGACTAAAATGGTTGTGGCACAACGGGACACCATGACAACTGCCAGAGCGCATGGAAATGCCGTTTACTTTCCTTATTTATCTACTTGCACTGGCATGCTTTTGAACTGCTAGGTTGGGAGAAGCTGGGACAGAGCAACAGGAGCTCACCCCGTCACGGGGATTCAAACCGCCGATTTTCCGATCGGCAAGCCCAAGAGGCTGAGTAGTTTAGACCACAGCGCCACCCGCATCCCATGAAATGAAATGAAAACTGGGGAGAACCCAGGATTTCCTGTAGTTCAAAGTTTCAAGGTATCTTACAAACAAAACCGAAAACTCTGTTCTCGATTTCAATGTTTTACCCCTTTCTTTTCCTCCAGGTGTGGTTTTTGCCCCTTACGGCCCGGTGTGGAAGAAACAGAGGAAGTTCTCCCATTCAACCCTCCGTCACTTTGGACTAGGAAAGCACAGCTTGGAGCCTAAAATAATCGAAGAATTCAAGTATGTGAAAGCAGAGATCCTGAAGCATGGGGACGAGAAGTTCAACCCCTTCCCCATAATTGGCAACGCCGTGTCGAACGTCATCTGCTCCATGGCCTTAGGCAGGCGCTTTGACTATGACGACGCCAGCCTCAAGACCATGCTGAAGCTCATGTCTCGTGGTCTGGAGCTAAGCCTGAACAGTCACATGATTCTGGTCAACATCTGCCCTTGGCTCTACTACCTCCCAATCTATCCTTTCCGAGTGCTTAGGCAGATTGAGCTGGATATCACGGCCTTCCTGAAGACTATTATCGCACAGCACCGGGAAAGCCTCGATAGCCAGAATCCCCGAGACTTCATCGACATGTACCTCCTTCACGCAGATGAGGAAAGGAAGATAGACAGCGAGAGCAGCTTCACTGAAGACTACCTGTTTTTTATTATTGCGGACCTTTTCATCGCAGGCACAGACACCACATCCAATACCCTTCTCTGGAGTCTGCTTTACATGTCGCTTCACCCACAGGAACAAAGTAAATGTCATTCTTTCTCCAGTGGCTGATTCTTAATTGGGTTTGCTCTTATTATGCAAGCTATCCATTTTGGGGGGGTTTTCCACAGCATTGTTGGGAAGAACTGGGTGTATAATACAGTGGTACCTCAGGTTAAGTACTTAATTCGTTCCGGAGGTCCGTACTTAACCTGAATCTGTACTTAACCTGAAGCACCGCTTTAGCTAATGGGGCCTCCTGCTGCCCCTGCGCTGCCGGAGCATGATTTCTGTTCTCATCCTGAAGCAAAGTTCTTAACCTGAAGCACTATTTCTGGGTTAGCGGAGTCTGTAACTTGAAGCGTATGTAACCTGAGGTACCACTGTATGGCCATAGCTGCACCTTTCTGATCAAATCTTGCATGGAAAACAATCACCCGCAACACAACAGGGAACACAGTACTTGGGTGCTGACAGGCTATCCATGGGTACTAGTCAAAATGACTCTCTAGGCACACACACACCAACACACAGGGCTGCCACCCCTGTTGCTCACTCTGCTTGCCAACCACACCTCCTCACCAACACCTTTGCTAACTCTCTTCCCTCACACCTGGGTGACCAAACCCCCCCTTGCTTTAGACTTCGCCCACGTCCCCTCACGGCTTGCCCCAATCCTCACTCCCTTTTAAAGGAGGGTGGGAGGCATTTCAGAGAGTGGTCCGGCAAACTCTCTGAAGCGTCTGTCCCATTCTGTTATGTCTCGCTGCGACTGTGTTTAATATAGGGCACCTCCCCCCCTCCTTCAAACAGCTTGCCTTGGCCAGTGGCCACCAGTGCTGCTCGCTTGCCTGCCTGCCTGCTATTCTCTCATGCTACAGTGTAAAGACAGCTTTCCATTTTTATCTATCTATCTATGAGGCAGTATATACCTCTGAATTGTAGTAGCTGATGGAGGGAGCAGTTGTTCTCAGGTCTTCCTTTGGGGCTTGTTGCCATAGGCATCTGGTTGGCCATGTCAGGAGTTCAGCCTACACTCGAGTAGGACCCCGGCAGAGACACATGCCCGACTGGCATGTTCTCTCCCTCCTGGTTGATTGTTCCAGAGCTTCGTAAGCTTTCTTCAGTCCGAACATCACAGCGACCGATGCCAACCAACACCGGCACACTCAGAGATCCGCAGAGTTTGCGCATCATGCGCGTGACAGACCTCAGCAATGCAGCATTTTGGCTAATCTATTTTATTTACATATAAACACACACGGAGCACTGCAACATGGCTCCCTCTCTCTATAGCATCAGACAGCAAAGAGAAAAAGAACAAAGGACAGTAGTCCCACTTCATGGAACACAGTAACACAAACATCCTGTCTCCGTCACTTCCCACTCTGTGGAGTCAAAACATATACCGCCATGTGATAGACAAAAATCCCATGACTGCAATCATAGATCAAGAATTCTAACAGGCCATTGGGTAAATAGGGTCCCGAGCTAAATGAGGCTCTGGTTGGATCCAAGAGGGCTCTTACTATGTTCTTATAGGAACCCAAAACAGGGTCACTGAGGAAAAAGCAGATAGCTATGGGCATGCTTTTGTGAATCCTGAGGTATGCAAAGAGACAAAAAGCAAAGCTTCAAAATGACAACTCCCCCACCCACTCACACCTAAAGTTCAATGAGTACTGGACATAGAATCATTGAACTGCAGAGTTGGAAGCGACCCCAGTGGTCCTTTAGTTCAACCCATGCAATGCAGGAATTTCAGCCAAAGCATCCATGACAGATGGCCATCTAAACTTGGCTTAAAATCCTCCAAGGAAGGGGAGTCCACCACCTTCCGAGGGAGACTATTCAGCTCTTCCCACCAGAAAGTTCTTCCTAACATTTAGTTGGAATTTCCTTTCTTGTAACTTGAATCCATTGGTTTGGGTTATACCCTCCAGAGCAGGAGAAAACAAGCTTGCTCCATCCTCCATGTGACAGATATTTGAAGATGGCCATCGTATCTCCTCTCAGTCTCTTCTTTCCCAGGCTAAACATTCCCAACTCCCTCAACCATTCCTCATAAGGCTTGGTTTCCAGACATGCTTGTTGTTTTCCCGGGAGCATGGCATTTTGAGTGTTGGTGGAAAAAGAAAAACTGGAAACCAAGGAGGAATAGCAAATTGGATTCCTTGAGACTCTAACAGCTTATAGCAGGGCTGGGAACTTGTTTGGCCTTTGAGGTATTGTTGGACTCTAACTCCCATCAGCCTCAGCCAGCATGGCCAATGATAATAATAATAATAATAATAATTTATTATTTGTACCCCGCCCATCTGGCTGGGTTTCCCCAGCCACTCTGGGCGGCTTCCATAGAAACAAAAAATACAGTAAAATATCACAGATTAAAAGCTTCCCTGAACAGGGCTGCCTTAAGATGCCTTCTAAATGTCAGGTAGTTATTTATCGCTTTGACATCTGATGGGAGGGCGTTCCACAGGGCGGGCGCCACTACCGAGAAGGCCCTCTGCCTGGTTCCCTGTAGCTTTGCTTCTCGCAATGAGGGAACCGCCAGAAGGCCCTCGGCACTGGACCTCAGCGTCCGGGCAGAATGATGGGGGTGGAGACGCTCCTTCAGGTATACTGGGCCGAGGCCGTTTAGGGCTTTAAAGGTCAACACCAACACTTTGAATTGTGCTCGGAAACGTACTGGGAGCCAATGTAGGTCTTTCAAGACCGGTGTTATGTGGTCTCGGCGGCCGCCCCCAGTCACCAGTCTAGCTGCCGCATTCTGGATTAATTGTAGTTTCTGGGTCACCTTCAAAGGTAGCCCCACGTAGAGCGCGTTGCAGTAGTCCAAGCGGGCGATAACTAGAGCATGCACCACTCTGGCGAGACAGTCCGCGGGCAGGTAGGGTCTCAGCCTGCGTACCAGGGATGATCAGGGATGATGGGAGTTGTAGCTGCAGGCAGAATTAGTGTTTCTGTGTTTTAATACATTTCTTCTCCTCTGCCACAACACTCTCTAACCCACTCCCCAATTCTGTAAAAAAAAACTGGACAGTTTCAAGTAGATGGCTGCAGATGGGGTTCATTTTAATAAGTTATTATACATACAGAGCCAGATTTTCTTATTACTGGGTTTGTATGTCTCATGGGGCAAAGACCTAGAGTATCCTTGGAGTCAGGTTATATTAAATATTATATTAAATAATAGTTGGGTTATATTAAAAGTGAAAAGTTGGTTTTAATGGTCACCTAATGTTTTTAATATATTCCAGCTTTTATTCATTCTCTTTCCACCCCATAGCCATTTCGATTTCTAAATCACATAGCTGTGATGAGCACCTAAAATCAGTCAATTTTACTTCTTGGAGTACATTTAAAGCTTTCTGTTTCCCAAAAGTTGATTCTCTTAGTTCCTTCCAGAAAACAGACAGCTGCGTTTTGAGTGTTTGTTAGATGCGTAGTGGCATGAATGTCAAAAGATGATGGTGTGATGGCAGTCTGTGGTACACAAAGCTCTCTGAAAGGTGTTAACATAACTTTCACTGTAAAGACCTTTTCTAATCTTATCTAATTCAGATAGAGTTCCCTTTATTGTACTGTGGCTAAAGTCACTTCCAGACAATCTGTTTATTGAGCATCCATCCTGTTTAGTGTGGGCAAAGTTTGGGGGGATGTTAGGTGACGTTGGCTACTTATTGAACATTTGTTCTGCTCTGTGTGCAGAATAGCTGACCTCATGTCAAGCAATTTCCATCCCATACTTTCCAGTGCATTTCCCCATCACTTTCCTTATTGCAAAAAGCCTGATTGTATGTGTGCAAGAGCCCAGCAAACTTTTACTGCACAACCTGAATTTGCTAGTATTATATGATTAAATCCCACCTGAAAATAGCAAAAATCTGGAAGTGCCCTTAAGTCGAGTATGTTTAGGATCACAGCAGTAATACTTCTGATTGTAGACACTGGAGGGCAGTGTTTGACATGCAATTAGTATTTAATTTGTTAAAAGAGAGAGGTCTGAGTGTAATCTCTCTCTTCTTCTTTTTGCAGCCTTGCTCGCTAATCCCAGAAGTGCATGATGCCATCATAGAAACCTAATGTAAAGTAAATAAATTGCATAAAGCCCATTTAGCTAGGGTTGCCTAATTTGAAGAGCAAAAAGGAGGCGACTCTCATTTTAAATACCCCTACTATAAGTAGGCTATAGAAGCTGTAATATATTGCTGAGAGGGGCAGGAGAAGAGAAGAGGAAAGCCTTCATCCACCAGCTATGTCTATGTCTCATCCAGAAAGTATAGCCAGAGACATTTTGGCAAATTTAACAAAATCCACCTGGACAGAAATTTTACCCCTGAAAAAGAGGGTGTGTCCTGGAAAAAGAGGACACTTGGCAACCCTAATTTAGCCATTTAGTCCCAGTGCTCATCTTACTGTCTCTTGTTTTGCACAGAAAAGGTCCAGGAAGAAATTGATTTGGTCATTGGGCGCAATAGGCCTCCTACCCTTGTGGACAAGGCACGTATGCCCTTCACAGAAGCAACCATCATGGAAGTTCAAAGGATGACGGTGGTTGTACCTCTTTCAATTCCTCGAATGGCCTCAGAAACTACAGGTAAGCGTTTTTGATAGGCTGCTGCTCTCACATTTTGGTACGAGTTCATTTAGCCAAAAGCTGATTTTCACATTGGAGAGAAACAAGGAAGGCTGAAATTTGAACAAGCTTTCTTTATACTAGGTCTATCCTGTTAGGTCTTTTGGTCTATCCTAGATTGGCAGCAGCTTTCCAGGGTTGCCAGGGACAGGAGAGTCTGAAGTTTTACAGGCAAATTGCCCATTATCACATTTTTATCTGCTTTATGGAGCAATACTAGAGCTGAAGTGAGAATGGACTGTGGTCAGGCTTAAGAGAACCAATGTGGTGTAGTGGTTAAGAGTGGTAGACTCGTAATCTGATGAACCAGGTTCGCGTCTCTGCTCCTCCACATTCAGCTGCTGGGTGACCTTGGGCCAGTCACACTTCTCTGAAGTCTCTCAGCCCCACTCACCTCACAGAGTGTTTGTTGTGGGGGAGGAAGGGAAAGGAGAATGTTAGCTGCTTTGAGACTCCTTCGGCTAGTGATAAAGCGGGATATCAAATCCAAAGTCTTCTTAAGTGCTTGAACTGTTGTGCACCTCCAGGCATTGCACATGTAGTAGATACTTCATTAATGAGCTGCTTTTGCAACTAGTCAAGTCACCCAGGGCTGATTTTCAGCTGCTGTAAACTGCAGCTTGGACTTTGCAGTGTTGCTTCACGGGGTGTGCTCCTCCTTTAGGTCAGATGGTATCTGTTAGCAGCTGACAAACTTAGCAAGCAACCCCTGTGTTTACAAAGTGCTCTGATAACAAAGGGGCTGTGTTTTTGGTAAGCTTTTCGTTTTCTGTGCCCTTGGTGAGGGTTTTATTTGCCCCTTCCCGCTCCTAGAGAAGTCCACAATACCATTTTAATGGCACGTAGAAATAAACAAGCGTGCATTCTCTCAGTCACGAAGCGACACTTTCCCACAAACCAACCCAACCCAAACACAAGCATTTTATGTTCCTGTGATTAATATGTCTGTGTGTAAAATATTTCCATAAGGGTAATGCCATTTATTAATTTGTGTACCTCTCTGGTTGTGTATATGTTGTTGTTTTAAGTTCTCCAGGGCTACACTATTCCAAAGGGCAGTATAATCATTCCAAACTTGTGGTCCGTGCACCGAGATCCCAACATATGGGAGAATCCAGATGATTTCCACCCAGCAAGGTTTCTGGATGAAAATGGCCAGCTCATCAAAAAAGAAACATTTATTCCTTTTGGAATTGGTAATTCAACTCTGTTTGGTGTGTGTAAGGAGGGATGGGGGTGCAGATGGTGGGGACACCATCTCTTGATAGTAAAGGTAAAGGTAAAGGGACCCCTGACCATTAGGTCCAGTTGTGACTGACTCTGGGGTTGCAGCGCTCATCTTGCTTTATTGGCCGAGAGAGCCAGCGCACAGCTTCCGGGTCATGTGGCCAGCATGACTAAGCCGCTTCTGGCGAACCAGAGCAGCACATGGAAACGCCGTTTACCTTCCGCTGGAGTGGTACCTTATTTATCTACTTGCACTTTGACGTGCTTTCGAATTGCTAGGTTGGGAGGAGCAGGGACTGAGCAATGGGAGCGAACCCTGTCGTGGGGATTCAAACTGCAGTAGGACATCTTTAAAGCAGTGTACATTAAGTATTGTATGTTCAGCATTTATGAAGGCCAGGAAAATGCTTGCTGGTCTCTCTCCTATTTATTTTTACTTTATTTTATTAGGATTTATATACTGCCCTTCATCATAAGATCTCAGAGCGGTTCACAGTCTATTATAGTCTATTACAGAGGAGGACAGGCTTTGTTTTACTAAAACTCCAAGGTTTAAAGTGGTTCAAAAGTTAAAGAACAGGATTTACCTCTGAGCACATTCTAATTCTAGGAATTTGCTTTCAGTACCAGAACTGAACGGAGCTCATAGTCATTCGACACAATAGTCTGCTCCTCCTGCTGCTTTCTTCATTTCAGCAGCCTAATTTAGTTGGGAAGTTATTTTTTGTTGCGGTTGTTGCTATTGTTGGAAACCCTTCCCAGTCAAATCACCCAGAGTTCAACAGGGAGATTCTAAGCTACCTTCTGTCCATCTCTGGTCTATTAGGTTATATTTAGCTGTCTTATATGGGACAGGATCTAGCAAAACCAGTTTAGTCTGATAGTGAATAAAGAGGATTATTTTATACCATTTCTTTTCAGGGGTCTTTGTGCTTAATAAATTTGGAACTGCCTTAATGGATTTATAAAAGCCTGGTTATCATAGCGTACGTCCTGGACCTTGTAGCATTTCTTTCTTTCCTTTTTAAAAAATGAATCATAGAGTTGGAAGAGACCACAAGGGCCATCGAGTCCAACCCCCTGCCAAGCAGGAAACACCATCAGAGCACTCCTGACATATGGTTGTCAAGCCTCTGCTTAAAGACCTCCAAAGAAGGAGACTCCACGACACTCCTTGGCAGCAAATTCCACTGTCGAACAGCTCTTACTGTCAGGAAGTTCTTCCTAATGTTTAGGTGGAATCTTCTTTCTTGTAGTTTGGATCCATTGCTCCGTGTCCACTTCTCTGGAGCAGCAGAAAACAATGTTTCTCCCTCCTCTATGTGACATCCTTTTATATATTTGAACATGGCTATCATATCACCCCTTAACCTCTTCTTCTCCAGGCTAAACATGCCCAGCTCCCTTAGCCGTTCCTCATAAGGCATCGTTTCCAGGCCTTTGACCATTTTGGTTGCCCTCCTCTGGACACGTTCCAGTTTGTCAGTGTCCTTCTTGAACTGTGGTGCCCAGAACTGGACACAGTACTCCAGGTGAGGTCTGACCAGAGCAGAATACAGTGGCACTATTACTTCCCTTGATCTAGATGCTATACTCCTATTGATGCAGCCCAGAATTGCTTCAATGGAAATGGATTCCCATAGAGATTATTAATATTTATTTAAACTGTGAAGTTTTCCCCCCTTTCGTCTCTCTCACCCACTTTGCTTTCCTTTTCAGGAAAACGTGTGTGCATGGGAGAACAACTTGCCAAGATGGAGCTGTTCTTGATGTTTGTGAGCCTCCTGCAAAATTTCACATTTCAATTTCCCGAAGACATGGAGAAGCCATCGATGGCAGGAAGATTTGGCCTGACTTTAGCTCCACTTCCATTCAACATCATTGCCTTAAAGAGATGAAGGAACCTCAGACAAGAACACTGCATGAAGTTTGTATTACTCTTACGAAAATTCAGGGCTATATATGAAATGCACTTCAGTAACAAAATCGCCAACCCTGAGCAGGGATGGGAAACCTGCAGCCCACAGGGTACCCACAGGCTCATAAAGCACTTTCCCCTTAGCCTGTGGGCTCTTCCATTAAATGTGTTGAAACTTTTTGAATGCGGAAAAGGAATAAAAGCTTCTAGTCTTCGAAGTTGCCGGACGACAAGTGACAACTGGTGCAGAGACTGTTAATGGAAGTGTCAGGCATTGAGTGGCTTTTTATATTCGCTTAGAAATGAAGGAGGAAAAACATAAAAATTCAGTTTTACATACAACAACAGTGGGTATCTCTCTGTTATACAGGAGTCGTGACATCCTTTAAAATGGCCACATTGAAGGTACAGAGAGATGTATAATAAAAACAGGATTTGCTGTGGTTTTTGCTCCTGTGGGGTGAGTCTGACTTCTATCCGCCTTCACTGTGAAAAGAGCAGCCTTACACACCCCTGATTCAAGTCTTCAGGGTTGCCCTTCCCTCATGTTTCAGACTGATTGACTGCTTTTCTTTCTTTTAACTTTCAAAGCATTGAGTGTGCATTTGTTCCATTAAATGTGCATTTCGTCCCCTTTAATACTAAAAACATAGAAGCATTTCTGAAGTGTTGAAAACTCTAGCGGAGGTGGGTTAGTGATGTCACCGTTCCAGACAATCAGTGCTGTGCACAGCTGGTTTCTCAGAACATAAAGAAGAGCCTGCTGGCCCATCTAGTCCAGCACCCTGTTCTCACAGGGGTCAACTAGATGTCTGTGGGAAACCAGCAAGCAGGATTTCAGCCGAAGAAATCTCACCTCTCCTGTGGTTTCCAGCAACTGGTATTCAGAAGCATTGCTGCCTTCAACCATACAGAATCTCTTTCCTCTTCGTCCAAGGAGGGAGAAGATCACTTCCACAGGAGGCTCACAGCTCAAATTATATATACACCTGTAGGTACACGAGGTTTGTCTCTTGGTACTTCTGTTTATTCCTGCTAATGGGGATATGAAGGCACAAACGGTAATGCATGGATCCACACACAACAGGAACATTTTGTGTGTGTGGTTAGCATGAATTTAGGCAATTGCATCCCTTCACTGTGCTATCTGTGTGCATCTGAAATACGGTAATTTTAAATAAGGGCCATCTAGGAAGATGGCTGGCACGTAACAGTTCCCCCAGACACATGCATGTATGATAATAATACATGCATATCCTGGGAGGTAAAGCCATACTGCCAAAGCCTTGGGCTGGCCTTTTTGGCAGAGGATAAGCTGCTTTGATATAATCATGGAGTTCATTTCCAATTCATTTCCAGGAAGCAGTGACTTGAGACAAACGGGGTAGGAGCTTATGAATCAACACTGTGCAGGTATGAGCTACAGAAAGCCTGCAGTGCAGAGAAACCTTTAGGAAAGGGGACTCGGACTCCTTGGGCCATTCTTGGTTAACTGGAAACTTCAATGGAAAAACTAAAATTGCACTGCTAATTTTCAGCTGACTACTGTTAAACAGCCAGAGTGTGGCAGGGGCGACATGGCTGGCAATGCAACTGATTCTTTGTATGGCATGTAAGCCCTCTTGTAATAAGGCAGCCTTTTTAATGAAGCACTTTATAATTTTGTCAAGATCCAAAGATCTGTATTTCTATATTTTAGTAGTTGTTAAGAGCCTCATGAATGATAATATATATTACATGGATTGCCTATATCTTGCTGATGTTTACCTTGCCTGCTTTATTTCTTCCCTTTCCCCCATGAAAAACAAAACAAAATGAATGCCTTGTTTAGAATTTTAGTATGGAATATATAATTGCTGTTAGAAACTAGCATTTGAGATCATTGCTGACTATTTTTAAAAGGTGCCTATCTTTCTAAATACAGCCTGAGATCTGTTTCTCAGTACGAATCTTTGTCTAAATAAACCTTTTTATTTTAAAAGCAATACTGTCTGGAAGCCGATTTTGCTTTTTAAACAGATATTTTGAGCATCTATTATTACCTGGTTTCTTATTGGTCCCTCAAATAGATATTTTGAGTGAGTACTGTAAGTTTATGTAGCCAAAACAATACCATCACTGCACATAAGGGGAGTTATCAGAAGGCTTAGAGAAACCCTGAGATTTGCAGATATACAAAAAATAGAGGGAGGACTCTGTTTTTGAAACTGGTGAGGAATGAATATGCTTTTTTGCAGGAGGACTGGAATGGCGATGTGGGAAGGAGGACATGCTAGGGATCTCTTAACAAAAAGTCCTGTTCCAATTATTCTTTCTAGGAAACCACAAACAAAGTGGTTTACAAAGTGCTACAAAACAGATATGCCTTCAAATTATTTCTAAATCAACCATATAATTTTAAATATATGCTAATGAGCTGCTGAGCTGGATCAGCTGTTGCTGTAGCGACTGGCTGGAAAAGCTGCACCCTAGCATAGGAACACAGGAAGTTGTCTTGTACCAACTTCTGCTCCATCTAGCTCAGTATTGTCTACAGTGGTGGGCAGCAGCTCTCCAGAGGGTCTCTCCCGACTCTTCTAGGAGATCCTGGGGACTGAAACTGGGACCTTATGCGCTCAAAGCAGATGCTGTACCACTGAGCTGTGACTCTTCTCATAATTTAGGGTACCTCACATGACAGTAAGTCCCAAATGTCATAGCACACTTGCTTAGCAGCTGAGATCTTGGGGTGAATGGCAGGTAATAAATTGTAATAATAATAGACAACTGGATCATCTGGCAGTGTTTAATGCAAGTGGGCACACACACACAGACAATGTGTGCTGGGAATAATAATAATACAGTGGTACCTTGGGTTAAGTACTTAATTAGTTCCGGAGGTCTGTTCTTAACCTGAAACTGTTCTTAACCTGAAGCACCACTTTAGCTAATGGGGCCTCCCGCTGCTGCCGCACCACCGGAGCACGATTTCTGTTCTCATCCTGAAGCAAAGTTCTTAACCCGAGGTACTATTTCTGGGTTAGCAGAGTTTGTAACCTGAAGCGTCTGTAACCTGAGGTACCACTGTAATGTGTGCTGCACTGTTTTCAAGTGGAATCCTGTTGGATGTTGTAGGAAACAAGAACGCTGGCCTGGATATAGCTTGGATGTGATCTAGAAAAACTCTTTATGTTCTTGTTACAAATTTTTAATTGCTGTACTTTTAAAAGTGTATAAAATATTTCAGTTGACTGATGGCTATCTCCTGAACATCTCAGCCTGATTTACTTAGAATCAAAGCAACCTTTGATTGCACTGTAACTTTTAAGTGTGCACTCCTATGAGCTGGATGTAATCCTCTTGCTGGAAATGGCATCCTTGTGCAATATTCATCTTTGAACTGCCCTGGAACTCATCACGTTCTTGTTAATTTTATGCCAATTACAAATAGTGCTGTCCTTTGGCTTATGATGCTGTTATGTATCTCTCCTTCCTTTGAAAGTTCTCTATCCTCCCCCCCCCCCCCCAAAAAAACCCCACTATAACTTTGTAGAGTCGATTCTGCAAAGGTATAGTTTGCAAAAGTTTAGCACAATCTGTAATGCGGGTGAAGGAGATAATTTCTCAACACCCCTTGTTTCTGCAAATATTACTCAGGCACCCTGCAAAACACTCTCATCCATAAGAAACTTAACCCTTCTGTAGAAGTGCGGAGCACGTGACAATATACTAACAGCCAAGAGGTTTGGATTTCTGCAGCTAGTACTGATTATGGTACTGCCAGAATGTGGCAGCTAGACTGGTGACTTGGAGTGGCCGCCAAGACCGTATAACGCCCATCCTGAAAGACCTACATTGGCTCCCAGTACATTTCTGAGCACAATTCAAAGTGTTGCTGCTGACCTTTAAAGCCCTAAACAGCCTTGGCCCAGTATACCTGAAGGAGCGTCTCCACCCCCATCATTCAGCTTGGACACTGAGGTCCAGGTCTGAGGGTCTTCTGGCGGTTCCCTCACTGTGAGAAGTGAGGTTACAGGGAACCAGGCAGAGGGCCTTCTCGGTAGTGGCACCCGCCCTGTGGAACATCCTCCCATCAGATGTCAAGGAAATAGGCAACTATCTGAGTTTTAGAAGACATCTGAAGGCAGCCCTGTTTAGGGAAATTTTTTAATGTTTGAAGTTTTATTCTGTTTTTAATGTTCTGTTGAAAGCCGCCCAGAATGTCTGGGGAAACCCAGCCAAATGGGCGGGGTAGAAATAATAAATTATTATTATTATTATATTATGGTGGTCCTTTTAGATGGCAAACAGTCATTATTTGCTTTCACTTTTTAAAAGTAAACAATAGTTTTGTGGCTCCAGATGTCATTGTGGCAGAAGCTAGAGCCCATTTTATCTTTTACTTAATGGCACAGCAAGTTCTAAAGTTTGCAGCAATAGACTGATCTCACAGATTCCATTTCTGGTTAGCAAATGCGTCTGACTTAACAAGCACAACCCTATGGCCATTTACTCAAAAGCAAGGACCATTGTGTTCCATGGGGTTTTCTCCCTAGAACGTTTTAGCACTGCAGCCGAATCCCTTTTACATATAATGGCAGTAACAAACTGACTCCTGCAGCTGCTAAGGCAGCCGTGAAAAGTTTAAATGCCTAAGCATGGACCCCTAACAGAGCTGCATTCCTTAATCACCTACAGCAAGCATAGGCAAACTCGGCCCTCCAGATGTTTTGGGACTACAACTCCCATCATCCTTAGCTAACAGGACAGGGATGGTGGGAGTTGTAGTCCCAAAACATCTGGACGGCCAGGTGTGCCTATGCCTGACCTACAGCCTTCACTGCACGGACAGGTACAAACTACAAATCCCAAGATTCCTGGCGGGTGGTGGGTGGGGAGCCAGGTGCTTTAAATCAGGCTTCAGACGTGGCCTTTGCCACGAGTTTTCCCGAGGGAATAATTTGAGCGTGCATTTTTTCCTTTTCCTTTGCCGGAAAACAACGTCTGAATAGCAGCCCGGAGCTGGATAGGGTCGGATATTCCAGGGCGAAACGAGCTGGCCACCTACATTTCCCCACAGGGCCTAAAGCAAGCAAAGCAATGCAGAGGAGAGCGGCAGAAGTGGCGGAGGCGGGGACGCCTTTAAGGCCCGAGCTCCCGCCCTCTTCTCCATTCTCCTCCTCCTCCTCCGCCTGGGCTGCAGAGGCTCCTGCTCGGCGCGCGGCTTCGCGGCGCCCACCCCTTCGACCCTTCCTGCTCCTCCCCGGTTCGCCATGGCCTTCGCCACCCGCCCGTTCGTGCGCTTCTCGTCCGCCACCGCCGCCGCCAAGAAACTGGTGGTGAAGCATGTGGCGGTGATCGGCGGCGGCCTCATGGGCGCCGGGATCGCCCAGGTGAGCTGCGCGGGGGGCGGAAGGGGCGCTGCGCGGGCGGCTGCTGCTGCTGCTGCAAAGGGACGGCGGCTGCATCGGTACTTCGGTACTTGCCAAGAAAGCATTTTCTTTTTTTTATTCTTAAAAATTTAATCCCTCCTTGCATTGCACCGAGGAATTTTGGGTGTCCCGAAGCCTCACAAACTCCCAACAATCTTGTTCCTCTGTGCTGGCGAAGGAGCCTCTTGCCAGGAAAACCCCTTTCGAGTTTAATTTCTTAATGCCTCTTTATAAGTGGAGGATATTGGTAGGTTATGCAAATATTATTGTAAGGGTTTCTCAGAACACCTGGGAAGCTTGGTCTCCCAACGTGGTAAACGTGCCCCGCCCCTTTGCCCCTGACACGTGTGTGTACGGTACACACGTGTGTGTGTGTGCGTGTTGCAGGTGTTACTAACTCAGAGGCTTCCCGCCCACTTGAGTGCATGGCTAGGCTTGTTGTTCAGGTTCTCGTGCCTCGGCTGCATGGCTTTTTGAAGACCAGAAACAAAATTGCGCTTGGCTGTTTTGGCTGGGAAGATGCACATTTCATATCAGATAGGCAGCTGAATGCATGTGGCCTGAGTGGAATGTGGTTGAGTAAATGTCATGGTAAGTGTTCAAGGTCTTAGGGAGGAGGAGAGAGCATCAAATTTCAAATTATTATTACATATTTACCCCAGGGGGTGGGAGAGAGAAATTAGAATTTTCTGCCCCTGCAGAAAAATGCATTAATCATCCAGATATGTAGGATATTTACCTCAGGAGGACTAATAAAGAGTAGTGCAACTTAATCCCCTTCCTATGTTTTGTCATAGGGTTGCTTAATTTTTTTTGCAGCTGTGAGGGCCCTTTGCAAGAAGACTCGGTTGCCTGGAGTTGAGGGTTCCCACTTCAAAATTAACACTAGCAGCAAAGGAGCTCCCAAACCACCCTGTCTATGCCAAGGGAAAAACCAGTATTATGTTCTGTAGTCTGGGATTGTGCAAATAGTAGACCATAAAACACAATATACAAAAGCACTGTACCCGGAGTTCCCTCTGTGTGAGGCTGTGAGCAGTGATAAGGGAGAGGGTTTTTTGGGGTGTGGTGATAGGATTGTGGACCTTCCCTCCAGTCACGTGTGATTTTTATACCTCTCCTGGTAATCTGCCTTTCAGGATCTGTTAAGGGCTGGGCCCCTGTGTCGCTTAGGTTGTGGGTGTTGCTCAACAGTATTATGCTGCAGGGCAGTAGACAATACTGCTGTTGCAAGTTACATGCATGTCACATTGGGTTTCGCAGAGATTCTTTAATTGTGGTTTTCCTGTTGAATTGTAAACCGCCTTTTGGAAAGGCAGAGGAAAAATGTTACAAATGTTTGCTCTTCTGCTTGTTCTTTCCAGAGACTCAAAGTGGTTAATGGCAGTGCTGTTTTTCTAGAAAAAAGGTGCCAGAACTCACCATGAACACCTCCCTCGTTTAATAATAATAATAATAATAACAACAATAATATTTATACCCCGCCCATCTGGCTGGGTTTCCCCAGCCACTCTGGGCGGCTCCCAACCGAATATTAAAAACACAATACAGCATTAAACATTAAAAACGTCCCTAAACAGGACTGCCTTCAGATGTCTTTCAAAATTAAGATAGTTGCTCATTGCCTTGACATCTGATGGGAGGGTGTTCCACAGGGTGGGCACCGCTACCAAGAAGGCCCTCTGTCTGGTTCCCTGTAACCTCACTTCTCACAGTGAGGGAACTGCTAGAAGGCCCTCACGCTGAACAATGGGGCCTACCTGCGAGATGCTGGAAGTGAGTTCGGGCTGGAAAAAAGCCCCTGGTAATAAAAACAGACTAAAGCACAAAAGTGGGAACACCAAAAAATGTTTCCCACACACCCCTCCAACAGTACACCTCTGTCTTGTGGGGAAATTGAGTGAATTTTCAAATAAAAAATGATTTGAGCGTTTACAATCCCTCTGTTTTGTTTTTTTTAAAATAATAATTGGTCTGATCCATTCCTGTAATGCCCTTGTGTGTTTTTCTCTACAAGATGTGTTGAAGTGAAAGGAATATAGCAATTAACTCTATAACCAGACTGTTACTATACTGTTTAAGTTTCTATTTTAACATCTCCAAGAAGCACTGCAGATTGGTTTTATAGTATCATTTCTGTGTTCTTTACTTAAATGTCTTTTTCATTCTTTGCTTATAAAAACATTAAAAACCCAACACCTGTAATTACTTATAGCCTGCTTCCCATTGAGCACAGTCTTAAATAAGATTCATTTTCCTGTCCAGTTGGCTTCTATACATGCAGTGATAGGGGTGCCATCTTGTTCTTTGTCTCAGGCAGCAAAATGTATTGTGCTGGCCTTGTTCCCAAATCTGCTTACTATCTTGCCCATTTTGTAGATTCTTTTATGTAGGAGAATGCAAGTCTTCAAGTTACTCAAGGTCTGCAAGTGAAATGACCATTTTTGCTATATTGTATACACTAAAAAGCTGGTGCAGTAAAAGGCAACCATATATTTATATACACCCTATAAGGAAGGGTATTTTGCTGAGATCTAAAAATGCACTACCCAGCTTCTTGCAGAAACCTTTATCCCAAATATTTTTTTTAAAAAATATATGTTAAATTTCCAAGCACATTTCGTAGTGCAGAGAAGAGATTTTCTTCTAGAACTAGGTCTTGACATGTCAGAGAATGTCTGTTTTTTTTGGAGGGGGGGGGGGAATGATTGCTGTTACAAAGTAACTTTTCTAAAGCAGGAAATGAGTTCTGTTACCATGTTTGGTCTCTGTGGGTGTGACAGGTGAAGGTTCATCTTGAAAACCCTTGTCTCTTTTTGCTGAGTGCCTTTTGCTCCAGTAAGGAATGTGAGGGTTGGCTGAGGCACATTTTCCATTTGCAGTGATACTGCCTGCCCTTTGGTACCTAAGGAAATGTTTTTGTCTTCCCTCACAATTCATCAATTTCACCCCTCCCCCCTTTTTTGTCCCCCCCCCCCCCAGAAGGTAGAGAGCTGTAACTACCTCACCCCACCTTTTAAGACTGCTTGCTTTAATTCTTGTTCCCAATTGGGATCACTGCCACTTTGGGCACATAGCGATGACAGATGTTCGAACTTCTTCAGAGCTCCTAGATTTTCTTATGGCCTGAAGGGAGTAGATCTCTAGGTGCACAGACGCATATGTTTTTGTTACTAAGCCCAACACTTCTCAAATTGAATTATTCTTTAGGCGGCACGTTTGGGTACAACCATTTTCAGTTGCTAGTCTGAAGGCAGTTGCAAAAGTCTGCTGCTGAGTTTGAGCACTAAAGCCGGATAAGGTTGAGCTGAAGAAGATTCAAAACACTCAAACAAAATACACATGGCGTTTTCTTTTCTGCTTATCCTCTTTATGTACCCAGGATGATAAACTGGAGCAAGGCCCTTTGCTTTTTTTGCTTTTATAATTTCGCAGTTTTCATCATGGGTATATTTTGTTTGCAAGGATGTAACACTGGGAAGGTTGGACAATCTGTCTGATAAGGAGATAGGGTCAGAGATCTGAGCTCCATATAGAAGGTAGCTCTTTATCCTTGTTGGCAGCTGCTGAACAATCCTGGGTTCTTTCTGTAGATGTTTAGCAGCACTTCTTGGCACTGAAGGGCCATAGCTCAGTTGTAGAGCTCTGTTTTGCATGCAGAAGGTTTCCAATTCAATCCCAGGCATGTCTGTGTAGCATCGCAAATGGCCCCTGTCTGAAACCCTGAAGAGATGCTGCCAGTCAGTGTAGACCAGGCATGGCCAAACTTGGCCCTCCAGCTGTTTTGGGACTACAATTCCCATTATCCCTAGCTAACAGGACTAGTGGTCAGAGATTATGGTAATTGCCTGGTGTAGACAGTACTGAGGCAGCTGGAGTGATGGTCTGATTTGCTATAAGTCAGGTTCCTGTGTTGCTGATCCAAAGCAGTATAGTGGTTAAGAGTGTTGGGCTAGGACTGGAGTTCTATGAAGCTCACTGAGTGATCCGGGCCAGCTACAATCTCAGTCACAAAGATAAAATGTGAGGACAGAACCATATCTTGAACTCTGGTTGCTAGCCAGAATATAAATGTACTAAATAAATAAATATTAGAAATGGGTGTGCACCTCTTTTTTCCATGGGTTACTTTCCTTTTTCATCATTATTTTTCTCCCCTGTTTTTCCTGTAGATTGCTGCAGCCACTGGCCACACTGTTATATTAGTGGACCAGTCAGATGAAATACTGAATAAATCCAAGAAAGGAATCGAGGATAGTTTGAAAAAGCTGACAAAGAAAAAGTTTGCAGACAAACCTGAGGTGGGATCTTTATTATTTGTAAATATTGGAAATAATGGTTGCATGTGACAAATCTACCTTGTTTGTTTGTTTGTAATGCCTAAATAGACAATTGCAGCAATGTTAGATTAGCATAATATTTTAAATAGATTCCTTTCAAGCTGGGTTGAATTCCATGCTTACAGCAACTCTGCTCTTTCCTCTGCCCCCAACCACAGTCAACAAGCAGAAGCAAACTTCCATACGTAGGCTGATTTTCTGCACGTTACCCTTGCAAAAGGGAATTGTAAGAAGGTGATCTTGCATTCAGTACCGAGGGCTGCCAACAGTCCACAACCCTTCTAACCACTTGCTTGTGGTGGACCTGCACATACACACGTCTTAGCAAATTGGGGAACTGAATCTTGCCCTTCCCATCCTTACATATTGCCCCTAGTGATATGAAGATGATGTCATTCGTGTGCAGGGAAAAACTTAAACATGTTGCAGAGTTCCCCAAAAGAGACCAGAGGCAATAGTACTTTATCCAACAGAGCTTTACTTGTGCCGAAGGCAAATGAGTGTAATGGTCACAAATCCAGATACATTCAGGATTGGCACAGTCCATAAAAATATCCATTTGCAGCACTTACAAAAGCTTACAAACTTACAACAAGAGTAAAGCTTAACACCGTAGCATACAGAAACAGAACGCCACACCAGAAGGAAGAGAGAGAGAAAGTAAAACCCAGGCTCCTTCTGGCCTATATTTATAGTCAGCATGACCTTAATTGGAAGAGATAAGAAAACTAGTTCAAACCAGCTTCCCAGAAGGTATAACCCAAACAACTCATGACCCTTCTGCCTGCTTCTCTCACACAGAGAAGCTTCTAGTAGCTTATAGAATCGTCTTGTATTAATCAGAATAGGAAAGATCTCTACACACCAGTGCACTTTCTGCACCAAGAAATGCAAACTGACAGATAGTGGGAGGGCAATGCAGTCCTTTTCTCATGGCCAGACCATTATTTAGTTAAGTTTGGACTGACAGTGGCAGTTCCCCATTGTAAGGGTAATGGGCCCATTTGGATGGCCCACCCTCAGAAACTGATGGAGCCGGATATGTTCCTGGATGCTCTGGGGAATTTTTCAGTTGAGAAAGCTGGTGATCCTGTCAAAGCCCTGGTCTCTCGATATGAAATGATAAAATAGGCAGTTGACATTATCACTCTTGAGTGTCCCTTCTGGCTTAGTGCAGCCCGAGCTGCTCCAAGCTATGAAAAGCCGGACAAGAAGTGGAGCGCAACTGGTGCAAGTCTTGCTGGAAAACTGGCTGAACACTGGTAAATAACACATAATCATGTGTACCATGTGGCAGTATGGACTGTGGAAAAAGTCTCATTTTTCAGCTTGCATTGCGTCCCCAAGTAGGTAGCCATCGGAATTATTTCTGTTCCATTCTCAAGCCAGTTATTGAGGCTATTTGCTTTTCTCTTGAGTTAATTTACCGTATTTACTCAAATCTAATGCTCACCATTTTTGGCCACCTTTTTTCACAAATTACACTGCGAAAATTAAGGGCGCACTAGACTCAAGTAAATACGGTACTTTGCTAGTGGCTCCCTATTTGTGGACTGTTCTCCCCAGGGACGTTCCGCTGGCGCCTTCATTATACACCTTTAGATGTCAGGCAAAAATGTTCCTTTTTAACTAGGTTAAACTTGGTTGATTGACATCTGCTGCCCTTTAAAATGTGTTTGGAAGGGGGGGAATTATTGGGTTGTCTTTGTTTTTATTATGTTTTTATTATGTATTTTCTGTTTTTTATGTTGTGAACCGCCCTTCGATCTACAGATACAGGGCGGTATACAAATTTAATAATAGTAATGATAATAGTCTATATTGTGTGTTAGGAGCAGCGGTGTGCTAGGAGACTGGGGGATTGCAGCATTCATGCACAGCTAGCAGGAGCTCTTAATTTCAATGTGCAGCACTATATTTGTTTTATTTTTACCGTTGAAATTGTAATCCTTCCCATGAAGGCAAATGAAATGCTCTGTGAACAGATTTTTGTTTTTTCCTCAGGCTGGTGCGGAGTTCATTGAGAAGACCTTAAAGAACCTGACCACGAGCACAGATCCAGTCTCTGTAGTCCACAGCACTGACCTAGTAGTGGAAGCCATTGTGGAAAACTTGGCAGTAAAAAACGAGCTCTTCAAGACATTGGATAAGTTTGCACCAGAGTATGTTCATAAAATGTTACAAAACTAATGCAGAATGTCCTTGTTATCTACTAGTTTTCACTAAAATATGGGCCTGTACAGAGTAGGCGAGGCAAGCCGAAATCTCCTATCTAGCCACCCTTTCCCACTGATTGGTGTTTACTTGGATATTTAGACTTCTCGGATGCTTCCAGATGGGGACTTGAATTTGCAGACAGATTATTGGGATATCACAAAATGGGTTGTTGGTTCCAGGGTTTCTCTCCCCACTTACTGAAAGCAGATTAAATGGGAGAGGGGACTGCGAGCTGGTATGTGAAACCTACGATCGTTAAGCAGACGGAGATTATTTCAAAATTGATTGGTGACCTCCTCCCAAAAACTTGGGCAAAGAGGTGCCTCTTCAATTAAAAGTGAAAAAGAAAATAAATGTTGCAGCTATTTCACCGGCAGTGCAAACTGAGATGCTTCAAAAGAAAGCATTCAGTAGGAAGATTTAAGTTCTACAGGAAGTTTGGAAGTTCATCGTAATTCCGTATATATTATTCGGTGGTAGCTAATCATTTGAAGATCCCTGTTTCTCTTTTTTTGCTCACGGGGAGAGGCCTGAGAACTGAGTGAAGATACTAACTTCTGAAGCAAACGGAGGTGGAGCAGTTCTCCGCTTGTGAGCAAAGATTAAAAAGATATCCCTGTGCCAAAGAGCCACCTCCAACCAATTATTTATGTAAAGTCCCGCCCAGGCCTCCAGCTGTTCATGCCAAAGAAATTTAATCTTTGCTACCACTGTAGTTTCTGAAGAATCCTAACCCTTAAGTGAGCAGCGTTATACTTTCTTCTAGACTGATAAAATAACCAGCTAAGAAGGCTGAAGGAGGGGGCGGGGGGGAATTAATATAGGCCTATTCTAAAGTGGTATATTTATCAGATTGATTTGGTTATTACTGAATGTTTGTGGGCAGTCTGCTGACTCCTATTCTTCTTCCATAGATAGTAGTCTGTTACATTTTACATTTATTATTTATTAAAAACATTCTGTGCCACCTCTCGCATCAAGTCTCAAGGTGGTGTACAGTAACATTTTAAAAAACAACAACATTTCAGTGAGATAAAGATAACAGCTGACAATCCAGGGTAGAATTAAGGTCTCACTGAAATTAATTGCCCACAAATGCCTGGGAACATAAATATGCATTCAGCAGGCTTTGAAACACCATCAGTGTTGGTGCTTGCATCAGCTTCGACGGCAATCCCTAGAAAGGGTACCACTGCGGAGAAGCCCTCCCTGGCCATAGAATCATAGTATTGCAGAGTTGAAAAGGGGCCACAAGGGTCATCTAGTCCAACCCCCTGCAATGCAGGAATCTTAGCTAAAGCATCCATAACAGACGGCCATCCAACCTTTGCTTAAAAACCTCCAAGGAAGGAGAGTCCACAACCTGCTGCTAAGCAAGTCTCCAAGGACTGGAGCACAACGTGGGGGCCTCAGACCAAAGTAGGGTAAGGTGTTCCTTCAACTAACCAGGTTCCAAGTTTAGAGCTTTACAGGGGAGAACCAAAGCATCAAACTTGACCCGTAACCTCTTGGCATGTAATAGCAGGACGCCCCAGTGAATAGCTTAGCTGCTGCATTTTGCAATACAGGCGACTCCCCACTTATGCAGAAGTTTCGTTCCAGGCCCCTCCGTGTGCATAAGTGAAATGTGTGTAAGTGGGTTGCCCATTGCAATGCCTGCAGCTTTCTGACCAACAGCTGTTGAGCTGAGTAGTGTGGCAACAGCAAGAGCTCCCACACGCCATTTTGGACCCCTTGGAGTCGTCCTCCTCCTGGACTTCTGGCTCATGGACATCCTCTTTGGCCCAGGCCATGGGGACTTTCCAGCTCTCTCCCGCCATTTCAGGTTAGAATTTAATTACTAACATATTTCCCTGCAGTTACGTGCAAGTGAGGAGTCGCCTGTATAGTTTCAGCCTCCAGACCAACCTTTAAGGAAACCTCACAGTGCATTACGGTAGTCCAGTCTTGAGGTTATCCGTGCATGAATTGCAGTGGCAAAAGTACCTACGTCCAGGAAAAGTTGCAGCTGGCCTACCAGCCATAACTGCAAAAAGGCATTCCTACTGACTGCAGCCACCTGGGCTCTGGAAAAAGGAGCGTCACACATAATCAGTTCAGAAGGGTACTAGATTAATCAAGTGGCAAACTTTAAACTGCAGCTAATATTATTATTAATTAATTGCACCACACAGTTGAGTAAATCTTGCATTAAACCTGTTAATAATTCACTGGAATTGATTGGGCTTTACCACTTCTAGAAGCCCCCCCTTTTTTGTACATTTGGAACACATTCCTGTCTTCCTGTTAACAGAGACTTATAAGAGACTTATAAAATTAGTTCATCACAGAAAATGAGTTCACTAGCTGAAGCAGAATATAGAACAGTGAGTGGTGACTTCTGAACCATACTATTTTAATTTTTATTCCCATTATACAGCCCACAAGGTGGCGCTGCAAATATGGGAATAGATTTTATTAAGGGTATTGGAGTGGTGCTGGAATTTTAAAGGATGCACTTTAAAAGAGTGCGCCATGTAGACGCTTATTCAGAACTGAAAGCTTGTTGGAGGGGCATCTGGCTATGACTTCTGTGTCACTGAATCTTTACTTGAGATTGAGAAAGACACAGCATTTTGAAGGCTGAAATAAAATGAAAGATGTAACTTTTTAACGCTGCAGCTAGCAAGGTTTTGTTGTTTCTGGGTACATGGGACAGAATGCAATTGCTGCATGTCTAAAGAGCAAGTAAATCACACAAATACAACCAACTTAAAATACAATTGCAATTTATTTTATATTAAGTGTCCTAAGCCTGCTGTTTATTAAATTCAACCTTAGAGGTAAAGGGTAAAGGTAAAGGGACCCCTGACCATTAGGTCCAGTCGTGACCGACTCTGGGGTTGCGGCGCTCATCTCGCTTTATTGGCCGAGGGAGCCGGCGTACAGTTTCCAGGTCATGTGGCTAGCATGACTAAGCCGCTTCTGGCGAACCAGAGCAGCGCACGGAAATGCCGTTTACCTTCCCACTGGAGCGGTACCTATTTATCTACTTGCACTTTGATGTGCTTTTGAACTGCTAGGTTGGCAGGAGCAGGGACTGAGCAATGGGAGCTCACCCCGTCACGGGGATTCGAACCGCCGACCTTCTGATCGGCCAGTCCTAGGCTCTGTGGTTTAACCCACAGCGCCACCTGCGTCCATAGTAACCATGATGCTTAATAAAAACCACTTAATAGGCATAACTAATGTAAGTTAATATGTTGCATTACAGTATAAGTAGCAGAAGGCCAGGCCCCATTTCCAGCAATAACAACTAAGCCAAAGGACTGGGTGAGGAAATACGTTTTTACCTGGTGCCAAAAAAACATTGGGCTAACTGCCGTTTGAACCTCAGAGGGAAGTTCACCCAGGAATTGTGATATCTTCTATAAAGTATTACTTTAACATGCTCTGTGTGGGGCTGCCTTGGGAAAGTGCTCAGAAACTTCATCTGACTCAAAGAACATTGCTAACTGGGGCTGGCTGTAGGAAGTATACAGCTGCCTTGCTAGAACAGCTTCATTTTCTACTGGTCTGTTTCTGGGCAGAATTCCAAATGCTGGTTATCACCTATACTGCTCTATATGGCTTTGGCCTAAGCTATCTGAAAGACCATACTGCCTCATACGAACCTGTTCAGGTTTTGACATGTTTAGTGGGAGGTCCTGCCACCCTCACAGGCACGCTTGGTCAGGAAGCAAGAGAGGGACTTATCTGTCCCTGCTCCCAGACATTTTAATTTCAAGCAGTAAATTTCCAGGGTTCTGTCTCTTTACTTCTGTAAAGTGTTGGACCAGGACCTGAGAGACCAGCGTTCAAGTTCCCACTCATCTATGAAGCTCACTGTGTGGTGTTGGGCCAGTCACTGCTTCTCAGCCTAACCTACCTCACAGGATTGTTGTGGAAATTAAATGAGGAGAGAGAGAACCATGTATGCCACCTTGAACTCCTTGTAGGAAAAATGTGGGGTATGAATAAAAATAAATAATAGCCTATAGAGTCCTGAAAGCAGAGAACATGCAACTGATGCCAAATGCATGTTGTTTCTCCACAGGCATACCATATTTGCCAGCAACACTTCATCATTGCCCATCACGGAGATAGCCAATGCTACCACGAGGCAGGATCGCTTTGGCGGCCTACATTTCTTTAATCCGGTGCCTTTGATGAAACTTGTGGAGGTAAAGGGGTTTTGAAAATGTTCTAAAATGTTGCAGCATGGTTGGAGTGTCTTGCTACCTGTGTGTTGCAGAGGTTCTCCATGTTTGTTTGTTTGTTTGTTTCACCCTCTGTCTCCACGTTTGATCAGTCATGATCCCAGGGCAGGTTTTTGCACCACAGATAAAGGTAAAGGGACCCCTAGCCATTAGGTCCAGTTGTGGCCGACTCTGGGGTTGCGGCGCTCATCTCGCTTTATTGGCCGAGGGAGCCGGCGTACAGCTTCCGGGTCATGTGGCCAGCATGACTAAGCTGCTTCTTGTGAACCAGAGCAGCACACGGAAACGGCGTTTACCTTCCCGCCGGAGCGGTACCTATTTATCTACTTGCACTTTGCTGTGCTTTCGAACTGCTAGGTTGGCAGCAGCAGGGACCGAGCAACGGGAGCTCACCCCGTCGTCGGGATTCGAACTGCCGACCTTCCAATCGGCAGGTCCTAGGCTCTGTGGTTTAACCCACAGCGCCACCCATGTCCCAGCACCACAGATAGAATCATGTTAATCTACAGTAAAAACCAGGATGTGATTTAAACATCAGACTTTTTAAAACAAAATTTAAAAAAATTGAGCAGAAAGAATAGAATATTGATTCACAACTATCACATTATGTCGGGACCCTCGGAAGGCCTGGGGGAGAAGATGTCACCAACAAGTGAGTGGGGTCTGTGCTAGCCACACCCGCCAAGTGAGGGTTTCCCATAGTGATGCTTGTTGTTCTGCTCTGGTCATTTCTAGTGCTATTTTAATAGCACAGGTGTTCAGAGGGTAAAAGCTGCTCAATTAAGCTGGCGCTCAATATTCAGGTGGGGCTCCGTTATTCCCTCTAATGGTGAGAGTCGAGAGAACCGGAGCCACAAGAGGGCTGCTGAGGAACAGGTGAACTTACCATACTTCCGGCTGATCGTCCCCGAAAGAACAAGGAAAGTTCTTCAAAATGACTGTCCCGGGATAGGAAACTCCTCATGACCATAACCACATAGACAGACCAATGAGATCTTACATGTGGACAGAATGCAGCTTTTTATCCAGAAAAGAGTTAGATGATTATTATTTTTTAAATCACTGCATGTGATTTCTCATGAGTCTTTCTCATGAGTAGCTGACACAGGTATAGATTACTTGTACCTAAGGAAAGCATGGCATGTGTACACCAAACCTCCACATTACCTGCCCCCCCCCCTTGCAAGATCCATGGATTGTGAACCACCCTGAGATCTACAGATAAAGGATGGTATACAAATTTAATAAATAACAGTAATAATGTTCAACAAGTGGATAGTCTGCATACACAATAGTTGAGCTGTAGAAATCATCAAAGTGTATGCTGTCCTTCACCTGTTGATCTCAGGGCAATTCACAACATAAAATTACATTATAAAAACCACAGAAGACATAATAAAAATAAGAACAGCAACAGACCCATAATCGCCGCCCCCCCCCCTTCTGCATGTGTAGGGACAGTGTGTACCTGTGTTCAGTGTGAGCAAGTATTGTGTTGGTCCCTCTCTCAGAATGGCTGCTTTTATGAAAGTTAAACTTGTTGTTGACGTAAAGAGAACCCCCCCCCAGCCCACCCACCTTTGATGGTTTTGTTCTTAGGTTATCAAGACTCCAATGACCAGCCAAAAGACTTTCGAGTCCCTCATGGATTTCAGCAAAGCATTGGGGAAGAATCCGGTCTCTTGTAAGGCAAGTATATTTTATATTGTGGGAGGAGGGAGGTCCAGGTAAGTTCAGAGTGCTTCAGACTTGGAGGCATTGGGGATTTTTTCTGCTCTGCTCATGAAGTCATCCTTTAAATTTTAATTTTTTTAAAAAAAAATCACAGACAACAGGTTGCCAAAAATGATTTTTTTAATAAGACTCAGTGCTCTGCCAGCCCCCTCTGCCTGCTTTCTTTCCATCCGAGGGGTGGTTCTGGCTGTCAGCTGCCTCCTTAATTTCACTGCTGCCTTTGTAGAACTTGAGCAGGGAAGAGGATGGGGAGAAAACTAGAATTAGTTGGCTCTGTCTGCCCTTGGATGTGGTTCCACCGAGTGTTGGTCTCACTGCCTTCTTCCAGTTGCAGAGGCCAGTCACCGCCATTACTGACTAGATTGATTACTAATGATCATCATATCTGAAAGGCCAGTCCAAGCCAAATAGAAGAGATTTGGGGCAGGACGGGAAGAGAATAGTAGAAACGATAAATATTGTAGAACAATTCATGATGCTCATGAGATAAGCTAGTGTGCTGTAATGACTAAGACTAAGCTCAGGAAGCCAGTAGGTGATCTTAGACAAGTGCTTCTCAGCTTCAGCCACCATCACCAGCGGCTGCCAGATCTACATAATATAATTTATTGACTGTTCGTTTTGGCTCTTCATATTCTTGCTATTTGGTTTCTGTTTTAGTAACTGCATTTTAATTATGGGTTGTTGTTGTTGTTATTATTATTATTATTATTATTGGTTTTTTGTAATCTGCTTTGAAGTGGAGGAGAAGCAGAAATAACACAAGAACATTGGTTAATAATACTAGTCTAACTTGCAGAGTTACAAGCTAATGCACGTGAAGCACTTTGAACATTGGAATGCGTTCTGTAAATGCTAACATAGTATTTTTGTCAAAACAAGGAATGCATCACTTGTCCATTGTATTCTGTAGCTGATTCTCCTTCCTCTTGCTTTCAGCGTAGTAGGCACATTTTGAAATAACTTACCAGTATAGAACTTGATAGGGTCCACTTTAATCCCTGTCTTTCTGTTGACAGGACACTCCTGGGTTTATTGTCAACAGGCTTCTCGTGCCTTACCTGATGGAAGCAGTTCGGCTCTTTGAGAGGGGTAAAGATAAGCAGAGTTCTGCTTTGTGGGATATGAACGGCTTATTTGTGTTGTGCTGTGGAACGTTGTTCTCGAGCAATCATTTTCTCTGGCATTTCATACCGTGTCAGAAATCAGAATGAAAAATAAATTCTTGGAACTATTCCTGTTAATGTGGGGAAATTACCTCTGTGAAGTACGTAGGTACTTGTGTGAAAATGGTTGTTTTTTTTGTTCAGTTAGACAAAACCCTTTTGGCATATGCACACAAATTGAGAGTCCACACCAGATCCGTTCTGACATGTGTTTCCTCATTCACCCTGTCACTCTGCTTTTCTTTCATTGTAAGTGCAGCATTGCTCTTATATTCCCCGTGTGCCCAGTTTGTTCATTATCTAGCTGTGTTGACAATACAACATGGACTAGAGAGCTGGTGCCATTTTGCATACTCTGGTGGCACTTGGTTAGTACAGTCTGCATGGCCACATTCCAGTCTTTTTGATAGATTACAATGTGTTTCTTATCTGCCATTACAACTCTTACTCATTTGTTAAAGACACCCCCACCCCATACCCAAAATTAGCTTATTGAGCTTTGGGACAGAGGATATCTCTGGAACTGGACCTATTAACTACCATTTCAATTAAACTGGGAAGTGCCAAATTGCAGTTGGAGGCATTGTAATGAACAATGTTCTTCTTAAGCTTTTTCATTTTAACTCTATGTACAAAATTGGAGCCAAAAAGAATCTAGATACATGAACTGAAAAGTGAGTATTAAAAAAAATACATCAGTAGGCATAATGAATAATGAGTTTTGTTCTTCTTGCCCAGGCTGGGTATACTCTGGGCTAAAATATCCAAATGGTACATTCGGTTGTGTAAATACCTATGCCAGGTACAGGTGGCCTGCTGCAGCAGTGGGAAATCTTGCTCAGAGATTTTTTGTTTGCAAGCATGGTGCTCACACTTTCAAACCCATCTTTATGCCATCAATATTAGCCTCACATCTGGCATTGCTTGGGAATTTTAAGAAACCAGCAAAATTAAGTGCAGTTTTACACCAGTGCATAAAATCAGTGCAATTTTAAAAGATCCAGTCCGCCATCTTGATTCAAAATGGTGTTCATTTGCAGACAAAAAGTCTGCCTGATCCTTCATCTCAGGAACCATCGCACAAAATTTGGTTAAGATACCTTAAGTGGTTTCCAAATGCTGCACCGGGGACAAACAATTTCCCAAAAAGACATAGTTGATGCTGTTAGAGATAGGAAACTTGCTTTAAAAAGACTGGTCTTTGTGAGATTGGATCCTATGAGATTGGATCCTATGACCCATAGTTCTCTCTTTGCCAGTCTTTCTTACATTCCTGGGCCAGCACAAATGTTTTTGAGCAATGAAAATGTCTTGGGGCATTGTGATCCATTTCTCTTCTCTGTGTACCATTTTACTGCTACAGTGTCTCGTAGGGTAGATGGGGTTGATGAAAGCAGTTTGATGGGAGTAGGAATAATGAGCCAAGGGCAAATTAACTGCTAGCACAAAGTGCTGGACAGTTCCTGCCCTGGTACTGTGTTGATGGAAATAAGGAATTACTATTTTTGTCTTTCATACCTGAGAGCCTGCCTTGAAATGAGCCTTGTCGTCTTCAAAGGAAACACGCTTGTTGTGTGAAAAGCTAAAGAGAAAGTTACTCTGTTGTAACTGTTCAGATTAAGCCCCCTTTCATGGTTGTCTGCTATTAAGAATGTTATTTCAAACATTTTATTTGGAAAGCAGCCTTCCCTCGCAGATGAAAGACCTCCATTATCAGGATCTCCGCAAATATATTTTAAATATTAAAAGCTCCCTTTGTAGTTCATAAAAGTGTCTTCAGCTTGTGAAACAAAATTAACTATACTTCTTGCTTATCCATCAACAAATACTGCTAATTACTCCTCAAAGGCAGTATAAGAACAAATTAGAGTGATTTTTCAAAAAGCAAAGGAGTGGCATTATGGAAACAACTTTTGTTTTATCTGAAAGCTCACCATATAAAGTGCTTCAGTTAAATGTTGCATTCCTGCATGCATAAAATATATATCCATTTTAAATTTACATGGGTGAGAAACGGGATGTGGCTTTGTCTGATTAAATGTATTCTTTAATTTAAGTCTTCGCCCCCTCCCTTCGGCTAAGTAGCATCCTGATTTTTGTTTTTGATGTGGCTTTTTAAAAATTTAAGACTTGGGATTTTAAGAACTTGTTGGAAAATGTATTAAAACTAATGTGGTAAAAAAAAAGAAAAAAGGTTGGCATCTCACTGCAACCCGATGTTTTGTTTAATTGTGCCAGACTTGAGAGAGGTTTTATTCATTCCAGCAGGAGAGGTAAAGGCCAGTGTAATTCTATGTATTAAATTGTAGTTTATGGCTTTGTCCTTGGCCTTTTGCTCACACCCTCCTAAAAAAAATAAATATCAAAGTAAGATGGAAGTTCTAGCATATGATTTTTCAGACTTTCCATTTTCAGGGAGCGCTTTCTACTTTAACACAGCTTTCTGAAGAATCGGCTAAGCCTCTGTCATGGAATCTCTTTACACTGCACAGGATTCTGTATGCAGTGAGCCTGCATTTTTGCATCAGCCGCAGTGCATGTGCCTACTGCCATGCAGACCCTGCTATTGTGCCCACTCCCCTCCATTTGCTGTTAAATGGTGGGAGGAGTGAGTCAAGCTCAGAATGAAGCCACTGACCCCTGTTAAAAGCAGGGCATCAGGTGGTCCCCATCCCAAACCACTGGGAAGCCACATCTTTCGTGATAATCTGTTAACTGGTATACTGACGTTGTGCAGTTTCTGCAGCAAAGCCTTCTTAAAAGCTGCTGCTTTATTGAGTGCGGAGCCCAAATGCCTTAGTGAGTTGAAACCAAGTTTTAGGCCTTGAAAGAAGGGAGAACAGATGCTGACCTTTGTTAACCCGCCTGTCAACTGTGTCCTTAGGAGATGCAGCAAAGGAAGATATTGACGTTGCCATGAAGCTCGGGGCAGGCTATCCCATGGGCCCGTTCGAACTCCTGGACTACGTTGGTCTAGATACCAGTAAATTTATTATAGATGGTATGTACATTTTTCCTGACAAGCTTGATGATACAGTGGTGCCTCGCAAGACGAAATTAATCCGTTCCGCGAGTCTCTTCGTCTTGCGGTTTTTTCGTCTTGCGAAGCACGGCTATTAGCGGCTATTAACGGCTTAGCGGCTTAGCGGCTATTAACGGCTTAGCGGCTTTAAGAAAAAGGAAACAAACTCGCAAGAACTCGCAAGACGTTTCGTCTTGCGAAGCAAGCCCATAGGGAAATTAGTCTTACGGAACGACTCAAAAAACGGAAAACTCTTTCGTCTAGCGAGTTTTTCGTCTTGCGAGGCATTTGTCTTGCGGGGCACCACTGTATATACCATATTTTTCGCTCCATAAGACGCACCTGAGGATAAGACGCACCTAATTTTTAGAGGGGGAATGCAAGGGGGAAAAAATTCTTTAAAGGGAGTGCTGAGCAGAGCCTGTATGCATTCCAGGCTCTGCTCAGCTCTCCCTTTCACGAGCCGCGAGGAGCGCGTGTGCAGCGCTTGCAGGCTTTTCCCCAAGGAGGGAGAAGGGCAGCCCGTCAGTGACGGGCTGCCTTTTTTCCTCCTCGGGGAAAAGCCCCCAAGAGCCGCACACAAGTTTCACGCTGCTCTTTAAAGGGAGCGCGGCTCTTGGGGGCTTTTCTGGGAGGTGGGGAAAGCAAAAGTCCCGCAAAAGTCAGGGATAGCCCCGCAAAGCCTCCGCAGGGCATGGGAATGAAGGCTCCCCATGCCCTGCGGAGGCTTCGTGCGGCTAAGCCAGAAGCTAGAACAGCTAGAGGGAGCGCTGCACAGTGCTCCCTCTAGCTGTTCTGGCTTCTGGGATAGCTGCGCAGCCTGCATTCACTCCATAAGACGCACACACATTTCCCCTTACTTTTTAGGAGGGAAAGGGTGCGTCTTATAGAGCGAAAAATGCGGTATGTATTTTACATGCATCTTTCTTTATTGAAAGAGAAACCCAAAGTGGCTCACAAGTTAAAATAGATATGGTGTGTGTCCCCTGCCCCTGTTCTTGCAAACAGCTAATGGGGCTTTGTGAAACTTCAGTTGTGTTGAATTCTGTTGCTGTTCTCACATGGGGGGAAAGTGACTGTTCCTGAGAATCACAGAAGAGGGTTCCTTATTGTCTGTCTCAGTCTTGCTTCTGGTAAGAGTGAGCTTGACTAAACTACTGTTTATGGTAGGTTCCCCCCCTCCCCACTGCGAGGGGTCTTTGTCAACAGTTCCCTTGGAGGTGCTAAAGATGACAGTTGCATCAGCACAATCCCTATGTTAGGGAGAGTTTTAGTGGTCCTGGGGCTGTGTGTGTGTGTGTGTGTGTGTGTGTGCTCCTAGAGCCAGGCTCAGGGAACCTGTGGTTCTATGGATTTTGGACTATAGTTCTCATCGCTATTGGAATCTGCATAACATCACCTGAGTCACTAAGACCTGTGCTTAGACTTGAATAAAGTGGAAGAGGTTGCTGGATTTTCAGAATTTAGTCCTGTAATTCCCCTCCAGTCCTTTTTGAGCAGGTGAAGTATGCAGTTTCCCCCTCCATTCTCAACTACCCCAGGTGAGTTAGTTGGGAATGAAGGCCTTGAAAATAACCAGCATCTGATCAAATTGAGACTTTACGTAACGGGCACGCGCTGCTCCTTTCCCCCTCTCTCACCAGGGTGGCATTTGTTAGAGCCAGACAACCCTCTCTTCGCTCCAAGCCCGCTGCTGGATAAACTCGTAGAGGAGAAGAAGCTGGGGAAGAAGACTGGAGAAGGATTTTACAAATACAAATGAACTGGGCCATGTTTTTCCAGAGTTAAGGATAACCTCCTTGTGCCATTTGGATGTACTTGGAATGCTGCTTAATGAGGGCTTTTAAAAAGAAGTAGTCAACACTACTATATAATCAAAATGCACAATGTGTCTTGAGGCAATTGTTTTCCCGGGTTAATGATTTTCTCGATCTATGATTCTGAGAGCTTTACATTCTCAAAGTGCCTTTTTTTCCTAAGCTCCCTGTCTCAAAGGCCAAATAAATGGGGTCTGAGTTAATAAGACTTGTAACAAGCATCCTGTTTAAGAGGCGGACACTTGAATGCGAATAAAATAGTCCCGAGATCATCTTGATAAGCAGCACACTGCTTTTAATTTATCTTTTTCTTTCTTGGCCAGTAGGTGGCATTATGATAGCATTGTTCTGAATGCAAGCGGAAACACAGTTTTTGCATGTCAACCAGTGACATTTTATGAAAGGCAAGCTTGCACCTACTGGTGCAAATGAGCGATACCTTAACCACTATCTCCTTTATTCTATTGTCTCTGTATAGGTTTTCAGCTTTAAACCTGGACGCGTGTACTTGCCTTACTTAATAAATAGAGGTGAAGGAGACAGCAGCCGAGAGTTCCTAAGCTACTTAATAATTTTAAAAGGGGGGGAGGAGGCTCCCTTGCTAAGGAAACTGAGGTATGATCTTTCGAGCCTTCGTTTTTCTTCATTTAAAAGCCACCCATCTAAGTGTGGCTACAACTGCAACTAAAACTTATGCAGATTCCACTAAATTCACGGCACAGGTTTCCACCTCTGCTTTAGAGTCTCAGGTAGGAAAAATATTAGAGCCTTGCAGAAACTATGCATGAAGTTTGAGACAACTGCTTTTGGCTATGTGGGGGGGGGGGTACCTAAGAACTGGATACAATGCCAAGATAGCAAGTACAGTGCTACCTCGGGTTACAGACGCTTCAGGTTACAGACGCTTCAGGTTACAGACTTCGCTAACCCAGAAATAGTACCTCGAGTTAAGAACTTTGCTTCAGGATGAGAACAGAAATTGCGCGGCAGCCCCGTTAGCTAAAGTGGTGCTTCAGGTTAAGAATGGACCTCCAGAATGAATTAAGTTCTTAACCCGAGGTACCACTGTATAGCTGTTTGGGATTTACTTCTTTTTCCATATACCTGGCTTAAATTACATTAAGAGTAGGGCAAGCATGCAAAGCCAACAGGAGTGAAAGTGTTTTGCATGAGTGATAAACGGATACTTTTGTTCAGGTTAAGCTATATAAAGTTTAAATTCTCTATATAGACACAATCCCCACAAAAGAGAACCTCGTATTACTTAATCCCTTCCCAGTATTATTATTAATTACTACAACTCCTGTTTTAATAGGTTGTCCTCTGTTCACCCTAAGGTCCCAAGGTAGGTTACAACAGTTAAAATACAGTGTTAAGAAACAGCTTAAACAATCTACGCCTGCAAAAATAGGGTGGCAGGTGTCAAAGAGTTGGGTCTTCTGCATTTGCCGAAAACTGTCTTTTCACAACTAAGGGGCTGCCACAGTGGATGTCCTCTCCCAGCTCACCACCTCCCTGAGATTCTGAGGGTGGTGGAACTACCAAGAGGGACCTCTCTGCTGAACTTTGACTTTCCCTTCCCTTTTGGAGAATACTGGGCTGGCAAAGGAAAGGAAGAAAATTAGTGTTTGGATCTGCATTATTTTATGGCTATAGATAGGAACTGGAGCGAACAGAAATGCAGGAAAATAAGTGGGAGTCAGAGGCTTGTTAGAAAGTTGTACTGTGACAAGTGTTTCTGTCGGCAGCATAGCTGTAAACCAGGCATAGGCAAACTCGGCCCTCCAGATGTTTTGGGACTACAACTCCCATCATCCCTAGCTAACAGGACCAGTGGTCAGGGATGATGGGAGTTGTAGTCCTAAAAAACATCTGGAGGGCCAGGTTGGCCTATGCCTGCTGTAAACCAAGATGATAAATGGATACCTGTCAGAGCCCTAAATTGTCAAGATTTAATTGTGAATTAAACATTCACTGAAGTGAATATATAGTTCACTGTGAAGCTTGCTTGTCTCCCCCCGCCACCTCCTATCAAAAAAGACTAATGGTACTATCACTGATCATCTGAGGTGGGCACCTGACTGATGGTGCAATGTTTTTCTCCTACCACTATTGGTGCAGAACGAAACGTGATGTTTGCTGTTCATAGTTATCCTCTCCCTACAACATTTAGGAAAAGCCGTGGCTTCCTGCCAGCAGCAGCCAGTCACGTGGAACAGAAGTAAGGGAGTGGTTTAACAGTTAATCCTGCTTCCCAGGGAACTCTGGGAATTGTAGCTCTGTGAGGGGAATAGGGGGGATTCCTAACAACTCTCAGCACCCTTAATGAACTACAGCTCCCAGAATACTTTGGCGGAAGACACGGCTGTTTAAAGTCATAGTGCTTTTATATGTATGGTGTGAATGTGGCCTCAATATTATATATATTACTCTGGCAACGGCTCTTGAGGGTTTCAGGTAGGGGACATTCCCAGAAGATGCTGGGGATTCCACTTCTCTCAAGGGCCTAAATCACTCTTAAAACAATAGAAAAGTCATGCTAAAACTAGTGAATCATTACATTTTATGTATGACCTTTGGGTGGAAAAGTGCAAGTATTCACCCTGAATTTTGGACACTGTTAAAGGATAGTCTTGCAGGTTACCCTTGAAGTGCTAATTGAAAAATTGAGTCCACCTGTGCATCGGAGTGCCATTTTTGTCCTCATAGGTTGTACCAAGTTTCTGTAAAACATGTGCTCTGCAAGCGTAATTGAATGCACACAGTAGATCCCCAAGGGCCGTATGTGAAGTTGGTGCATAGGAAAAGTGGCTGCTATCTCTCAAAACAGAGTTCACTGTTCAAAGCCAACAGCCTTTCTGTTCCAGAGCTCAAGACCCCTAACTTGCTCAGCTGTCTGCGATATCAACAACATATCGAACAAGGAGGCCTAAGCTAAGACAGTAGAAACCTCTCAAGTGAGGCAGTCACAGCAGCAGGTTGCAGTACTATGTCAGACTTCAGAAGATGAAGCAGCACAAAACGGTAGGATACACATAAGTACTTAAAGGGGGGAAAGGGGAATGCTTAAGATAAGAGCAGCTGTTTTCAGGCCTTGTCAAGGCATCCTTTGCCAGCTGTTCCAATTTGTGGTATAAACATCAAAATGAACGTGCAGACTCTGCTGCACATTGTTCAAATTTCGGGGGCTCACATAGACACATAAAAGCTGCAATGAGGTCAGAGGCTGAGAAGTGGCATTGAAAAGGTCTACAGGCTTACAAGAGTTGCTCTCAGACCTTAAGAACCACCGGTGCCGGATCCTGTGTGGCAGTGAACAAGGTTCAGGTGGCAGAAGGCAAGGCGGCTGATGGCCTTGCATGAGTTGGGATGCTTGGAAACAGGCTGTGTGTGCCATGGCAGCAGCAACACTAAGCACATCTTCCCCCTATAAACACAGAGACATACCCCTGAAAGTCAAATTCTAGCCCACCACTCGAAGGCAGCTTGTAGGGGGATGGGGCTGGGGGGAAAACAAGAGGCCACTGCTCAAACAAGGCAGTGCCTTGTGCAGCCTGTTTTATAACCATCTATCTAGACCAGGCATGGCCAAATGTGGCCCTCCAGCTGTTTTGGGGCTACAATTCCCATCATCCCTGACCACTGGTCCTGTTTGCTAGGGATGCTGGAAGTTGTAGTCCCAAAACTGGAGGGCCACATTTGGCCATGCCTGATCTAGACGAAGCAACCCAAGTCCAGATACAAACTCTAGGACAGCAGTGGGGGGAACCTTTTGGACTTGGCAGACCAGTACCTCCTCACCAGCTTGGCAGGCAAAGTTGGTATCATGTGACTGAGAACTGGCTTGACCAGCCCACCTGGTGAAGTTGGGGGAAGATAGTGATTTCAAAGCATCACTCAAGGCTTCCAAAGAGCCATGCTTTGAAGCTGCAGATTAGCAAGCTTGAATTCCCTGCCCTGCTTTGAGTTCCACCCTGCTTTCCGCGTGGATTTAACTGCACGCAACATTTTCCTATGGCGAACTTGATCATGCAGCTGAACCAGCCACATCTCTTACCTGCCCCATACCTGACATGTGATGTCAGGGGTGGGGGCTTGTTCTGGAGAAGAGCCACCTGCTGGACAAAATGTAGTCCATGGGCTGAAGGCCCCCCCCCCCCAAGGACTCACTTGTCAGGTTTTAATTGGGATTCACTCCCACAAAGGCATTTAAAGCTAACGGAATTTGCAAGCAATTAAGTTTCTTGTACCAGAAACTATGCCAAGACTTACTGCACTGCTGTGATGTCTGTCTGTGCCATACATTTTTAGAATTATCGCACATTTGGTAATGTATTTGAATCTGTTTAACTGTCGTTATATTGAATTAACTTTGTTTCCCAGGGACACATGCACAAAAGGAACCATTTCTAATGTATTCTGCTAGGTTAGATGACCTGCAAAGCAGTGTGCCTTTTCCTTGTGTTCTCTTGCCATAAGTCTTGGGAGAACAAATGGCCTATTGATAATGCTCTGTGTTATGCAGAAGCAGCATGGCTGTTGCATCCTAAAACTGAATTCCTAAGCATACTTAATAGGAAGTATTGCTGAACACCATGATACCATTTCCACATATACGTACATAGAATTGGGGAGCTTGAGCCACATAGCACCATCTCATAGGGTACAAATGAGTGCTGTTGAAAAGCAATGGCAGATGAGCCTCATTCAGTGTGCAAAGGTAAAGGTAAAGGGACCCCTGACCGTTAGGTCTAGTCGCAGACGACTCTGGGGTTGTGGCGCTCATCTCGCTTTATTGGCAGAGGGAGCTGGCGTACAGCTTCCAGGTCATGTGGCCAGCATGACTAAGCCGCTTCTGGCGAACCAGAGCAGCGCACGGAAACGCCATTTACCTTCCCGCCGGAGCGGTACCTATTTATCAACTTGCACTTTGATGCTAGGTTGGCAGGAGCAGGGACAGAGCAACGGGAGCTCACCCCGTTGCGGGGATTCGAACCACACCGACCTTCCGATCGGCAAGCCCTAGGCTCAGTGGTTTAGACCACAGCACCACCTGCGTCCCTCATTCAATGTGTATAGGACTGCAAACTTGGCCATGACTTAGGCCCCACTGATTTCAGTGAAACCTTGCAGCAAATAAAGGACCCAAGCCACACAGAACAGCTGATTATTTTTCCCCACCGGGTCCTCTTGCACTTGTTTTGGAGAGCATTGTATAAATATTGGAAGTGGCCTTACACTGAGTCCGGGTATATTAGTCCTTTTAGCTCAGGTATTATCTGCACTGACTTTCAGTGGCTCGCCAGGGTTACAAGGCAGGCAATCTGTCCTATCCAGCCAGATGTTGCAGATTGAAGCAGGAAACTTTTTGCATGCAAAGCAAATGTTCTTCCTGCTGAGTTATGACCCCTTCTTCCCCTGACTCATTTAAACAGCCATAAAGTATTTTGTAGTTTTATTACAAAGCTTTTATTTTTTAAAAAAACAAAAACAAAAAAAAATGCTCAGCACATTAACTCATACTGGAATGACAAAATATATATTGGTTGACAGGTATTTTTGGCAAAAAGGTTTTTTTTAAAACTTTTTTTTTTTAAAAAAAATGGGTACATCGATGCTCATTTCAACAACTGGCATAAAATCCCACTAAACAGGCTAACAAAAACAGATACAAATACAGAACAATTGAAGTAATAATAATTCAAGTGCTGGGCTTTTTTTTTTTCTTTACAAGGAAATTCAGGGTAGGTGGAGGAGGAGAGCTCGCTGTAGTCAGACCTGATGAAATATCTTGCCTTTACACATATTGAGTAAATGAAATAGATGAACATGGCTGGTGACCAGCTGATGTGTTATGTTTAGTATTAACTCCATAGTACACATATACAATGAGGATGGTTATGCTACAAAGTGTTAACAGAACAAAAAGCCACAGTCCTCCAAACATTTTGGTTCCTCTCCTGCAGGGTGGGGCAGCGGGGGGGAAGAGGATAGGAATTTCCTTTTCTTAAAAAATAAAGGGGGGGGGGACGTTTGGATGCTTCTTTAAAAGCTCAAAAAAATGTACACCAAGGAAATAACTAAAACATAAAAAGCATTCAAGTTTTCTTTTTTTAAAAGCTAAAAATCCAAGATCGATCCTTTTGCAGCATTTAAATAAACTGGGTTGTGCCTTCCTTGACGAATTTAAAGTGTGTTCATTTCGGTGTGAAGGGCCAGGATGGGAGTTGCTGCTGGCTTTTTACATCATTCTGCTGCCTGAAGCAAAACAAAAACACAGCCGAACTATATTTGCTGCTGACTCAGCATTGACAACGCATGAGAGATACAAACAGGAGTGTAAGGCGGAGCGAAGACCAAAAAGGAAAGAAGCTACTCTGCTGACTGGGGAAGTTCTGACATGTTCTCCTTGCTCTCTTTTATTGTGTTAAGATTTGGGACTCCATGATAGCAAAGGGGCCTGGCAGTGATTGTCTTTATGGTTCAGTGTCTTTTTAAGCAGCGACATCGGGGCAAGTGTTGTCGGCATCCTAGACATACTCCTTGATGGTGGTCTGTGCAGATGAAGGACATGCCTGGAGATTTTAACAAGCTTCCATTTCGAGAAGGGGCCCTGATGTCGCTGCCTTTGCTTTGCACGTTGAGAAAGCGTTTCTCTTTCCACCTGCAGGGAACAGAAAGGTGAAAAGTTTTAGGGTATATATTTAAGTATCAAGACACTTTATTTGTTTGATTATACTACTTTTTAGCATTTAGAGTAGGAGCATGGAACCTCAGGGTCTGTACCTGACTTCCACATGCATAGCTGTCAACGTTTCCCTTATTCCGAATAGGATTCCTCACAAGAAAAGGGAAAAGTTGACAGCTATGTCCACATATCCAGCATAAGAATAGAACACAGCTGTGTGCCCATGTTGCTTATATATGTGTGTGGCTGGGATCACACAGTGATTGGTACTTGTGTGTGCATATAAAATACACAATTGTACAGGTAACACACACATGGATAGTTCCTTTCACAAATGACCAGGGATGGGGGCCAACAGGTGTGATTCTGCTTTTCCTCCACATACTCTGCGAATATAGTTTGAAGGTCGGACTAGGGTTTTATAAGCACACTAACTGAAATTATCCTGTTTTTTCCATTGTTCACAGTGGTTACAAAACAAGGTCATTGCTAACAATAGCCAACGATTAAGACTAACCACAGAAGGACTGCAGTCAAAAGATAGCTTGAAACAACAGGTCCCGCAGACTTTGTGTAACGACAGAAACACAATAATGTCCTAACTGGTACGGGGAAGAGAGGATTCCTTAGCGTCATAGTAAAAAGCCTACACTCTGCGCTGTTGCTCTTTGTACAGTGCTTCTCGCTTACGGAGCCTCAGGCTATTGTTGTTGCTTTAAAAAACAATACAGCCCTAGGGAAAACCTGGAGCGCTTAAGGCAAATGTATCAAGCCAGGTTTATGGATGGCTGGCAATTTTTCATATTGACCTCCAATAATGGGTTGATACAGGATATTCCCTTATTACAGGAATCCCCAAACTCGGCCCTCCAGATGTTTTGGGACTACAGTTCCCATCATCCCTGACCACTGGTCCTGTTAGCTAGGGATGATGGAGTTGTGGTCCCAAAACACCTGAAGGGCTGAGTTTGGGGATGCCTGCCTTACTACTTAGGCATGAGGCATGGTGATGTTGCTACATGGTTTATCCAGCTGTTGACTAATGCTACGGTTGCATTTTGAGAGGCTGACTCCATTTTTCAAATAGAAAAAAAAATCTAGTGTTTTCAAATCTGTGTGCTTGGCTGATTAAATTTAACATGAAACATCACAATTCTAGCACACCTTTATCAGAACTTAAGCATGGACACTCAACAAGCAGTACATAGATTCACCGAACACCTGTATTTGTTCTCCAGGTTATTTAAGTGCACAGAAGATTGCACTGACTGTCTTTCCACAGCGCTAATCATATATTTTTTATTTTGCCCATCAACATATATGGCACCTGCCTTACAATCAAGTGTAATCACATGTATGTATGAGCGAGGAGAGGAATGAACCCAAAATGCTTCATGAATAAAACTGCTACAGAAACACAAAGACTGTTGCACAGTGTTTAAGATTACAGTGTATAGTTTCTTTTTTCTGTAATTGCTCATATGATGTGCACCCTCTAGGACCCTGATTTTACGCTACTGTTTGTTGCAGTTAAATCTTCCTGATGTTTTTAAACAGCATAGTCAAGTGCTTTCTGGGAAAGTGCTGCTTTCAGTGGAGGTGGTCTGTACCTGACTAACCTACTTCCCATTTCCTCATAAAACTCTTACTCCCCAAATTAAAAACCAAAACCAAAAAACTGCCTCAGCTTCCTGTCTCAGAAAACTTCTCCAGAAAACATGGGGATCAAAAGAGCCATGTGACGAGGGCTTTGGTTTTTCCAGGGAGCACAAAGGAGAGAGGCAAAGCAAACACCAGAGGAACACTGGCAAGAGAGGGAGAGAGCAAGAGAGCGCCACCCTGCTGATTTATATTTACTTTGGGCCTTTTCATCCCAGATTTTCAAAGGTTTGGTCCAGGTTGCTCTTCCTGGGAAGGTTTTCCTCTCAGTCTTACATTAAAACATTGTGTTTCCTGTCGAGGAGCGGCCTTGAGGCGCCAGGCCAGCAGTTCACAGAGCCCGATACAAACACTGCAATTCAGAGTTATTCCCCATTACCAGCCAGGAATGCACTCCTTGCTGAAGGAAATGAAATGCTCTTCTGTTGAGATGGTTCCCGCTTTTCCTCCTCTTACCAGCAGCCTTCCTTTGAAGTGAGGAGGTTAAAATAATGTGCGTGGCCTTGCTCTGGCCGCCTCCTTCGCGATAGCGGACCTTTTTAATTGTCATTATTTTCCTTCCCTTTCCTACACCGGACCACCCCCTCCCCCAAAGTGGAGGGGGGGTCTGCAAATACAATAGTTAAAATTTCCCTGGAGGCTACCCAGAGTTCAAGATTTTCTGCCTCTGATTTTGGTTCGTGTGTGTCCGTGCTTACACATTTGCCAAGAAATCATACAGTGAATCAATTCAGTAGCTCTGCTAAAGTCTATGAACTAAAAGTCCTTCGCCTGCTCTAAATACCTATAGCAATAAATATTAATAAAGATCCAAACTCCTGCAAGCATGAGCTACAAAGGGGAAGCGGCTTCCATTCCCTGCCAATAAGTTGATTGGAGCCTTAAAGGAACAGCTATGGTGTTGCCTTACAGATATAAAACAGGTCAAGCCAGGATTCTTTTCAAGAAACCACAGGTATGTGCTACAGAGACTGAAGACTTCCCACATCTAAGGCTTCACTGGAGGGCTGCAGCTGAAGTCTCGCCAAACCAGGCATGCCCAAGCAAAGTCCAAGCCGCAAGTGAAGTCGGCGCAATCAAAGACGGCAATTACAGCTCCCTGGCTGTGGTTAGGCTTCAAAGCAAAGCGCTGCGAGTCACATTTTAGCATATGTGAAGCCTTGAGCCCGAGCCACAACGAGATCCCAGTATGCTGGGTTATGGTGTAGTGCAGAGACTGCAGAGAAATGAAGGAAGCCGTTCCTCAGAAATAAAAGTTGGGCAGAAAGGGGGAAGAAAACGGTCCACTGTTAAAAGATAACACTGAAATTTTGGCAGCCAGAAAGGGTGCATAATTTGAGACCTGCGACATGCAGAGATCAGAGGCTGAAATTTAATTCTCTCCCCCCACAAAAAGTACCCAACAAGGTCTTGCCTTTTTTGCACTGCATTTTTAAAAGGGGTGTGGGAGCGAGTGGAGAGACATTTACATAGGAGTACGTTTTTTCGTTATTTCAGTTGGATTTGCTCATGAATAAATGTGTTTTCAGGCTAACGTTTATGGGTGAGTCGGAGTTTAAAAGGAACAGGAAAGTGAATCAAACTCAAGTTCTGCTATGACAGCAACCTCATGATTAAAACCACAGAGAAATGACAGCCCTTTTACTCCAGAGCTTCTTAGAGGGTGCCCTTCCATTCCCCCAGGCATTTTGTTCCTTTCTACAACACTTTATAGTTAAGCTCTATAGTGTACTTGGTTGCATCCTAAACAAACTTCCCACTGGCATTTCCTTAACTGGTCCAGTGATCAGTGCCCACGCTTTAAAATATCTGAGAAAAACTACATTCCATAATCTCCGTCCCCCCCAATCTAAGCAACATCTGACCATTGCCTTCCAACATTTCCTCATTTGTCATGCATTCCTAAGTCATAATCATTTTTATTGCACCGCTCTGAGTTCAGTGATCAGTTCCATCCCACAGTTCTTAAACCCTGATGATCTAAACCCAAGCTCACTAATTTAATAGGGTGCAATGTCAAGGAATCACTAACTCCCTTGTGTCATTCTGTCAGGGCTGCAAGTTTTATAAATCAGTAGATGAACCAACTAAACTTCTGGCTATTTGATATTAATCAGTCTGGGGTGCAATTTAAGGACACACTGGTCATATCAAATCAAGGCTTCAGGATCGGGGAAGACTATAAATCTAAGGCAGGCAGATGCCATTTCCTGCTGATTGTAATCTAGGGCAGCCAACCAATTAAATTTGATTATTAATTAATTAATTAAACTGTATATTAATATAACCTCAATACAGGTGCTAATCTTCTAATATTTTCTTTATAATAGTGTACCAGAATTATTATTTTAATTAGATAAATATATATTCATATGCAGTTTACTTAGTTAATTTAAAAGGCAAAGGATTCATCCATTGTTGGCAATCCTAGGTTATCATCAGCAGGAAATGGCATTTACCTTCCTCGCCCCATCTGATTTCATACAATCCAGTTGACATTATGATCAGTGATTTGTGCATCAGGATTCTTTTACCAATAATGATCAGTAATTGGGGGAGAGGCAATAGTGACACTTGCAATGCTTTAACTTCTCATGGCAGATTTTAGAGAGAAGCAATTTCTCAAGCAGTGCAACCCCATCGCCCGTGAGAAACATGGGCTTCAATCAATTTCAACAAATGACTGCAAATAAACCGGTTCAAAAATTAATTAGACTTTGAAAAAGGGGAAAGTTTCACTTTAAGGTTTTACCTTATGCATGACTCTCCTTCAAATATCACTTTCCACTATATTTCTAGAGTACCCAGGGCAGCTCACATCTAAAAACTATCATATGAAAAATGTTAAACCAGCTAAACTATAGTCATTGTACCATATAAAGAGCAATCTAATAAGGGAAATAACACAAAATCAGCCTGATTAAGTTAAGGTGATTATAAATGGTGCCTGAACACCATTACCAAGAGGGTAGGCAGTGGATATCTTGGGGCAGGGAGTTCGACATCCTCTTGGGTGTCCTAATCAGCTGCAACTCTGATGGCAGCAGGATGTAATGGCAAGTTTCCACTGATGAGCTGAGAAAGCAAGGCCACATTGGAGGAGGCAGCCTTTCAGGTAACCTGGATCCAAGCAGTTTAGGGTTTAAAGGTAATTGCCAATATTTTGAATTTAGCTGAAAACAGACTAGAAGTTAGTGAATCTGGCACAACAATGGAGTCTTATGCTCTAAAGAAAGGACTCTGGTCACACAACTGGCTGCACCTTTTTGTACCAGCTGTAGTTTCCAAATACTTTTTAAAGGCAACCTTACACAGAGAGCCCTACAATAGTCTAAACTGGATGTAATCAAATCATGCACAACTGTGGCCTGGTCTGCCTTATCCAGGAACAGGTGTAGGTAGTACACCAGCCAAAGCCGTACGAAAGCACCCCGGGTCAAAGTAAGCGCCTGAAAAACCAGGAGCAAAATGGGAACTAGAAGCACTCCGAAACTGAACAACTGGTTCTTTTAAGGGTAGCGCAATGTTGTCAAATCGGGTTGAACCTATGTCGCTACACCATGTATTTCTCGTCTAGGTTAAGTTTCAGTTTCTTAGCCCACATCCAATCCTTCACTGACTTCAAATACCCAATCATGACCTTCGCAGACATGATGGAGAGTATTGGTGTCAGCATACCGATGGCACCATATCCCAAATTGCCAGATGAACAAGTCCAGTGGCTTTGTGCATATTTTAAATGGTTTGGAGGGGCAGAGGAGAGAGAGAGAGAACCTTGCAGGACACACAAGCTAAAGTCCTGGTTGTCAAAAGCATAATTCCACCAGCACAACCTTCTAATACCTAGAAGCTGAAAGAGGAGGAGGCCAGGACAGAGAATAAAGAAAGAGCTGTGAGTGGAGGGGGGGGGGTCTTTCCCCATCCTTTGGGCCCCTTGGAAAACTAGTAAACCTGCTGCACCTGGCACTGGGTGTGGAGAGTGCAGCTGAATGGGACACAGCCATGGGCAGCCTGAGGAAGTACCAGCCACCTTGGGCCTGCCCATAAAAGCAAGTCTAGAGTGAGACACTAGGGTGATGCCTGCTGTTTCCAGGAATAATTCTTGTTGTGTGACTTTTGTGGGTGAGCTGGGTGTTTGTTTGGACCCTGGGTGTGAACCTGGAGAGAGAGAGGGAGGGAGGGAGGGTGTGTCAGAAGGAAAATGAATTGGGGTGTGTGTGTGTGTGTGTGTGTGTGTGTGTGTGTGTTAGTAACTTTGTTTTAGTGTAACATTTTTATATGTAACTTAAATATATTAATCGGTAAAGATTTTTTTTTTAAAAAATCTGATAATCAAATCTACCCTCTAGGAAGGATTAGAACCACACTGTAAAACACTACTTCCCCAAATTCCATCCCCACCTCTATTCATATGAAGCCATTGTAAATGGAGTTTTAGATTTATGCAATTACTTAAAAAGTGTACATATTTGGCCCTAAATCTGCAAGGCAGTCAGAGACTGGGGAGAGATTGAAAGATACTGCCTAAGATCTGGAAATTTAGGTTAAATGTAATTTCCAACAGACAGTCTTTGAAGGGGCGGTGAAACATGATATTCCCATGGAAGTCAGTTTGAACGGGTCTATTTACATGGGCTCTGACCACAGTTATTTCCGGGTCGGAGATAAAAGTAATGTGATCATGATGACATTATAGGCAGCTGAACCAGAAATAGCCTAGAGTTCATCTGTCCTGTTCAACTGAGGTCTGGACAACTGGAAAGCAACTGGGTTCATACAGCTCTCATAGTAATAGCAGGTGCTGCAAAAGCCATGTTTTATCTGAGACCCATCAATTCTTCATCAATCTGCACTCTCAAAGAGGAAAATCCAGATTCAGAACTAACCATGGATACTACAATTCCCTTGTCTTTTCTGGACATTTGCGCCACAAGATGGGTTAGACAAAACCACAGTCAACTATAAGCCATAACAGCAAAAGTGAGCTTTCATGTCCCTAGTACTGCATTTCCCAATCTGGTGTCCTTCAAATGTTTTCCATTCCAGTTTCCATTCCTAGCCAGCCCCTTTCTTAGCCAGCATGGCCTGTGGTTCAGAGGTATAGTGGGAGGGGAGTTGTAGTCTTAACAATTTCTGCTGGCCCCCCAGACTGGGAAAAGCTAACACAACAGTTTTTGCTACCAGGTACCAGACTCAAGAGTTCAACAACAATGGAGGGTTGTTGCCTTATGCAAGGAATCAGGAAATTGTCTTCCAGATGTTGTTGGATTACAGCTCCCAGAATCCCTCACTGTTAGCTATGCTGTCTGAGGTTGATAAGGGCTGCAGAACAATTGGAGAGCCACAGGTTCTTCATTCACCCCTGCCTTATGGCATCCTTGTGAGTCTCTCAGATGCATTCGATTGGGCACACACGACTGACTAGATTAGCCTTTTACTTGGCCAAGTGACGCTGTTCTAGGATGACAGCATGAAATACACGTGTTTGCAACAGCAACACTTAACTGGGAAAGAAGCAAGTCCAATTAAGCCTTTCATTCTCCCTCTCTCCCACCAGGTGTCACCCTGTTATACACAAAACAAGAAGACTGAAGTTGTTACCTCTCTGCAGTCTTAACAATTTGATAGTGAAGGCTGGACTGTACGTCTGGTGTGCCTTTGCTCTACCCAATGGGAGTTTCATAGAATGCATTTGCTGCTACATCTTACTGAGTTGGCGATGTTATACACTAAATATTATACACTAAACAGTTATCAACAAATAGACTTGCACTCTCATTCATGCCCAACAGTTGAGATAACAGCTGCAGAATTTTAATTTACTAGCTTTAGGTGTCACCAAACCTCAATCAATCAATCTTACCACGATTGGAGATCAGCTACAAGTCTAAACCTGGATTTCATACAATTAACTGAAAATCACAAAAAAAAATTTCCTTCCAACAGTTAGAGACGTAATCTTCCCCATCACTTCCCCTGTCACATCATGGCTGATTTTCAAGGCTTGTTCTGTAGATATACAACTAGTCTGGGGCAGCCAATTTCTTAGAAGACTCAGAGCAAGATCCCCTTCTGACTCTTCACATGTTAGCACTTTAAAGAAGTTTGCCATGCAGTGAAATTTTGATGTATTGGTTTTGCACAACTGTTCCCTCATTTAAATGCATCCTCAAATTTATCATAATGGGGCTGATGATTCCAGCTTCTTGCCACTAGAGAGTGCTTTTCAATCAAATGTATTTGCCATAGAAGGACAGCCACAATGTGCTTAAATTTCACTTTGTGTGAGAAAAAGTAATATGCAATCTGGGCCTAAATCAAAGTACAACATGGTGTTATCTTCAAAATGGTCTTGATGGGAGGCTTTGCTCAGTACTGTACTCTTAGCTGGCTGGCTGTCTTGTTCTCTCTGGCAGACTAATTTTCCCTAATTAGACAAATGGGCTTGGTCTCCTCTTTGAAACGGCTTAGGAAAAATCACAGCCGCACAGCAGGGGCAGGGAGACACTTTCAGCCAATAAAGACAGCGGTTTCTGCTAAGAGCAGCTAGCAAGTAGCGGGTCAAAGAGGAAGAGGGGTGTGTGGCCACTGGGGAAACATAAAGGAAATAGAGCAGAGTGCTTGCCTTTCTTTGTTAAGAGAGTATTATATGAACCTGCCTTATAGGTCTTTACATAGATAAAGATTACTGCACTATTTTGGCTTGAATTTTTTTCTTTTTGCCTTACTTTACCAGAACAGTAATAATAGCCATTGTCACTGAGGGCATTGTACATGGGGATGAGAACATATATATAATCATTAATGAAGTTGCAGGTAGGTAGCCATGCTGGTCTGCCATAGTCAAAACAAAATAAAAAAATTCCTTCCAGTAGCACCTTAGAGACCAACTAAGTTTGTTATTGGTATGAGCTTTCGGGTGCGTGCACACTTCTTCAAGTGTAGCTGAAGTGTTAATTCTGCTGTGACTTCACATGTGGAAAGAGACAGGAAAGGGAGGAGACATCACAGACAACAGCCAATAGGTGACCATCAAGGCACCTGCACAAGTACGAAGTGGAATTAGGATATATACTAGCTGGTAAGGAAGAGCCATGTTTTCTAGGTAAGGATACAGCACACCCAGTTCTGGAAAAATACAATAGCTTTCTAGAGAACTTGTCAGGACTGATTCCCCCCCCCCCCCACATAGTTGAAATCCATGCTTACAATGAGAGCTACTGCTGATAAGTATTAGGAAATGCAAACAGGAAAAAAAAAGGGGAATGCAAGATGAATATAATCATCCAATTTATACCTATTGGGCTACTTAATTCTGTTTATTTCAATACAGGGGTACCTCCGGTTACAGATGCTTCAGTTTACAGACTCCGCTAACCCAGAAATAGTACCTCGGATTAAGAACTTTGCTTCAGGATGAGAACAGAAATTGCGTGGTGGTGGCATGGCAGCAGCAGGAGGCCCCATTAGCTAAAGTGCACCCCAGGTTAAGAACACTTTCAGGTTAAGAACAGACCTCCAGAATGAATTAAGTTCTTAACCCAAGGTACCATTGTAAAAGCAACACACACACACACACACACACACACACACACACACACACACATTTCAATGTTTAGGGAAGCTATGTATGTTGCAGCAAGACATTATGAGATGCACAACTGAAGGTATGGCTAGCCAGACATGTTTAAATATTCCCACCATTTAGCATGTCGGCTTTTTCATTTTCTATTATATATCCTTAGACATTTCAAAGCAATAGTTATTAGCAGGCAAATACATAAACCACATAATTTCTCTACTACTTCTGGATAACTTAATATATAGTCTCATATCAGCTAGACAAATTTTGCTTAGCAGTTAAGTTTTTCCTCTAAAGAACTAGGGATATGGAATAAATTTGGTTCATTCCACAGTTTGAAGCAAACCTCCTTGCTTCACAAATCCTGTGCCAGTGTTCAAATCAGAACATGGAAATGCAGATTGGATTCCATTTCTTTAAAAAATAAGAATCCATGGCATAGTTCAATCATGGCTACAACATCTGATGGGAGGGCATATTTTTACAAAGTGGCCAAGGGCTGTCTAAAATGTGTTGTCATTTTCAAGATGCTTGAAGCAGCCAGAGGGCACCATGATTACTGCACTCATTGAACATATTGTCTAAAAAGCCAGGTGTTTTATGATATCAGCCTCTATCACGCCCTCCTCAGCAGGCTGCAATCCTATACATACTTGGTGCAAATAAGCCCTATAGGACATGGTGATATTTACTTCTGAGTAAAGATGCATAGGATTGTGCTGCTAGTCTCAGTTGAAGTTATCAGTTTAAGAGGTGCCAAATACTTTTGGTTGACATTTTCTTCACCATTCCCAACTCTACAATAGGGATTTCCTCAGTCACTAAGGTCATTAAGTAAGCCCTGCCCCCTCCCCGTGGTGTCACATGTCCACTTAGCAGCTAATCAGAGTAGGTCCTTTACTAGCACCTATTATGTTAAACAGCCTCCAGAACTTAAGGTATGCAGAAACTATTTTGTGTTTTTGGCACATGCTGTAAACCTTTTTGTTTACCCAAGTGTTCCTGGGTGGTTTACACCAACTGACTACTTGTACTAGATTCTCTTGGATTCTGTGGGCACTGCATTTCTCTCGTTTTCACAATGCAAATGTTTTAAAATAAATGAAAATAAAATACTGGCAGTTTTATTTTCGTTTTCCCTCCTAATAGTTATTTATATTTGTAACTAATAATTTAAAGACATATTAGTAACTAAAGGTCATAAAACAGCAAGCAAGCAAGCAAGCAAACAAACAAACAAACACACACACCACAAACAGTTTAATAAAACTCCAATGACTAAACTCCAATGACATTATGCAACAGCTGGACTTGGGGGGCAAGTGGGAAACCACCCTGAGAAATTATTAAGTAATGGCCATGTTAGAGGCTTTCCCCCATAATAGGTCACATTCAGCCGTGTGTGTTGGATGCTTTTATCATCTGCATTTGTTTTGCTGGAAGCCCATTTCCTATGATGGGTACTTCTTGGTCCTGCTCTCTGCTTAGGGCAAGCTATAGTAGCAGATGTGTGTAAACAGTGCCAAACCCCCCCCCCCCAATTCTATCAAAACAGGATTATGAAAATTAAGCCAATTTGCATATATCTACTTTTTTGCACAAGAGATTTGGGGATTTAGAGGAGTGTGGATTAAGAAGAGGGACAGCACTAGGAAATGAAGGAAAGGGTAAGGAGAGCTGTGTTGGCAGCCCAATGAGGTCAGGAAGACAAGTGAAAGGAGCTCATAGGAGCTATCCAGGATATTTAATGCCTTTCTTCCTGAGCGCTGGATGCTTTCGGCTAGAGTCTCATTTGTTTCCTAAACTCACAAGGCTTCTTAGATGATCAATTTATAGCACACAAAAAATGAGCAGTGGTTCGGTCATCTGTTGTATTGAATCCTCAGAGAAACCTGTCTATTTAAGGATATCTAATTTTCCCAAAAGCAATAGCTTGGTGGGGAAATGTGACGTTCCCAGTATTCAAGATAACTGATCCAGATGACATGCCTTTAACTTGAAAGAGACACAAGATTTTTATTCATTCGTTCATTCCGTCACTCACTCCAACCTCATGTTTTGTGATTTCTATGCATGGAATTGGTGTGACTATGTTCTATATCAGGCTTCCTCAAACTCGGCCCTCCAATTCCCATGATCCCTAGCTAGCAGGACCAGTGGTCAGGGATGATGGGAATTGTACTCTCAAAACATCTGGAGGGCTGAGTTTGAGGAAGCCTGTTCTATAGTATCCAAACTTTCAGTGAAAAATGTGAGATGAACTGCTGTAGGATCATTAAGTTCCAAATCCACCACAGAAAAAAGTAGAGAAAGGATCACTTGGATTTAAAAAAAAATGAAACAAAACAAAACCTCCAAAACTGCTTAAGGATAGGCTGCAGTTTCTGTCATCATTACATTTCCTTTCATAAAATCAGTCTGAGCAGCAGATATAAAGCATCCATTTGCAAATGAGCCAGCAGAGGGCTTTCTAGAGGTAGGCAAAGAAACAAAATCTGTGTGATGTTATTGAACCCTTAACACCATATCCCAAATTCAATAGCATCAAAGCTAATTTATATCTAGATTTCTGCAAACACACCATGCAACACATTACCTCATTTGATAGTAAACTAAGCAGTAGAAAAGCCTATCATTCAGGTTTAAAATCATGGCAATGTGAAACTTAACCTTTGCACTTTTAGCAGACATTTAGTTACATAACCATTGCTTGTTTGTTTAGTCGTTTAGTCGTGTCCGACTCTTCATGACCCCATGGACCAGAGCACGCCAGGCACTCCTGTCTTCACATAGCCATTACTGGCATTTATTTCAATATCTACCTTAACCTCCACAACTTTAATCCCTTTGTAAGTACTGTGGTCTCCTGCCAACCTAGCAGTTCGAAAGCACGTCAAAGTGCAAGTAGATAAATAGGGACCGCTCCAGCGGGAAGGTGAATGGTGTTTCCGTGTGCTGCTCTGGTTCGCCAGAAGCAGCTTAGTCATGCTGGCCACATGACCCGGAAGCTGTACGCTGGCTCCCTTGGCCAGTAAAGCGAGATGAGCGCCACAACCCCAGAGTCGGTCACAATTGGACCTAATGGTCAGGGGTCCCTTTACCTTTAAGTACTGTGGTATTTACCACGCCCAACATTTAAGACATGCATTTATAGGAGATAGGAGTCAAAAGAGATTAAATAAAGATCCACTTCCTTATAGCATTCATAACTATGACATTCAAACAAAACAGAACATCAGAATGTCAAACCAGTGCTCCCTTCTGCTGCCCAGCCTGCAATATACTTCTAACCGATTATGGAGAATTAATTTGGATGCTTAGAAACCATTCTAACTCGCTTCTAATGAGGATTTGTGCAGTACACTGCCAGCCAAAATGGTTCAACTACTTAATGCAGGGATAGGGAATCTGTGGGTCCCCAGAAGATGCTAGACTCCAACTCCCATGACCCCACTAGCTGGGGCTGATGGGAGTCAGAGTCCAACAACATCCAGAGGGCCAGAAGCTCCCCATCCCTCACTTTGTGAAATCATTTTTGTGCCCTACAGGCAGACTTGCAGCTAGTCAGTGAGGTATGATCAGTTTGGTTCATGCAAGTTAAATAACAAAAAGAGTTGGGGCTAAAATACACAGCCGGTATAAAAACCATCAATTGTGAGAGCATTCATTTGAGGAGAAAGCACTTTAAAAAGCCATGTGCTATATAGTTCAAGAGTCAAAGTGAGAGAGACAATTTTTTAATAATAATAATAATAATAATAATAATAATAATAATAATAATAATAATAAATTTAGCAGAAAGGCTTTAGAAATATTCTTACCATGCTTCAGATGTAGGCAGCTGTCATTCGTGGGGCTGCACCTGTAGAAGATTGTTGCTTTTAACAAATTTCCATTGAAGAATTTATTTATTTTTTGCACACTCCAAATAAAAGGTATTTTACTAGAATATTGATTGCCGATTGATTTCCTCTGCCTTTCATGGTTCTTATACCAGCCATTTTGTTTTATTTAATATACAAAAAAGTGAAAGGACCTCACTGATGCTTTGAGCCAACCTACCAGGCAGCTGTAAAGACCAGCTCCTCCTGTCTTTTTAAAAATGTTTAATTACATTTGAGAACTATAGGAGAATATATGAAACAGTGCAGCATCCCCATACCAAATCAGTCAACCAGTTATCTTCACAGTGAGGGAAAGTGTAGACCCGAATACCTGTTGCTTCCTGTTCCCTCCCTCCCCCGCCCTACTTCTGGAGGTCAGTAGAGTCAGTAGGGACTATGATTCAACCAGTAGTGGCTCCCAGCTACTACTTGTTGAAGCTAGACCAGGATGCAGATTAGAATCAAAGGAAACAGCCCTCCACTGCTTCCTTTTTAAAACATCCATGCCTGTATGTGTAGGGCTAGTGGTGGCAATTCTGCAGCTACTGCAAACAATCTTCAGCTGCCATTGCCATTAGAGCATGAGTTTGTACAAAGAAGCAGCAAAGGCTGGATGTCCTACAAATGGTGCTTCTTCTTTCTGTGCAGACCTCTGGCGAAGAGCACTTGGAACGTATTGTAAACTGCGCTTGCAGGTGTTATCAGTGATCTCCAGGCTTTCTGCCTGTACTGACCTCCAAGAAAAGGGAAGGCCACACTTCCCTTCCAAACAGTACAGAGCTGGATTCCATACATTCCCTCAAAATGAGAGCAAGTCTACAGTTTGACACCCCACTGAGTGTGGACCGAAAAGGCAATAAAGACAGCAGTAGTATCCATTAGAATATGTACCATTCAATAGAGAAGTGTTTGTGCAAAGAATTCTATATATAGAACCAGAAATAAGCATTAAAGGAAGTGCTGAATTTTTCAAATAGCACACATATTTAACATGAAGCTCTACTCATAAAGCATACCTGCAGTAGACTCTTGTAGCTTTTCTCTCTTCCTCTTCTTTTTCTTTCCCTATATTAGGCAAGAAAAGCGGGGAGGGGGGGCAGACACTTTTTACAATCATATAAATCACCTTCCTTCAAAATACTTAACATTTCTGAAAGGGTGATGGCACATCAAAAGCCATTTCTGATTATCTCCATGTTATTTTTAACTATTATATTCATTTGGGGTTTTCCAGCCAAAGCAAATTCAATATCTCCATATTTATGTGATCCCTCAAGGATTATTCTTCTAACAATTTTGCCTACATTCAGGTACAAAAAACTTAGGAGTTTCAGTGCAGTGTAAAAAGATCCTCCTCAAAACTGAGCTCTAGGCTCTGCAAGGTGCCTTAAACCTTACTCAGTTGTTTAAGTGTGAAGAGTACTTCTTTTAGTAGAAATCATTTCAAGGAAGAAAATATCCTAGATGACTATACTTGCAGGAAGCAGACACATTGAAACTTGTTTCAGAAAAATGCTACCGGACCCCAGTTACATATATTATAATGAGTAATAGACTAAAACAACATTTGAAGCCATGATTCAAGTTGTAGGCCTGTATTTGTAAGCCAAAAGCTCTATATAACTGTAATAAGGAGTGGTAACGTGAAATGCTGCAAAATGATGCATTTCTGCAACAAAGAGTAACATATAAATCTGTGCTCTTGCAAACATATAACATATAAATCTGTGCTCTTGATGCCTTATGAGGAACGGCTAAGGGAGCTGGGCATGTTTAGCCTGGAGAAGAGGAGGTTAAGGGGTGATATGATAGCCATGTTCAAATATATAAATGATGTCACATAGAGGAGGGAGAAAAGTTGTTTTCTGCTGCTCCAGAGAAGCGGACACGGAGCAATGGATCCAAACTACAAGAAAGAAGATTCCACCTAAACATTAGGAAGAACTTCCTGACAGTAAGAGCTGTTCGACAGTGGAATTTGCTGCCAAGGAGTGTGGTGGAGTCTCCTTCTTTGGAGGTCTTTAAGCAGAGGCTTGACAACCATATGTCAGGAGTGCTCTGATGGTGTTTCCTGCTTGGCAGGGGGTTGGACTCGATGGCCCTTGTGGTCTCTTCCAACTCTATGATTCTATGATTCTATGAAATACTCATGACTGCCTCAAAACATTTTGGTCAGGGTGTTTGACAGAAAGTAAAGCATTTTCCAACTGGAAAGAGATCGCAGTTTTAAAGGTCGGACTGGCTATCACATGTTTTCACCATAAACTCTCAATATAACCAATCTATATTCTGCAGCACATGGGTTTAGCTCCTAGTAGCTGCATGGTTACAGTACTACCCTCCTCTCTCCCATTTTAACACAATTCATTATGATAAAACAAGTCTTTCAGAAGAGATTTAAATTAAGAGCAGACAAAAGGTTTTATTAAGTGAATGTAGGTTCTGGGCAAAAGAGATTCTCTGTGCTCTGAAGCTCAGTGGCTCTTTTATGGAGTTTTACTCAGGGGCAAGTCTATTTACCTATCATTAACTAGGCATACTGGATTATGGCTGTAGCAAACAAAGGATTGAGGTTTTTTTATGAATGTGTGACACACTGCATTTTCAAAGTAAGAACTAGGTCTGGGATTAGGCTTCTCTTTGAATTCTTTATTTAGGAGTGATCAAGGCTCATTCTTAGCTAATTCCCAGACAAATAGTTTCTAGGCTATCATGGGTATGGAATTTTTTTTTTAATACAGACAGATAAGTTTTAATGAGTAAATGGCAAAATGTTCAACATTAGCAGTATCATCACTGGGTTTTGGTATGAGCGGTCTAGCTTGTTAATTTTTTTCATAATTAAATATGTATACTTTTTTTAAAGCAGCACTGACTAAACAGTTTTTTTATAATTAATTTATAATACGTCTGCAGCTGAAGATGACTGTTCTTTTCAAATCAAGGTGTGAAATTTAGTTTACATCCATTCTACCTACTTAATAAAATAAAATAAAAGCCATACACAAACAAGCCTTAAACACAAAGCACAAACATACAGCTCAGATTAGTTCCAGGAAAATCCAACAAGCCACCTTCAGAAGAGATTCATTGTCTGTGTTTTTATTAACCATGTGATAAGCATGCATCAAAAGAGTTATCAGGTGGGGGACATATGTGAATCAGTGCTCCAGATGTTTGCAAAGCTATCTATCCCTTAATTGCCGTTTTGATGTTATTTGTCACATGGCATAAAGCTGGACCAGGAACACACCCATGGCCAATTCCAGATTAGTTTGGGATATGCAGAAACAATCTAAAGAAAGGCAAGAGAATAAATGGCACTTAATTGAAAGTGAACACAAGGCCGACGGTGCATCTCATGGCCCAGCTGCTACCCTCACCTAGACTTTTAACTACTGCAAATTGCGAGCTGAAGAAAGTGTAAATAATCGGCTTACGTAGTTGTCCCTTGCAGACCAGCCTGGGTAGAGCTGCATGTGTAGCTGCCTTTCTTTCCGAGCTAGTTCATAATATTTAGCTTGTTCTTCACGGGACAATGCGTGCCACTGCAAATAAGGAGAGAAAGAACGAATGTTACGTTTTTGTACAAGAACATGCTAAAAATAAAGGACAGCATTAGTTCTAATTTCTCTGGTTCATGGGAAAACACAGAGTGCTCAATGATAAGGTAAGAGAAGCTCCATATTATACACAGAGGATTATTTAAGTAGTAAGACCCATATGAATTCTAACCCACTTTGTTGGCATACCCACGGTGATAGTGTTTCAAGATAGACTCAACCTTCATGGAAGACTATCAACCACAATTCCTATGCTCTGCCTCCAAAGTCAGAGGCAGTATACCTCTCAATACTAGATGCTGAGAATCACATGGGGAGAGAGAGTGCTGTTGTTGGGTTGAAATAAACGACAGACGAGTGACAAGTGTCATATGGGAGGCATCTACCGAGCATGTCTCGGAGAGTCCCTTTTATTGTATATTACAGCATTGCCACATAATGTGCTTGTTGCTGATTGGTTAACACAAATACAATGCAGGGGCATTAATCATCAATAGATTAAAGGTTGGGAAAGGGAACACATGGTTAGACAGGTATGAAATCCTCCTTATTAAACTATTACTAGTGATTGATATTGCATGACTTAATAAACTATTACTAGTGATTGATATTGCGTGACTTGAAAGAGCATTACAATCGCATTCCGTAGATGTAGTCAACAATGCGTTAAGAACAGGTCAGGAGATGATGTTTCATGAACTCAATGTGAACTGAACATTCCCAGACTCATGTGCAGAAGCAGAACTTCCCATCATGCTGTTGTGCATTTCTCCTGTCTGAGAGCTTCCCATAGAGATCTGGTTGGCCACTGGCAGAAGAGGACGCTTTGACTGGATGGCCCTTCAGCCAGCAGGGCTCTTCTAATGTTCTTAGGCAGGGGTCGGCAAACTAAAGCCCGGGGGCCAGATATGGCCCACTGTGGGAGTCATAAAGCCACGGTAAAGGCTTGTAATATTGCAGGGTGCCCCCTGACCTCGGCTGACCAGCACTCTGAGCTTTACAATGTATTGGAATGTATTAACCTTATATGGTTTGTGGGTGGGTTAAAGCCTTGACCGGATGAGGTAACGTGAGACATTGGCAAACAGCCATGCGGCTGGAGAGAGACAAAGGATAATAAAAAAGGTTACCGGAGGAGAGGGAAGTCCGAAGGGAGCTGCTCCTACCATCATGAAAATATTGCTGGCTCTCTGTGTCTTTATTTTATGCTAAACTTCGCCATTTGTAACGGCTGGCTCCGACAGCCCACCGGGCTCGTTAATCCAGCCTGCGGACCTTGCGAACCCTGCCACCCATTCGGTCAATCCCTGCTCTAAACCGGCGTGGTGCGGAGGCCTCACCACTCGGGGACTGACTTCCATGATGCTGGCGTGGCAAATCAACTTGGAAAATTCTCTTTTCATCATACTGCTAAAGATGTTGAACTGATACTTGGAAAGAAAAAGAAATCTGGACAACAGGATCTGAAGTTACTATTAGAACAAAAAATGGCCTGAAACCTAGAATATATTTAGTTTTGGTACGTAAGAGACTCAAAAGCCATTGCAAAGTTTTGAGACCATGAAGTGGGTACCATCTGAACAGACAGACAGGTAAAAGCAGTCTATCTTGCTAGTTGCTTTCTGCAAGTGAGATTAATGGTAGCAGTTGACAGGTGGGACACAGAAGCAGGAGACAGGGGCTTGGAGTAAGAAGTCACCCTAGTTATAAAAAATAACAATCTTTTTAAAGTCAGCTACTCTTACTCATTGTGTACATTCATGTCCTTGCATGGTCAGAAGCATCACTGGCTAGTCTAATCTGAGCACCAGTGATGGGGCAATAGAATATCCTGTTTTTCCATCTCTCAAAAGGGTAGCAGGTATGTTCATTCTTTAGTGGGAGCTCTGTCACACTTCCAGTCATTCCTTTCCTTTGGGAGCATTTATATTTCCCGATTTCCATCACAGACTGAGACTGGAACAACATTTTTTATTGCTGTGGTTACTACTATAGTCTTCAGCGAACTTTTGAGTTTAATGTTTCAAAACCCATTCTGATTAATTGGCATTTCAGGACTGGACTTCAGCTGTTCCAGCGCAAGGCAATCTTTAGAACAAGTGAACAGCACTCTCTCTCTCTCTCTCCACATGCACACACCTTCTCCAAGCCACAGCAGCTTTTGCTCTCAAGAAGCAGCCAGTTCCAGCCCCCGCAGCTGCCTGTCAGCTGTTTCACAGCAGGAAGTGAGGGTAGAAGCTTAGGGCTTCCAAGAGCCAAACAGCAGGGAACAGCGGAGGGAGCCAGCAGGGGACAGAGCAGTAGTACAGAAGGTATGCTGCTTTCCTCCCAAGGGGCTGATAGTTTTCTAATAAAAAGGTTTGGGATCCTCCAGAGGGAATCACAAAGGTTAGATCATCATCTCTGCATCTATGTTTTATCACCCAAATGTAATATTCTGAATAATTTGCCATCATTATGCAAGACACGGTTGTTACCCAACATTTTAGCAACTCCTCATTTTTTCTGTCTCCTTTGTTTGTTTATTGTTTGCTGTTGGTGGGCAATTACACATGTGGTCAGTTTTAATTTAATTTAATTTAATTTAATTAACTGATGGGATCAGTTAGGGTTTAGGAGCAATAGCAACCCGAGAGCTGTGGAAACATGTAGCACAGTTATCCCAGACTTCTATACAAATGTACAAACAGTGCTTAAAACACTGTATTAATTTATTTGGTAAGTGGGGTTGGGAAAGGTTTTGCGGCAGCAACATTTCAACGCTTTTAAACAGAACTCTCTCTCTCTCTCTCTTTCTCTCTCTCTCTCTCTCTCTCTTAGTTTGTGTACTGAAGTTGCTTTGGAAAGAAGTCTCAACAGAAGTCTGGAAAGATTCCCACAACACCGTTCTCTCCTCCCTCCAACCCCCAGCTACAAGGTGATTTCAGTTGTACGCCATCTGCCACTGTGTTCAAAGTTTGGCTTTTAGCAGGCCATCGCAAATACTACAAAAGTGATATTTGATGTAACATGCCAATAGTCAAATCCTCTTGTGTGTTGGCAGATGCACAGAGCCAGCTGACCTCAGGCTAAAGCGACTTGTGTACAGACACAGGAAAGACTTTCCCTTCAAATATGTCCTTCAGAGGCAGCATGAGCAAACAGTCCATTTATTACCCCATAAGTTCTGCCTACGTAGGATGGGCCTCAGTGAGAAGTCAGTGTGCTTCCCTCATCCTTGAACAGCGAGTGTTTAGCAAGCAAATTAAACATTCGGTGGCTGGGAAAACCCAAACACGGTGCATAAAGTGGTGGGCAAACATAATGCCCCCTCTATCGCTAGCTGAAATGTTGGAATAACCATTCTCTGTTCTTCTTTGTCAAACGTGGTTAGCTGTAGAGAATGTAGGATTTACAAGTCGGGGCGGGGGGAAGGACTGGTAACTTTACAATATGTGCAACGCTGCACAGAAATGCAGCCTAAAGTAAGAGCGGAGAATGAGAAAATACAAAATGAGCAGGTCCCTTGGCTGAGCCCTGCAAAGGGCTTCCTCCAGGCATGGAAGCTACAGACATGCACTTCAACAAAATGAATACTCACTTGGCCGTCAGACACACTCTACACCCTTACTTAAGGCAAGTTGTCCTCTGAATACTAGTTACTAGGAATTGCAGATGGGCAGAGAGTGCTGTTGCGCTCATGGTCTGCCTACAGGCTTCCATAGGCATCTGGTTGGCCACTGTGAGAACAGGATGCTTAACTAGATGTTCCCTTGGCCTGATCCTGCAGGCTTGTCTTACAGGGAACAAGGCAAAGGCAAAGGGAACACCCTCCCATCAGATGTCAAACAGATAAACAATTTTCTGAAGACATCTGAAGGTAGCCCTGTATTGGGAAGTTTTTAATGTTTGATGTTTGCTGTGTTTTTAATATGTTGGAAGCTGCCCAGAATGGCTGGGGCAACCCAGTCATATGGGTGGGGTATACATATTATTATTTTCTTATATTTTTATTTCTTAAAGCAGCATACATACATTTTTTTCTCCCCATCCTTCACTCAGTGCTCTTAAGTAAAAATGTTTTATTGCTGTTGTGGTTTAGACTGGTGTGGTAATTCAACTACATAGATCCATCAAAATTGATGGACCTAACTCAGTCATGTTCATTAATATCAGCGGGTCTACTCTGAGTAAAACTTAGTTGACTACCACCCTAAATTGTTTATTAGCTAATTATGTATTTTAACTTTGCATACAACCTTGAACCTGCTGAAGCACAAAGAATAATAATCATGATATACATTTGAAAATAAATAATCCATCACCTTCTCATTAACTTTTAGAAGGAACCCTTTTCCTTAAGGAATGTTCTGGGACTGGGGAACCTTGTAGTAGGCAATAGCCAGCCAGTACAGTGAACAACCAGCTTATGTAGCAAATTTTCATCCATCCTCCAGAACTCAAAGCTAGAGCGCGATGAGAAATTTGGACTGAATACACCTACAATGCTTCCAAATTGTCAACACTATTTTAACAATGTTACATCTGCCTTCATCTAGGACAGAGTGGTCCAGAATACTGCTCAAGGGCCACGTGCAGCCTGAAATACCTTTTTTGGTGGCCCTTGACAACATTTGATGCCCGCCCCCAGCCCTCGGGATGCCTTCCCAAAGCTTGGTAAGTGAGACACTGGGCTTTGGGAAGGAAGCACGAGGGCTCTGACAGGGTCCTAATTAGTGCTTTCCCAACTTTGGGAAGGAGGAAGGAGGGCTCCAGGATCCTACCAGAACCTTGTGACTTCTTCCCAAAGCATGGCACCTCGCTTAGCTTCCAGAAGACAGTGTGAGGGCTTGGAGAGTGTCAAATTTTAGCCTTTGGGTTCCGTGTCAAAGTACTCTTGCAGTCCACTTTGTATGAAATGTTGGACTGCCTTGATCTAGGAGGACTATCAATTGTTTTGACCCATGCCATGGGTTCTGAAATGTATGCATATTATTGAATGTGGTGTGGAAGTTTCTCTCAACCTGCCCAATAATCTTCAAACTTCTATACCCCAAAAGTGGTTTGTTTCACAACACAAGTGTAGCAGACAGTACATTCAGACTCTTTTGTCCTTTAAATACCAAAATATTTGGCATGAAAAGTTTTTTAAAGGTTCTCAAGAGGTACTTCCATGGAACTAAATTTGAGTGTACTTTCTAGAGTACAGCTACAGCTGTCTACCCAGAAAGGCAGCACTTGGATTCCTGCCTAGGTGCTATCCTTTGTAAGCCATTATCAAACACTGAGACCAATCATGGAATAAAGGACATAGGAGCTACCTTGGGAGACGAGAGGTAATTGGACTTGTAAGTCTTGCAGAAAGCTGTCAAAATATAGACAAGAGCTTAAGCTAATTCAGTGTTTGTGAAAACCAAAGAAGGTATATTCTGTCCTATGGTATATTTACACAGCATAATAATAAAACACAGAGAACGTGCTTTGATAGAACCCAAGCAAGAAACATTATAGTATTCTTTGCAAATAGAGCCCTAATCACTCTGACGCCAAGTCTCATCTTAAAAGCCAAGGGTTTAAGTAACTGGCAAGCATAGTGAAAGCTAAAGAAATATCAGAAGAGAATTAAAATTCAGACTTAAAATGAAAGTCTAAACTTGCAAATTCAACAAAATAGTAGTCATATTGCTAATACCAGTGGGTTTTTTCTGCGGGACGCAGGGATATGCATATCCCTAAACATTTTGTGAATCTAAGTGGCCTCATTGAGGGGCAGTATTTCAATATGAGTAGGAAAATGAGAGTACCCCTAAACTTTTTTTTAGAAAAAAAGTACTGGCTAATAGTTTAAGGAAGGTATCACATGAAAATATTGCAGAAAAAAAGGAAACATGTACTGCAAAATGTACTTCTTTCTTCCAGCACAACTTCTGCATATTTTACCATGGCTATTTGTATACATTTGTTCAAATCAAAGCATGAAAACAAGTGGCTAACAAAAGCCAATCTAGTGTAGCATTCTCTTACTACAGTGGACAGCTAGATGTGTATGGGAAGCTCGCAAACAGAACATAAGTGCAACAGGATTTTCCCCACTCATGTTCCACTGCCACTGACAGTCTTATGACACATGGCGAGCACACCTGCGTGAAATATGAAGCTGCCTTTTACTACTGGTGCGTCTAGGGCAGAGGACTGCTTTCATGTGGCAGGCCAGAATCTTATCTCCCCTCCATCTCCACAAACGAACTTTGACAGGTGTATAGGACAGCCCACCTGCCAATCATCTGACATCCTAATGATGCCAATGATTGACACTTGTAAAGGTCTTTTGTGCTGCTAGTTGGGCTCTTTGGAAGCACTGTGCAACAGAGCTTTGCGAGCACTGCCAATTGGTAGAGCCTGCAAAGCCCCTTTTGGCCAACACCTGCCTTTACCTGCCACACACCTGGTGTCATATATGACTGCAGGTTTGGGGCTGGTGGGTGTGGCTGGTGAGTGTGGCCACCAGCCTGGGAAGTCTCATGAATCCATAGCTGTCAACGTTCCCCCTTTTTAAAGGGAAATTCCCTTATTCTGAATAGGATTCCTTGCAAGAAAAGGGAAAAGTTGACAGCTATGTGAATCAGAGATTCCCCACTTCTGGTCTAGCCTAGTGTTGACTTCTCTGAAAAGCAGGTCACAGTCAGGAGTCTTTTTGGTTCTCCTACCTGAGAGCCTTGTAAATGGAGGTCTGTGGACTTAAATTTGACCCTTTATGCATGCAAAACACGTGCTTTACCTTATGGGCCCCAGCTTTATGACACAACAAGACTACTTGCTTTTATTTTAAACTGCATCACATAGCTCCCAGTAGCCAGTGACTACGCTGTCGAGGTGGGTACCGGGGCAAGGGTTTGTTGGACAGCACATACTGAACACAGAACATGCACATACACAAATACGGTTGTGTCATACCCTTCTGCCAAGAATCTGATTGATAGCTGCACTTTCTTTCAGAGTACACTCTGCTACGACATTCGCTCTCATCTCTTTCATGTATAACATGAAAGCATTCAGAGGCTTCTTAATGTGAGGTCTTTTGGGCTCCTGTTCTTTCCTCTGTTCATGCTGAGGCTTCCTAAAGGTAGCAGGAGGAAAGGAAATACAGAAAGAGCAACTGTTACCATTTTCAACACGTTATTTCAGATGACCAACTATTATTCTGAGCAGCCATGCTTGATTAGTTATCACATTTTTGGAGAGAAGAGGAAACACCCTATATGTTCTATCACAATGTTCACCAGTGGATTGGGACCCACTTTCAGGTAGTCCTCAGTGCCACAGCCTATCCAGTGCCTCCTAACTGGCTTGCCCCACCAACCCCAGATATAACCCCAGGCTTCTAGTTAGATGAGTGCTAGCACCAGCAACCCCTTGCATGCTGAGTCAAGATGGTCAGGGGCCAGAGAAGTTCCAGGAGTGGGGCAGGGGTGGGGAAAGGCATGAAGGAAGGGGCTAGAAGAGGGGAAATGTTGTAGGAAGGAGAAGGGAATATAAAAGAACCAGGAGGGAGGGAGGGAGGAAATAAAGTGGCAATGTGTTGTGTTGTGCTTTTGCAGGAGGGTGGTGGTGGGTACAAGTTGAGTACAAAGAAGAGCATGAAAATAGCTTACAGGATATGGGTAAAAATCTTTTGAGAGACAGGTGGGGATGTGAAGCAGAGAAAGAAAGAAAGAAAGAAAGTCTTTTCCACTTAAGAACATTTGGATCAGCAAATTCTCCCTAAAATCATGAGGACATCACATCATCTCCAGAACAAATATCTGTACTTGAGAAAAGCTGAGCTATGGAATTTCATTCTAGGGTTCAGTTCCCAAAAGACCCATTTCGTCAAGCTTGGGAACTTTATCACTGAAGAATGCCACTGGGTCCTAGGGATGGAGGCAACTATTCTAGACCCTTGTCACTTTTGCAAAATTCCACGTTTTGCATAATTATTTTGGCTAATTCCATTCTATCTCTGCATTAACTTGCATTTTAAATAATAATATTTAAATACATATTTAATATTTTAATATGTACTTTCATGTGTCTCCTCTTAAAACTCTGAAAACATTGGAGAAGCCTTAAGTCCAGTGGACAGCTGCATCCCGATATGCTCATTACTCTGAGAGGTGAGGATTTTGTAAGCATGCAACTAACATAGGAGTTACGTTCCGGGGATTGCACCTAAAGCCAAAATTACGTAAAGTCAAAACCCATTGGGTACAATGGTGGGCAGGATTGCCAAAGTCATTTCCCCCAGAACCCTGCCCCCTTTCCATCCCCCTTTTAATTTTTTTATATATTTTTAAAATACTAATGCAATCACTATTTCTTTGTTGAAGAATACCAAACATTGACATGATATTTAGGCACAGATTCAGTGATTTCCCATGGGAAGTGAAAAAGAGAGAGACTGAGACTACTTATTTGCCATGCTTACTCAACTTTTATGGCACTGCAGATGAAAGACCAGAGATTGCAATTAAAGACCAGAGGAAAACTCACACGTGCATTAAGTCACTGTCTGTGTGTGGATGTTCTTGTTTGACTTGAGGTGTTACAATAGCTGGGTGAGGGATTCCAGTTGTGTGGGGTCCTGGAGGACCAGGGATCATATGATGTGAAAACCTACAAAAAAGAAAAAAGTACAGTCTTCTTCATAATGGGAACTCAAGCACAGTATAGGATACCTACAAATCACTCAAGACAGGCCTAGGAGGCAGTTCATTCATACCACTTAAGAAACCATGATACACCAATGTGGGAAACAATTATTTGGCTAAAACGTGTGTTACAAATAGGGTTTTTAGTCTCCTGTTATCTGTGGCTTTGGGAATCTGGAATTAGACACAAGTGAATTTAACATGGCCAATAATTTCAAAAGAATAAAGCCCTTAACCAAAAAAACTGTTTCCACACAAGTATAAAAGATATTGAGTTATCCACCACCAGCCAACAAAAGGTAGTAATTATCATGCAGAAAATTAAAAAAAAACCTCTAACAAAGGTAACTTGCGTATCTTTATAAAAGGACATTAAAACCTGTCTTATATTTCATCAACCTTACTTGATCACATATCAAACTTTTCAGTCCCCAAGCGTGCGGGGGAAAGAATATGGGCTAGTGTTTTGCCTTAGGCACAGATCCAAATCAAGTGTGCTTCTATTGGGATGGCTCATACTACAGATAAATTGAAATAAATACTTAAAATAGCATTACTGAACTAGTTTGCTACTTCCCCTCTGAGGCTTCTTTGGTTTTCTCTCTGCCTGAAATGTGTTGGTAAGGTAACCTTGCATATTCCATCAAGAAACTCACAGGGCAGGGAAATTAGCATGCGCTCTTAAAGAGCACACTGAAATGTTTTTAATGGTGGCTTGCTCAACTAGGAATTTGCAAGACATCTTATTCCTAAAGATGCATAAAAACAGTAATTAAAGGGGCAATCCTATGACAAAATCCACCAGGATGAGCAGTTTAGGATGCAGCAGATCTATGGCTCAGCCAGCTGATTCCTGTCTTAGCCAGTGTTAAGTCCCAACCCTGGCTCAGCTGAAGATATGCTGGTGTAATTTGCTCAGCCTGCCTTAACCAAGGCTGGCGTAAATCAGCAGAAAGGGATGTGGCAGGGGCGTGATCAGAGGGGAGGACTTAGGCTGGACCCTAAGCCCAACTTGATCACATGACTTGGCAACCTGGCATAGAACACTAGTTTAAATACCAGGTTTAGGCACAGCAGCAGTCCTACTGCTGAATGGGGTTTGGATCTGGTGTAACTTTATGCAAGTTTAACTTACACCAGTGTGCTTTACGCCGGCTTCTTGTGCATAGGATTGGTCCCTATGTGATAAAAGCACATGTAAAGAAATGTGATAGAACCCACACCTAAACAGCAAATGCCTGTGTTAATCAACAGTTGTGTGTTTTAAATATGTGTAAAATATGCAGAGGTTCGCTGAAACCTTTGGGTACACCAAGCACAGGATATAGAGGCCACCTTCCCATAGTGCAGAAATGTAAAGTGTGACGCGAAAGTGTTGTCCTTGCCATGTCCCAGTTAGTGCTTCTTGCTTGCACTAACGCTGCCACCCATTCACACGCCACTATTACAGATATAACCATGTGTACACAGCTTCTTTGCCTTTATTTTAAAACAGATTTGGGCTTGGAAATTTCTTTGAGGTGCTGCAGTCTACATGAAAAGAGTAAAGCACAGGAGCAGGGAGTGAAGCCAAAGTGACTCTGATCAAAAGGAGTGACCATTTTATATTTAGTGGTTATATTCATGTGGTGCAAAACGACAAACACCAGTGCAGTTTGAATGACTATCTGGTCTTTTATTATCATTATTATTATTTTACATTTATATTCCACCATTCTTTGCGTTACCCATAGTATTACTTAGGGTTTCCAAGAAGTCTTCTATTCAGGCACTGATCAAACCCAGACCTGTTTAGCTTCAGCAAGGCTGTGGTAACATGTGCCTTTAGACCAACGTTCCCCAACCTGGTGCTCTCCAGATGTTTGGGACTATAGCTCCCATCCCTCCTGACTACTGGGCCATGTTGGCTGGGACTGATGGGAGTTGTAATCCAAAATATCTGGAGGGCACCAGGTTTGGGGTAGGCTGTTTCAGATTCCAGCCCTGACTATATGCTGAAGGTCATTAGCATGTGATTTAGGTAAGCTGTATAAACACAGTATAGTTTATAGGTATAAATGCATTTTAGCTGACTGGGGGAAGGGGGTAGCAAGCAGAGGCATACACCAGGATGCAAGCAGGGGAGCAAACTGCCCCTCTAATTCCAGCAGTTACACCTCAGCCACTCATTCCGCACCTAGACCTACCTTGACATGGAAGTGTCGACTGAAAGTGAGGGTGGGTAGGGCTGCCTGAATCCACTTGAGATGGGATATACAGGCTGACCTTGCCTGAGGTCACAGAAGAAAGGAACCCATCAATAATACTGTAACAGAAGTGAGCTTGCCTTTTTACCAAACACCAATGAGTTGAGATGCGAGGTATCAACGAAAGCATACTGCACTGCATTCTGATTTAGGGTTCTACAGCAGGCTTCCTTGGCCCTCCAGATGTTTTTGGCCTACAACTCTCATGATCCCTAGCTAGCAGGACCAGTGGTCAAGGATGACGGGAACTGTAGTCTCAAAACATCTGGAGGGCCAAAGTTGAGGAAGCCTGTTCTACAGATTCCCTACTGAGAAAGACCACCACCACGGATCTTGGGAACATTAACTTGAACTGGATAACCTTCAATGCTACCTTTAAACTTTAACACTTTCTATAAAATGGATTCGAATAAACTAGAATTAGCTTTGTGATAAGGGGTGCAGTATTGACTTGCCAATGAAACCCTAGAAACTATAGTTCTGTGAAAAGAGGGTGGGTGTCTATTGACCTCTAACAAAGAATCCTCTGTAAACTGCAGTTCCCATGATTCTTTGAGGGGGGCTCCCTGGCAGTCAAAGTGAGACAAAACTTATACTCATAGTTCCACTCAGTGGCGTAGCGTGGGTTGTCAGCACCCGGGGCAAGGCAAGTAATTTGCGCCCCCTAACCCGTGATGTTGCGCCCCCTAACCTGTCATGTTGTGCCCCCCCAGATGTTGTGCCCGGTGCGGCCGGGCCCCCCCTGCACCCCCCACGCTACGCCACTGGTTCCACTGCAACCAAGACATCAGTCTGCCAATACAGCACATTGAAAGTGGGAAAGTTTTTACCATGGGACTAATTATATTTCTGAAAAGTGTTAGTAGCATCAGTAACTCCCAAAGAACATTAATTTGTCAGTAAAGTCACTTCAGGGTGTTGCAAGATATCATTATGACGATTATCTGGGAAGATAAACCTCCACATCTAGCAAAAAGAGCATAAATGAGACCTAGATCCTAAGAACTGCTAGCTTTACCAAGCATATCATTAAATTAACAGGATTTAGGAGTAAAGGATAAGTTTTTGTCATGCAAAATAAATAAATAATAAAATGTTACTCAAATAACCATTAAATATAAATTTCAATTTCGGTGGTACTTCAAATTTATATATTTTCTTCTATCAGAATGAGGTGAAGAGGACATATATTGGAAATGTTAAATTTTGGAAGCTGATGTTACTGGATATGTTTTGGACTTTTCCTTATTTATCTATTTTCTGGCAAAAAGTGCTGGTAATAATATAACTGGCTGCAACATTCCTAAAACATCTAAACCGATTCTCTCTGCATATTTAAATGAGATCTTAAATGGAGAGGATTTGGATTAATGACTACTATTTTACCTATTGCTGGATTGCTAGATCAGTAGTAACTAAAAATCTTTAAAATCCTTCTTTCAGTGAGTGGATAGTAGCTTTTGATAAGCAGCACTCTTTACTAAAGTTAGCTATTACAAAAAAGACCAAGAGGGTGAACACACAATAAATTTATGGAAAAAATAAGATGATACATAATATATACAGGTTAAAGATAACATCAAACCTAGTTCTTTAGTATAATTAATATAATTCCTTTCTGGCAACTATATTGATTATAGGGTACGGAGTTAATTATTTTAACAGTCCTGCCAAATCTTATTGGATCAATATATTTGGGGAAAGATTGTGTATATTTGTAAACCAATTGCATTTTTTAATATTTATGATTTCTATATGAAGGGGGCATAGTGGATTCAAATTCCTGAAATGCGGTAGTTTGTGTGCACCATACAGACAAGCATAAGAAGCACGTCTGCAGCTTCATAAGATTTTGTTTTTGCCTAGTCTTTCCTAGGCAAGGTGTTGAGGCAGCTTATTGTCTCGTTGACAGCATCACTTTTCCATGACCTACTGAAGTTACCTAGTATGGTTTGAAAAGATGCAAGCAGTTCTCTTTATTCGGTAGTGAAAACTAAGCATGTATTTTTACCGAAAGATGTGTATGTAAGCAACTTGAGTGCAAAACATGAATCTTAAGAGACGGAGAGAGAAAGCAGGGCACACAGAAAACAAACCAATGAACTCTTGGTTTGAAGTTCCAGTCTTCTTCAGAATGCCATATCTCACTAGCACAAATTGATTGCTTCAAATACTTTGAACTTTTTCTGCTTAGTTTACATTGTCTTTTCCTCCAGCTTGCATTGATGCAACTTCTGAGCAGGATTCAACACACTTAAGTAGCAAAGTTCAGAGAGAATAATTGATCTGCTCTTGAAAGACTTCGCTCAATTCTATTTAAGCAGAGCTATCGATTGACAGATTTAATGTTTTAAGAAATTGGCATTTCCAAAGCTATTGGCCCTTTCTTTTGCTCACCATGACGGTCTTCACACTTAAACAGAGCTCTGCGTGTGTGCAGTAGGGAGGGCCAGTGCACCAAAGGGTTGGGGGAAAAGAAAAAGAAATCCAAATATAGCACATTTTCAGCTACAGTAAGCAAAGCGTAAGAGTAATCTGTGCTAGACTTCATCATTTGTGTTATCAGCATTTTCCTCCAGATTCACCCTCTTTGCAAAAACATCTGCATTGAGAAAGCATTTCGAGGAAATGCCAAAACTTAAAAGCTAGAATCAAAACCATGAGAAAGGCTTCCATAGTGTAAAAGCAGCTGTACAAAAGAGAACAGGCACCACACATCCTGCTCTTTCAAATTCTCTTCTAATTACAAGGTCATTTTGAAAAGTTGCAGCCATTTTTTACTCATGGTGCTGACAGCCATTTTGCTGTTATTTTCCAAAATATCAAGGGAAGATTACTCAAAGATTTGGGCCCAATCTAACAAGGTGTAGAGAGCCTACAGCTGTGGAATTTTCATGTCAGATATGTGTGGCAAAATGCCAAAATGCACACTCCCAGTATAACAAATCCAAAGAGGTGCAGAAATTGCCAACTATAGAACTCTAAAGAATATATCATTTTAGCTCACTACACTGCAGATGTCATTCTTTTGTTGTCCACGTCTGAATCACTCTCTTGCTGGATGGCAATGCAATTTATTAACATGACTGGGGGAAGGTTTACTGAAGGTATACATAGGTATACACAGTCACTCTCCAATGGCTCTTCTTTAGCTGTGATTGCACCATGAAGTGCTTGAATAATTGTGTTTTCACTCTGTGCCCAATGGTGGCACAATGGGTCAGTGTGTCTGTCTGGTAACAGGAAGAATGGTGTCTCAAGCCCACTCAGGGACACCTGTGGACAGGATTCCTGCATTGCAAGGTGGCTGGACTCTTAGGGGTCTCTTCCATCTCTACACTTCTAGGACTCAATGAAAATGACCCATCTGCCACACGGACAGTGCATTGAGCAAATCAAGTTGCAATTATTCAGTGGCAAGAAGGCAGTGCACATGCTCAGTGGCATTCATATGCATGCCCCAGTCCTGAACCCTGCAAACATTTAAAGGAAAGGACTTGTGAGCACTGGGCCAAATGAACCATGTTGAAAGTACAATACATACTAGAGTTCAGTACAGTCATACCTCGGGCTGCGAACATGTTCCGTGCAGGAGGCACATTCACAACCCACAGCGTTCGCAACCCACAGCGCAGCATCACGCCTGCGCACATGCGTGAAGCGATCTGGCACTTCTGTTCATGCGCGTGATGTCATTTTGTGCTTCTGCGCATGTGCGAGCACTGAAACCTAGAAGTAACCTGTTCTGGTACTTCTGGGTTCGGCGCAGTCTGCAACCCAAAAACGCGCAAACCACAGTGTTCGTAACCCGAGGTATGACTGTAAATACAAACCTACACTTTATGAAACAATTGCTAGTTACAATCAACTGCTACTTCGTTATTTACTCATTGGCATTTCCACGGATTTCTACTTTTTAAAAAATGTAAACAGGTAGGAGATACTTCTCAAGCCCATAAAGGCAGCAATTACAGTGGTGCCCCGCAAGACAAATGCCTCGCAAGACGGAAAACCCGCTAGACGAAAGGGTTTTCCATTTTTGAGTTGCTTCGCAGGACGAATTTCCCTATGGGCTTGCTTCGCAAGACGAAAATGTCTTGCGAGTCTTGAGATTTTTTTTCCGCTCCCCCCCTTTTTCTAAGCCGCTAAGCCGCTAATAGCCTTTTAGCAGCTAAGCCGCTAAGCCTTTAATAGCCGCTAAACCGCTAATAGCGCTAATCCGCTAAGCCGCTAATAGGGTTGCTTCGCAAGACGAAAAAACCGCTAGACGAAGACACTCGCAGAACCGATTAATTTCGTCTTGCGAGGCACCACTGTATTATTATTTTAAAACAAAACCAAACATGCACACACACAACTATGCAAGCACACACAAACTTAGTTCGGAAGCACCAGGAGGTTCTTACCAGCCAAGAGGTGGGGTAATCTGCCCAACACCACCGGGAGACAAGGGATAGAAAGTGGGCATATCAGGACCTGGAGGATGTCTGGACATGCCTGTTGAAAAGTATAGAGTGCAAGTTGTCATTTTGGGCATCAAATTATGAAATACTGTGTTAAAAAGAAATAGAAGCAACTCGTCCATAAATTAAAAGAAGAAAATGGAACAAAACCTCTAAGCCCATAGTGCATTTAGTATTTAGTAAAGGTACCCCTGCCCGTACGGGCCAGTCGTGTCCGACTCTAGGGTTGTGCGCCCATCTCACTTAAGAGGCCGGGGGCCAGCGCTGTCCGGAGACACTTCCGGGTCACGTGGCCAGCGTGACGAAGCTGCTCTGGCGAGCCAGCACCAGCGCAGCACATGGAAACGCCGTTTACCTTCCCTCTATAAAGCGGTACCTATTTATCTACTTGCACTTAGGGGTGCTTTCGAACTGCTAGGTGGGCAGGAGCTGGGACTGAAAGACGGGAGCTCACCCCGCCGCGGGGATTTGAACTGCCGACCATACGATCGGCAAGTCCTAGGCACTGAGGTTTTACCCACAGCGCCACCCGCGTTCCGCATTTAGTATTTAGATTCACTTTAAAAACAAACACCCACACGACTCATTTCATCAGCCCAGATTATGAATGCTTAAATTTCAATATTTTTTTTGGTCTAAGAGTTTTCCCTACCTACTTGATAGCAACAGGGCAACTAGGACCGAACTGTCAACCAAACCAAAGACACACAGAGGAAAGACTAAAAGCTGGCATGTTGTCTTCCGAAACTAATTCTTAGATGCTACAGCTGGGATATAATCTGGGTCAGAAATGTGCTTGCTACAGCTGCTTTGTGCAACAGAGCTATTGACCCCAAGATATTAGGGGTTGGATCCAGATACATGCTTAGGCCCCATTTAAATTAAGGGACTTAAGTTGTTACTTACTTAACCACATCATTTATGGTAACAAAATTAAAAACCACTATGTCATTCAACAAAACAGTCACAGAGTCTATCATAGGATTCTAGAGTTGGAAGGAACAATCAAATTAGTGATTTTACATGCCATATAGCCACTTTGAAAGAATGGCTGGTGTCACCATCTAGAAAATATGGATATCTACCCAAGGCCCACAGATGTTTGTAAGAACCTGTTAATCCAAGCCTTGGATCTGGTGTGAATAGCTACAGTAAAATCTAGACACTGGCTCTTAGAATGCATTTCATGTTCCAGGGGGATAGTTATAGCTATCTATCTGTTGCAACAACAACAAAATCTTACAGCATCTTAAGTGCTAATAAATTGATTGTGGCATAAGCTTTCATGCACCAGAGCCCACTTTGTCAGATATATACTCTACTCAGTGGGTAAGTATATACACCCCGAGTACAAAGAGAAGGAAGAGTGATTGATTGTGTTTCTAAAGCAAAGTCAAAAGGTCAAGCAATACAGGACATAGCAGTAAGTGAATCACAGTGCTATGCAGAACACAAATGACTTCAAGATCCAATCGGAACGGATGTAACCCACTGACTAGTGGATGCTGATAATGAACAGGCATTGCAAGATCAATAGCTTAAACACACATCTAACAATTGCTTTCTGTAGTGATCTAGCAATTCCTAGGATTTGCTCAGATGAAACATCAGAGCATCAAATTTGCTAAAAGAGTCATACTCATCACATTTGAAACTTACATAGGAATACCGTGATCCTGTGATCTCCTGGGATCACAAAATGCCCTGGGAATTGAAATGCTCCCTTGCTGGTATTCAGATATCACCAATTTGTCCCCATTTATCTTCTTGCATGAGAAATAAACTTATTTGATTTAAGGCAATGGGAGAAGGACATCACTGCTCAGTCATACCATGTTAGAGGATGGGTAGATGAACAAGACTTTGATTTTATGGCCGTTGTAGTTTGGTCCCATGACAGTGTTGCCAGAATAGCTAGGGTAGCAAAATGGCACCAGTTTATATATTTTTAAACTCCATTAAGTGACCTATTGCTGCTGGTTAGCAGTTGCTTCAGTTAAGAAGTGCTATCTGTTAAGAAGGTGTTGTGAGGTGGAATTATCATCTTCCAGGATGAGCTGTAGACAGTAAATGACATTCAGTTAGCCTTTTGCTGGGTCCAATCCACTGACAGCATCTCTTCTGTACCTGCCTTGACTTAGTTGATCTGGTTTTCCCTCTTCCCAAGTGAGTGCTCCTGTTTTAAGAATGCATTATGTAAAACTTGAAGGTGGTAGTCTCTAACCAAAGGAATGGATAAATGCAGTTACATCATCCAGTAGACAATGTATTCTGTGGTATGACCTGGATGGCAGCTTGAAGCATATACGGTAAGTATGTCAGCAAATTGTAGCTTCCAGGAAGACTGTGATGCCAGGAAGATAAGTATGACTGCAGGTGATTTTGGACCTAAGAATAAACTCTTCTTAGTAAGGCACCTGTCCTGTGAGAATGCCAAAATTTGAAACAGGATTATCTAGTTTCTGCATTCGGGGTAGCAGCTAGGATAATATTGGGTGTGTCTGTGCAGCTTTGTTCATGAAATTCTGTAGGAAGGTTCCCCTTGCAGCTCTGACCCCGGCAAACTAAATGAAGATATAAATGTTCCATGTAAAAGTCCAATCTAGATTGGACCCACCAGGAGAGGTCCACACATTAACTCTTTTCCAGTGTTGAGAGGATAGTTGCTGTCACCAGTGCACTGCTGAGTGATGTGACTGAAGTATTCCTTGAATTGGGGATGGTGGAAATAAACTTCCATCACTGTAAACCTCTGCAACATATATGCAGATGTCACTGAGCCAAAAGAGAGTTTTCAAGACAAGACATGACTCTTCTGTCTAAGTCAGCGTGAGGCTGAGCAAGTTAACAATTCTGCCAGGTGAGTTAAGGGCACCACTCTTGTGGGCCCTTGCAACAGGTAGGAGTTTCGCATAGAAAATAACGCTGAAAAATATAGATGGATTGCTTTGTTTTGGGAACATACTGTGAAGTGCAAACTTGTGGAGAAGGTTGGGTCTATGTAGGCTCTGTTCTTGAGAGTTCATCATTCTTCATGCTCACCTGTTTGCCCCACTGCACAGCAGCCTTAAATCAAGTCACACCATTTGTCCACCTAGGCCAGTACTGTCAACACTGATTGGCAGCAGCTCCCCACAGTTTCAAACAGGAATCATTCCCAGCCCGACCTGGAAATGATGGGGATTGAACCTGTGGCCTTCTGCGTGCAAGGCAGATGCCTTTCCACTGAGCTACAGAGACCCTTCCCCAGACTGCTTACCAGATTGGATTCAGTTTTCATTTGTGTTCTGGTTGGTACTGTGATGCACCAGCTGTCCTGCCTTGCACTGACTGACCTTTTGTCTTCAGTATTTATACGTGATACGTAATTTTTAAAAGATTCCTTCTCTCTATACTAGGATATACATATATATACCTACCCACTTAGGTGACTGCTTCGTCTTTCTGATGGAGGAGGATCTGGGTCACAAAAGCTTAGGCCACAAGACCAGTAGTTTTTATATAGCATGGTTAATTTTCACTCTGATTTAAAAAGAAAGAGAGGAAGAAGGTTACAGCCTATAAGTCAAGGGTGGAGTACCTCTGGCCTGCTGGATGTTATTGGACAATAACTCCCTTAATCCCTGACCATTGGGCTATGCTGTCTGAGGGAGATTTTTGGTGGGTCCAACAATTTCTAGAAGACCACAGATTCCCCACCCTGCGAAAAGTGATAAAATAAAAGTATATGGCGAAACGTATCTGATCTCTCTCTCTCTTAAAGGAAAGAAGTCTTGTAAAACAAATCAGAATGAAACATTTTCAGAGGGGCTGAGAGAGCAGAAAAACAGCAGCTCCAAACAGGCAGCAGACCAGACTTATTAGATTAGGTAAATTGCTGCTTGTACATTTTCTGTGGTTCCCTTGTGATTCACAGATTTTGGAAACTTGCTACCACAGAGGATCGGTGGTTAATTAAGAATCATTTTCAGGCGTGTAATGGTCACACTTGATATGATTCATTTGGCTCCTGATTGTCACTCCAGCTTCAGCTAAGCTCCTTGTCTCTGACTCTTGTGGGCGCCAAGGTCAATCTTTTGTATTGGTTAGTATTTTTGCAATGGCATAAGGAAGTCCCACTGGAAATGATCCATCAACTCACATTCTCAAGAACATAGAAATGCTACAAACTCAAAAAAAAACCACCTCAAGGATTAAAGCTAATCCTAGTCCCAGATGAGCCCTATGGTTTTCATGCTCTACCTAAATCTCATGCCCCAAGGAGGCACACAGAATTATGGTCACAGAGACCATTAAACCATTGATTTATTTAGTGCATTAAAGAACCAATGCAAAAATCACAGGTCTCTTTTCATATGTAAAGTCCTCTATTCTAAGTGAGAGGAGGTATAAGTGACCCTGCCATTTTGAGGGGGGGGGGAATCTGACTACATCAAAATTCAATATAATCAAAACAGGTTTCAACATTTGGGAGGGGGCGTGAAGGAAAGCCATAATGGCAGGAAAGTTTATGTGGCAAATAGATGGTGTGGGGCCCCCAGTTCAGGCTACAATCACTAGGGGGACAAAGCTTAAAGTCCCCGTTCCTACACTCCCATTATTGTCCTTATCTGTTATTGTTTTGTTTTTTTGTTTTAACTATTTATTTTATGTTTTTATCCTGTATTTTTTATCTTGGGAACTGTCCTGAGATCTTTGGATGAAGGGTGGTATATTAATCAATCAATTAATAACAATAAAAGCTCTCAGAGCAGCTTTCAAGAATCAGTTCTAAGAAGGTCCCTACTCTCAAGCTCAAAATCTAAAAAGACACAAGACATGAGAAAAACAGAGGCTGTTCTGGCTTTTTTACCCTTGATACAGGGAAGCGCTCCTCTGTTTCCCCAGATTCAGAAGCAGAGCTGGTGACAATGTCGGTCTTGCCACACCATTCTTTCCTCACGACACATGTTGCTAAACTGTGTGCTAGACTATGGAGCATTGCCCAGAGACACAAGACAATGTCAAGCACATCAAAGTGCAAGTAGATAAATAGGTACTGCTCCGGCGGGAAGGTAAACAGCATTTCCATGTGCTGCTCTGGTTCACCAGAAGCGGCTTAGTCATGCTGGCCACATGACCCGGAAGCTGTCTGAGGACAAATGCTGGCTCCCTTGGCCTATAGAGTGAGATGAGCACCGCAACCCCAGAGTTGTCCGCGACTGGACCTAACGGTCAGGGGTACCTTTACCTTTCCTTCTTTTATGTGTGTGAATATTTTATATTGCTACCGTAGTGGGGCGAGGGAGGTATGGCGGTGGGGGCAGATGTCATAGGCGAAGGGGATCGAGATACGGATATGCTCGTACCCCTTCCAATCTGCACCCCATCCTGAGGGACGAAGGTAGGGTGAGCAAGGATTACTCACCTCCGTCACTGGTGTTGTGCAATGCCAGGTCTATAGGCAACAAAACCGCCACCCTGCGAGACTTCTTCACCTCGCAGGGGGTTGACCTGGCTTGTGTGACGGAAACATGGGTGCGTGAAGGGGAAACTGTTACCTTACGAGAGATGGTGCCCCCGGGTTTCTCCGTCCTCCACCAGTCGCGGACTGTGGGCCGGGGGGGAGGGGTGGCATTATTAATCTGGGAAGATTGTTCTTTCAGGGCTCTACCATCGCCATCGATCCCCGGCATTGAATGTGTTGGCCTAGTGTGGGGCTCCGAGGTGAGCTTGGCTGTCTGGCTGGTGTACCGGCCACCTAGCGCACCAGCAGCCACCCTGTCAGGCCTGCTGGAGGCGGTGGCCGGCTGGGCCTTGGAGTTCCCTAACCTATTGGTATTGGGGGACTTCAACATCCATGCTGATGCCATTCCTTCCTCACAGGCTATGGACCTGGCGTCTTCCATGGCGACACTAGGGCTCTCCCAGTTTGTTTCAGGCCCCACACATCAAGCAGGCCACACGCTGGATTTGATCTTTGGCGCCGGTATAGATGTGATCATGTCTCCTTCAATGAAGGTGCCATGGTCTGATCACTACGCTCTGAAAGCCAGGATTGATTTTCCACCCCCACCCTGCTTAGGTGGCGAGCCAATTTGGGCTCGCCCGCAGAGGCTGATGGACCCTGATAGATTCCGTCAGGCCTTGCGGGACCTTGCTCCCCCTGGCGACTCATTGACTGAGCTTGTTGAGGGCTGGAATATCCAGCTCCTAGCAGCCATCGATGAGATCGCACCTAGGCGCCCTCTACGACCCCGCAGAAACCGGGCTCCCTGGTTTACCGAGGAGCTTCAGAAAATGAAGCGGGACCTCAGACGGCTAGAGCGAGTATGGCGAGGTGCCCGTGACGGAGCCTCAAGAACATCTTATATGGTTTTTATGAAAACCTACGAGATGGCAGTGAAGGCCGCTAAGAAGTCCTACTTCTCAGCCTCCATTGCCTCCGCTAGCTCTCGCCCGGCGCAATTATTTAGTATAATTAGGTCTTTAACGTCTCTTGAAGGACAGCCAAATTTAAATAACAATTTGACACACAACTGTGAGGCATTTGCGAGCTTTTTTGCGGAGAAGGTCCTGTTGCTCCATCATGACCTCCCTGCCAATTTGGATGCAATAAAGGAACTGGAGGCCCCTCGACTGTCCTCGGGTCCAGTATTGGACCACTTTGACCGGATATCCCCAGCCGATGTGGACAGACTCCTCCGAGCTGGAAAGCCCACCACCTGTCCTCTTGACCCGTGCCCATCTTGGCTGATTGGAGCGTGTCCAGACGAGGTGTGGGCCCCCCTGGGGGATATCATCAATTTGTCCCTGGCACCGGGATATTCCCAGGGGAACTGAAGGAGGCTGTGGTGCGTCCGCTCTTAAAGAAAACATCATTAGATCCCTTAGATCTATCCAATTACCTCCCGGTTTCGAATCTTCCATTCCTGGGTAAGGTGATTGAGAGAGCGGTTGCTGAACAGCTTGGTAGGTTTCTGGATGAAACATCGGCTCTGGATCCATTCCAGTCCGGCTTCCAGTCCGGTCATGGGACCGAGACGGCTCTGGTCGCCCTAACAGATGATCTCCGCAGGCAGCTGGATCGAGGCGGGTCGGGGCTGCTGATTCTTCTAGACCTGTCAGCAGCCTTCGACATGGTCGATCACGAACTCCTGGACCACCGCCTTGCCGACGTGGGGATCCAGGGCACAGTCCTTCAATGGCTGCACTCGTTTCTCTCTGGTCGGGGACAGAGGGTGGCGCTTGGGGGGGAATTGTCATCGCGCCACTCCTTGGTGTGTGGAGTGCCTCAGGGTGCGATTCTCTCCCCAATGCTTTTTAACATCTTTATGCGCCCCCTCGCCCAGCTTGTCCGGAGTTTTGGGCTGGGTTGCCATCAGTATGCCGATGACACCCAACTCTATCTGTTGATGGATGGCCATCCTGACTCGGCTCCAGACACACTGACCAGATGTCTGGAAGCTGTGGCTGGATGGTTACGTGGGAGCCGGTTGAAGTTAAATCCCTCGAAGACAGAGGTCCTCTGGCTGGGACGGGGCGATATGGGATTGAGGGGGCAACTCCCATCTCTTGTGGGGGTGCAATTAGTGCCAGCATCATCCGTTAAGAGTTTGGGTGTAATCTTCAATACCTCCCTCTCTACGGAGGCGCAGATTACAGCTATAACAAAGGCGGCACTTTTCATCTCCGCCAAGCTAAGCAGTTGGCTCCTTATCTCTCTCGCCCTGACCTAGCCACTGTGATCCACGCGATGGTCACCTCCAGACTGGATTATTGTAACTCGCTCTACGTGGGGCTACCCTTGAGACTGACCCAGAAACTCCAGCGGGTGCAGAATGCAGCGGCGAGACTCCTTATGGGGTCTTCGCTGCGAGATCATATTCATCCGGTACTATACCAGCTGCACTGGCTCCCGGTGGAGTACAGGATCAGGTTCAAGGTGCTTGTTTTAACCTTTAAAGCCCTAGGACCCTCGTACCTACGGGACCGTCTCTCCTGGTATGTCCCACAGAGAAATTTACAGTCTGCAAATAAAAACATCCTGAAGATCCCAGGCCACAGAGAGGTTAGGCTGGCCTCAACTAGAGCCAGGGGTTTCTCGGCCGCGGCCCCAATCTGGTGGAACGCTCTGTCACAAGAGACGAGGGCCCCGCGGGACCTGACATCTTTCCACAGGGCCTGCAAGACAGAGCTGTTCCACCAGGCCTTTGGTCAGGGCGCAGCCTGACCCCCTCCTCTGGCAATCTGCACAGAATTTTGCTTAATGGTTGCCATCAATTTGATTTTAATTTGATTTTAATTAATTTTATAATGAATGTTTTTAGAATGTTGGATTATTTTGATTGTTGTTAGCCGCCCTGAGCCCAGCTTCGGCTGGGGAGGGCGGGATATAAATAAAATTTATTATTATTATTATATATAGAATGGGGACAAATACAAATTTCACAAATACAAGGAACATTTATAATTAAAGAAGTTTACAATGAGCAATCATTATGTACCAATGTGAAGAGAGGGGAGAGAGAATTAGATTATCATCCCAAACTTCCCCAGCATCCATTGTTTATGCAAACAAGTCTGTGTAGAGGGTCCATATAACTGAGTTTTTCCCATCATTTTCCTGCTAACAGAAGGCTCTTTCTGATAAACAGCCAGTTGGATCATATTTTCTGTCCATTCTATGATGGAGAGGAGGGAGAGAAGAAGTTTCCTTCCAGTTAAGCATTTAGCCACTGCGAGTGCATGCAACAGCCAATCTCATTGCCGTTTGGTTAAATTCCAATGGGTTGGTATATAATTCAGCAACATGTCGACATCTGAGAGGATCAGGGATATGTCCAAAACCACATTTATGTGGTTGGTCACTTCTTTCCAAAATGGCATGTTTGGACAGGACCACATCATGGGACACAACATTGCCTAGGAGACACGAAAGAGCCAACAGCACCTTATTTCTAGGTCCTTCTTCCCTCTCACCATAGATTTTTCAGTTGTTTTCAGAAACGGCACTGTCGAACATAGCATGGTCTACCAAGCCTAAACTGTCACAACCACTCTAACCTATGTATATTCTACTAGATTCTAAGCAATTGGAACAGTAGATATCACCAGCAACGATTGCAGAGTGGCCTATCAATGCAGTGGCCACTACTGAAGCCAGCTAAGCTGTCTCTTGCACTCCAAAATTCAAAGGAGCAACAACTACGCTCCAGCAGTCTAGGCAATAAAATACAGGAACAACAGAAGCTGCCTTATACTGAGTCAGTCCATTGGTCTGTCCAGCTCAATTCTGTCTACAGTGGCTGGCTGTGACTGCTCAGTGTTTTGTACAGAGGAACTTTCTGGCCCCACCTGGAGATGTTGAAGATTGAAAATGAGACCTTCTGGACACAAAGCAAATGCTCTACCACTCAACTAGGCACATACAGCCTCTACATTTTTATCCATTAGAAACTTCATACATTACTGTAAGAAAAACTTGGGGAATTCTTCTTTAAAGGAAAAAACCACACACACACATATGAAATTTTTATTACGAAGCAAAGCTAAAAATTCTGGTAACCGAAAGCAAATACACACATAATAATGCAAGATCACTTTCATATTCTGAAAGCACACCATAAACAGCATTTAAAATTCTGTCGTAATATCTGTAATTAAGTTTAGTGTCCAAGCCAAACTTTCAGAAAACCAACCGACCAAGTAAGAAATGGCTATTATTTATTCAAATGCAGATGAAAAAGCTGGATGAAAGGGAAAGCTTCAGGTTGAACAGCCTCTTGGTTTCCTCTAAAGGAAGCCTAATCTAAACTTTAAAACAGAATTTGGTTAGTCATTAAGAAAGGTTCATAGCATCCCCCTTTCACCTATCAGAAGTCAATTGGGGGAAAGTACCTCCTAATGCACTGGTAATTTAGAATGTATGTACTACACTGGTAAAATGGCAGGGGGCGCCAAGGACTTCAATTGCGGTTATTTCCACAAAAGCGAACCAGGAAAACCTAGGCATTTGGCTCCTTGATGAAGATATATTTTAGGACGGAATAACTGTTGCCTTTAGCATCCCTGAGCTAAGGGCAAAACGTGGTTGGTTATTCTGCCGAACGCCTGCAAATAAATTAAGGCCTCTCACCTTGTTTTGAGTTGACGTCTGAGGGGAGGTGTGATGGATGCGTCCCTGGAGAAAAGTGCTCATCACTGTAGGTGATAAGTGGGGTGAGAGGGTGGACCGCATGGGAAGGCTGCACCACCGGTACTTTGTTGGACTGCAAACAAAAAACAAAAAAGCATTGGTAGCAATTTTTAATTTTATTTTAAGTAGGCCTTGTCACGTTTTTGTGAGGGTTTTTTTTTAGCATGTTTATCTGCCTAGCTTTTAAATAACCAAGCAGTTAAATGTACATAAAGGTGACAGTTTAAACAACACCCCCCCACACACACAGAGCACACCTTCAGGTCACCGGACTAGACAAGTTTTCCACAATCTCCTTACTCCACCCAGATCCGCACAACATTTACTCCACTAGCCTTTTAAGGTGACTTTCCTTCTGGTTTTGCAATCTACCTGGGACTGAAAACGCACGGTGTGCTAGCTATAACTAATGGCTGCTGGGGCAGCATTCGTTGCGATTGGTCAGAAGGCATAGAGGCCTGCTTCACACACAGCAATATTCTCATCACCGGGTTGTGGGGGAGGTGGGAAGCCACCAAACAGCAGGATGGGCATATTATCCACTACAGTTCAAAAGGGCAGGTATGAGGAGCTGCCCACCTCTTTGGGAATATGTATTAATTGATGTATTATGGTAAAAATGTCAGAGATGCAGCCAGGGATCTAGCAGTAAACAACAACTGGTGTAAACAGTGTGACCGTCAGGTTGGAGCACCCGTTATTTTCTATCTGGGCTCTGCCATGACATTTTCAGCATTAAACATGGGAATGTTTAAGTCTCACTGCAGTCATTCATAGAGATCCCGGGTGGGGAGCCTGCAGTCCGGCAAATGTTGTCAGGACTACAACTCCCATCATCCCTGGCTAATGGTCATGTTAGCTGGGGCGGATGGGAATTGAGAGTACAGAAACATCTGGGTGGTCACATGTATCCCACCCTTGATACAGATGCAGTGCTGGTGTCTGTCATCACCTTATTTTATGTTTCCAGTGCCTAAGGATAATCTGTACCAAGCTTTTTAAAAAAATTGTTAAAGACATGTATATTATTGTTATTTTGATAACATACAATGAAAGGCAGACTTCTATAGCGCTGGTAAAGTAATATTCACTACTGCCTCTCTACATTTAATCTGCCCACCACCATCGTTCATAGACCTACTCTCCAAGGCAAGTCCCCTTCTCAATGCAATCTCATCAAGTGCATCTTCTTCCACAGACATCATATTTTATCAAGTCATGCAGTACAATTTCATCTGTGTATTCTGATGGTAGATATGAAGATTCCCAATACTGCTTCATTTTCATTTAGACCATCCCACTCCCAAATTGCAAGTAACCCCAAAGTTAGGTTACTCTGAAAGTGATACTACAATGCTGTGGGGACGAGGGGGTGTCTATTTCATATCTAACAAAAAGAATAATAATGGAAGTGTGCTAAAAAACCACCACCACCACATTACTGAATCATAGTCAGTTCTATCAGAGTAGTGCTACCCTGGATGTTAAGGTAAAACAAAGCTCATGTAACAAAACTGTATCCAGTATTTGCTAGAAATTAGCAAAGCATTTTTTAAATAAAAAAATCAAGATATCCCACTACTACATGCAGAAATCCCCTCAAGCTGAAAAAAATGCTGGAGTTACCAGAATAATTCCTAATTTTCTCCCCACAGGCTAAGTCTATGCAAAACACAGAAATGTTTGAGACTCATTTGCATTATTACACCATGTTCTGTAGTTTAATTTTCTCTTTTTCTGTAGATGGGCACTATGCTATCAAGAAAGAAACCTTAGCGTATTTTTACGAGACTCCTACTGGATCCCCCTTAAGCAATATTTTTTTGCTCATAAATTTAAGATCACGACGGATGGTTGTACAGGGAAGGGAGGGTTCAGATCAAAATGCAGATACGGCTTAAAAAGAACTTCAAATAATGTAAAATATTGGGAGCTAAGGAAAGAGGAAACTGATCCAGATTTAGTCAAATGCTAATATGATCAGAATTTGTTGGCCCATATTTAAAAATACAGCGCAGGAGAAGTGTCTGTGTATAATAAGCCTTTCTAGTTTAGAACGAACGAACACAAAGCCAGAGTCATATTTTTTTTCTTTGTGTGTTTCCTCCCCCCCCCCTTGCATACTTTCCCTTGTTTTCAGAGCACCACCTTAAGGAGCCTGCTTTAGCAAGTGGTATCATCTTAATGTCTGACCTATCCCTCCAGTCATATAGGCTCAGAATCTTCTGCCATGAATTTTTGCTAAATTATGCTATCCTTGCTCTCCTCTTAATTTTACGGTTTTCAACACAGATTTGCTTTCCTGTGGGAAGGAGATAAGAACCTGAGGATTTTAATTTAAGCTTTGGCCTTGTCTTATATTTTGCAAGAGGGAGACAGTGCACAGGCAGGAGAGAGAAAGCAGTGCTACTCATAGGTGTTTTAAAGCCAACAAGCATTAGGCCCATTATTTGTGGCCAAGTAATAAAAGCTGTGTGGATTCTCATTAAGGTATAGGAGCTGGCTTCCAAGGGTGATAGCTCAAACGGCCATCATCTCTCCTTTTTCAAAAGACGCAAATTGGATACCCAGATTCAGATTATCTATAACTAAACCCCTCGGTTTTCTGGGAAGAAAACTATATTAGTTTTACTGTTACTACAAATACTTTAGAAACAAAGAAAAAAAAAGTCGGAAAACAGTACTGAGCAAGCAACATTTTCAAAGATGAGCATTTATGGGAACTTTTGTCACCACCATGCATTGGGAGGTGCTAAACTGCTGTTTGGGCTCAGTAACTGGCCAGTATGGAAGTGAGAGCTGGACCATAAAGAAGGCTGATCGTCGAAGAATTGATGCTTTTCAATTACGGTGCTGGAGGAGACTCTTGAGAGTCCCATGGTCTGCAAGAAGATCAAACCTATCCATTCTGAAGGAAATCAGCCCTGAGTGCTCACTGGAAGGACAGATCCTGAAGCTGAGGCTCCAATACTGTGGCCACCTCATGAGAAGAGAAGACTCCCTGGAAAAGACCATGATGTTGGGAAAGATGGAGGGCACAAGGAGAAGGGGACGACAGAGGATGAGATGGTTGGACAGTGTTCTCAAAGCTACCAGCATGAGTTTGACCAGACTGCAGGAGGCAGTGGAAGACAGGAGTGCCTGGCGTGCTCTGGTCCATGGGGTCACGAAGAGTCGGACACAACTAAATGACTAAGCAACAACAAAAACTGGCCAGTAACTAAAGATGAATCCTGATAAGATGAATGCACTGTGAATTGATCATTCCTGGGATCAGAAATGGGCTGTGCATGTGCTGAATGAGCTTGTGTTCCCTCTTGAAGGAGCAGAAATGCAGCTTAGGGATGCTTATTGATCCAGTATTGTCACTAGAGACCTTAGCCAGCTTATGCTGGTTCGTTAGCTGGGCCTTTCCTTCAACTAGGATAGCCTGGCTGCAGCAATCCATGCTTTGTTAACCTCCAAGTAGGACCATGTGGGGCCGCCCTTAAAAATGGTTAAGAAGTGCAGTTAGTGTGGAATTCTGCTGCCAGAGTTCCTAGCTTTAGGAAGGTGATGGGAGGGTTCTAGGACCCTGCCAGAGGCCTCACACCTCCTTCCCAAAGCCCAGTGCCTCACTCAGCCAGCTTTAGGAATACAGCAGGAGGACTAGGATGTAGGGCTCGCTCTCCCACCACCACCACTATGCGTGCACACATGACAAGGAAGTATGCAGCCCACAGGTTCTGTGTCAAAGTAATCTTGCAGCCCCCTTGGTATGAAAAGTTGGACCACCTTGGTCTAGATGGGAGCTATGCAGCAAATATACTGAAGGAATTACAGTACATTGGATGTCATTTTATTCTCAAGCCCAGTTCCAAGTATTTTAAGTACCTTTGAAGGTTTAAATCACTTGAACACCTCCCCCCACCCCATATCTATCTGCCCCTCACATGAAGACCTTAGATTAGGCCCTTTTCCAAGTTCTATCTCTAGGAAAGGTGGTTAGGAAGGACAGGGCCTTTTTAGTGATTGACTTTGGAATACCCTCCTGAAGGCGGTAAGACAAGTAGTCTCACTGTTTCTTTTTGGTACCCAATTAATTGCCCAAGCTATTTACTGTATTGTTTTAGCTGGTTGAATATATTTGATGTATTACCTCTCAGATATTATATTGATTTTTATTGGTTTTTTCCTTGAAAATACTACACTGATGTTTTGGGAGAATCCATGTTTGAATGAATGAGTGGTTTATTATTATTATTATTATTATTTAAAAGATTATAAAAGTGTATTTAAAAAATGAATAGCTGACTGGGGGTTTGTAGGCTCATTTTAGCCTCCAAATTTCCCCCTTTTCATTTTAACCTCCATACAAAAGGCTCCCAATATAGCACAAAAGCTGCTTTCTTCTGCATAAGACATCCAGAAAGAGCTCTTTCCCCTTCTGCCCCCTTTAAAAACAACGTTTTTTATTTGTGCACTTTGGCTGGCTGCCTTAGTTCAGACATCACTGAGGTGTATAAAAAGTTGACGGCACTGTGGAAAACCATTGCTGACGTGCATAACAGGGAACAGCAAAGATTTGTGTCATACAGGAGTGTAGCCAACAGTGGTGTGCGGTCAGTGGACTAGGGGGGTTAGGGAAGTTCCTTAAATGGTCCAAGAGCCTTTATGCCACCTTCACAAAGCCCACCCTCTCAGAGGCTTGGCACCACCTTCCCAAAGCCTGGAAAGCTTCTGCCTGGCTTTGGAAGGAAGGAGCAATGCTCACATATTAGACGTTGCAACATCGCACGAGAGACATCTCCCCCCCCCCCCCATATCACCCTCGCAAGCCAGTGCCTCTTTCCCGCTATGAAAAATGGTGCTGATTCTTCAGTCCTTAGTTCAAAAAATATAGCCTCTTCTAATACTTGCCAAGGTTGACACACATCATACCACAGTTAAGAACCATTATGGCACACTGGGTGTTACAAAAAATTTATTTCTGACACTATGTTTCCTAAATAGTGGTTAGCAACCAAAACTCAACAAAAACAAGTCAAAACTGAGTTGATAAACCACAGAAGTGCTTCTTGCAATAGCCAGCATAAGCGTGCCAAGGTTTGCAAAGTGAATTAAGGCAGTGGCATTTTAGATCTAATATTGGCAATATGAAAACAAAATGAACTTTCAAGCACTTTTAAGAACATCATCTGTATTATTCTAATACTTATATTATCTGACCCAATAATTATACTGCAACAAGAAACAAACACTATTAGGCCTTTTGTATTTCTAAATATTTTTATAAACTGGCTTGCTGTTTGTTAAATATGCAGGGCGGGGTTGCACTCTTAAAACAAATAAAGGTCTAGGAATCTCTAGGACAGGGTAACCTGAAAATCTTCCTGCTAGTATTTTGAAAATTTGCAGGCCTGTCTGCACCTTTCTTTATGAGCTCAAGTTTTAAAAACAATTCTTCTTCTGTCCCAGGAGACATGGTGGCAACCTAACTCATGCACAAAACCCTATAACGCTCCTGTAAGACAGAACCTTGCCCAGGTACAACATGCTGCCATTATCTCAGAGACTCAATGGACAACACTTGACTATTTTTGCTCTAGAAAGCTATATCTCAAAATGTCCATGGGAAAAAATGGTTTGGGAACCACTGATCTCAAGGGTTAAAAAAGAAGAAGCAGTAGAATCTTGTGTTCCACTGCCACACTAACATACACCTGCCTCCTACCAGTTCAGACCATTAGTTCACCTAAGACTAGTGGCTCTTCAGGGTCTTAGGCAGAGGTCTCTCTTAGCCCCGGCTGCTAGAGATCCCTTCAACTAGAGAAGCCAGAGATTGAGCCTGGGACCTTCTGATGTCAGAGCTCATCACCTAAAAGGTGAGGTGAAGATGGCGAAGGGAGTGCCTAGCTGTCCAGTCCAAAAGTATTCTCACAGTTTTTCTCTTATGGTACAGGAATACCATATACGGAAGGCAGTTTTGCATATAAAGACTCCCATCTCCATCTCATGCGAAAATCAATAGCAGATTTCCCCCACTCTCTTTTTACTTGTTTTCTTGATGTTACATCACTCCACTTTCTGGCCCCCCCTCCCAATAAAATGTTTATATATGTTGCAGGCAGGATGCAATTTAAGTTAGTTGGAAGGTGGGTGTAGGCAAGAACAAAAAAGAAAAAAATCTAAAAATAACATCAAGGCGTCTAACTACAACTCTCGAATAGACAGTACTTTGGAATTCACTGCAAAAGACCAAGCACAGCTCCCCCTAATTCAGAATTGAATAGGAACAGAAACAATCACGCAGTACTAAATTCAATTGAGCTGACTTATCAAGTGTGGGGAAGCTCAGGCTCTCCAGACCTCTTTATACGGCCCTCAGGACTCTCTGCAGGCCATGCCGCCTTGCCAGGTCATCATACCCCCTCACTTGTCCTGCTTCACATCTTTCTTGAGTGAGTTTGACTGACTAGAATGTGTCATTGAACTGTCATAATGCCTCTTGCCTCCCTGTGGAAATTCTGACTTTTGCTTGTATAGATTGTACCCTACTATACAAAGGTAAGAATCACATATGTTGCTCTGCTCATTTTTTCTGCTGGCCTCCAGAAGGTTATCCACAAGGAAATGATAGCCCTCAGGCTTAAAAGGATTCCCTGTCCCTGTGACATACATATCCACCTTGCACCACAGCTGCTGTGGAATGTCAAGATTCTTCAAATTTGTCAGAGTCTGGAGAAAATTCAATTACACAAAACGAAACACCATTATGACTACATGGTAGGCAATGGACCATGGATTAAAATGCAAAGAATGTAGCAACCCAGGGGTTCCAACTTGAATAAAATATGGTGGAGGGCAGGTAAGCCCCACCCTGAATAATCTATCACATGCATACCGTTTGAATGGCGATGCCTATTAACTTTGCAGGCGGTGCCCTCCTCAAATATTTTAGGGTGTGTGTGAAGCTACCTTGGCCCCTAGGAGTTGGCTCCTGTGTTGCAACCTGAGATACAAAGACAACACAGAATTGTCCATAAACTAACCAGGAAAAATAAGTGAACTTGCAGGGATTAATACAACCGGATATGTATCCAACCTGCAAAGTTGTATTTGCAATCAGTAGGGAGAAGCTGCTCAGAGTAAGCCAGCATGGTGTTGCTAATCTTTAAACAGGAGCCATCTTCTAAACCATTGTTCCAACATAGCTGAAGCAGGAACCTGATTGCAGAGATGTCCCCTTAGGAGCCAATTCAGAAGCCTCCAATGAATTTCACAGTTATGCATAGATCAATTAGAGTTGTCTTTGCCTGGAAGCAGCTCCAAATGATGGCAAGCAGAGCTGCTTAGCAATCGTCTCTCCTAAACTAAAGCATAGCTTTGGGACAGCTGATCTAAGGAGAGAGGCTGGACCTGGACTTTGTTTGACCAACAACTCATTGATTCCTTCTCAGCTAAACAACTGCACAAGTTACTTATATCTTACTTCTAAACAATGTTGCTGCTAACCTGGTTTTGCTTAGGGCTCCTTCCAGGCAACCTGTTTATTCAGTATTCATCCTAATTTGCTTGCACATAGTTTATGTGGTGGTTAGACTATGTCCAATCTTTACTGAGCATTCATTCTGAAATTTTTATGGGGTGGCTATATGACAATGAATGTTCAACCTACATTCATCCTGATTTGTTTGTGGTGTGATTACACGTCAGCCATTTGTCCATCTCACATTTTTCAGTGCATTTCCTTATCACTTTCTTAACCAAAAAAGGTCAATTTTTAAAGTGAATTTATTGCACTAGGGCAACAGAGCACTTTATCCCGCTTCAAACGAGAAAAAACTAACACTCCAGGTCAGTATGCACTTGAATCACTCCTGCAAAGCACTGACAGTCTGGAAGCTCCCTTAAACAAGTTGCTTTCTGATTATCTCTGACTAATCTCATGCTTGAAAAAGTTATACAAGATTTTGTTTTTCTTCCCAGAAGGGCTACCATTCAAAGAAAACATTCCTCTGAACACAGTATTATACCCAGGGGGAGAAGAAAAACAAAGACGATCCTTTGAGCAGATATCTAAAGAAATATATTCAGCAAACAGATCTGGTGTGATTCATCGCATATTAGACCCATTAGATAATCACAGAATCACATTGCAACTTAATCTAATGGGGGGGGTACAAATTGGGGCAAACTTCTTACTTTATAGCCAATTAGATGGGTGTGCGGAACCTGTAGACTTCCAGATATTGTTTGACACCAATTACCATCAGCCCCAGTCAACATGGTGAGTGGTCAGGAATGATGAGAGTTCAGCCCAGCAACATCCCTACCCATACATAGAACATAAGCTACGTATCTTTCCCTTAGACCAGCTAACCATACTCAAAACAGGTGCATACCCTCTCCAAGGTCAACATGAAGTATCTTCCCTTCCATATGCACTTTCAGTCTCAGAAACCAACACCTGTATATACTAAGTAGAGTAAACAAAGTGAGCCACTCCTACTCAGCAGTAATGTTACACAGTGTTCCGTTTCTTTGTCTCTTAAGCAACAGGGCCCTGGCTGACCAACTCATTGTTGGATGAGATGACTAATGAGTATGGATATGTGAAAGAGAAATAAACAATTTCCATTGTGGAATGGTGATGATAACAGTCACAAAAGGGTGAAAGGTTGAGTACCTACATTGCCTCTAACTAGTTACTCACTGGGGGAAATGACATAGGTCAGTGGTAGATCATCTGCCTGACATTCAGAAGATGTCAGGTTCAACTGCTAGCATCTCGAGGTAGGTCTGGGAATGTTTCCTACCTGAAACCCTAGAGAGCTACTGTCAGTCATTATAGACAATGTTGTGCGATATGGACCAACAGTTTGAGTCAGAATTAGGCAGTTTCCTATGTTCTTATAGTTAATAAAGGCCTTACACCTGGAAAAGTCAAAGGTCTGTATCGAAGCATCACTTTCCAGATGCAGATGTAGCTGAACAAAAACTCTTTCACTTAGCATCTAAGTGTCTAGGCTACAGGTTGCACCACACACTGATGACTGGATGAGCAAAGCAAAAGTATCAGAAAAATGCAGAACTTCACAGGTCTGTAAAACTAAATAGCCCAGTGTCATGCTTAAAAGCACCTTGTCACACGGATGCCATAATGTATTATGAACATGAAAGGGTAACGGCAAAGGAACACTCAAGCCTGTTAACCTGAGAGTGTGCCTATAATGTCCCCACTGACCAGTTTGAAAAGGGGGGGTTATTTTACAAATAGAGCTATAGAGTTTCACAGCACCTTTTAAAGAAATTACATACAACACTAGGCTCCAGCTCTTTTGCCATATTAGATACTAAAAACAAACAAAAAAATAACCCATAGCCAGGTGATTGTGTTCACCCAATAAACAAAGCCAAAATTATTATCTTTCAGAACTTAAAAAAGTATTCAAGCACATTTACACATGTTTAAACAAATAAAATAACACTTTTTCATCTGACTTTAGTGGCAATTTGAATGTGGTCTTTATGATGCAAGCTTTAAGGAATATTTTGCATTCTGAGTGGAGGGGTGAACTGCTTTACTTTCCAGTTAGCAATTTATTTGCCTGAGGCACAGTCAGTAGAGCATGTTCTAAAGGTTGTGGATTTGAGCCCCACGTTGGGCCAAAGGATTCCTGCATTCCAAGGGGTTGGACTAGATGACCCTCATGGTTCCTTCCAACTCTACAATTCTATGACAACTCTATGAGGCAGTTCATTATTATTTCCCACAGCACCACAAAGCTTTGGAATGCCTTTGCTTGTGTCACTCTCTCTCATCGTGCAACTTTCCCCCAACTCTTTTTTTTAAAAAAAAATGAACAGTAGCAGCTGGAGGCCACAATTAGAAATGGAGAAAAGGGGAGGGGGGGCAGAATTTCCTTCCTGTCATTTGCCGATTCAAAACCATTCCCCTCTTACGGAATATAGACACTAGGTGATGAAGCTGCACAACAAGGATGCTGCCCGAAAAAGCTTATTACCCTGAACGTTTAAAGGGATCCATAACAACACAGTAAGAGCACTGCTGGATCAGACCAAAGATGTCTCTAGTCTAGAATCCTGTTCCCCACACAGGCTGACAAAATGCCTATGGGAAGTTTGTGGCCATGAACAGATTGAATGACTTCCCTGTTCAAGCAGAAAAGCCTACTGTGGCGATCACACAGGGTCCCCGGACGTTTAACGGTCTACTGATCTCTGTGCCACCACTGTGCTTGCTCTCCCGCTGCCACCAACCAGTTACTTTCTGGTAAAACACTGAGTCCACTCATTTGTTAAAAGTGAACCAAAAAAAAAGGTTTATTTTACAAACATTAACAAGTTTATGGTTTCTCAGATAATATTCCTGTCAGTATCTTAACTTTAGTTTCCTTACTGGCCTATACCTTCCTAATACCTCCTGGCTGATTATCTCAACTGTTTGACTGACTCCTCTTAACAAAGTCTCTCACTCTCTCACACCAGACTAGCCCAACCCACAGACTTATCTTCTCCGTCTCTCCTAACTCCAGACTGTCTTCTCAACAACTCTAACTCCCTAAAACCCCCTCTGTGCTTAAACCTTATACGCAGTAAACTCTGCCCCCTGGGTTCCCATTGGTTAGTCATTTTACAATTAGTTAACCCTTTCCCTATGAACCCAGTATGAGGTCACACACCTAGGAGGGCAAACACCATACCTACTATTGTCACATACTATCACATAGTTAAACTATGGAATTCCTTCCCACAGGAGGCAGTGATGGCCATCAGCTTGGATGGCTTTAAAAGAGGGTTAGACAAATTCATGGAGGACAAGGCTAGAATCATGTCCTCCTTTTCTGGCTTCATATGAGCATCTGGTTGGCCATTGCGACTTCTCAATTCCAAAGCCCACATGCCTTTTTTCGAAGCAGAACATGGTAGCCCTATTCAAGAAATACCTCTAGAACAAACAAGCATGTCACTGTCTTCCCTTATTTGTATATTGTGTTCTACAAAAAGTGGCGTGGCTCTCAAGAAAAAAGTATTAAAATAGCATTCAAGTAAAGGTTGCCATACAGAAGCAGTGCAACTCAAGTACTAAGGAAGGAAGTAAAATATGTTGCGTGTGCACCAGCAGTTTGAGCCTTGGATTGGTTTCTGAATAATATGTACATGAAAATTACTATGTAAAAGAGGGATATCAGCAAAAACCCAAACATGAGTACAGTATTTTAATTAAACACAGGAAATATGAAAGCTGCCAAGTGAAATGTATTACACATAAGCAGGTCATAAAAACCTAAGCAGAACTCTGCTGGATCAGACCATAGGCGTATCTGGTCCAGCATCCTGCTCTCACATTGGCCAACAAGATGCTTATGAGATGCCTGCACACATGACATGAGTGCAACAGCCACGCTCCCACTCATGTGCCCAACAACTGCCATATTTGAAGTATTAGACACACAGCCATCATGACTAGTTGTTGACAGCCCTATCCTCCATGAATTTGTCTAATCCCTTTTTAAAGTAAGCTAGGTTGGCAGCCTACTGCAGCTTCTAGTTAGCCAATGTGGTGCACTCCAGATGTTGGAGTACAACTTCCATCATCCCTTTCCACTTGTCATGCTAACAGAAGCTGAAGAGTACCTCACGGGCTACTTCAGCCATAGTTTATGCACTGTGTCAAGAATGGATCACAGTACCTTACTGACTGCCTTTCCCAACAAGAAGATATCCAGACTCTACACATGTTAACTGAAGTCATCTTTAGTGTGCTCCCCCTGGAAGAAACGGGTAGGTTTAGGTTTAGGGAAAGGGCCTTTTTGGTTGTCCCGTCCACCCATGGGCTTTCTCAAGCCAGGCCCACCTGGAGCTAGCATTGAATTCTATTCAGCACCAGCATTTTAAGATTTTCCTCTGCACCTGGGCATGGTTAGCTTTAGTGGCAAGAATCTGTCAAGAATGTATAACTTGCTGTTGAAATGGAATACTCAGGATGAAATGGTGAAATCAGCTATGATTAAATGGGCACAAGATGTTGGACATAACATAATGATGGCTGACTGGGAACAGTTATGGACCACAGGTATAAAATTCACGGCATGTAATGTCCTAAGAGAAAATTTAATGAAAATGATTTATAGGTGGTACATGACACCAGTCAAGCTTGCAAAAATTTATCATTTGCCCGACAATAAATGTTGGAAATGTAATGAGACTGAAGGTACATTCTTTCACGTTTGGTGGACATGCCCAAGGATTAAGAAACTCTGGGAGATGATCTATAACGAAATGAAAAAGGTATTTAAATATACCTTTCTGAAGAAACCAGAGGCCTTTCTCCTGGGCATGGTTGGCCAATTGGTGTCAAAGAAGGATACAACTTTTTTTATGTATGCAACAACAGCAGCAAGAATACTCATTGCGAAAGTATTGGAAGACACAAGATTTACCCACTCGGGAAGAATGGCAGATGAAGTTGATGGACTATATGGAATTGGCGGAAATGACTGGCAGAATCCGAGACCAGGGAGAAGAGTCGGTGGAAGAAGACTGGAAAAAGTTTAAATACTATTTACAGAAATATTGTAAAATTAATGAATGTTAGAAAAATGTTGGAATGAAGTTATATGGCTTTAGTAGAAATGTTATAAGGAATTAAGTATAAATAGATTAATAGAGTATCAAAGGGAAAAATAAGGCTAGAATCTGTTAAGACAATTAAAGGATAGAAAGCAGAGGAAGATGGAAAGGAATTGCTGAAACAATCAACAGAAGTGGAATACAAAAAGGGAGGTGTGAGGAGGTCACGGAAATAAGTGAATGAAAGATAAGATATTGAAATTGTTTGATTTTTTAAAAACTGTTTTTGTTTTGTTTTGTCAGTTTAATGTGTTATGTAGTGTTTTTGTACTGTATTGCATTGTTCTCTTTTCTTTTTCTTTTTTTATGTGTTTAAATTGTTGGAAAAGTAATAAATATTATTTTTAAAAAAGCTTTAGTGGCAGAATCTGGTTTTTCTTTACCTAGTCCTGTATAATTCAGGTTGCGAGGAAAGGGGGGAAGATTACCCTGCAAGGGCTGGGGACAGATACATGCATGGACCAGAGAAAATTGCTGTTAGACATGCCAAGATAAAAAGAATGCTCCATCAATGGAAAACTTGTCGCCAATCTGGCAATTGTGATGGACTGATCTCAGAGTGTATCCAACACCTTGGCCGATGTATTGCATGACCTTTTGGAGACTGATATCAAAATGCAGAGGAAGTCAGCATTGGATGACACCCCCACCACCCCAGGGGGGAAATTCCAGCATCTGTCAGGAACTAAAAAGATTGTGTGGTTCATCTGCAGCTCTGGATTTTGTAGGATAACTATACATGGGCTGGTGAAATTGACAGCCTCTCAATTTCTGTCCAAAGGACTTTATAGAATCTATCCATAAAGAGTGAATATTGTATAAATGGGGGACAGGGGAAGAGCTATTGGGTTTGCTGGCCAGAGCCTGAATATTTTCCAATCCTGCAAGAAAAACATTCCCAAACTCGCCTCTTGAAGACCCACAGTATCACAGGAGGACAATTAATCCCACACCTCTAGCAGCAGCAGCAGAGCTTAATGGAGCGCTGCAGGCAGTGTCACATTTACAGCCCCAGCGCTCGTGCCAGCCAGGATGGGAGGTGGAGAAGGGAATGGAAAGGGTTAAAATGCCCCTCTACTGACCAAGTTGCAGGCTGGCATGGTAAGGAGGACCAAATTGGACTCTGTGCTGTCACATGACAACAGTAGGGTTCTCATAGATATTGTGCCAGCCCTGCTTCCCACCCTGAAACACCCATTTTGGGGTTCTCTGCTGGCTACTGCCAGCAGGGATACTACTGGTGGTAGCTTTCACTCACCAGCTATTTGGGTGAGTACACTGAGGTGCTCGCCAGCGGGCTTCCCTCCTGCAATTATACAGAGGCTAGCAAAACACCTCTGCTTCATCCAAAGCCCTCCAGCGCAACAGATTCTCCGTTTGGACTGTTCTGCCTGACAGCTTTAGCTGTTGCTCATCTGAAATGTTTTGCCAGGGACCCCTCATTGGCACTGAGGCCAGAAAGAGAGATGAGATTATTTCTGTCCATATCCCAAGCTGGAGTGTTGCTATTAGCCAAGTTTCGTATGTTTGACTTAGAACTGCCTGCTTATTCCTGTAGCAGCTGAAGCACACATTTCAAATTTGTCAAAGGAAAACAGGCAGAATCCTTTTTTTTAATGGATTTGAAACCTACAGAACACAAACATTAGATCTCCCAGTTACTCAGATTGCATGTTTTTCATACCGTATTTTGCAAATGTGTACTTTTTTGTTATGAAATGTTCTGCTCCCAGAATTCTACAAGATTAGAAATTCTTAAAATTTAATACATATTAGGCAAGTCATAAGATTCAGTTCCCAACTCAGTACATACTGTGGGCTTAATCTGCAACTCAGTTGTGCCATGCCGATGCCTTTTGATCATTCCCAGCTCTGACTGTATTATTCCAGCAGAATCTTAGGTTCACACTACATGTTATGGTTAATGAATAGCATGCAGTTATGCCTCCTCATTTTCTGTAATTAATTACAGCTGTGTGTAAGGGAAGGGGGGGTTATTGGGAGCACAGCATGAGATGAATTATAATTTTCTTCCCTTGCCATGATAACCCCCTCCACGCACACACACCCCATTGGTGTGGCTTAAGGGGAAAGTTCCAAATGGCACATTTTTATTTTTAGTTTTTAAAAGCACAACCCATTTATATGCCATTGTAAAACTGATTCAGAGGGAGACGGAAAGGGGGACTACAGCATCTAGACCAGGGTGGTCCAACGCACGGCCCATGGGACTCATGTGGCCCTCAATGCCTTTTCTGGTGGCCCTCAGCAATGTTTGAGCCACTCCCTTGCACTGCTTTCCCAAAGCTAAATAAGGGAGGTGCTAGACTTTGGGAAGGAGGCGTAAGGACTCTGACAGGGTCCCAGAGTCCTCCTTCCTCCTTCCCAAAGCCTAATTAGTGCTTTCCTAGCTTTGGGAAAGAAATGGGAGGGCTCTAGGACCCTGTCAGAGCCTTGTGCCTCCTTCCCAAAGCAGTTGTTTAGCCAACTTTGGGAAGGTAGTACAAGGGCATAAAATTTTGGGCTCATTTCCTCCCCCTCCCCAGCACAACAAGGCTGTATGTGGCACGCAGACTCCTTGTCAAAATACTCTTGTGGTCCACTTGGTATAAAAATTTGTACCACCCTGATCTAGACAATCATTGCTGTGCACAACTATCCACTAACCTCTTGGTGCTGTGCATACCACTTTTACAAAACATACAGAGCTTGTTGACCTGCCCCCCACCCCACCCCCATAATCAGTTCTGGAGGGGAACACATTTCTGAAGTATCAAGTATCATTTCCAAAGCGTAGTGGCTCCAATTGCTTATGAGTTTCTATGTACAGCCTTAGCTGTCTTGGGGGAGTGGTGTGTGTGTGTGTGTGTGTGTGTGTGTGAGAGAGAGAGAACTGGACCTCTGGGGCAATTTTCAAACTGAAAGGGAATATATCTATATCCATCTAGAAATGTAGTCTTTCTTTGAAATATTCAGACACATAGAATGTGTATGTGCCATGAAACAAATACTGTGAGTTGCCTGAACAATTAAGAATGCTGGCAAGCATTTCCAAGACTATGATTTGCCAATCTATATTCCAGCAAGGCAGGACTGTGTGCATTTCATTCGTATGGAAAACTGGCAACACTTGGAACACATCATTTAAAAACAATAGCAGATTGGAATAAAGCTGACCTAATCAGTCAGTCATGCTGCTCTGCTCTTTCTTATCCCACATCAGTGCCAGGATAGCCTTAGAAGACAATTGTGGTTGACCCCAAACTGATTCTCACTGCAGTGCTAACTGGAGGACTTCTTTGAGGGTTAGGGTAGAAGCCAAAAGTGATACATAGGGTTTTTTTTATACCTCCAAACAGAATACTACATAGAGCTATTTACCACTCAAATGTAGCAGGGATATATTTGTACCCATCAAACCCACTTATCCCCATTTGTTTTAATTCTTCTTAAAGCAAAACGAATTCATATCTTGAGTGACTGTTTAGTTAGGCTCAATGTGCAACAAGATAATGAGTGCAATCGAGTCCATTTCCTGATATTACTGAATATATTATATTATATCATTTGAACTTCAAACCCAAGTATGTTAATTATAGGATTTAGTGCATCACATATTAGAAAACATTTGTATGAATAGTGTAGCCTTGTGCTAAAAAATGGCCTATCTACTAAAAAAAAAAAAAGGTTTGATTAGGATTTTTTTCTTTTAAAGAAAGCTACAGAACAGGTGTTCCAAATTCAGTAGTATAGAATTCAGATTGTCAAAATCTAACTACACAGCATCAGTTGACTATCTGATCCACACACAGTCACTCAATATATTATGCTCTCTTTTTTTAGATAAAGAACATCTTTGAGACCCATGCCAGATCAGACATTAGGAAAAAGCCATGCATCACCTGAGAACTAACTGTGGACAGCCTCCCCAGCCCCCAATTCCTCCAGAGCAAACTGGAGGTGGGGAGGCAGTGAGCCTATGGGGAGAGGAAAGGGTGAGTAAATACCATTGTGCAGGTTGAGATGGTTTCATTGGATACAACCCCTTCTCTTTCAAGAAAAGTGCAACCTCATCCAGAACTGGTTGAATGTAATCCTCCTCATGTTAGAACCATTCACCCATATTGCCAGGAATGAGCTTCAGTTTATTGGGCACATTAAACTCTGCATTCATTCTACCACTGTGTGAGAAACCTTCCCTGATATAGGCTCATCTCACATAGCTGTCAACGTTTCCCTTTTTTAAAGGGAAATTACCTTATTCCGAATAGGATTCCTCGCAAGAAAAGGGAAAAGTTGACAGCTATGGCATCTCATATTTTTTTACACTAAACTACTAACACAAACGGTGTGTGAAAGGATAAAAGAAGGCAATTTCTCAAAATTAGTACTGCACTGCTCTTAGGATATACTGGTACACAAAAGGTTTGCCCAGGAGTGCTTGCTAAAGATGAACACAAGTTTAATGCAGGACTACTATGAAAATCAGGACTACTTAAAGAGTTTATTTTAGGACAGAGTCACACAATAATTAAGGCAGCTGGCATGCAAAGAGAAAAGGTTTCAGAAAGCACAGGATGTGCTGGTTTGTTGTCTATGACTACAGAACCATGCTCACCTGCCAGAAAACCATATCATTGTCTGCAACCTTCACTTCACTTCTACAGTCCCTGTGAAGGCAGGACGCCTCCATGTAATTAGTGTGCTTCTATTAAGATGAGTTAATTAAAAGAGAAATGAAGAATAGGATTGCCACCTGGCCCTTTTCGTTTGTTTGATAAACCTCTTGCCATTTGTCAATGGCTTCTGCCCAAGAAAAGGAACTGTTAGCTTTTAAGTTACTCCAGGTACTGTCCTGTGCCATAGATCACAATCAGTGCTGTATATGACTGTAGAAATAACAGCTACAGTGCTCAGCTTTAGGGGAGGGGGATGGAGTCATAGCTGTTTCTCTTAAGCGGAGTGGGCACATGGCAGATATTCAGTTGATAGAGCATATATATTACAGTGCTGACAGGAGCATACTGATGAAAATAGGGACATCCTATTCCACAATAATAATAATTTTACTATTTATACGCTACCCATCTGACTGGGTTGTCCCAGCCACTCTGGGTGGATTCCAACATATATAAAAACATAATAAAACAGGGGTCAGATAGCTCCATACTCTCCAACATTTATCCAGTGAAAATCCTAAGGAAAAACAGGACATTCCAGAATCAAATCAGAAACCAGGACAGCTTCTTTAAATTCGGGACTGTCACTGGAAAATAGGGACAACATCTGGAGGGCCATATGTTCCCCATTCCTGTTCTAAATCATTGCAACAGGAAGTTCCTATTCATTAATGCAATTTCAAAGAACTAGTTGCAATTTTAGTGGCAATGGGTTGTTTTATTTATTTTTTTAAATTATGCATGCCTATTTCGGCAAATGCTGGAGTCCTCTAAGTAGGACTTCCCAAGCAAGGCCTGAAATCTGGGTATATTACATACAGTATACTGATGGTGGGGGTGGGGGAAGTAACCAGCAACCACAAGAGTCTTCACCAAGGTTCAAGCTAAGAAACTTAGTTGTTTTTTTTTAAATGCTAAGATTTTTTTCCTCACAAGCCTCAGTGGTGAATACAAATGAGATGTTTTTAAGTATTGGCTAGTTTTTTGGTTTTCTATATCCAAGTAGGGTGGGATTTAATAGAGAAAAGGAGGAGGAGGAGGCAGGAAACAGAATAACAATTATTGGGTGACTGAAAAAGGATAGAAAAGCCACTAGCTGTGAAATTTCTGTGAAAAAATAGGTATAAAAGGAGAATTCCTGGGTGTAAAAAAACCAAGTTTGGGGCAAGTACTCTTGAGTGAGGAAACCCCAGCAGAGATTTAAAATCACAAAATATGCAGCAAAGTAAAGTGTGGAAATATAGGCTTTCAGACCTTTAAAATATGCCCTTGTGAGTTCCTTCCAAAGTTTTCCTCTTCCCCCCACACAGAAAAAGATCACACAAGTAAAAAAATGTTTCCCTAAAAACTCTCCAAAGGTCTGATTCATGTGCTTTTCCATACAGCATTCAGAAAAAGTTGCACAGGCAGTGAAACCTGGCTTAGTTACAGTGTTGAAAGTTCCTAAATTATTGAGAGCCATGTGGTTGAGCTTCTCAAGTAGACTAGGGAAACAAAGTCTTGACTACCTAGTCCCTCCCAAGGTGAGCTAAGCCTGCCAGGACAGCTTACTCAATGGTTTTAACTCCTTCATGCATTAATTAGACTTAAGAATGTTGGTGTTAAGAGGCTGGTTACTCCACAATTTCCATTAGAGTTTTCAGGGCCAAGAAAACCAGAGTAGTAAAAGATCAGTGGCTTCCTGATGTGGGTAATTTAGCAGCATACAGTTTTTTACTGTTTTGTTTCAAACTGGAACTCTGCTTCTAGACTGTGAGCAGTAAAAATGCTGTATGTGTGTACCGTATTTTTTGCTCTATAAGACGCACCAGACCACAAGATGCACCTAGTTTTTGGAGGAGGAAAATAAGAAAGAAAAAAATTCTGAATCTCAGAAGCCAGAACAGCAAGAGGGATCGCTGTGCAGTGAAAGCAGCAATACCTCTTGCTGTTCTGGCTTCTGGGATAGCTGTGCAGCCTGCATTCGCTCCATAAGATGCACACACATTTCCCCTTACTTTTTAGGAGAGAAAAAGTAAGTCTTATAGAGCAAAAATTATGGTATATAAAGGTAAAGCTGTCATCACACAGCAGTTTGCTTGGCTGCCAACAGGAGGTGCTGACAAGTGACAACAGCCTTCTAAGAGTTGCTGGGCCATCGCAGCAGCATTGGAGGGTAAGGAAAAGGCAATGTGGAGAGGGAGGGCTACGGAGGAACAGCTCCAAGAGGAGAGAAGTGGTTTGGCAAGTGCAAAGGGGACAGGTGAGTGGGTATGGCAAGCTTTAGGGCAGGCATAGGCAAACTTGGCTCTCCAGATGTTTTTGGACTACAACTCCCATCATCCCTAGCTGATAGGACCAGTGGTTAGGGATGATGGGAGTTGTAGTCCCAAAACATCTGGAGGGCTGAGTTTGCCTATGCCTGCTTTAAGGGGAAGTGGGATTAGTGATGTGGAAGAGCAAGTGGGGTAGCAAGTGAAGGTCTGCACACCATACATGACTCAGAAGGGAAACTATACAGCAGGTCTAATTGCCAGTCCTGTTGGACCCTGTTTCTTCTCCTTAATTACCTATTACCCTACATTTTTAGTAACTATTACTCTACTGCTCCCACACGTCTACCTCCGTTTTTTCACATGTGGAGCCAACAATTAATAATGAAAAAATTACAGTACACAAAGTAATGAGCAAGTTCTTGAAAACAAAATGCCAAATATGCTGCTTATGTCAACTAGTTCTCCAGCTGATTATATATTTTAGCGTGGCCCTCAGTGTAAACCAAGCGGCCCTCCCAGAGTGGTGGTGTCCCACTGGAGTTAAAGCAATATGCAGGGAGTTCACATTAAGAAGCAGTCGGAAGGATATTCATTATTTGTAGCTCCCTGTGTGCTTTAGGATGCTGTGTTTTTATTAGCTGTTATAACCAATGCTGAATTGGTTTTATTGTAGTGTTGCTGCCTTGTAACTTGTCGTTTGTTTTATTTCATAAAATTTATATACTGCTTGATTGTAAAAACAACCACCTCAAAGCAGTTTACAAAAAGAAAAGAAAAGAAAGGGCAAGCTAGAAATTCTCTTATTTCATTAAATATATATATAAATATTCCTGACCCCGTTAGAAAGAATATTTATATACATAAAATATCCATGAGATAAGAGAAATAATTTTTGCCATCAATCTTGCTATATAGTGAAAACCATCAGAAATCCTTGTGGTCAACACTAGGGGTAGGACTACACTAACATCCCTTTAAAGTATTTACATACCCCAATATCTGCCAGATTAAATTAAATTTCAAGAATTGAAAAGGCAATTAAAAGGTATTGTAAGAAATGCAACCAGTGAAGCAAGCAATAACCAACAGACACCAATAAGACTTTAGTTCAATACTACATTCATATCATGTTGGTGGGTGTGAGCACATGCACGCATACAGACACATTTGCATAAATTGGTCTAATCCAACCATGGTTTGGTGCAAATGCATAGGCTCCCATATAGGACAGCTTCAGTCCTCCTGCTGCACTGCTGTGACCTAAGTCATGGTTTAGCTAACCATGTCATCTGAACCCAAGCTTCTGGTTTGTCTTGCTCCAGACAAGCTACAAGCTGTAACCAAGGCTTGTTCTTGAGCTTACAGCTTAGGGTTTTTCTGGTGCAAAATTAACCATGAGCCCTAGTTCAGAAAACATGCTAAGCCAAACCGTGACGTCGCTCACTGTAGTGCAGCAGGACCAGAGGAAACCTGTGTATTTATCATGTGAAGACATGGGTTGGCTTAGCATCATGTGCGAACTCAAAACAATTTCAGAGTGTGTCTCAAATCTAGTTCACAAGGACCTTAATTTTTGAAGTTTCGATGTAATGCTAACCAACAGAGATGTAATGCACCACAACAGAGAAAGCAGGTAGTTTAATATATGTATTTGCAATGTTAGACTGATAGCAGCAACTGTATGCATAATGAGAAACTTCAGTAACTTAAGGTGGATAAAACTAAAGGATATATATTAGTTTAATGTTTGTCTGTTTACAGAACAGAGCTGTGTACCAAGAGCTAGATCGTGCATCAAACACTTGTAACACAAACGCAAAGCCATTTTTCAGTGTTCTCCCCAAAGAATTAGACAGTTATGAGCAAAATTGTTAAAGCAAGTCTATTTTGAGCATACATAAAAACAGGCTGGGTGCTTATGTGGCTTTAGTTATAGCTTAAAGAAAATGAATCAAGATTTATCTAATTAGCACATTCCTGCCCAAACCTCCAGATGTGAAATGCTTAGCATCCTATTTATATTTAGGCAAGCAGCTGTGGGACTAATTCAGATGGGCTGAAGCAGCAGTATTTTATACAAGGATGCAGACAGTCAGATGCATACAGTCAGTGGAAGGAATTTTTTTTTCATCCTATCTCAAAGTTGTACAATGGAAGCTAATATACATAAGCTCCTTGCAAAACCTGAAGCAAAGCACCACCACATGCACTGGAGTGCTAGACATTATAACAATCGTATATAGGTTTTATACCACTTTTAGCTGCTTTGATCATTTTTAGTTGTATCCAGACTATCTATACTTGGATATGAAGTTTGTTGACATGCTGAGAATTTTGTTGTTGTTGTTGCTTTGGCCCCTTCCCACACCCCCTTGAAGTGAATGACTACTAAGCCAGTTTGAGTCTGTGGTAAGATATGCCCCAGATACCGCAGTCTCAACACAACATTGAATGGAAACCACAGTTTCATGATATCCTGTGATTTTTTCCGATTTGGCTGCTTTCGCTGGGCACACAAGAGTTCTCGGTTACTGCGTAAAAGTTCTTTTTTAAAAAAAAGTAAAGGTAATCATATTCCGAAATCAGTGCACACACATTTAGGACGCACGCGCACACACACACACACACACACACACACACACGAGAACATGGGCAAGAGACCAGGAACACAGGTAAGAGGTTAAAAAATAAAAAACCCATCAAAGCTGCCTCTAACCCCCCCCCCCCACACCCTTCCAGATTCTGCAAAGGGCTCATTATCTCAAACTGTGAGCCTGCACGATCAAAGCCCTGGGAAAGGTCAGACATTCCACTAGGAGTGAGACTGATGCCTGCAAGCACTCTTCCAGCCTACATTCTCACAGCAGAAGCTTCAGCCCAGCACCTAACGGAAGCGCTTTATCTGGTTACCAGGTGAACTTGCAGATTAGACTTTTGAGTAAAGCCAGGCAAGCTGCTGTCTCTTCTCTGAGCTTTTGGGAAGAAGAAAAGCACTTTTCACATATTTCTCTACAATTGGCTCCCCCCCCCCCGAAGAATAGGCCTATATTTAACTGGGGTGTGCGCACGCGCCTGAATATCAAATAAATGCTCTTCGGTGTCCTGTCTGTCCTCAGACTGTACAGTGCAAAGTCAAATCATATAGATACATCATTCCATGGACATTTTTAGAAGCACAGCCACACAATTCGCATAGCACAAATATTCTGTGCAATTGTTTCAGGTTTGGAAAGGCTTTATTGTTACACCACCCTTCGTCCAAGGATCACAGGGCAGTTTATAACATAAAAACAAAAATGCGTAACACAGTAACAAACAAGGTGCATCTCTTTGGACTTCTACTAGACAATGTAGCTTTCATAATTCTTAAACTTGCTGTGTCATACACATTTTGTGGTTTAGTAGGACCATGACATGAAGTAGATATTGACAGAGCAACACACTGTGTCCACGAGGAACAAAACTTAAGAACTACATTATTATTATTATTATTATTATTATTATTATTATTATTTGGGGGGGATAGTCGGAATGAACTTTTGCCAGTATGGAAAAGTCCATGTGTACACTGCACTGCAGTTCAATTCAGCAGGTGCCCATGGAATTTTCCATGTACTGTCCGAATTGATGCCTGAATATTTATTTGGAGCCAGCTGAAATCACAGAAATGAAAATGCGTCTGCCTCCTCCTCCTCCTCCTCCTCCTGATGACATGTGTGTCACATCACAGGAATACAATGCGCTGCTGCCCCCCCCCCCAATATTTGGCCCAAGGTGGCACTCCTGACAACATAGACAATTGAAGAAAGCTAATAAGAGCAGATGGGGGGGCGGGTGCAGAGGCATGTAGGGATAGAGGAGGAAAGGGAAGTCGCATGGCACAGGCAGAAAGCCTCATACAAATGGGACTACTTCATTGGATGCAACCCTAGGAATACCATTTTTAACCTGTTCTAAATGTTACTTTGGGATGTGGGTAACGCTTTGGGTTAAACCACAGAGCCTAGGGCTTGCTGATCAGAGCGTCAGTGGTTCGAATCCTCGCGACGGGGTGAGCTCCCGTTGCTCAGTCCCAGCTCCTGCCAACCTAGCAGTTCGAAAGCACGTCAAGTGCAAATAGATAAATAGGTACCGCTCCGGCGGGAAGGTAAACGGTGTTTCCGTACACTGCTCTGGTTCGCCAGAAGCGGCTTAGTCATGCTGGCCACATGACCTGGAAGCTGTCTGCAGACAAACGCCGGCTCCCTCGGCCTATAGAGCGAGATGAGCGCTGCAACCCCAGCGTCGTCTGCAACTGGACCTAATGGTCAGTGGTCCCTTTACCTTTACCTTTAAATGTTACTTTAACTAACCCAGTACCAGCGGCAGAGCATATGCCTGCACTTCCCAGGGTGAGTGCGCTCCCGAGGCGTGGGATCACCGCTCAGGTGCATCGAAATGGGGTCAGAGTGAGCCACCCATGGTGGACATTTGGTGTGCCACCCGCCCATGACTCCCAAGTCTCTCCCAGGTGTCAAAACAAAGGGGGGAGGGGGCAATGCCGCTGGCAAGGCGGCGTAGCTCCCCCCTTCCCCCGACGGCTCGGGGTAGGCTTGGGAGTTGCGGGCGGGCAGCGCTCCAAATGTCACCCCCTCAGCGAAGACACCTGGGGCGGTCCACCCCCCTTCCTTCGCCCCTGCCCAGTACAGGTTTGTTTAAATGATAGTAATGAGACAAATTATAGCTTCTGAACACACTTTGGGAAGCTGTTCTGGATAGGAATCACAGGATGAGGCTCTTGCCTACTGCCCTCCAGCCGAAGTAACTGGTGCATTTCCTCCTCTCACTGTTTCTTGCAGAACAGTATCTCTTTACAGTCTGCTGGTCTACCTGGGCTCTCTCCCTCTGCAACCAGTTCACAGAATGTTGCCATCCAGCTATTCCCCTCACATAGCTTCTGACTCAGCCTACAGTTTGCTTCTCTGACCTAGTACAGTGGTACCTCGGGTTAAGAACTTAATTCATTCCGGAGGTCTGTTCTTAACCTGAAACTGTTCTTAACCTGAAGCATCACTATAGCTAATGGGGCCTCCCACTGCTCAGCGGCGTAGCGTGGGTTGTCAGCACCCGGGGCAAGGCAAGTAATTTGCACCCCCTAACCCGGGGCAAGGCAAGTAATTTGCGCCCCCTAACCCCTAACCTGCCGCCGCTGCCAGCTTCTTCTTGCTGCTGCCTGGGCTGGGCTGGTGTGGTTCTCTCCCGCGCTCAGCGCTGTGCTGGGCGGCCACTGCACTGTCCCTCCCCCAGATAGTGCCTCGCTCTCTCTCCACACCGCACGCCTGGCACCCACCCCCTCCACAGTGGGCGGCGACCCAGCGGCTCGGATGGGATTCACACAGCCAGCACTGCAGTGAGAGAGAGTGAGTGAGCCAGGTAGGGGCAGAGAGCTGCGAGTGCGAGCGCGCCCCCCCAGATGTTGCGGCCGGTGCGGCCGGGCCCCCCTGCACCCCCCACGCTACGCCACTGCCGCTGCTGCTGCGTGGGAGGCTCCTGTTCTCATCCTGAAGTAAAGTTCTTAACCCGAGGTACTATTTCTGGGTTAGCGGAGTCTGTAACCTGAAGCGTTTGTAACCTGAAGTGTCTGTAACCTGAGGTACCACTGTACTGTAATTCATCTTATCCAGATCAACAGCTAAGCTGCCCCCAAAAGATAGCTGGACCCATTATTGAGTTAGATTTATTGCAAACAGAAATGGGCAAAACACCACCACAAAAGAAAGCTGGACAAAGGTAATATACAGGCAAATAAGTAGCAACATCTTTACAGAATGTGCATGTTGAGGGGTGGAGCGCCATTGGGAGAAGTGGAATTAAAGTGTGAAAATGGAAATGAAAATCCAACTGTTGATATTCAAAATAGTTTCCGGTCATTTTTAAATCAAATGTCCAATGCTGAATACCGTAATTATGAACTCACGCTGCAGTGCAATGTTAAGCATGTTTACTCAGAAGTAAGTCCAATGGGGAATATTCCCTAGTAGCTATATTTAGTATTGCAGCCCAAGTACATGTTAGAGATAAAGGAACGCTACAAAGCTTTGTGGGTCGTTATTATATTTTGCCCACTGTCCTTTTAAATGAATGAAGTTGGGATAAGAATTCCAGCTGGAGGAGATCAAGATGTTGATTAAGAATAAAATAAAATAGTTGATTTGCCAGATTACAGAAAGAGAAAGAAAGAAAGAAAGAAAGAAAGAAAGAAAGAAAGAAAGAAAGAGACAGACCATGGATAATAGAATTCAAATTTCATGAATACATCTACTTAACTAGCTGTAGCTGTATTTTCCTCTAAGCTTTGGAGTCAGCTAAGTCAAACATGCTGTTTATTAATAACGTATGAGCATGGCTGCTTTTCTGGTGTACGGCTTTGACTGTAGCACTTTTAAGATGCTGTTCCCCATTATAATTTTGTAAAGTAACCAGAAACCATTTCTGAATCCTGCAATCCCTGTTGTAAGACGGGTAAGCTAGAAAGTGTAGCAGCCATACCAAAAACAACAGGCATTGCATTTGTAGCGTATTATTGCCTTATAGCATCCATTCAATGTACAAAGCCATTCACAAGAGAGCAGCTGGCTTTATCTCCATGTAGAAAAAGAAGTGTATCTCAAGTGGTCCCACCTGGAGTCGGTCTTTATACCTTGGGCTGCAGAATTGCTTTTACACTTGTAGCTGTCCTTCTCACAAAGGAAGCTGTAGGGCTCGGGAAGGTTCTTTGGTTACTTTGGCTTTAAAATAGTAAGCATAAGAAGTTGTAAATGAAAGCAATCACCATGTCAATGCATTGAGTAAAAACTCTGGAACCCATTCAGTGTCATTTTCACCTGCTATTATGAATTATAAAAGGTTTCTAAGACCTTTCTTAACTGTAATCTAATTACGGTATTTTAAGATGAGAAAGCAGATTCGGTTGTCTGTCAGAATGCTTCCTCTTTGGATAACAAACTGGACTACCAGGTCCTTTTACACAGAACTGAAAAGCAAGAGCAGACACAAACATGCGCACACCCAGCTAAGCAAGCTGGTAGCATAAATATTTGATAGCAAAAGTTTAGAAGGTGTTGCTATAAAAAATAAAAATAAACTGATTTTAGGCAGCCTTAAAATTGCTGTATGTGACATATAGAAACTTATTCCACTTGATCTTGCCACATCTACTGCCACCATCACCACTCCAGCCTTATGCACATCTTGATAATTAAGTGGGCTTTACCTTCTTGTGGCTTTAATTGAAACCATAAATTTGAATATGCTTATGGAGACACAAATCATTTTCCATCTCAAAAGTGTTGAAAGTTTTGTGGTGTAGACATTTTGTCTGTGAGGTGCGCAGCCTGTCATAACCTCTAGTCTGACAACTTCTGTAACAACACGAAGAGTGAAAAAACAAACAAACAAAAGCACAATTTTAAATGCTCTGCAAGTGACAATGGTACCTATATACTACCTTAACTTTTTAAAAACTATTGGGTCTAAGGAGACACAAGGATGCACCACACAACATAAGCCTATGTTAACTTTACAGTTAAGTTGAGTATATGTATCAGAATCAGTATAGTAAATTGTTTTAAATGGTTCTTTATCCCCCAAGTAAGAATCTACACAGTTGAGTTAGCCGATATCATAACGTGACATTCTACAATATGCTTTAATAAGATTACTTGGTCAGCCTGGATGGCTCAGCTGGTGATTGTATCATGCTGATCATGCGAAGGTTGCAGGTTCAATCCCTGCATGGGACAGCTGCATATTATTACTGCACTATAGGGGGGTTGGACTAGATGATCCTCAGGCTCCCTTCCAACTTTAAAATTCTATGATCTTGCTAGTGGTCAAGCTCAGTCAATCTTGCTAGAACCACCATTATATCAATTATGTTCCTAGTACTCTGCTGTTTCCGGAACCTCAGGTAGAGTGACAACAACAACAGCTAAACATTATGCCAAACATATCCATATCATATTCAGGGTTAATTCCAAATGGAGGAAAATAGCTAGTCTAAACAATTCTACTTAAGAGTTGTGTAATTTCAGCTCAGTCATGTTGTTTGTCTCTGATTTGCTGCATACTGTGCAGAGGGAAAAATTAAATCTGCTCTTTGGCAGAAGGACCACTGTAATTAAATTACCTTAAACAGCTGTAGGGGGAATCAGAAAGGGAAAGAAAGCTTTAAAGGGGACAATTTATGTTTAAAGCGTGTATATACCAAAACACTTGATTAGTGCATCCTTGCAGATTGATAAACTCTCCCATGGTGTCCTTTGAAGAGATTGTACTTTTGTACCCATTTCAAAGACATGAATTACAGTGGTACCTTGCAAGACGAATGCCTCGCAAGACAAAAAACTCGCTAGACGAAAGGGTTTTTTGTTTTTTGAGCTGCTTCACAAGACGATTTTCCCTATGGGCTTGCTTCGCAAGACGGAAACGTCTTGCAAGTTTGTCTCCTTTTTCTTAACACCGTTAATACAGTTGTGACTTGACTTCGAGGAGCAACTCATAGAACTCGGTGTGGTAGCCTTTTTTGAGGTTTTTAAAGACTTTGGTGATTTTTGAAGCTTTTCCAAAACTTTCCCGACACCGTGCTTCGCAAGACGAAAAAAATCGCAAGACGACAAAACTCGCGGAACAAATTAATTTCGTCTTGCGAGGCACCACTGTATATGACTAATGAGAGACTTGGTAGATTCAAAATTATCTTTGGGGTGGTGTTTTGTTTTTGTTTAGAGGTAGTTCATTACGTCCAACTTAAGCTGCAACACTGCACACAGTTACAATCCCATGGAAGTCAATGGTATTTAAAAGCAAAGATAACCTAAAAATGCCCCTCTCTGAGCACTTCCAGGCACCCAATTTTATCTTCACAACAATCCTGTGAGGTAGGTTAAGCTGAGATGCAGTGACTGGTCCAGGGACATCCAGTAAGTTACATAGCTTGAGTGGATATTTTGACACTGATCTCCCAAATCCTAGTCTGACATTCTAACCACTACACCAGGCACCCACCTCCGAACTCGGCCCTCCAGCTGTTTTGGAACTACAGTTCCCATCATCCCTGACCACTGGTCCTGTTAGCTAGGGATGATGGGAGTTGTAGTCCCAAAACAGCTGGAGGGCCGAGTTTGGGGGTGCCTGCACTACACCATGCTTAGGACCATCTGTAATTATCTTCCCCTCCCTGAACTAATATGGAATGTGGAGCGAATACAACAGACTTGTTAAGTAATCAATATTATGGCAAGAAAATATACTGGAAAATACTCCTAGCATTTAAAGCACTATTTAGGGAAGTTTTTAATGTTTGAAGTTTTATTCTGTTTTAAGTCCTCTGCTGGGAGCCGCCCAGAGTGGCTGAATAATAATAATAATAATAATAAGTAGTAGTAGTAGTAGTAGTAGTTTTATTCTTACTTAATACAGTATAACAATTATGCAAGTATTGTGAAAGAGAACACCCCCCTTCTAAGGCAATGAAATGAGGCAACAAATAACAACATATAATCTGAAATTAGATAGCAGCCCTGTAAGTTTCCAGTAGCAGAAATATAACCTGTACTTGCCATTTACTTTAAATGCAAGGCAAATAAAAAGTATATTTGGTTTAAATTCACTCATACAAAGTATAGGGAGATAGCCCCTGACTGGCTAGCAGCACATGCAAACATGATACCGGCTACTCAGGTTCTAATAAATTTGTACTCTGTACTTCAAATAAAATTCTGTAGTAAGGGAATCTCTTGTGCTCCAAAAAAGCTGAATTTTGGAACTCATAAAAATTCTGAAAAATTTCCACACTTCTCCTCCTGGAGGAGCTGTTCAGAAGCTTCTGCTTTTGCTTGACAATGGTTTGTCATGTTGCGTGGATCAACAAACTGTGGTTAGCATTAACTATCATACTTAAAACTATAACTAGGGAGGCTGGCTTGTTGAATTAATCACAATAAGGAGACTAATAACCACAGTTCTGGGTCCCAAAGGTGGTTAATCCAAAGTGGAAGCAAAAGCTTCTGAACCCCTCCTCCCAGCCCCAGTGGAAGATATGTCAGGGGAGCACATGGCCCAAAGCTTCGCTGCAATAATTCATGCTTTTGCATACCATACTAACTTCTGGTTTAGCATGACATACAAGTACAGCCATTACATTGTATAGCCTCTCGTAAGATGCATGCTTCAAAAGTGACAGGCATTATCTAAAACAAGTTAATCCCTCCTCTCCTTCGAAATTGTGTTATTCATATACAAATTTTCGCAGATTTAATCAATTAAAACTGCAAGAAATCTTGGTTTATCCACTTGTATAAGTCGAAATGACAGCACTAGTTTTAATCCAGATTTAATTGACATTAGCGGGAAGGTGTCCACTGATTTTAATTGCCATGCATGGTTATCCTCAAGTAGGAGATTCTCAAAAATGTGAGGATTTTAAAAGGGAGCATGCTAAAAGCATACATTGGAAGTCCCATGCCACAAAAAGTATTCTGCATGAATTTGGTGACTCGCAGAAACCAGCTTCAGGACAGCTGCTACTACAGTGTGGTGACTACATTATTGCAAATAGCAGGTTGCAGAAACTTGGCTACCATCTCCATCTTATCCCCATCCCTGAGTAAACATAAGGAGGTCTACCTTACATTCATCTGGACATTCAAGATTCAATTTTGAATAGGATACAAAACTTATAAATTCCTAAGATTCTGGCATGAAACACACAAAACAGATAATTGTAATTTGTAGCTTATTTGCGATGTTACGTTATGGTAGCTAAAGAAATAGTTTGCATGAAAAGGCATATACTGTATATGAAAAAGTATGGATTTAAACAGGTGGGGGGGCATTCTTTTGCCTATGTCCAGCTATTAGCCCACACAACACAAAATGTATTCAACACACACAATACTGTGGTTTTTTCCATAGTGCTTCAGGTTCTAAAGCACTGTATACAGGGCTGGCCCAAGACATTTTTGGCACCTGAGACGAAGCACAAAATGGTGCCTCCCTCCTACCAGGAAAGAAACGGCGAGTGAATATCTACATTAGGAACAATGGGGGAATAAAAATCTACATTGGGATATGCTGCCCTTGTGGTCCTACCACCTGAGGCGGAAGTCTTACCTTGCCTAATGAGTGGGCCAGCCCTGCCTGAAAACAAGCATATAGATCAGGCTTCCCCAAACTCAGCCCTCCAGATGTTTTGAGACTACAATTCCCATCAACCCTGACCACTGCTCCTGCTAGCTAGGGAGCATGGGAGTTTTAACCCAAAAACATCTGGAGGGCTGAGTTTGAGGGAGCCTGATATAGATGCTCAAGATTTATTATTCTGCAAATATGTAGGGCAGTTGAAGTCTTCAGCTGTATTTGTGCTAGGCAAAAACTAGATTTCTTATGAAACTGCAAAACATTTGGGCCAACTCTGAGATTCCCCAAGTTGTGTTTTTCTTGTGTAACAGGCAAAAATGTGATCCAGATATGATCAGAACAGTGGCACTAGGGAACTGTGGCTCTTTACTTCTGCACTTTCTCCATTCTGTATCACTTAGGGTGGTCATTTCTTTATATATATTCTTTCAACTTGCAGCCCACCCTTCAACTCAACAATGTCTAGGCAACACGTGTTGCCTAGACATTGTCGACGTTCTCTTTGCAACACAGGGGCTTGTTTGGACATCCTTCAACCCAGACATTCCCAGGGGAACACACAGCATTTCATGAAACTGGAACATGCGCATGATAAAAACAGTTAAGCAAAATATAACATGGCCAAATATAAAAACTACAATGCAAAAACAGCAATTCATAGAATCAGAGTTGGAAGGGACCATGAGGGTCATCTAGTACAACTCCCTACACTGCAGGAATCCTTTGCCCATAACCCATCGTCTTGAACCCATAACCCTGCAATTAAGAGACACATGCTCTACCAACTGAGCTATCCCAGTTGTCAGTAGCAAGGAGTGCAGTTCTTTAACTGAGTCACCCACATAACTCTGCTGAAAGATAAAACTTAGTACGTTGCTGAAGCGCCGTCAGTGCAGGGGCTAAGTGCATCTCTGGGGAGGGGGTGTCATACTGTATCTCAGGTGCAGTAACAGAAAGGCCCTTGCTCTGCATTGCTGTGTAGAGAGCCACAACCACAAGCAGAGCCCGTCTGCAGATCATTAAACATGGGGTGGCAGATAAGGGCAGATATCCTTCAAAATATTTGGGTCTCAGTCTGTTTAAGGCTTCTTATTATCCTGCACCTTAAATTTAGCCAGGTAGCAAAGATGCAGTTCCTTAAAACCTGATAAATTCTTAATCCCATGCTGTGGTGCTGCGTGCTGCTCAGCATCCTGGCAACCGCATTCTGAACTAGCTGCCGCTTTTTGATCAACTCCAAGGGCAGCCACACATAGTGAGCATTGCAGCCGTCTAATCAAGAGATCTACCAGCGCAGCTAGGCTGTCTTGGCCCAAGAGAGGTCATAGCTAGGAATAGCCTCCTTGCCCCTAAGGCTATGCAACCCCCTCAAGTGATAAGGATAACTCTCAGAGCACCCTCACACTATTAATCTGCTCCCATGGGAGAGGTGCAACACCATCCAGAATGTGTACTTAACAAGCTTCCTGGCTCAGGAAGTAACCACTGGCCACAACCATTTCGCTGCCCAAAGTCAAAGGACAAGATAACACTTCCCTCATGCTATGCACCAAAGCTGACTGGACTGGCAGGAGAGAGACTGGCAATAGATTGTCAGCTTCTACTACACCCTGAGTGCAAGAGGTTAGTTTAGGGGGTGCATGACAGGCTATGCAACATATATATATACTGCTCTGATCTCCAATATAAGTGAATGGTCAAGGTTTCAGACCCCAGGCATCTGACACCTGCCTCGCTCTTCCTAATGACACACAATCATAGAATTGCAGAGTTGAAAGGATGCCCAAGGGTCATCTAAGTCCAAGCCCTGCAATGTAGTTTCCATTTCTTTCCCTTGGTTACAGAAAGTTACACTTTTGCCTCAAATAGACAAAAAACTTTTGCAGTGACTTTGAGAACGGGAAATGAAAAACGGGAAACTCAATATGCATTTGTCACTTTTTCTTGTTAGTGTATGTCTTTCAACATTTTAAAGAGATCTCAATTTATATTCCATTTAGCAAAGGGAGGATTATTCTAGTCTTTAATTTATTATTGAAGCATGTGGCAAAGTTTTACACTTGTGAGTGAAATGTATTATAATTCCTCTGTAGCTATATTTAAGAGTGGAAGAAAGTGACTTTATTGAAGCCAGTGCTTCAGGCTACCCTGGAGCAGGCTGGGTCCAGACTGAAAAGAATTGGCAACCCAAAAACTTTTTGATAAGATAAAAATTCATTGATGTTGGCTCACACTGGGCCCACTTCAACTCTGCACTTGTCCTCTGTGTTTCCTTGGCATATCTGTTCCTTTCCTCTATCTGCTTTAGCATAACTTTATTTTTCTCTTTTATCTCTAGATAACTGCAGCCAGGGACCGGAGGGATTGATTTTTTGTTTTGACTTATTGTTTGAAGATCTGTAACTCAAAGCAGCTCTCACGCCTCTGATGTCTAAAGCCTGAGCAGCATAAAAGGTAAACCTAGTCCTGTGTATCAAACTGAGCAGTGATGCCATTTATAATAAGCCATCTCTCTGCATTTTATTTTGCTTGGGGATGGGGAAGTGAGCATGTATTTTAAGGTGAAGTGACATTTTTTGGGGGGGGAAACAACACCCACCTATGAATGATGCTCTCTATATAAAATTCTATTTTTTTTAAATATCTAGTATGTTGTTCCGTCACCCCCACTATTCCAAATGCATCTTGTTCCTTTAAAAAAAGGAGAGAGGGGAGGAAAAAAAAAACCTTTTAAGTAGTCTGCTTGCATATTAAATAGAGTATTACAGCTGAAATGTTTTGATAGGTGCTTTAAGATCTCTGCACGTAAAAAAAGGCACAGCTCTACAAAAATATGGTTATGAAGCCACCTGAATGTCCGACTTGGATGGGAAAGCAGTGGGGAGCATTCATTCTTGCAATTCAAACACACAGCAATTCATCAGACCACCACTAGCACTAGAAAGCAACCTCAGAGCTTATTTCAGAATTACCCAAGATTCCCCTGCCCCTTCCAAGTCTTCATGATCCATTCTCTCCATCCCCCTAACCTTCACATCTTCAAACATTGCTGGGATACTTGTCGACATAATCATTTGACAACATTCTCCAAGATATAATTTATCTCCATATTTATATCAAGTGCCACGACTACCCCACCACACACCCTTTCCCCCCCTCGCCGCAGCCCAGCTAGCCTGTTCCCTGAAGTTGCCCAGCTTGATGAAATATGGTTACATATGCAAACATTATCTCCCAATTGTAACCTCATTTTCTGCTCTGCTGGACAGTGTGCCCGGCATTTGTCATCACGCCTCCCCTGCCTGCTACATCATTCATATGTCTATAATTGTCATCAAGATGTGGCATGTCAGCAGGACTCCTGTGTTCAGAGTTCCCCCATCTCTACGCAGTCACTCAGGTAACAAACCCATAATCTCGTCCTGTTTTCATGATGGTTGAATTACACATAATTGTTTCTGCACAGTGATTGATTTCTGCCTGAATAGAGACCTCTGCCTTTTTTCAATGCAAGCGAGTGGCAGCCAAGTCTCTCCATCTAGGAGGAGGCAGCAGCCTTTGAAGAGATCAAAGCCAAGGCCGCAAGCAGTTGTGCGCCCTGGGAATATGGAAAGCCTTTATGTTCTCAACCCCATTTCCAGCATCATGTTGGACTGCAGCTGCATTGCATTCTGCCAGCATTCTTAATGCTTTTAGTATTGACTCTGACATCACCGATAGCTGTTTTAAAGAAACAAAAAGCTGAAAGATGACTTATTTTCACAACTCTGTAATTGGAACATGCAAAGTTAAAGCAGGGAAGCATTTGTTTTTAATCCAAAATAATAAAGAAAAGCGTGTGAGCACACACAGGGGGAAAAAAATTATGCAAAATTTCTCAAAATGAAAACCATGTTTTTCATTCGGAAAGAACACAAGGGGCATTTTTATAGCTCGGACCACACAAAACGAACTGCTTATTATTCACACACATTTTGAGGCTTGAAGAGTAAAATAAAGAGTGACTTCACAGAGAAAGGAAGACTAGAAAAATTAGTGCTTTAAAATTAGCCACTAAAGCAGCAGCATCTTATCTAAGATAGAACAATATGGACACCTTTCCTTGTAGTAATATATTCCCTGAAATCAATCAACTTTTTAATATTATCATAGTACAAAATTTTCATTAAGAAATGCAAAACCAAATTCATTTTTAATCCCTTAAATTAGTAATGAATGCTTCAGTGAATTACCACTTTAAAAAAAGAAAGAAAAAAGAAATCCAGTATATGGATTTATCAAGTTGTGAAACAAACCATTTTAAACTTCACTCATAATAATAATTAAAAAAGAAAAGAAAGATGCAAGTGCCTTGCCCAAGACATGAAAGCCTTCAGTCCTTTATACAACGAAGTCCTGTTTAAAATCATTTTGGTGCAGGATAGATGGCAACATGCCACCCGAAAAGTACAAATTCATTTTGAAGCAACTTCTGATGATTTAATGAAATGTACTTCTCCAAATGTGTGCTCAGTTACACATATTAAAGCCAAAGGATGTCAGCTGAATTTAATAGTGCATTTAAAACACAGAGGCCAGTAAATGTTCCTGTGCAGCTTATGTAGCCCATACCTAATCCTGGGCTGTACCCAAACTAGGACTCACCTAGACAGACACTATGCAAAAAATAAAATAAAAAATATTCCACTACAACAAATAAACATCTGGTCTGGGAAGGGTGAGATAAACCAGAATAAGGGCATGGTACTGGAATAGTGGTGCATTCAAGGACTAGTCTTTGTAAATGATAAATAGCAAAAAGGCAACAGTGAGATCATGCATGAGCACCGGCAGTATGAGGTTGTCCAGTGATCAGATGGACTCTTCAACCACCTAAGAGTGCAGAAAAGAGCTTGGCAGATCCTCATCGGTCCTGCTTGCCTTCAATTTATTTTGGCTTCACCCTTTCATAGAATTATGGAGTCAGAGAATTGTAGAGTCGGAAGGGAACACAATGGTCATCTAGTCCAACCTGCTGCTATGCAAGGATCTTAGCTAAAGCATCCATGACAGGTGGCCATCAAACCTCTGCTTAAAAACCTTTGTGGAACAGCTCTTACTGTCAGAATGTTTTTCCTGATGTTTAGGAGAGCTCTCATGTGCCTCTGATGTCTAAAGCCTGGGCAGCATAAACCTCGTCCTGTGTATCAAAAAGAGCAAGTTACAACTAGATACTCTAACCACTGCACCATGTGCACACATGTAATGATGATCAAGGGACTGGAAACCAAGCCTTATGAGGAACAGTTGAAGCAGCTGGGTATGTTTAGACAGGAAAAGAGAAGACTTGAGAGAAGATGTGATAGCCATCTTCAACTATCTCAAGGGCCATCACATGGAAGAGTGAACAAGCTTGTTTTCTCCTGCTCTGGAGGAAGAGGAATGAGGCAGCTGTGGAGAAGCAATGGAGAAAGTAGATGGGGAGGGGGTAAACAATAATGGGATGGTCTAATAATTCTGTTATGACTGCAGGCTTATAGTGCTGCAGAATATACTAAGTCCTTGTTTATATTATGTTGGTCTTCAACCGAAATTCACTAAATTGCCTTTCAGGAAAATAACATTTTCTATCAGGAAAAGCAAACTCTTGGCAAAATTATGAAAAGTTAAAGTCCAGAGCAACAGCACGAATGTTTTCCTATTTAATTTAGTTTTTCTGCAACACTGTATTCCCATTTATTACTTTACCTGCACAACCATTTCTTTTATGTTCCTCCAAGGAAAGCAGCTGCACAACCCCCTAGACATCTTTGTTCTTCTACAAGTTTCCCTTACTATTTTGACTCCTATATCTTACCTACCTAGAATTTGAAACCCAATGCTTCTTATTCTCAAATGAGTGGGCAATTACTTATTCTTGCATCCATTATCCTTTCAGTTCAATGAAAGCTGTCCTTATTCCCTAATAGTGGCATTGCCAAATCCACAGTTTCGTCTTTCAGTGAATAGTTTTCAGGTGGTCTATGGGATGGGAAATAGGATGCTTAGCCTTTGGGGGAGCGCAGAAACAGGGAAATGTTACCAACGCATTTGTTTATTAATTAAAAAGGTTTATTTACACTCCACCCTTTCATTATAGAACAATTTCCTAGGGAAGCTCCTATTAGTATTGTATTAAAACTGTGCAAGATAAACATCATTAAGAAAAGCAAATCAGAGACAGACACAGCAGACAAAAACACTCTTTTGTAGCAAGAAGGCAGCTGGTTCAGGGCAGTTCCATTATCCTGACAGTACAAACGCCTGCCAGAAATGTTTTAACCAGGTAACAGAAAGCCAGCAGAAATGGAATTAAGTGAACCTCCTTATGCAACAGTCTACCCAAAGTTAAGCCCGCCTGGTGAACACCTATTATGTAGAAGTTGTAAGCACCCATTTGGAAGAAAGGTAGAATATACCGTACTTTTCCATGTATAAGACGAGGATTTTTTATGTTAAAGTAGTGTTGAAGTATTGGGCTAGTCTTATACACGGGTAGTGCAGTGGGGGGACGGGGGATTGGCTGCTGCCGGGAGCTGGAGATTGTTTCGGCGGGGGAGTGATTCTCGGCAAATCCCCCCCAGAAAGCTCAACAACACTGGGCAACCCTCCCCCAAAAATCTCCACCCATTTTCTTAACTTTGAGTCCCCCCAAATAGGGGGCATCTTATACACGGGGGCATCTTATACACAGAAAAATACGGTAAGTGTAATAAATAACATTTATGAAATATGAATATGTTAAAATAAAAGGGCTGGTATTCAACTAAGTTTTACCTAGATTAGACCCACTGAAATTAATGGACCCCAAAATTAAAGTTCAGAGTCCAGGGCACCACTGGAAGTTTTCACAGGCAACATGGTACCTGCAAGGGCTGGACTAGCAACCTCTGGCTTAGAGAAATACCGGTTTGAATAAACTCTTCGTCAACAAATCAGTTCAGCAATCTATCTATATTTAATGGTATGTTTTCAATATCTTTTCAATAGTTAGAAATGCCCATCGGACTATCGGAATGCACACTGAAACTTAGCAACGAAAACCCCCACTCTGTAGAAATGGACCGACCATTCCTAAGTAACCTTGCCATGTTTGATCAAGATCACTCACTATCTCAGCCAAAGTACGCGTAGCCATCTTTTCATCTTGACAAACACTGCATTCTTGTTCCATGATCCAGCATTCTGATATAGATTTTTAAGCCTTCCCACCCCTTTCTCTCTCTCACACACACAATCTAAGTTACATATACATACTTTCGGTTCTGTCCTGAGAATTTCTGGCTGATTAATCCAGTTGGGAAAACACATTAAATTACTAATGCATTTAGCTAGAGTTTCTCAAAATTCAGTAAAACCAGAGTTAATTAGCTATTGACTCTTATGGTGGAGAACAAGAAACCAGCAGCTAAACACGTGCATAGCATTTGAATGCTAAAGAAGCCATCCCTAGTCAGATCGTCGTTGTGTCTTTCTCCATTCCATCATGCAACCCCTCAACACCTAATAAACGTAACTGAGAAATCAATTATGGTGACCACTGTTCTACTTCCGAACAGGGGCAAGCTTGGTCAGCTTCTACACATACTGCTCCGTAAGCAGTCCTTTGGCAAAACTTCCACCCAAGGAAGAACTAATTCGGCCTCTCCAGTTAGATACCCCTTTGTCTTCTCTGCAAGTGAAGTATGCAGGAAGTCCATTTTCCTAGATAACAGTGATCACTAGCTTATTTCAGTACCTACCCTCTTACTGTTTAACACAAATCTCTCTGAACTATGCAAAAGCCAATACTAAACACCTTGCTTTTTGAAAAAAGGTTGAAAGACTAAGCCAAGGGTACTTTCATTTTCCTACTGATATTGAAATACTGCCCCTCAATGAGGCCAAACTTAGATTCACAAAATGTTTAGGGGTATGCGTACCCCCGCGTACCCCCCTGGGGGGGGGGGAAGCACTGGACTATGCCAAACCTATTTCAGTGATGAATGCAAAAACTCCATACTTGCACCAATCTCTAACAGCTATTTCATCTTCTTCTGGGTAGGTTCTTATGCAAGCAAATTAACTTTTGTTTAAAAGGCAATAGTGATAGCACCTATAGCAGCTTCTTTAATCAAGCACAAAATACATACATATTACACCAGTTATGTTATATGTTATAATTCATTTATATACGGTACCTCATTTTGGTCAAAAGGCCCCCAAAGCAGTGAACAGCATGTTATTACAAAAGAAAGAGACAACAAAAGTACAATAAATATAAAACCATAAATTCCCCATCAATCACGCTGTATGAAGGGCAAATCTTTGCTCGAATCACGGTTTCCCCCTTCAACATAAGGCAACTAGGAAAGGGTTTATGTGCCATTTTGAAGAATAAAAATGATAATCTACACAGATCATTATAACCAACATGATAGACATGCATTTTATACTTGGGTATTTGAACAAAGTACAAAATGTCTTGTAAGAAGCAGCCTGCGGAGTCATGTGGAAACCCACTATTTGGTTGAACATTTCCGTACTACTTTCCACAGTATGAGTTGGACCTGCCAACTTGGTTTGAGCCCAAAGCATTTGAAATGTATTCCAGCTTAGGCAGGAAGAGCACATCTTAAGAACTCTTTAAACCAGCTCCAATGCCAATGGCCTCTGCAAGTGCAGCAACAGAATAATGTTCTCCATATGTGCAATGCAGTGATCTATTTGTTCTCAATTTGTGCTACACAGAGATCCTGCTCCCAAGCGTCCAAGCGGCTTAGGGACTTTTATTTATGTTGATTTTTCCCTATGCGCACCTTTAAGTTGAGGTTGTTGGGGCAGGTTTTAAAGACATGCAGTCAGGACTCTCGCCAAAGCCAAGTATATGTGGGTCCAGTCAGGGCCCACCTAGGAAACCAATGTATGCTACCTTGAATGTTATGGCAGAAATGTGAGGTATAAATCAAATCAAATGTGCATGGAAAATGGCAGGATATTTACTTCTTTGTAACATGCAACATGTCAGATATGTCTCTTGAGACATTTTGCAAGTATCTTGGAAGCTTACTAAAAATCATGCATATGACTAGTCACAAACAACAAGAGATGCTCATTTTTGCATGTGAGAATTTTGTATATAAAACAGTATGATGAAGTGGTGTCTTCAGTAGTAAACTACACACAACACACACAAAAAGTAAAGCTACACAGATGCGGGAATTACCACAGTAAGAGATACAAATTCCTCCTCAGGTGGCAAGTCAGAAAGAATAATTTCACCCCATATTTTGGAGCTTCAGGCTGCAGGCTGCTTAGAATGCTTATGTCTAACTTTGCATTAGAACAGTGGTTATTCTGTGAACCACTCAGACCTCTGGGTATAGGGCGGTATATAAATTCAACAAAGGAGGAGTGCGAGGAGGAGGTAGGAGCTGCTTCCTCCCTCCTACACAGACCTTGGTACTATTCTGTACACCAGTTTAAGAACCCCTGTGCTGTAACAACTAACAGCAGTTGTCTTGGTTAGCTTTTGGTTTCAGCTCACCTGCTACCTGGTCTCTACCCTAAGGAAGCCAGGTTAAAGTCTCAGACCACTGAACCTGTAAGCATTCAGCCTCTACCTTCTCCAAGACTGGATTTGTTTACTTACAAGTCTACCTTTAGCCCACTCAATGCAGGTAGCACAGCATTAAAAAAGAAACAGCATACAAAGAAACTTATAATAGCAACAATCTCATTTAAAAATGCAGGACAGTTAAAACAAATAGAAACAATATAAAATTCCTGCCAATGTGGCAAGAGAATTTAACTAGGAATACATTATTTAAGAGGAGAAGGTCTGAAATAAATAGGTTTTTAAGAGGTTGGATGCCTCAAATTTCCACTTGTCCTTGTAGAACAACACATTTGCTAGTGCTCTCATCTAAACCTGTTAAACCAGAAGATCTAGGCTTAAGTCCATTTAGTCCAGGCATGTTCCTAAGATTGGGGCACATCTCTCTTGGGTTTCAGACAGAGTGGAAATCTTTTAAGTCAGTATTTGTGCTGCATTTCAGTCTTCTGGCATGAGTGAACTTATCCCTCATCAACCCTAATGCTAACAAAATAATTGAGTCCCCAGATAATCCAACTGTGTTTAAAATATTATGGGTTCTCTTTTATTTGACTTCTGATTTCAGTGCATTTAGCATCCATGTTGCAGATTTTTCTCCAGTAATTTTCCTGAGAGACACGGCGGCCAGGAGCAAAGGAGGACAGGACTGCAGTTCTTGCAAACAATGGGTCTTTTCAATTACTAGCTTTGCAAGTAGATATCTATGTTTTTAATAGTCCTGAAAAGTGAATTCTTTTCTCCTGCGTTTGTGGGCTCAGGTGCAGTGTGCTCACAGCAATCTAGGCCCTCATCAAAACCAGTAAATGAAGCCACAGGACAACAACCTTGGGGCTGAATAGACTAGGCCACAACTTTTATATATTACAGATGTAAGCAGGCATTGGCTGCTCATTGATTATTCCAGCTGGGTTGACCATGGTTTTAAGGGCATCAAGGTTGCCCCCCCCCAATACACTACAAACCCAATGCCTTATCCGCCACCAGTGAAAGTTGTGACAATTGCTATGAGGCAAGCAAAACTTCCAGACAGGCCCAATTTGTCTGCAGGAAAATTCCTCCCTGGTCCTAAATATGGCAGCTGAATAGTACCATAGCAAAGTCTTTAGTAAGGGCTGGCTGCTTATCAGCCACTAAATTTGGGGAAGGAGGGTGGGGAATCCAGCTCAGAATGAGCTGTTCAGAACAGCTGCAGTCCCATTATATGGGTGGCTAATGGACCTGAGTGAAGCCTAAGCGCCCCAGGTCTGCCAGCCAAGCTGCCCCCCCTCGCCCTGCCTACCCACAATTGGCCAATTTAAATGGCCAGGCTCCCATGGGCACTGAGCTGCAACCACCATCTCAATGGGATAACCCAGTGAGTGTTCTTTCTTAGCAGGCTGCACCTGCTATTATTTCCCCTTTTCTATCACCCTTAAGGTTACATCCGCAGTATACATTTAAAGGATTCTCAAACCACTTTAACAGTCACTGTTCCCTGCAGGGAATCCTAGGAAGTGTTACTTGTTAATGGTGCTGGGAATTAAAGCTCTGTGAGGGGTCATCTAAACAACTTTTGGCATCCATAACAAACTACATTTCCCAATCAACAGAAGCCCAATTCTCCTTTGCATGTGGTGAGACCTCAGAATTCTGCTAAAATCTATCCTTCCCTGAATCCTTTGATTCTCTTCAACACAACTACTAAAGGTGCACAACAAGCACTGTCTTCTTTTTTTGTTGAATAGCTTGAAAAACAACAAGCCATTCCTTTAGAAATCCTAAATTTTATATACTTTTTGAACAGATAAAATGCTATCAATACCATATACTTGTCTCCAATATAGCCTGGAATATAAATGATTTTGATGGAGGGTTGCCACCCAAAACTCACAAAGCATATTTACATAAGGAGGGCAGTTTGATCCATATTTCTCTATCAAGCTACTTGAATACAGTGGTACCTCAAGTTAAGAACTTAATTCGTTCTGGAGGTCAGTTCTTAACCTGAAACTGTTCTTAACCTGAGGTACTAATGGGGCCTCCCGCTGCCACTGCGCTGCCGCCACACGATTTCTGTTCTCATCCTGAAGCAAAGTTCTTAACCCAAGGTACTATTTCTGGGTTTGCAGAGTCTGTAACCTGAAGCGTCTGTAACCCGAGGTACCATTGTACTTCTTACCCCTAGCAAGTGGCTGGCTCTGCAACCGTATCATCCTTGCTGTCATATCATCCTTTCTTTCTCATGAAAGATTAAAAACAAGAACCAGACAACCTCAAACATACACAAACATTTTGGATAGTCAGAGCTGATTCACACAATCCTTTCAGGAGGCTAGCACTTAATTGGATGTGAAGACAATCTGGAACGCTTATTTCATCTTCTGCAAGGAGGAGGAAGATATAAGCAGAGATTACAGTAAGAATTCACTTTCTGGATAACAGAGCCATCAAGCAAATACAGTGGTACCTCGGGTTACATACGCCTCAGGTTACATACGCTTCAGGTTACAGACTCCGCTAACCCAGAAATATTACCTCGGGTTAAGAACTTTGCTTCAGGATGAGAAAAAAATTGTGCTCCGGCGGCGCGGCAGCAGCAGGAGGCCCCATTAGCTAAAGTGGTGCTTCAGGTTAAGAACAGTTTCAGGTTAAGAATGGACCTCCAGAACGAATTAAGAACTTAACCTGAGGTACCACTGTAGAACGTTAATTTTAAACCTTAATAAGTTACAAGTGCTATATAAACTGAGAGTTAGCTAGCCTTTTTTATTTCACATTATAGAATAACCAAGTACACATCGCACTTCAAAATACTTTGAGCTAAAATGTTAGGCTACATAAACTCACCCTAATCTTAAACCTGCTTACTTGGAAACAAATCACCAATTTCAACAGGACTTGAAATCCAGCGTATGTTTAGATTTTCAGCCAAGTCCAGTATGTTAACAACCAGATAATCAGCTACATTTGTATCCAAGCAATGCTTTTGTAACCAAGCACAACAAGCCAAGCCAAAACTGCAATACACAGCAAAAGCAGCTAGCTGCACAATGTCTCTTTGCTAATAAAATACACACGGGGGCATTGTGGCTCTCCTTGCTAATTGATTATTTCTGAGGGCAGAACTGCAAGAACTGAGAGCCTCTGCCTTGTTTATTCAAAGCCCAGCTGCAACTAGTACTTTGTGAGAAGAGGCTGAGAAGGTCACGATTTCCACTGAAGAGTTGGTGGGTGCTTAACCTTTCAACGTCCCACCACCTTACCCTTCCAACTTCTCCTTTTTATTAGCTACTTTCCCCATTCCCATGTTCTAGACCTGCGCTTGTGATGGAAATGCAGAATCGGGGCCCTACTGGGCAGACGCTGAAAAAGAACAGCAGGTTCTCTTCCAGCCCCCTCCTCCCATCCACTGCTTCTCTACTGGGAAACATGCTTTCCATGCCAGGTTGCAAAAGCAACACCAGAGCTTTGATTTCACACAGTGGAGGTAGACATGGGGTTCCAATCCTAAGCCTATGAAAGCTAACAAAGTGCAATTATTTTAAAATACCACGTGACCTTTCACCGTCTGTGGCATTTAAACTACAGAGGAGTGCACATCTATGGTACCAGTAAGATTCTTCCTTTAGCTCTTGTGGGGGTGGAGGGTACACACACACACACACAAACATAGAATAAAATGTGAGAAACTCAACAAGTGTGGAAAGGAAAAGCTCTTCGTCAACTCAATAGCAAATGCTGAAAAGGGGTGTTGTGTGCAGTGGATTCATCAACAGCTAGACAGTGTTTTGTATGTTCATTTTGTCCCTCCCCCCAAATGCTATGTATTCCTTAACAAATCAATACCCCACGAATGAGTTCTTTTTTTACCACAGCAATCAGAGAGGTTCTGCTTCTTGCACCATTTTAACTGCATAGCTAATTTTAAATAAATATATATGATATATAATACATCACCCCCCCTCTCTCTGAGTTTGCGCATTGTATCATCATGTTTAAAAAATATCATGATTTGCATATCCTTGAATGACACCCCCCAAAAGCACGACTATATAAATATTAAAAATTATTCTACCTACAGGAGGTTTTGCATTTTACTTTGGTAGTACTGAAGATGCGCCTTTTATTCAATGGTCTTTCAGCACATCAACAATTACTATTTCACTATAATTCTTTTAAAAACAATTATACTGATGAAGTTTCAGTACACTAGGCAACTTTTTAATGTCTGCTGAATAAAGAGTTCAGCAACTCACAATTCAACTTAGAATTGATATAGGGATAACATCTAACAAGGAAAGTATTGAATTTTGTACGAATGCCAGCCTCAAGATTGATTCTGTTGTACAGCCCCCCCCCATAAAAGCTCTCCTGATACATCCACAGGTTTCCTATTATATGCAGAAATGCAAGCATGAGCTGGACAGATGTGTTCAACGTTATCTTAATGTATTCCTGCCACTTGCCTTTTTGTCTTCTTGTGAGGGGGATGTGTTGCATTTTTAAAAGTAACCTTACTTCTGACTTACCTTGTCTCAGCCCAGCTAAGCAGCAGCATGCCAGTGAAATGTGCCTTACTGCAACTTCTTTTTTGCGGGGGGTGGAATTTAGATACAAAACATAGGACCCATTACTTCCACATAGTGTTCAAACTTTTGCATTTAGGTTAAAAACTAAAGAGTATAAAGTTGAGGCAAGACACGCTTCAATGAGGAAGTCATTCACAAATGTGGAGCTACCACCATAAAGTATTTTCCATTACACACATCATTTAATGCAGGGACCACTAGGAAGGCAGAGGGGGGACGGGCGATTGGTGGCAGCAGCCAGCAGGAGATTGGCGGCAGCGATTGGGCGTGTGATTGGTTGCTGCAGCAAGGCCTGCTGATGATTGGCTCCAGCTGCAGCAATTGGATCTATGGCAGCGGCGAGGCATGTGTGCAATCTGATGCTGTTGCGTCAAGTGGGCAGGTGTGCTTTTGGCGGCGAGCGTGCAGATGATTGGCAGTGGTGGGCAGACTGTAGAGCGATTGGTGGCAGTGCCCCCCAAAAGCTCAATAATTTAGGGCAATTCCCCCCCTATTTTTTGTTGTGGTCCCAAAAAATAGGGGTTGTCTTATACATGGGGGCGTGTTATACATGGAAAAATACAGTAAGCACCTAGAACTGGACCTTGAACCAGTTCAACTGTTTGAGAATAGAAGTCATATACAACTAGCCTGCTGCTGCTATCAACACTCTGCCTACTGCATTATGCACAACTTGCAAATTCTGTATAATCTTTAAGGGTAGTCCCATGTAGAGTGCATGCATAGTCCATTCTAGATATTGCCAGAGAATGGATAACCATAGCCAGACCAAAATAGCCAGAATTGAAGCACCAACTGAAGCCAGGTATATGCACTCCGAACCCAGAACCACTGCCAAATTCCAGACTTGGGAACCACCCAACCACAAAACCTCCATCTCACCAAGATTCTTCTTCAGTTTATTGGTCCAGCCCCTTCCAACCTCCAGGCTCCCATTCAGGACCTTCTCTACCTTTCCCAATGCAGACACAACAGAGAAATGGTACCATCAGCATACTGATGGCACTTTACTCCAAATCTCCAGATGACTGCTCCCAGAAGTTTATGATAGATATTAAAGATCATGGGCAACAAGACAGATTCCTAAGGAACCCCACAGGATCACTCATACAGGGCCAAGTGTAAGTCACGCAATGCTACTTTCTTTAAACCCCCCCTCAAGAAAATGGAATGAAACCACCACAAAACATTATTCCCAACTTCCAAATCCTGAAGGCAGTCCAGGAGGATACTATGGTATCAAATATGCTTGAGAGTTCTAGAATAATATTTCTCCTGATGAAGTTCATTGACCAGGGTGAGCAAGGCAGTTTTAGTCCCCAAACCAGGCCTGAGGCCAGATTGAAATAGGTCTTGATAACTGGTTTTATTCAAGCATGCCTGAAGTTGTTCTGGTACCACCTTCTTCAGCACCTTGCCTAGGAAGGGGATATTAGACCCATAGTTATCATGGAGGCAATGTGGAGTCAGGGGCAAAGGAAGGAGAACCAGACCAGGGGGCAAACCGCCTGGTGGCGCATGCACCGTACGTACGGTGCATGTGTGGCACCACTATGTAGGGCGCATGTGCTCACGCTGCTACATACAACGCATGTGCGTGTGCCATACGAAGGGTGCATGTGCAGCACCGTATGTAGTGCCGTCACTCATGCGCCGCCTGGCGGTTTGCCAACAGAGCCGCTCAAGCAGCGTATGGACAGCAGTGGAGGGTGTAGCCGTGAACGGAGGATCCTCATGCGGCTGTGAAGGAGCAATGGAGGCGGCTTGCGCCGCCACCCCCGGGAACAGCAGGGCAAGCTCCCCACAGGGTGCCTTCTTGTCATCCCCCTCAAATATGGCACCTGGAGTGGACTGCCCCCTTCCTCCGTCACTGTGTGGAGTTGGCTTCAGCATGGATGTTGAAGTCCCAACTACCGTTACTATGAAGAGGTTATCTGAAGCCACTCGCACACCCATGGAGGCTGTTGGGCAGTGGGGTGGGTAGTACACCAACAGCATCCCTATTCTGCCTATTCAGGCCCAACACAAATAACAGACCACTGAATTCAATGACAGGATGGATTGGCTTCCTGGTGAGGACAATGGAAATCTAATGGATGAAAGTAACTTCCAATCTGGGCTGGTGCTGTACTGGGTACCATGGGAGGCAAGCTTGCCCACCAAGATCTTCTTCATAACACATACCAGGTCAGCCTTCATCTCATAATTGAATCATGGAGCACAGATGTTTTATTCAGGCCAACCTGGCATTCATCAACAGCACAACCAGACTAGGAAATGGACTGATGTGATCACCCGAATTCAGAGAGCTGGGAAGTGACTGAAAAGGGCTTACAGTGGCTATCAGCCCTTTTACAAGATCTTCTTTACCACTCCCCCAGCACCATCTCCCCCCTTGCCAGTAATCACTCTGTGCTTCAGACCCCACCCCCTAAAAAGTATAAACATTTCCTGTCCCCAAAAGAGCAGAATAAAGAATGCAGGGTGAATATGTCTACACATCATTTGGCAAGTTCTGTGTACATGAATAAGATATTCCAATTACACCCATATTTCTAAGCATACAAGCTATCTCAAGCTTATTAGTAATCGTGAGGTCTCTGGTGTAAAAAAGAGTCGCTGACTTCTATATGAGATCCATACCTTGGATACAGTAATAATGTGTATGTACCTTCAATGGAGGAATCACGTCATTTATAGTTTTGCTGCCTTCCCTGACTGCACGTGTTTCATGAGCTACACATGAGAACTTCAAAATAAAATAAATGCATTATGATTTGAAACTAAATTGGGTCTCTCTGGCCATATCATCAAGCGTTTAGTAGCAACCTGATTTTCAAACGTGGTCTCAGCTGACTGTGAGGCTTCTTTCAGCAGAACAGGAAGGGAAGCAATTTTCAGTGATTCCGCCTCCCCACTAAATTTGGGGGGTGGGTGGGAGAGGAGAGAGAGATGGGAGCTTGCTGCAGGAATAAGGAGGTATCACTGAAAATCGTTTCCTTCCTTGTTCCACTGATGGAAGCCTTACCATCAGTTGAGTGACCCCCACTGTACACAACCCTCGGCATGTAATTCCTGCAATCTAAAACCATAAGCCACAATCTTTGGATATCACCAAGCCTGAGGTCTGTGAAAACTACAAGATGAAGTCCAGCTTCAAATACTAACAATAGCATTGTGAGAGTTTAAGTTAAAATTGTGGCATTTAGTTCACTGCCTATACGAGAACATATGGGGGCTCTTTCATTGCTGCCAAGAGGCCTATTGTTCACTCTAATTATTCCAGCTGGGAATGAAAACCAGGATGCTTAGATGCAAAGGGTGGCAGAGAGGGGGAGCCTTTCTTTTCTTGCCAAGAACACAGGCCACGTAATATAGAATGACTTAAACTTGCCACCCTACATCTTACTCAAGCCTTAATCTAATTGCTTTGGAAAGAGATACATATAAATAGCCTAATAATGTGAGATAATTAGAGGAACTCTCAAGAAATGCGGGATAGATCCCGCTCCAGGACAGATACCTAAAACCAATCTCACTTGAAGTGCCATAATATAGAGGGAACCAATCTTTATTCTCTCTCTCTCTCTCTCTCTCTCTCACACACACACACACACACTTCACACTTATGCTAGGATGGAAGCCGCCAAAAGGCACACAAGGCTAGGTTCACAAGTATTGTAGTCTCCCTCTTGACATATGTGCTGCATTAGCACTTGCTTTATGAAGAACAACATTGCTGCCATTTGCTGCTCCAGCTGTTCATACCATTTTCTTCTATGGTTATAGCAGTTTTTCTCCCAGCAAGTCGGAAGCTTGAAAGCCGAGATGTTCAGAATAAAAAACAAGCTAGGTGAAATTTAACAGAGCTGGTGACTTTTTGAACAACAGGTCTGGTGGCAAGATTTTCACAAAAAGTTGTATTACAATCCTTTCTTTTTAGGCCACTGTTTCAGGATGTGCTTTTTGCAAGCATCTCATGAGTTGATCCCCAAAGCCTTGGGTCTTATAACGCCTTATAGTGACCCATATTGTTTCATCTTTCCCAGTATTATCTGCTAAGTGAAGCTTTTCTTCATTTCTGCATGAACAGTCTTAAGAAAAGGGTTCCAAACATGAGATGGCAAGGGAGCCACACTGCCACATGAAAATGATACATTTCAAAGCCTAATATTATGAGTTAAATTCACTGAAATCCAAGACACAGAAATATGTACAAACTGATACCCAAACCGGATTTGCTCATATGTTCAGAAGGCTGCCACCTCCGTGAATCTTCCTGAGAGATAACTGAGCATATCATATACATAGATGTGCAACTCAAAAGCCATTTACATAAAACCATAGGGGAAACAGTTTTTACAAACTGGCTGGCTCTCGTTATTTTTGCAGTATACTTTCCTTCACACATTGAAAACCATGCAAATACTGTTATTCAACCCATGCAAACACTGTTATTCAATGAAAAATTGGTAAAAACTCGCATAGCATAAAAGTCGATATTGTAGCCTTGTATAAGCTTAATATAAAGATGTTAGAATTTCTGTGAAACATTACATGCATATTTCTGTCTGTGGAATTCCCCATCACCACCAGCAGTAGTCAGAAGTGCAAAATTAGGTCATCATCTTAAGGAGAAATAATCACTATGAATTTTAGCATCTGATAAAAAAAAATCTTATTTACATACTGCAAAAAAACTTTTGCAGCAGAATATTCATCAGCAGTAGGCCGTTCGACTAATCATGATTCCCAAGCCACTCAATTTAAATAAGCAGTGGTATTCATCAGTTTCCCTGCACATTAAGAAAATCAGGCTGTCCAGAATAGTGTGAAAAAATTCACTGCCCCCAAGGTGGTTCAAATCCTACCTAACACCTCTGGGGCAACGGATGTAGCTGGCAGATGCTTTGTTATGCTGATGAAAAATTCCACAGGAATCAAATCCACAAACAAATGGTCAGTCCAACACAACTTTTTTTAAAAGAAAAGTCTATCTTTTAAATCTATCTGAACCATCTTCACCTTGGAGAGAAAGAGAAAAAGTCCATTAATTTCAATAGGCATACTCTGAATCAAACTTAGTTGGTTTGATTCAGAGTATGCCTATTGAAATTAATGGACTTTACTTTGTCATGTTAATTTATTTTAGTGGGTCCACCCTAAATAAAACTTGGTTGAATAATAGACAAGGAAACCAGAAGGTGAATTCATGATAAAATGTAGGATAGCTAATAGCAAAACTGCATTACCCTGGAAAACATGTTTGACAAGGTTCATCAACATGAAGGTGAAGGGGGGATTTCTAGCGGAAAAATAGCAAGTAAGAGGAGGAATGTCAAATTCCTCCCATGGTCATCAGTTTTCCCTCCAAATATTCCTCAAGGCAATTTTTCCTCTGTCAAGCTTAGTCCCAATCAGATGGGGATTTTCCTCAAGGGAACTCTAGTTGCATCAGATCAGACAAGTTTTGGAAGTTGTGCAAGAATATTCAGTTTTAAAATGTCATGATTTCTATCACCGAATACCATTATAACCATACACACAAAGGCACAGACCTTTATATAACTTAAAGAACAATGTGGCAAGACAAAACCAACCTGATGTCAACAGGGCAGAAAATGCGCTAAAATGCAAGAACAGTCCTTAGTTTTCACTTCTGATAAGTTCTCTTACTTACTTACTTACTTACAAAACACTTAAAAAAAAATTAATGTCCAAACACACAATTTTGTCAATCACCTGCCTTTTTATTCAAGACACGGTAATGAGGAAGCTGAATACACAGCAGTTTCAAGTAACTGTTTAGCTCTGTAGCAAGATTTTGTTTCAGAAAGCCAAAAATATATTCCCATCATTGTAACTCTATTTTGACAATAGTGCTTTATGTAAGCTCCTAGAGTTTGCTATTAAAACTATCTCTGTGTTTATAAACACATTGTTATTTTGCATGTTGTTAACACACACTCTCTCTTCCCTTTTCTATATTAAACACAGCTCTATGTGCTTAGAACATCCAGGAAGCATTGGTTCCTCCAACAGGATTCTGCCAGTGTTTGATGATTTATATACATCTAGTGTTAGATTATTTGTATACATTATCTCCTTCCATAACCATCTTGGAAGTTTACGAGGCAATAAACACAAATGCAATGACAACTTACTAGTACACTATTTGTATTCTCAGGTGCATGTGCCAAATACAGATAGCCAAAGCAATTACTAACCTCTAGAGTAAGCCAGTCACAAACATGAACGAGATGCACTCAACCAGGAAATAACTAATAAAATTTTGGATCTCAGCTATTTCACATACTGAATCTTTAACTATTTGGCTTGTTTCCAGAACTTGCAAAGATTAACATACTTCCTTCATGTTCAGAAGCATAAGTAATGCATACTTATAAAAAGAAGAAGCAAAAGCAGTATATATAACCAGTTTTATCTGTCCATTTCACTCAAGGTCAGTGGCACAGAATATATGTCCCTATAGATCCTAACCCCTATAGTCATCATCATCCTTTCAATTAACAAGAGAGGGATATTTACATCAAGAGTCCTCAGACAGACAGTGCAATCATTACGCTTGCTCTGAAGCTCCACTTACTTCAGTGGGAACATCTCTAAAATAAGTAAGCACAGAATTGGAACTTTAGGGTCACTTCAATAATCACAAAGTGATAAATCATGTTCACTACCAAACGTATATTTGTCACAGAGATGCAGCCAATCCCAGTGTTCTGTCTGTGTAAATACATGCACTGAAAACACTCATCACATGCCAAAGTTAACAGTTTCATGTTTATATGAAAAATGTACTGAATTTCAGCACCAGAGGTAAAAAGGAATGCAAATTGTGGTCTCTTTCAGTGCACCAAGGACTCAGAGGTAGCTGGTTCACTTAACCCACTCACAACTTACAATAAGAAATACAGTTTAATGCAACAGCCCTTAAAATCAGATTGTTTTTTTGTTCTTACACAATTATTGTTAATAAAAAATAATAATAATAATTAAGTAAACCCAAACTAGCATGTTCAGGTATACTAGAAAATGTCCAACAAAGAGAAAAAAAAGATAGAATTTAGGACTTTTGAGAAGTTAGCATATTTTAAGTAGCTTTCAATGAAGAAGAAAAACCTAACTTACTTTAAATAACTATAGCTATCATTGATAGGTTACTGAGACCATCAAGGAGGTATAACATCCCTTATACAGATGATGATGATGATATTATTATTATTATTATTATTATTATTATTATTATTATTCAAGTTAGAAGGAGGCATTAGGAGGGCTACAAGGGCACTGAGAATGCATTATCTCAGAAAAAGGGTGTTAAAGCAGGAAAAAGTTTGCAAGACCCTGTATATATTATTAGATTGATCGCCAATTCTGATACAAAAGGATTACTGCCATATTGCATGGTTCAACATAGGCTGGCTTGAGATTGTAACTCAGCCTCTTCAGCCCAACCAAGACAAACACTAAGAGGAGTCTCCACCTCCTCTAGCAACCACCTGCAACTTCCTAGGGAAGCCAAGTTCACAATGGGTACCACAAACATACACCACTTGCCAATGGGTTCACACCACTATGCCATTCTGTATGATTCACCTCTTATGCTCCACCGTAAACTGTTCAAGATTCCTAGAAAGCATATACAGAGCTAGAAATGAGCCTAAGGATCAAGTATGCACTGTCAGCACCTTAATTAGCAGTAAGAAACATTCCTCTCAAATCCTGCCAAAACCGAGGCTTGCTAATCAGTAAACAAAGCTTGTACTTCCAAAGAATGATTTGTGAGTGTACATATGCATGCATACATATATATTTTTTAAAAAGTAAACTTACTGTTCTGGGGATTGGTGGAGAAAGAGATCCATTAGACATATATGGATCATTATTCATATTTGGCATCATGATATACCCAGAATAACCAGAGTAAGAAGGTCCTTTACTATATAAGCCACCATCATTGTGTTTCCCTGTAAAAAGCAAGAGTTATTGATTTAGCCCCGCCACTTAATTTTCCAATGTGTTTCTATATAAGATGACACTCATTCTTCCAGCAGTCCTACATTTTTTTGGGGGGGGGGGAGGTGGGCGTGGTTGCATTCTGCTCAAGGTTTGCATCTTTAAGTTCTTAGACCTAGTAAAAGGACTGCACTAAAGTATACCTTAGACCACCACATTTTAATGGGTTCTGTTATATCTGAAGATATGAAACTTCCAGGCAGGAGGAAGCTCAGCCCACTAAGCATCACAGATATTAAAACTTTGAATACGTCCATTTACAACCACATCTTAGAACAGGTTAATCTTTAGAGGAAAGTGTTCCGCATGTTCTGTTCTCCAGTTAAGAACTAGGACATTATAACTAGTTTTTGGGTGGGGTTTTTTTTCCTTTTTTCTTTTTAAGGCTTCCTTCTGGTAGTCTATACCAGCAGCAGGAAAAAGTTTGTTCTGACCGTGCCAATTAGAAGCAATTAATAAGGGAGAGAGTTCGGCCTTCTGTACAACAACACCTGCCGCTAATGGTGAGCCTATTCAACACAGGGGGTTCCATTTCTAATCTGCTTAATATGTAATTTAAATAATAATGGCTATTTTGCTATCAAATGAAATGCTGAATTTTACAGACTCCATGTTACAAGTCTTACTGACAGAGTTGCCCCCAACCCTTCACTACCATTCCCTGGTGACAAAACAAACAAACAAACAAACAAAACACATTTCTATATTGAGAATTTAACTGAAACTGATACGTATTTGCAGTAAGAATCATGCTGATCTAATCAGCTTCACTGGGAAAAAACAAAACCCTCATCTAACCTAGTGGCTTGGGGGGCATCCAAAATATTTGGTTAATTAGCAGATAACCACTGTGCTACTTGAATTATGCTTCCTACATCGTGTTACAGAACAAGTGAGTACTTGCCAAAATAACTCCTTCTAAACTTTTTTTTAAAAGCCTGAAAGAAGCCAGCAAATACAATTACCTATAGTTGCCAGTGAGAGAGAAGCGCATATGTGCTTCAGTAAATAAATATTCATACCATAGGAATTGATCAAAATGTTTTGTACACAGGACTGATTTGTGGAAAATGGCACAACACAAAAAGTGGCTCACATGGAAAAACCATAAGATTAACATTAGTTGGGGCCAGGCTTTATGTGACTTTACTTAGTCGCTTGCCTTTGAGTGTAGGTTTTTAAAAAAATTATATTTGAATGCCAATGTGGGTGTTTCCAGTTGAGACCCCCACAGTTGGGTTGGGGGCATGCAGCCCACTATGATCCAGGTCAGGCTGCCTGCAATTGCAACTTGCATCTAAAAAATCTGCTACTGAAGCCAAAGGGTGCTTCCAGCCCCTATGCAAATTGCAGGCACCAGGAACCCAAACTCACAGTGGGCGGCAAAAAGTTAAGCCCACTACCCCCAAACACACACACATGTCCTAGCGCAGACCAGACTCACTCACACACATGCAGGCAATTTTTGAAACAGAATGCTTGCATGCAGATTGACCTCAATAACCAACATCCAGATCTACTGTTACTTGATGCGAGGGTGCAAGGCATTATTTAAGGACTGCGGAGAAGGATTGCACTTTTTGCCTCACCCCTAACATACAAGCAAAAGTGCTTCCGCGCAATTGTTGCAATGGCAGCAATTGCAGGAAGGAGTTGTGAAGTTGTGGGTGGGGCTAAAAGTACAACCCACAGTCAATACAAAAATGCCCTGCATGCAAGCAAAGCATGAATAGGGGCAAAATAGCAGCAAAATCTATAACTTGTGTAAAGAAAGATCTGTCTTACCTTCTTCAGGGTGTTCTCTGCCTTTCTCGTGGTAAGACTCCTGAGACTGGCCTTGCCTGGACACCTGGACAAAAAACATATATCACATGCCATTATTACATTTCCATCTATTTTTACCTTATTTTGTTCCTTATATCTTCCCTTAATAAAAATGTATCATAATGTCCAAATCCCACATAAACACTTCTATGTCTCCCCCTCTCTCTACCTACCTATCTATTTGCACCACTTTGCTAGTATTTAGTTTTATAGTGATGCAAGAATAGCTTCCACTATCTTCAATTTGCACAAACCTCATTTTAGTGAAAAATATATTGTGGGTATCTCTGAACTATCCTTGGTTTTTTTATATATAAAAAAGAATAAATCCCAATTTTGTTTCAGTGTTGGTAAGTTGCCCAACAGTTTATGCAAATCCTTTAAAGAGTTTATGACTAATGCTCTGACCTTGCTGATTTTAACCCGAGAAATTTCATGGCTACTCTTAAGGCCTAATGCTATTATAGGATCCTGTGATTCATACAAACCTGCCTTTTCCTGTGCCATGAAAACTGATTTAGGGAAGAAAGCACTCACACTGCATTCCATACTCATGGAAAATAATGAATTACATTTTTTTGGGGGGGGGGTATATGGACTCACAATCATTATCATTAAATTCATCACCTGCCCTTCACCAGCAGGTTCCAAGGCAGGTTACAACAATTTCAAATCCAGCATTAAAAGCAGTTGAAATTGGAGTCATAGGAACAGAGTGGGACCTGAAAACACATGTCTCAGGTGCCGAGGCCAGGGCAGAGGTGCATTCACTGAAAGCGAAGGTGCCAACACACCTCTGTGCTGAGCGAACTCCAGAACTTAGGGGGTGCCACAGATAATGCCCTCTTTTAGACCACCACATCCCTGAACTTTATAGGGCAGCAGAACTACCAGAAGGAGCCCCCCCCATATATTACCAACCAAGAGCATCTTAAGTTGAACCTGAAAGCAAATGGGTAAACCAATGCAGCTGTTTTAGAACAGAGGTTATGGGAGTTCTAGCAGCAACCCAGCATTTTGAACCAGTTGGAAGTTTTTGATAAGTCTTCCAGAGCAGCCCTACATAGAGCACATTGCAACAGCTCAATGTGGAAAGTTAATGTGGGAATACCATGGCCAAGTCACCTCTGCCCAATAAGGAATATATAGTTAATGACTGCAAATAACACACACCAGTACGCATTAAGTAACTAAATACATTTCAAAGACCTCAACTCCATTTGAAACAATGCCAGCTCCTACAAATTTAAAAGGCAATCCAGAAACATTGAAATTCAAACTAAACCTTTAATGCACAACCCAACATTGAAGGTTTGCAAGTCATTTCTCAGTGTGCCGGAAGAAAGTCGTTCCTTGGAAACAAGTTCTGTTGACTTCCATGCACCTTACTCTGAAGGATTCAGAAAACAAAACCCTTCACTGTAAGTGGTATTGATCATTAGTGAAATTTAGTTGACTTAAGTGTACTTGGGACCATTTCCCCAACTGTTAGTAGTAGGCTGCAGCACCTTGGCTAGGTTCCTAAGGTACCACTATAGCAAAATAACACCAGGTGCAATGATGGAAAGGAGCTCTTTCAATTTGTAAGCCACAGTTAAGCCACAGATTCTACAAAAATAAAGTTTCTTTAAAAAAATGATGGACCAGCCATTAACCATGTCATCTGGGCAGATCACAAAAACAATAACCAAAAATCAAACAAACAAAAAACCATCAGATAAAATACTAAGAGCAATAAAAATTTCCACAAGCATTCTATCATCATTCTTAAACAGAAGACCCAGTAAGAAATAATTTAAAATTGCTGGGGGAAAATAGTATTTGCCTGGTGCTGAAAATACTTTAATGCAGGCACCAAGAAAGCCTGAGAAGACATTCTATAGCTAGGGTACCAGCACAGAAAAGGCCCTCTCCATCCTCTGATGAATAACTTAAAAGTATATGCAGGTATGAAAGGGTGGAGTCAATCTTTTAGGTAACCTGCCCCCCCCAAAACCATTTCCTTAAATTGCTCAAAATCTCTGATTCTTCTGTCTTTTCACAGCAAGCAAACTTCTGATCTAGGCATGAGTCAGTTCAGCCTGCAGATATTTCTTTTGGCAACAAATATACATAGGTCTGTCTACTTAAGGCTCCTTACTGGTTTTCTGCAGCACAGCCCTAAAACCTGTGGTTTGCCTTTAGAAAAAAGTCTGAACTTTGTTGTGACGTACTGTTCCCAAAAATCTCTCACTGAAAGATGTACAGGAAGTTAACTTTCTAGCGTTTTTCTTGCTCTGCCTATACCAAATTAATTTATCCCTGCAGAGTTAGGGAGCTGCCACCTAACCACCCACGTGTCTCTATGTACTCTTATTTGCTACTGTAGTGCACCACGGCAAGGCAGGGCACCAAGAGTAACCATGGTAATGTAAGGAATACGGCACCCGACTCAAGTTTTAATCTCAGACCAGGTTTACGTTTGAGCCACGATAGCCATCTGCAAACGCACAAGGAACAAAACCAAAGGAGGCCAGTTTAGCCATACTTGCACCCCAATACATGCCTCCCCACCACTCAAAAAAAAATGGGTTTAAACTAGGGGAAAGGTAACAGGAAATTTAAAGAGTAGCTTCACAACATTACAACCGCTCCTCTTCAACTGCTCTGCCTGCCCCCACCCCCAATTCCAAGGCGGGGGGAACTGCAGCAAGCGGAGCTTTCAACTCCACTCCCTCCTCCGCCGCGCCAAGCGCTACTCATTCATGGGGAACTGTGGAGTATCAGTTTTCAAAGCGCCGTGGTCAAAACAGTATCCCACTTGGCGGCTTACAGTTTCCCGTTTTCCACGCTGCGCGCACACACGCCCTTTCCTTAGCTAGCCTGAAAGAAAGATCCTTCTACACTTGGAAAAAACAACAGCCCCCAAAATCTCTGAAAAGGAGCGGTAGTCTTGAGTTTACCAGAAACCTACTCTTCCACCCACCCAACCCCCCCATCCTTTCCTCTAGCCCCGGAATAGCAAAGCCACCCACTCGAACGCATTCCAGCGACTTTATCAAGCTCAGGCTGATTTACTGCTTGATTTACTGCTTGAGATAAGAGGGCAAAAGGATCAAGACGAAGCCTCCCCCCCCCCCCACAACCCACCCCGAAGCCCACCCAAAGAGTGAAACCGGATTGTTCCCTGTGCACAACTTTTATTATGCTGCTGCTGCTACTACTTGACCGTCGCCCTTCCAGGAAAGTTTGTTCTATTCCGCCAGCTGTTGTGCGCGTCCCCCTTGCCCTTCGCACAGACCCCCAACCGTTTGTGCCCATCTTTCCCTCCCTCTCTCTCTCTCTCTCTCTCTCTCCATACACACCTCATGCCCATTGCTGTTTGGGATCGTCTCCGACTCGTTCACCAGCGACGACTTGATGTCGGCCAAGTCGCCCTCTTCCTCCGGGTGGCTGATCTCGGCGAAGATCTTCTCCTTCTGGGGGTCGCCTTCGTCTTTGAACGGGATCATCTCGTCGGTAGCACAAAGCTCCGGGTCCCCGCCGCCGCCGCCTCCTCCGGCTCCCGAGAGCTGAGGCATAGTGGCTGCTCCTGAGAGGCTGCGCCACCCCGGGAATCAAGGGAGAGGAAGGAAAGGGAAGAAGGGAGGGCAGGGAGAGAGGCAAAGGAGGAGGAGGAGGAGGAGGAGAACAGAAGGAACGAGGGAAGTTAAAAGTCTTCGGCGATCACTTTCCCCGGCTCTCGAGCCGCGCAGCCCACGCGCCTCGCCGCCTAAGCCCAGCTCCCTCCTCCTCCTCCTCGCCCGCCCCTCTCCATGCCATCCAGACCCAAACACCTGGGGGAGGGGAGAAGAGGAAAGGGCTCGAGCGCGGCCGGGCCCGGCTGCCTTTAAAAGAGGCGTCACCCCTCCGCTCCCGGTTTCTGTTGTGTCTGCAGCGAAGAGGACAGGAAAGTCTGGGCAAGACCGCGTCCCTTCCCGTAGAGGCGCTTATCTCCTCTGGCCTCCCCCTCCCCTCTTCGGATAAACAAGAAGAGAGAAGACCTCTGGAGGCTTCTCGTTGACCCCGGTGTTATTCCTGCGCCACGTTCTTGGATATAAATAAACACAACTGTCCGGGTTTTGTCTTCTCCAAAAAGTAACAGCACTATTTGGATGTTTGGGAGCTGTGAAAGGGAGGTGGGTGGGTGCTTGGCTGGCTTAAAAGAGGCTCTCCCACCCCCACCCCCTTTTCTGTGGTAACTTGGAGATGGGGAAGAAAACGCCGGAGAGACACCTCCGCTTGGGGTGGGAGAGGTGGAAGGAGGGAAAGGCGCGCGCGCGCACACACAAACACACACCAGGACGACTCTGCCTTTGTCCCTTGGCTACGGAAGAGGGTTCGCCCCCACCTTCTCGCCCCTCTTTCTCTTTTTTGCTGCTCGCTGTCCTCGCCTCTCTCTCTCTCTTGAAGAAGAAGTGGTGCCGGAAAAATCCCTCGAGTGAAGAAGTTCTTGCGTGACAGGAAAGGGGTGGGAGTGTCTCCTCGAATGAAACTTTTAAAGTCAGCTCCCTCAGGAAGATGGAAACGCCGAGAGCTCCTCCAGGGTCCCCCGCTTCTCAAACGGAGTGTGCGGGTCGGGGTGCCGAAGTCTGAGGGGGAGAAGGGCGATTCCTCTCCGTCGACTTCTCCGTCCAGGTGTCGCGGCTTCCCCGCCGCGGCCCAATTAGCGCAGCAAAGAAATCCAGCCAGGTGCGCGCGCGCGCACGCAAACGCGCTCTCTCTCTCCCTCTCCCGCGCGGGAGAGGTGAGCGGGTTCTCTCTCGCTTGAGGCGCTTGCTGGGCTCCTTTCGCGGCTCGGACACGTGTTCCCGCGGTCGTGCGAATGCGTGGGGACGACGCGCCGGCGGCCAGCTCTGGAGCCGCTCAGCTAGGATGAGCTGGCTGACGCGGGGCCGTGTGAAGTGGGAAGCCAGTTGTGTCTCTCCCTCTCTCTGGCTCCCTCTGTAATGTAACTTTAACATCCCCTCCACCCACTTCTTCTCCACCTCCTCTCTGTGTCTCTCCCCCTCTCGCCCGCCCTGTTGAAAGGGTGGGGGCGGGAGGAAAGAAGATGAAAGAGAAGCCGCCGCTTTGATTGACAGCGCATTGATAGACGCTCTTGAGAGAGGGAGAGGAAAAAGGAAATGTATCCATACAGAGAAGGAGGGGAGGAAAAACAACCTAAACCCAGCTTAGAAAGCACGGGAGTGGGATGGAAGCTCTCTCCTTATTAGATGCACCCGAAGCCATCCCAGCAATCCAAGTTTAAAACAATTTCAGCCATCCACTTCCACGCAAGGGAAAGGTGCCTGCGTGCGAATAAAGCCAAGGTGTAGCTGAAAAAGGAAGGGAAGAGGTAGCAATGCGCGCATGTGGCTCCCCCTCCCCTCGACCAAGAAAGGCTCCCTTATCTCTTTCCTAATTGTTTGCTCTTTAATCACTTTAACTCTGATAACTGCCCTCTTCCCCAATTCTCCTGGCGTCGCTTATTATTCTTATTTATTATTATCTGAGATGGGCTGAGTTTAAAAAGACAGAAAAAAGAGATGAGGGCGGAAAGGGAATTGCTATTCCAAGGGGTGGAGGTTTCTAATTCACTCTCCCCCTCCCCAAGGAAGCCTCTCCAGAGAGGGCAAATAATAGTTATCTGAACATCTTCAGACAAATCTGGAACAAGGATGTTTTTCTAGGGCTGCTTTGTTAAGACTTCCCCCTTTTTGGAGAGGAGGGGGAAGCCTATACATACACAATTGTTTTGTGGCTGAAAAGGGGGAGCTTGTTTGTGTGGGTGTGTTTTTTGCTTGTTTATTTACAGTTTTAGACACAGACACACACAGTCGCTAAAATCGGTAATGCGGGAAGAGATAGAGAAAGGGATCCAAAATGAATAAAGCTACCTAGTTTCCCGGTTCTCAGGACGGAATAGTAATGAGTTCTAGCATCTTGAATTAGGAAGGAAAAATGGAAAGGAGGACGCTTACAACCACCCATTCACCTACCATTTTAAGGTTGCTGTCTTGGGTGCATTAAATTTATTGAAAAGTAAGTTCAATTGAACTGAATGGCACTTACTTTCAAGTACACAAGCACAGGTTATGGCTGCATTAAAAAAACACCAAATACGTTATGGGTACAGTACATATAGCTAAAACCATCCTTACCAGTAACAATGTGTAGTTACGTATGATAAAGTGAAATAAAGAGCATGCTATTATGTTTTTAAATCAGTGATGTGCAAAAGGAAAATCCAAACTCTTAGCGTGATGGCTTGCATGTTTTACTTGGAAGCAACTGCCGTTAAGTTAGACAGGTCTTCCCCAATAACTGTGCTCTTTGCATCCTTTCTATCTTCTGGGAGAATTACTGTTGTTTTTAAGTCGCCCCAAAAGCACACGAGAAAGGTGCATTAGGAATATCATAGCCCATGAGTGCAGTCCTATCCTTCATCCGTTCCCCAATAACGTTTTCAACTCCTCCTAAGACAGCGGGGTATGTGTGCAAGGATAAACGGCTTCTGGTGACGAGACTGCTTCAAAAATTGAGGTGGAATAAGCAAATGTGGCATATTTTCGTGACACTACTTCCTTCCTGCAATCAAACCCCCCCTGAAGTACAAAAGTACGAGGGGAAGGAGGGAGAGAAACGAGACCCTACGTTGCTAGCTAGAAGCAAGCGTATTACATAGAAAAAGGAGGCAGCTCCTCTTTCTCATAAAAAACATGGGGTGTTGCTTGGATTCTAAGATCCCAGGTCTGCAATCCTATTCTTATCCACTGAACACAATGGGTCTTGCTCCCGAGTAAACATGTAGGGATTCCGAGGCATGGCCCTACGCCTGTTTACTCAGAAGTAAGTCCCACTGGGGCACAATGGGGCACATAGTGTTGCATGGGACATGCGGAAGAGAACCACACTCTGTTCAAAAGGGGCTTTATTCTCAAATTCCTAAAGGACTATAGTTGGAATCGGTTCTATTCAGATCAGTGGGATAGGGCAAGTTTCCATTGAAATGTGTGGGGCTTACCTTTACGTAAAGGTGTGCTTGTCAGAGTTGTGTTACAAAACTACACGCCCCCTCTCTGCTGAGGCGGCTGCTTGGGACCTGGAGGAAGTTAAAGGGGCGATTTGTGAAGTTTTGATCTTGTTCCTCCTAATTCGAATCCTATTTCCTCCTTCATGTTAATTGTTGTGACTGCCACACTCATTTGCAGAATCCCTCCCTTTGCCCTCGAGATCATTGTAGTCTGAACTACCTAATGGGGACTGCTTAAGTAGATTTGGGGGTGGGGGGGGGAGAGAAGATGGAGAGGAGGAGGGCTGAGAATCAGTGCGTAAAGGGAAGGATCCATTTGATGTATTTTAGCACAGAGATCTTCTGCTTCGGAAAACCAACCAAGCCCCTTTCGATAAGCTTAAGGATTTTCTTTAACAGGCATGTGTGATTTTAATGTTTTGCTGTTTATATCTCCATTTACGTGGGATCCCCTTTAAAAAGGCAGAGAGGGTTTGCCTTTTTTTAAAAAAAAAAAACCCTCATATATATTAGTAGGGAACCTTGAAATAAATTATATTTTTAACAGCCTTTTTTAATAAAAAAAAGAAGAGAAACCTTTCTCATAACTAACAGCAAATATAATACCCTCGGAAAGGCATTGTTTTGAAAAGAACTCTATTAGCTGTCATAACGATTAGGCATTTGGGTCTCCAATTAGCATGTGTCTAATCGATTGTTATTGCCATTAAAAAAAAATCGAGGAAGGGTGCTGAAATCCTTTCCACTTCCAACGAGATTTGTGTCAATTTCGGTGCTGTTTACCGTTCCTGGACCCTGGAGGAGGGTGGCGGGGGAGGAGAGGAGCTTTCTCCAGGGAGTACTGTTCACACGGAGGTTTAGTATTAATCTGATCCCTCTAATAAAACAATTAGGGAAGGATTTGTGCCTCTTTCTGAAATTTGCCCTAAATCTATTATTCTCCCTCCTCCCTTCTCTATCAGCCTGCATCCCCACCGGCTGGTAAACACGCTTTCCCTCCTAGCACCGCCACACTCTTTGCAAAAGACATGCTCTTGATGCTAATTTTTTTAAAAATAAAATAAATAAAATTGAGTTACTGGAGCGGGGGGGGGGGAGTAGAGGCATGTTGTGCGCAGTTCCGCCGGGTTGCAGCGATGCCCTTCTTCTGCGTAGCCAGAGGGGCTAAAATCGGAACAGCAGCAGCGCTGCCTTGCGCCAAATTGGTCTCCTGCAAAATAAACTGTGTGTTTAATTAAAGGGAAAGGCGCGGTTGTTTTGTTTTGTTTTAATTGAAGCAAAAAAGGATCCCCTCTTGCCTTTCATGTGGGCTGGAGGTTTGCCCAATCCCAGTTTTTGGGGGGTTTTTGTTCGGAGGGAGCTTTTTAAAGAGGAAGAGGGGGAAGCTGGGATGGCGGGGGCTAGAAACTTAATGATTTATGACAAGGGGATAAACTCAGGAAAACCTCAACTCCAACGCCAGATTTGTCTGGAGACAAAGCAAGGCTGTCAAGGAGAATCTTCTCGAGTTCATAGGTTGGCTGGAGG